ACTTTAGGCGAGTATATACCGTGTTTAAGTCGCTATACTCGCTATTATCGCTGTTATCTTTAGATTACGAGTAGTACGAGTAGTTTAAAGCGAGTACGAAGGTAGCGGCGTATAAAGTTATACTAAAGCGATAATAGGCGTTCAAATAGTATTGTTTTTAGTGAAAGAGAGGTTTAAGTGAAGCGAGAAGTGAAGTGAGGTCTATCTAATAACAAGGATCAAGGGTTAATCGAGCACCTGCCTAGGTCATGTAGGTTGAGATATTGTTAGGTGCGGCCTGCCGTCGGCCCCCCGAGTCAAAAGCGGGGCTCCACCGAAGACTTCTCATTGGCTCTGACGACTCCTACTCATTCACTTCGCCCTACGCCTATCTGCATAATCACGAGCATCTGGCTCTTCTTTTCTTGTAATACTTGTACTGTCGCCCTCCTCGCAATGTCCTGGCTACCTTCTGGATAACACACGCCGCCGCAATGGCATCCGCATCCCCCCCTCGAACACTATCACGAGCCCTACGCAGAAAACGATGGCCGCAACCACAATCGCACCCCTCCGCCAGGCACATCGCCACGGCACCTGCACTCGAGCAACATGAGCCCGAGCCCGAGCCAGTACTCTCAGAACATGCACCGACCATTCCGCCTGCCTCGCAACGAAGGCAAAGCATTCACGACGCCAAACCATTCTCCGACTTCTTAACAGACACCTTCAACCGTCAGCATGATTACCTCCGCATATCGCTCACTGAGCGCTGCAATCTACGATGCCTATATTGCATGCCAGAGGAAGGCATCCAGCTGTCACCGAAGAAGGAACTCCTTACCACGGCCGAAATATACTACTTGTCCGCGCTGTTCGTCAACCAAGGTGTAAATAAGATTCGATTGACTGGGGGCGAACCGACCGTGAGGAAGGACATCATTCCGCTTATGCAGCAGATTGGAAGCTTGAGGCGGAACGGTCTGAAAGAGATTGCATTAACTACGAATGGGATCTCGCTACATCGAAAGCTGGACGATATGGTAGAAGTTGGTTTGACCGGAGTCAACATCAGTCTGGACACGCTGGATCCACACCAATTTGTGCTCCTGACGCGGAGGCAAGGCTTTGATGCTGTCATGAAGAGTATCAACCGAGTACAAGAGATGAACAAAGTCGGGGCAGGCATCAAGTTGAAGCTCAACTGTGTTGCGATGCGCGGATTGAACGACCATCAGATCCTGCCCTTCATTGAGATGACGCGAGATCAAGATGTCGAGGTCCGTTTCATCGAATATATGCCGTTCGGTGGTAATAAGTGGTCTGAGAAGAAGATGCTGCCCTACACCGAGATGCTGGACCTCATCAGGACGAAGTATCCCAGTATCGAACAACTCAAAGGTGGTAAGAATGATACCTCCAAGACCTGGCAAGTGCCTGGTTTCAAGGGCAAGGTTGGCTTCATCACGAGCATGACGCATAACTTTTGCGGCACTTGTAATCGATTACGAATTACCTCCGATGGCAATCTCAAAGTGTGTCTGCACGGCAATGCCGAAGTAAGCCTTCGGGATATGCTACGAAAGGATCACGATAACGAGCCCATGGATGAAGCCGCTTTTGAAGCTCTTCGACAAATCGAGCTTGACCGACGGAAACAGGACGGCTTCCGCTTTGATGGCGAAGAAGGCTGGATCAGCAAGGAGCGAGAGCTTCTAGACATAATAGGCGCAGCAGTGAAGCGGAAGAAAGCAAAGCATGCTGGCATGGGGCAATTGGAGAATATGCAGAATCGACCGATGATCTTGATTGGTGGGTAGTAATGCTTGTTCCTCGTTTTCACGGCACGCGAAGAAGTGTCGATGCTGTATAAGACTACAGACGACGATATCACGAATCTATGAGCTTTTAACTTGAGCTTGTATTTCGTATTTTCTCCGCCAATCGACTTTGGGGTGCATCAGCTGACGCCTTGCAGGGGATCATTCTGTAACAAGCAGAAGGCAGACTTCACCCTTCTCCCTTCGCAGACTGCGGCATACACCCACAAGATCAAATGTACCATGGTCACGTCTGCCTCTTCACCTTATCAATCCTGCTCCTGGACATCTCTCGCAAGCTCGATGTTACTCATCTGACAACCACGGGCAAAAGGGCGGAGCCTCGGACGAGGGACCGGATCAGACAACAGATACGAGTGGCGCGCCGTCCAGGCTGTCATCAATGTTTGGGTTCCAGAGTCTGAGCGGCCTATTCCACCAACCCACAAGAGGGAGATACAGCAAACCCGCGAGACCTGAAAGATCCTCAGTAGCGACAGAACCGACAGATGACAAGCAGGCCGCAAGTGCCACGGCCCCCATGCCTGAGCCTACGTTCGTTCCCGCCACTTGGGATCGTCAGTCAGCAAGTCATGCCGCCAATCTGTCTTCAGTTACGGCGAGAGATGTTGCAGAAGAGAGGCAAGAGAACCCAGTTTCTGTCAGGAAAGTGACCATGGGCGAGTCCAATTCGACCGCTGCAAGCCACGGGGCATGGAAGCCTCTCGATAAGCGCACCCACGCATCTCACCGTATCATGAGGCCATATGTGTCTCCTCTACCCAAAGAGGACAGGTTTGCTCGGCGTCAATTCGGACTGCGAAAAGCGAATCCATTCGTGGGCGGACAATCCTCACACAATAGGGACAGCAATGTCGTGAGCGAAAGGATAGAACTGACGGACGACGTTGGCCTCGATAAAGAACAGGGATCGATGCTCAGCAACGATACACAGCAGACGCTGGACTCCATTCTCGACCCAGGCACGACCAATGTTGCATTTCGAGATATGAAGACCACGCAGCAAGCTTCCAACGCAGTGGCTAACGATTCTGCGCCTTCCAGCTACAATCAAGAGCCCGTCCAAACGCCACCAGACTCTCTTACTGGCAGCGAGGCATCTGGTGAGGCCCAAACGAAACCAAAACTCACCCATGTGACTTCCAGCGGAGAAGCACGCATGGTCGACGTAGGCGGCAAGGAAAACACAAAACGAATCGCCATCGCCCACGCGACGGTCTTGTTTTCCAACCCGGAGCCGCTCCAATTGATTCTCGAAAACACTAATAAAAAGGGCGACGTCCTCGGCGTGGCACGCATCGCAGGTATCATGGCGTCGAAGCGAACCGCAGACCTGATCCCACTGTGTCATCCAATCCCAATCAGCAAAGTTGAGTTGGATGTCCGTCTCCACGCACCAGGTCAAGCCGCCCTCGGCAATGCAAAACCAAGTCAATCTGGCGCCGTCACCCTTCTGGCAACGGTAGAGTGCGTGGGTCCAACGGGCGTTGAAATGGAAGCCCTGACAGCCGTGTCTGGGGCTGCACTCACGGTGTTTGACATGTGCAAAGCCGTCGATCGCAATATGACCATAGTGGCGACGAAGGTCATGTATAAAAGTGGTGGGAGGAGTGGGGTTCATCTCAATGCGCGATGGTTTCGTTACGGTGGGAAGGAGTTCATGGAAAAAGGCGGGATTGATACCAGTGATCTTGACGTCGAGAAGACAATGCGTTCACCCGTTGATAGACGCAAGCCTGGATCTGGGCAGAGACTACGTAGGGGGCGAAAATGGTCACTCCAGAGCGCATGGTCTGATCGGGGTGCTACGATAGCCATCGGGCGGACGGTACGATAGGGCTGTAAAGACGACATCTACCTTATGCGAGATTCACGTTGCGCTTAGCCTTGAGCGTCATCGCAAAACGTTTGACATTTTCCCTCGACTCTGAACAAACACATCGTACCGTCTAATAGATCCTCATCACATCGTCCCCACCCCTCAACGCATCCCAAAACTCTTCTGCGCTCTCCGCGCCCATCATCTCCAGGAGCGCCTCACCGTCCATCCACCCCTGAACGAAACAACTCCCGCAAAGCTGATAACTCCCATCCTCCCTCTCCCGCAATAACAACGGCACCGAACATCCCGCCACGATCGCTAAGTTCCACGGCAACTCCGAAGAGTCCGCTGTGATATACGACGGGCAGAGACCCATATACCCGTTCTCGCTCATGAAAGGTCTTCGTCCTCGCAGAACCCCCTTGACGACGTCCCAGGCGCTCGTACGGTCGTAGCTGCCGCCATACCACATAACATGGCGCGAAGAGTTCGGGTCGCGAGCTGTCTGGCGAGAAGTAGGAATGCAGACGTAGACTTCATCAGGATGTCTTTCATCATCGGCGTTATCAGGGTTGTCTTGCTTCAGAGGCCATGCGGAGGGACTATCGCCGTGGAACATGGCTGTGGCGGCTTGGAGAGGATCGTTGTACGTGTTGATGCCGTTTGAGGTGCAGTATCTGGCGAGCTCAGCAGTCCAGGTTTGGAATTTGTAGTAGGATATAGGATCGCAGGCTGGGACCCTGTAGTGTTTTGGCATCTCGGGTGGTTCTTCGAAGATGAGCTTGATCTGGTCAAGGATGACTCCTGTGCAGTGAAGGACATTGTCCTCGAAGGTGAATAGTGGTTCGTCAAAAGAGTCGCGGTTTACGCCTCCGTCGGCGTTGTAGAGCTTTCCGTCTAGGTCGTTGAGGGCGAACATCATCGTGTTGGGGATTCTCTCCTTTCTGACAAGACAACTTGCCGTGGAAGGTGTGCTCCAATCTGGGCACCACGACGGTGCATTCTCGTAAAAGCTCTGAGTAGCAGGTGTAATCTCCACGGCTCCGAGAATGTCCAACTCTCGATGCTGAGCAGCCCAGGCACGAGCAAAATCGGCATATGTGTCTTGGACGGACTTCGTGTAGTCCATCTTGAAATCCAGCCCCTTTTTGTCTCGCGCGAGATTCCACAACCCAAAGATCTTGTCGCGTGGATCGACACATTGGAAATCTCTGGCAATTATCAAGGTTTCCAGGAATCCAGGAGCCTCCTCTTTGACCGTGGCAAAGTTCAGCTCACTTCTCCATGATCCTCTACTGGCAAGGTGGCGGAAGTAGCTGAGCTTGCGTGGGAAAGCGATTAGGTCTACATTGACCTCCGAGATTGAAGTGTCGGCGCTCACTATCTGCCCTGGCAGAGTCGGATCACTCGCAATCATGTCGAGGAAGTTATAAGCAGCCACGTCGAGGTCCTCGAAGCTGGTGTCATGATTGCCTCCGACCACAATAACGGGATTGGTAGCCCAGGCCCATTCCTGCAGGACCCAGAGACGACCGAAGTATGGTCGAGTCAAGAACTTATACAGTGCAGCGCACATGGTAGCCAGCAGATCGCCTCTGATGGGGTTCTCGCCGTAGGTCCATCCGTTCTCCTTGTCATATGATTCTTCACCGAAGTGCCATTCTCGGTCTTTGTTCAGTCTCATCATTGGCTTGCGCAGTTTCTTGATGAACTCCAGGGCCAGATCGCTGTCGTCGGTTGCGAGCCCAGTATAGCAGATGACTGGTAGACCGTCAGTCTGTGCATCTCACATTAAAGAGTCATGGCTGGCAACCACCCACCTGCTTTGGCAAAATCATAGATATCGCCCATTCGAGGCACCTGTCGATTGCGCTCCATGACATCGTCCTGATTGATCGATACAGCATCGATCCAAAGAGGCTGCTGGATGTCTGGATATCGAAGTGAGCGCAGTAGGTCAGCAAGTGACTTGCGAACGTTCTTTTTTAGGCCATTGAGATTGATCTCCTCGGTTGTCTCATCAGTCCCCCATCGGTACGAAAGTGCAGCGTACGTGACACCGCTATACAGTGGCGAGTGGCCCATATGCAGAACGAGGGGCGCCGAAGGGTCAGGGGAAGGCATCAGTATCACCACTCGAATCTCGTGAGCCACGATATCCAACGGCACATAGTCGTGGTCGTCAACAGGAGGATCCACCTCAGGGTTCATGCACACTTTGCCCAGTCGTATAGGAAAGACCTTTGGCATGACAACCTCGACAGCACCATACCACTTCTTGCTCCATCCGCCGGAGTACTCGCTCTCCATAACTCCCTTCATGTCGCCTTTCTCGAAGAGCGTAGTGTTGAACTCACTCATGTCCACAACCTCCGTCGCTTTAGCATACATCTGATCGCTGAGCTCTCGTGTCCACAGTTTGTTTCGTTCTTCGGCATCTGGCTGGTTGAGGCTCAAGTGGCGAATCCATAAGGGCGTCGGCTTATCCAGCAGCTTTCGAAAGTGTCTGAGGAATCTTTCTATCGCGGCGGGAATCACGAGAGCTTTGCCATCGACTTCGATTACATCGATCAGTAGACGGTATCCTCTTGCGTTTTTTATGGCGATGAAAGACGGTGCTTCGGAAAGAGGTACTGTAATGAGTTCGCATCGAACATGGTCGTCGTCGTAGTCCAGTCCATCCACAGGCGGATGCAAAACGAAGAACCGATGCTCTCCAATCTCCTGATTCAGAGTCGTGTATTCGAATTGTGGATAGTTCAAGTGTGAGTTGCCTTCGCCATCAGTCGTCCAGAGTCGCGGACGCTGGCTATCCGTGCTTGTTGCAGCTCCTGAAGCCTCCATGTCGATTGCCGCAACAGCTGAGGTTCGATGTGGCCATGGCTGATACTTGAATGCTGATTTCCAAGTTGACTAGCTCGTCCATAAGACAAGCTGAATCCACCTCAGGCGCCAGGCCGGTGGCTTGACCATTGCTGGAGGGCAGTGCTTTCGAAGCCGAAAAGTCGCGAGCTGTGGCTATGCCCACACTCCTTGAACGAAATCGTACACCGCGGAAAGTCAAGCTCGATAATAGACTGAATCCAGGTGAAGTGCAAGGTCGAAAAACGCACGGACTCCCAATACTGAGTACATCTCCTGCTTTATAAGAAAATCACATCGTACAACCCAACCACTCTTCTGTATCCAATCGTTGCCTTATCGCAAACATTCCACATCGCAAATCGACACCTCCTCCAACATCGCCGCCTTTTGAACAAGACTAAATGGCTTTCGCTCGCCTCCTAGAACTTTCACGAGCTCTGTCCAAACCACCCCACTAGAAGTACAATACCCAAAGACATCTCCCAGTGGAATCAGAGGCAATTCGATGCCCAAAGCGCGAGAGATGTCTTCTCTCGAGCCTAAACCACTGTTCGAGTGGCAACGCCGAAGGGGAGACTCCACCGGTACAGACGTCAACGGGATAAGTTGTTTCCTGCTCATCTCGTCGCACTTATCGCTCATCAAATCGACCGGAAGGCGACCCCGCGGGTATGCAGCAATTTGGAGGAACATGGCGGAGAGCGTCGCTTCCGTGGACCCTAGGAAAGCATACTATCGCCATGCGCCGCCCACGAATTGTCGCCGATATACGGGGTGACCAAGGCGAATTCCAGACACACGGTGAGATGCGGACGGCACAGTGACCAGATGCCAGTTAACGTGCAAGTCGATCAGTTCCAGCGCCAAGTCTCTCGTCTGTGTTATCAACCTCTCATCTGGACGACAAGCTGGGCTCTTCCGCAAACGAAGACTGGCAAACACAAATGCTTCTCGAATGCGCTTCTCCCGTGACTCCGACAACCCGCGACGCTCGAAAAAATAATCTAGAGCAGGAATGAAGGGCAAGTTGACGACGGTAAGTTGTTCGTGGATCGCGTTATGGAATCGCTCGAGGCTGTCGGTGACTCTTGCTTGGGCTAAGAAGTTTCGGTTGCCCTTGTGGCTCACGAGATTGAAAAATCCCCGATTGACTCTGACTACTTCTCTGATATCCCTGATCGAGAGGTACGAGATGATCTCGAGCTTCATTTCGTTGGGTAGCTGCTCGAACGGCGTCAAGTTCATGTCGCCGCCATACGATTGGCCGCTACATGTATCTTGTGCGATGCAAGGTGCCATAGCATCGACGCGATTGGCACGAGTGGTCCGCATGGGTGATGTTAGGAGCTGTATGGTTATCTCAAACAATCGTCGTAAATGTTCGAAAACTCGTCCGCAGTGATGAATGTCCATTTCCTGGGTTCGCGAGTGTTGGGCGAAATGCGAGAGACGATTGAGCAAGTGGTTGCGTTCATGGCGATGTCGACATAAGTCACTTAGCCACCCAATTGACCATGTATCCAAGGCCAAAAGCGTCCAATATCCAAGCTGGTAATGAGTATTGCAATGTTGCAGAGGGAAATCCAATTTTCGGTACCGATCGGAGTCAAGCGGTTGGCCTCCACCTGATAATAGAGCTCGCGCGCCTGCTGATTGGCATTTATGAGTCCGTGACTGGAGGGTATACCAAGGTCAGGCGTGCTCTTCCAATGGTGGCCATGGCTTTGATGCCTCGCGAGCGTTTGCTTTAGCTGCTGCGAACTGAATGAAGTCCGGATGTCGAGGGCAGCAACTTGTCGAGTCGCCACAATGTGTATTGAGAATGACCAAACTCAGCAGCTAGATCATTCGATAGATCGTAAAACTCTCGCCTCTTCATGATAGTCAAGGAGGCCTGAGCATTGTTCGAACCCGGTCAATCCTCTTCTGAGCGGCTTCCAATTTGTCCAACCTCCTTTTTCTTTCCACCTCTCTCTGCTCAAACGACCGCAACTTCTGTTTGAGACGTTCATTTTCCTTCCTCATGACCTCAGACACGTTGCCGCCGGCCTTCTCAAGTTCTTTGATCTTATCTTTGAGGGCTGCGTTATCTTTCCGTTCTGCAGCAACCATATCGTTGGCTTGCTGAAAAAGAGTAGCACTGAGCTCCTCAATCTCAGCATTCACCACTTTCACTTTCTTTTCTGCTTCTATCCGGACTTTCTGCTCTTTAGCAAGGCTGGCTTCGAGTTCTTGCTCCCGCGCGGAGGAATCGTGCGATGGAGTTGAGGTCGGGGCAAGCGAGGGTTTACGCATGAAGCTACCCAGCCGCGAAAGGCCCATGCGATCAGGCTGCGGCGCAGGTTGTTCTTGTTCCGCGGCAAGACGCGCTGCGTTGGCGGCTTCATGGCGCTGTTGCTGGAGCTGTGTCTGCAGCACGCGGATCTGGTTTTCGTAGTTGGCGTAGTGCTGCGAGGCGTCGGTGGCCTTTTGCGCGAGGATATGATTCTCTTCCTCTAGCTCCTTGATTCGCATACGCGCAGCCTCGTCCTTGCCATTGCCCACGTAAAGCGCCGAGTCATTATGTCGATGGGTGGCCTGTATGCCGTTCGGGAGGGCATTGAATGCCATGAGCAGGAGCAGCGCGACGTCCCAGCAAGGCCAAAGGCGACATTGGCGCCGGTGTACGGGTCACAGCAGCAGCAACCCCCAGCACTTGGTAGTCGTGGTGGCGTGCAAGCAGTCAGTCGGGCGGAAGATGGGGGAGGGTTTGGAATTTGGGAGAGGGCTGGATGGAGGCGGTCGGATCGCCGTCCTGCCTTGGCTTGGCTGCTGCGCTTGCTTGCAGCGGTTCCTGCCCGCTCGCACAACCTTCAGGGACAACCGGCCGCTAAGGCACAACGGCTTCGTGCCTTTGCACGTGTTGTGGCTGGATGTCGTGCATAACTTTGATTGCGGCTGGCTGAAGCTTTCGAAGACCTCACGCCTGACACGCCTGTCACGAGGTCAGGGAAATGACAAGGCTACACCTGAACAACCAATGCTATATGGAAATCCACTATGATAACGAGGTCGCGGAACGGTTGCAGACCAGTCATGTATTGAGCATCTGCTTCACAATACTAACCCCTTTTTCACAAGACTGTGTCAACCAAGCAAGCATGAAAGAAAGATTGATCCAAGAGCCAACATCATCAAAGTCGCACCCTAGAATCATGACGTTGACCGACTGCGAAGGAGCTGCCCTCGAGACCTAATCGTCATGTCATGGCATACAATCTCCGAGTTCCTCCCGGCCACCTCGGGACCCCATGCTCTTGACGCACTTCCCGACCGCTCGCGATGTTACTCTTGGTTCAAATTCACAGGTATCTGGCACCACAGCTTGATAAATGCCTCAAGAGTGGACGATAAGATCTCGAAAGCATCAAGCCTCAAATCGCCGCGGCAGGCAGCGTCAGGATTCCCTACCATCTCGGGGGCCCTGACAGCCGTAAGATGTGGGTGTGGTAGGCGAAGGATTAGTGTCTTAGAGGGGCCCGGCAAAGGCATCGGGAAGTGGACCATTCGCAGAGTGAGAACGATGTGGGAACACTTCAAGAGAGATGCGAAGGAGTCCAATGATGCGTGGAAGTGGTGAACCGCAGAAGTCGGCGGCGAATGACTCCAGAGACTTTAATTCACATTGAGTCTCGTCGTGAGCGGAGTTGAACAAGCTCGACGGAGATGCCAGCAGTCGCAGCTATCAGGGGCATATGACCTGGAATGCGTGTCAACGCGATTGCCAGCGCAGACGAATAGCGGACATCTGTTTCATCGGCTTTTTTGCGGCAAGAGTAAGAAACTCGAGACCGGATTCCTCGTAGAAATTGACGAACATTTGCTACATTCACGATGCTTCCAGATTCGAAACAGAGAAAGCAACGAGATGGTGGCGGCCAACACACGCGAGCAGGAAAAGCTACATTTACAGGCCAAGGGTATTAAGGAGAAGACGAACAATTTACATCTTGAGACACTTTAGGACGGACGAGAGAACTCCTAGGATTTTGGTATACTACGAATTTGAGACACAGAAACCCCTGACGCCAAACCCTATAGTAGCACATTCTACCGACACTACAATCTTGGTGTAGATTGTATTAACCACGAAGGAGGGATCATCGAGCATGGAGCACACAAGTCCCGTCACAGTACAGCGATCTTTCCAGCAACTGTGTTCAGGGGCGACTTCCCAGAGGTGAAGCGGCGCCAGGATATACCACATATCTATCTCGAAAGAGACAAGAGTAGACTTGTTGATGAGCACAAGTGTCAGGCATAGCGTTCGAGATATTCGTACGTTAAAGACAGAACATCCAAGGTGCGAGTCTGTAGTACTACTACATGGGGGAAGCGAGCTTGCCCTCGAGAACTCTTGGGTGTCATCGAGAAAGGCCATGGAAAGAGTCTCGAGGGTCTTAATGCATTCGCACGAACTCAGCACATCGGATTGTTAGAGACAATGACAACAGCCACGAATCCGAAGACTGTACTTTGACGAATGATTGGCATACCTTGACGAGGTAAGATCAGACGAAGATGAGTCGGATGAAGAGAAGATATCCTTGGATTCTAGGAGGGTGAGGAGCGCGATCGCGGCCAACGGCTTCAAGGGAATGAAGTGGAAGCATTGTATCAAGGAGCCTGCGTTTATGTCGGAACAGGATGTCAAAAGCCTGCCAACCATTTCCAATGCAAGCAAAGAAGGACACTACGCTGCCCTGAGGGATGGCACCGCCCAACTGGACAAAAGGGAATTCGGCCGGAGTGCGACTGCGAGAATGAAAATGGAGTCAGCGCTAGTAGTCGATGATGTTGAAGACAATGAGAGTTTGGGATGGAATCCTTGGTCAATCGACGAGGGCGTGAGGAACGCGATGAGTGGAAGAGAGACGTTGCTCAGCTGCGAGTTGCTCTAAGGGATGAGAGAAGAGTGAAACCAAGAACAGTAAACATCAACGAGACAAGTGTCCGAGCCACCTAAAATGAAAAAAAAAAAACAGGGAGCCAGATGAAAAAGTCCAATCGTGTTCTAAACGACGAATACAACGAGAAAGTGAAGAAAATGTGTCTTCCTGACTTCACACTTCTCAACCAACATCACCCAGAGACGCGTAGAACGAGGCTATCTAAGTAGCTAGACGTGATTGGAATAGACACAACCATTCTCTTATTTGAGCTCTTCTCAGTTCGTCAAAATCGCATCTCCGAGGCAGTAGAATGTCGACCTGCATGTGCAATGAGTCTACTTCTCATTCTTGCTAGAGGAGAGAGCGAAGCTCATATTGTTTTTGTTTATTATTACTTGGACAGCCTGTCTACTGCTGTCAATATATTACTAGTAGTCGAAACCCTATCCTCTCGCTAGCGGCACTAGGAATATAAGTATGTGTTTTTCGCGAGAATGTTTATAAGGCAGTCGACCATTTTGAGGCTTGTCATGGAAGAAATTAATACTTAGCGGATGATACCTCGTCATACCGTCGAGTAGAATGGGTGCGATCCGGCTCATTGTTGACCTGACCACCGCACCCAATTGACTCCTCGGACGAGCCGTCATAATGTGACATCTTTCTTACCGGCATCTGGTCCCTTCTCTGCCCCATGGCACGACCAAAGTGTATGGAATACTGAGCCACATGAGCGGCGAGTCTCGAAGCCCCCTTGGGTAACTGCTATGGCCGCCGAACAAGAATGGTGCTCGAAGGAACCGAAGAGCTCAGACTCCCGGCAAGACATGCCCTGTGTCGATTAAAGTGGTTGTACCCGACCATCATCGATTGGCAGTGGCTTGATCAGGTGACGGGCGTGGCAATCTGGTGCACTTTTGCCGATGCTTTTATGGCTGAGCGCTTTGCCTAAGCGCAATGGCATTGGCCTTGGAAATGCACGCGCCGCAGTTCCGGTCCAGTAGACAGATTGAGTCCTTCGATGGCGAGCTAGGCTGAACAGCGAAACGCAGACACGCTCGCATCATTCAACGGTAAAGGAGAGGAGAAGCAGAGAGTAAGCAATGGCCTTTACTCCTCCGTTCACCAGCATTTCCGACTTCCCGAGAAAGGGGCGACGAAGATTGTGGCGACAGCGTTTTGGAAGAGGCGGCTAGAGGTCCGAAGCACTTGCCACAACTTGGAAGGAGATGACGCTGATCGATCCACTACTAGCGGGGCAGCCACGCCCGTGACGCGCGATCGACGATTCGCGCGAGCTTGCAAGGATGTGAGTTTACCACCTTCGGCGGCAGGTCCGTGCGGCGTGTCGTGACGTTTCGCGGTGATTCTCTGCAAGTTCGCTCGGCCTCGAGAAGTCCATCACTGCAAACAAATTATTAGCAGTACTGCCATTGAGCAAGGCAAGGGATAGCATTGACGCCTTTCGCGCGGAGAGAAGAACGAGACTTGCACTTGCCTTCGTTTGGCACTGACCACCTCCCACCTCGCGCCTCGGAGCTTCAGTTTTCGCCACACCACCACAGAGCGCATACCAACATCCAAACACCGCCAAAACCATCAGCGGTCGCAGTATCAGGTCATAAGACAGGCCTCACGCATAGAGGAGAAACTTCCAGGCCTGCAGAACGTATACAACAGCAAACCAGAGCGGTAGTCGCCACACTTGACTTGCGCCGTCTTCTCACGCCTCATTTGCTCCGACATACCACGTCCACTGCGGCAATTTCCAGGAAACTGAAATGGCCTACCCATCTAGCAGAGAGGATAGCCTTGTCCCAGATGCTTTCGACCCACAGCCGGACTTCTTGTTTGAAGATGGCGGCGATCACGAACTTGCCAACATGCAAAACATGGAACAGAATCTGTGCGTTGTCCCAGTCTCGCTCTTGACTTCCTGTGCGTGTGCTGACTCCATCCAGGTCCAATATTATGCCTAACCACTTCGACCCAGCTTCTTTCATGGTCCCATTCATGATGGAAAACGCACCGATGTCGCCGTCTTTGCACCCGCCGTATACGCAAGCAGACATCATCGCGAACGGCCGCGGAATCGGCGTTTCCTTCGGGCAGATTACACCTCCAGAAGAGGACTTCAAGGTACAAGATGTGCCACCTCCTCCATCTCTTTCGACGCCAGCGACCCAGACACTGAGCGCAAAGTCGGAGCGGGCGAGGAATGCCGCAAATCAGAGGCACTCCAAGGCGAAAAAGGCGAGGAAGGATAGCGTGCGCAAGGCCGAGGATCCAGACGAGGTTGAACAGGACCAGGCCGAAGACAAGCGTGAGCTTTACCGACAGAAGAATAGGATCGCGGCCTCGCGGTGTAGGGCAAAGAAGAAGATGAACACGGAAGGCCTAGAAGAGTCAGCGAGAGCAGCCAGCGCTCAAAACAGCAGATTGAGAGCAGAAGAAAGACATCTGCGCGACTTATTCTCAACCCTGCGTGATCAGGCGTTGGCACACGACCCAAGCCAAGGGTGTAATTGCCAGGCAATCCACGCATACAACTTCCACAAGGCTCGAGAATGTGCCCAGGCGACGATGGGCTTCATACCAGGAATGATGCCGTCTCCTACTCAGCGCAGCATCGACTCCGGCTCGCCAAGTACGGTGGGCACCGCATCGAGGGCACAGTCGTTTTCGAGCGTTCGTCCCCAATTCGCGAAGACCTCTGGAGGATCACAATCTTCCGCCAGTTCGGCGGCATTCGTGCCTGGGGCCGCAGATGTGACGAGACATGCCTCGACAATTGGGGGCATGAGCAAGTCGCCGTTTGCATTTGCAGTGTCGACCGCGCAGATTCCTCAGGACAGTCCCGTCATGGGTGGAGAGTCTGATGGCAACCAGAATTGATCCCAAAAGACGAGCGATGCCTAGCAGCACGAGTCCAGTTGATAAGGCGGCGAGGTGGTTTTGTTAATGCATCGAGGTTTTCCGGCTTGATATGAGAGCCCTCGATTTGGACGCTTATGAGTAACGATATGACGGTCGGTTCACAGTATGAGCCTGGCAGTCCAGATTCTGGGAAGGTCTGTCAACCTTGCGAAGTGTGTAGCATGAGGGACGGCGTTGGGCCATGTTCGAAGAGCGTTCCTAGTTCCGAAAAGTATCAAAAGACAAAACACTTCATGATCGATGCAGTTCATGTTCGTTTCGTGAGGTCAGTCCATGAGAACATGCCCGCATTGTCCAAGTGGTGTCCGTTGGAGTGATCCAGTTGTCACGTCATCCTGACAGTGTGTCAGAGCTCTGCTTGGCTGAGAGGCGCTGGACCAGTTAGAGGGCTCGTGGAACTAAGAGTGACGCTCGGATGAGGCACCGGCACCGCGCACTATAGCTTCGTTTCGAGAACCATCTCCATTTTCGTCGAGTTCCATGTCGATGTGCATGCTTTCAACAGCATTTGTCGAGGCTTGTAGCGGAAGGTCCACGCTACAGTGCTGGCGTACCATATGTGTGCTTTGGGGCGGGATCTTGTCAACGATCACGAAGAGTTGTCGTGGTTCGGGGCCGCAGGGGTCGATACCAGCACGGAAGAACGTAATATTGGCATCGCGGTGATGAGGTATGTCGCCAGAAGAGTGGGTTGGATCACGTTCCGTCTTTGGCCGGGGTCCTGTAAGTGCGTCCCAGGTATGCTTGAGGGGGTCCTTGAAAGCCTAGATCCAGCCGCCCTGAGGGCCAGAAGCTAGATTCCAGACCTCGAAGGCAGTTGTGGTAGTATTGCAGACGTCGCCAGGAGTCTCATGGATTCCAGTTATCGGCGTTTTTGTGTTGTGGTTGCTCATCGTCGACGTTTTGCTGGTCCTGAAGTCGAAGTCGGGTCTTGCGACCGCGACGGTCGGGGCAGCACGACAGCGCACCACGAACGCCGGCAACGACATGCCCAAAATCGTTCATATCGCCGTTGAGTGTCGAGAGAGGGCAGAGAACACAGTTTCGACAGCGTCAATCGGCGCTGGTGATGGGTCGTTCGGTTGGTGTTTGATGGGAGGTGATGTTGAGAAGAAGCTGATGAAGACTCGGAGAGAGATGAACCTGGGCATCCGTACACCCGCTCGCCGCAGCCGCCGTTGCCTCACGTAAACGTGACGATGAAAAAACGCACGGACCAAGAGGCTCGCAGGCGCGATCAGAGATCCGGACAGGAGGCCCGACGCCGACAGCGCGTAGTTTTGAAACCGCCGGCGCGTTTCTCATCCTGATCAAGGAACTTCTTTTACACAACTTCGCCTCGTGGGTAGCATGCGACGAACATTGCAAGACTTCCATGGCCCCTCGAAACGCAGACATGACACGTTATGCGCGCATGAAATCTTCAAAACAAGAACGCACATCACGCAACGTGGGATTCTAGTTGTACGGAAGATTGGACTCGATCGATGATGTCGATGACCTGCATGTAGATGCAAGAGAAAAGGAATGGCAGGACGCCAGCAAGGGAGGCTGTAAGCAGTACTGGCATTTTTAGTTGTGTTTCACCATCGTGCCGACTTTTTGCAGGCGTCTCTTCTCTTGTGATCTGCCTGACCTCCCTCCCAGCCTGAGCCTCCCTCACATGGAGTTCTTCGCCTCTCTCAAAGCCGACATAACATCTATGCGATCGGTCTTGCCGGTGAACTTCTGTACGGCGGGATCGTCCAGCCGCATAAAGACGTTGAACTGCTTCTCATCTCCGATCGTGAACTTGCCCTGTGTCTGCTTGTTCGAATTTGCAAAAGCTTCGAGCTTCTTGATGGGTTCTGATTGTATGACTTTGATGCCGAACTTGATGTTGCCTTTAGTGTACTCGTGGCCCGGCTGGAGCAAGTCAGCCCTGGCAATAACGAGCAGTTTGCTCCACTTACGAAGACCTTGGTGTCGTCAGCTAGTGCCGCTAGAGTCTTGTTTAGAGCGGCGTCCATTTCCTCCGGTGTTCCCTCGAAGAATCGGCCACAGCCTGTGCAAGGTGAGTAAAGCCCTTCTGGTCGCCAAGGTTAGTTGTTCATACCTCCAATGAACAGAGTGTCTCCGGTGAACACAGCTCGATCGTTGCCGTCCTCGAAGAGATAGCAGATACTATCTTGAGTATGGCATGGTGTGTGCAGAGCTTTGACGTTGATGTTGCCAACCTTGAAAGTCTCGCCATGGCTTGGTGTCTTCGTGACCTTGTCGCAGTCTTTCCCGCCTACGATGGGAATTTGGTACGTTTTGAGCTGGATAGTGTCAGAACAATCTGTTTCCAAAGGTTTGGCGAGACTTACCACTTCAGCGTTACCGCCGGCATGGTCGTGGTGACTGCTTTTATTCAGTGTCAAGTCTTGACATGTAGGGGTATGCAAGCATACTGGTGAGTGTTGACGATGCTGTTGAGCTTGATGCCGCTGTCCACAGCCTTCTTCAAAGACGGCAGCACTCTATATGATCATCAGTTGCCAGTAGCTCTGCTCTAGTAATGTGAACGTACTCTGATGGGTTGGCGGGATCGATGATAACGGCATCTTTGGTCTTCTCGTCTGAAACCACTACACTCGAACTCCCCGATGAGTAAAGGCTATCGTATGATTGGTGTCATCTGTAACACCTACAGTAGGCGTAGTTATTGCCCGTGCCCTCCCCTGGAAAAGGAATCAGCAATAGATATCAGTCACCTTGATGGCCACTACTCACACATAGGAATCGATTCGATATGCATCTTGCGCGTGTTTCTCGTACTCTTGCTTCTATCAGTCACCAGCAACCAGACCAGACATGCGATGCCTACTGCAAAGATTGATGATACGATGGGTCGCCTGATTTGCCCTGCTGCTGCAGCGAAATACATCAGTGGATGATGTTTGGAATGGCAGGGAGCACTTGGTGGAGTTCAGGTAAGCAACTACCTGGCCTTCATGATGTAACTTCATTCTCGATTCAACGCCTGCGTGACCAAAACTGTGCGCATCTTCATCGACATGTGGAAGAGGGAGTGGCCAATCCTGTCCTAACCATTACTACCATCATCTAAGTCTCGTTGACAGCACACAAGAGTCTGTCAGCTGTTCGAGGCTAAAGTGATGAAGATCTATCGTGAATTTCTCTTCGAACTCTCTGCTCAATTCACCACTCCTTAACGAGGCGAAGTGCTGTTAAGGAGTTAGGCCAGAGGGCAGACAAAACAGACAGTGAAGTTTAGAGGACACGTGTGCAACTTTTACAGCACGCTCAGTGAGGATTCAATACCGTCACACGATGACACGAAAGCTGTCACATCAAGCCGCAATATGCAAGGTGGGCAGCAGTACAACGTTGTGTATTTATGCCGAGATTCACATGAGAGTGGGAAATATAGCAGGTTGTTTTCAAAGTCGATCTTTCAATTGCCGTCTATCATACGTCGTAGAGAACCATAACCTCGTAGCTCACACCATCGAGACTCTAGTGGGTGGAGCTCTTGCCGTCGTAGTACTCGGCCTTGGTCTTGTCCTGGGCCTCGTTGGCGCCGTGCTTGACAGTGCCGACAGCGCCGTCGAGCTTGTCGCCGATAGTGTTGCCATGCTTGGCCTGCTCTTGGTTGGCCTGTGAAGACGTTCGTCAGTATATGTCTTGATTGAGGAGCTGTTCTGGTGTCGCTGACCTTGCGCTGAGCCTCCTCAGTGTTGCCGGTGAGCTTGTTGGCAGCCCAGTTGACGTTGTCCTTGACGGTGTTGACGGTGGACTCGACGAAGCCCCTGGATGCATGTGTCAGTCAAAGGAGCCCTCGGATGAAGTAAAGGAGGAGGTGAGGGGAAGTACTCACTCGCCCTGTGCGTTGGTGTTGCCAGACATGGTGATGGATGTGTGTGGTGTTGGAGTGGTTTGATTGAATGTTTTGGTGTTTAATGGGAGTTGTTGTTTGGGATGCGAGTGTGAAGAGAGATCTGCAGGGTAAGAAGTCTTATGTTTATATACAACTGTTTGCAGCAGGCGACGAAGCCATGACGAGCAGCATCGTCATCGCTCCTTTGTGCTTGCCCCTCGGTGGGGCAGACATCGCGATCACATGGGTCAAAGCCGTCGACGTAACAAGTCGTCAAAACAGGACCAAGACTCGTCGACTTGCCTTAAGCCGACCTAGCTTGGATCGATCGTGAATAGCACGCAATGTTGTTCGTTGCGAGCGTGAGCTGCAGTCCGGGTTCTTTCGTCGGGTGGAGCATTCTACCTGCTACTTTCGTACAACACTCCACATTCATCTCGCTCTCTTGTGCTCTGCTATGAGATCACTCACCAGGGCAACGAGGAGCCGAGCTATGTGATTTGGATTGTTGGTGATCGAGAAGAAGCATCGACTGATAGGAGGTTGTGGCTTTGGTTACACGCGCTTCTCGGCGGCATTCAGGAAATGAGCCTGACAACGGCCAGGCTCCGCAGTGACCAAGAGTTCAGGTAGCACATCTTTTACGCGACGAACACCATCATGACTCATCACATGCTTCTCTCTGAGCACTTCTGCATGAACACTCTTGCATTCGACGCGCTTTCACGCGCGTCTCGCCCATTGTCGGCGGGCTTTGCCGTGCTCGTGTAGAGACACGAGCCGAGCTGCCGGCAGATGGATCGCTGCGTGGCCAGTCTGCTCACCAGGTCGTCTGTCTAGCCATTGGAGTCACATGTGCGGTATCTCGTGTTGAGGAGCGGTGGTGAGCGTTCTTAGGAGTCACGAAGTGAAGTCTCAAGTCAGTCAATCGGTCAGTCGCATGAGCCACGATGGACCGCCACCGCCGCAGCGGACCATGACTCCTCCACGACTCACCCCACCAGAGCTGCCATCTATAACTTCACGTCGCAAACCGCCACCTGTGAACAGTCTTATCCTAATCAAACCAGCTATGATATTGCGAATACGAAACTGACGCCCCAACGCGCGATTGAACACCTGCGATAATCATGGCCACGAAAGCAGAGCGCTTCAAACCAGCGCCGCAGACCCCGCAAGAGCGGCGGGCAGGCGAGTCTGTAGGTGTTGACCAGTACGAAGTCGACCTCGTTCATGCTAATAAGCTACTCAGGCCTTGAGTGACTTCGCCGACTACGTGCAGCAGCAACAGGCGCTCCGCAAACCCCCCATATCCGGCAACACAGCCTCCAATGGCGCCCCAAAGCAAGAGCATGCCGAGCTTGACATCCTCGACACACTCGACCTAGCAGACGACAAGCCCAAGGTCCGATTAAAAGACCTTCTGTTTGACCAAACCGACACGAAGGAAGACAGCGTCAAACAGCTGGAGGGTCTCATCAATGACCGGCTTGATGAGGGAAGAGGCGAGTGCTTGTTCGACGTCGGACTTGAGGACAATGGAGATAGTCAACTATTGACCGAGCCAGAGTGGGAAAGTGCTCTGGCTCGGTTGAAGGAGGTATTGGAGAAGCTCAAAGCAGACTGGAAGGTTCTCATGACGAAGAATGTGCCTAACAGTGAGGTCGACGTTGGAAACGAGACGAAGAAAGAGCGTGGATGCGTGGGCAAACTCATGATCCGTCGGCGGCCGACTGATGTGGATGACACCATCGAGACACGAATAGCGGTGGTTGGGAATGTCGATGCCGGCAAGAGCACGTTATTGGGTGTCTTGGTGAAGGGCGGTCTCGACGATGGCCGTGGCAAGGCGCGTGTAAATCTCTTCCGTCACAAGCACGAGATCGAGAGCGGCAGAACATCTTCTGTGGGCATGGAGATCATGGGCTTCGACACAAAGGGAGAAGTTGTCGTCTCTGGCGTGCCTGGAAGGAAGCTCAGCTGGGAAGAGATAGGAAAGCGAAGTGCGAAAGTCATTTCCTTCACCGACTTGGCTGGACACGAGCGATATCTACGGACTACCGTATTCGGGCTGCTATCTAGCGAGCCGAACTACTGTCTCCTGATGGTAGCAGCCAACAACGGGCTGATCGGTATGTCCAAGGAACACTTGGGAATCGCGTTGGCCCTGAATGTCCCTGTGATGGTGGTCATCACGAAAATCGACATGACACCACCTCATATCCTTCAGCAGACGCTCACCCAATTGACGAAGATATTGAAATCGCCTGGAGCTCGAAAGATTCCAATCTTCATCAAGAACAGGGAGGAGTGCATCAACACTGCGACCCAGTTCGTGAGCCAGCGGATATGCCCAATCTTCCAGGTCTCGAATGTCACTGGAGAGTGCTTGGACTTGGTGCGAGAGTTTCTCAACATACTCCCACATCACGGCAAGTACGACGTCGACGCTCCATTCGAGTTCCACATCAACGACACCTTCTCGGTTCCTTTCGTGGGGACGGTGGTGTCTGGAGTGGTCAAGTCTGGCGTGGTACATGCAGGTGACACTGTGCTCGTTGGACCTGATAGCTTGGGTCAATTCACGTCTACCACGATTCGTTCGATTGAACGAAAGCGAATAGGCGTGCCAGCCTGTTCTGCCGGTCAGAGCGCATCATTCGCCCTTCGTCGGGTCCGGAGAAAGGATGTGAGGAAAGGCATGGTCGTTCTACTTGCCAAGTCTGACACCAATCCGAACTTGCCAGCGGCGCAGCCCAAGGTCCATCGAGAGTTCGTGGCCGAGGTTCTAATCTTGTCGCACGCGACGACAATCAGGACGAAGTACCAGGCCATGCTCCACGTTGGGCCCGTTTCTCAGACCTGCGCGATCATTGATATCGACAGAGCGTACATCCGAACTGGAGACAGGGCGACTGTGGCATTCCGTTTTGTGCAGCGACCTGAGTTCCTCGCAGTCGGTGACCGTATCCTATTCCGTGAGGGCAGGACGAAAGGGTTGGGCATCGTGAAGCAGGTCGGTTACGATCCTGCGAAGCCGCTCAACCCGAATGCCTCGGAAGACAAGGAGACGAGTGAGGAGGATAGTAGGGCGACAGTCAGTGCTGCGGCCTGAAGCATGAGTTGATGAGGCCCACGATTTGGCGTTCTTGGGGGTGAAGTGGAAAGGGGACATCACTGGGTGATGAAGGCAACATTACTGCGTCAACATAGCGGTAGCCTATGTCTTTCTTGCAATGATTATTAGAACTTCTGATGTGGCTCTCCTCTTCCAAGAAATCGACTTGAAAGAAAGAAGATGTGAGGCCTACACATCTCCTTTTCACGAGTCGAACGAGTGACGTCTACTGTAGCTGTGGCACGTGCGCCCAACTTTTTGCGGGAGCTTCACCTCAGTCCAATCTTCAACCAGCAAACCAATCCAGCAAACCACCTCCCATCACGCGCGCATCTCATTAACCCTACAACATCATCTGCAAATACCGCCAAAATGGTCAAGCTCGAAGAAGTCCCCGACGAGGAGTACGAGAAGCAGCAGAACGGCCCCCAAGAAGATGAAGACGAATGGGACACAGACGACGGTAAATACCTAATCACATCCCAAACACCCCACTACCCATCCATCCATCTAACACACTCCCTACAGACTCCGAAGTCTCCGACGTCGACGACGACGACTCCCTCGACGAATCGCTCCTCGACCGCGTCTACGCCCTCAAAGACATCGTGCCCCCCACCTACCGCAAGAACCTCTCCAGCGCCGCGTCGACAGGCTACTCGTGGGTGTCGCGGGGTCTGGGCTTCAGCGGGAAGACGTTGTGGGTCGTCAGCACGAGCGCGCTGTTGCTGGGCGTGCCGTGGGCGCTGGCGTTTAGTGAGGAGCAGCAGGTGCTGGAGATGGAGAGGGAGATGAGGATGCAGCAGGGGGCGAATGAGCTTTTGACGGGCGCGGGGCAGGGGCAGACGGGGGCGAAGCCGGCGTTGTAGGTGTAAAGAGTCAAGAGATGGGTGGGGTTTTGAGGGTGGGTTGTGTAGATATGGGGGTTCTGCGCTGCGCTGCGGTGGGAAGGGGGTGATACGGCGGCGCTTTTGTATCATATTTCTCTGCTCTGAGTGGGTTATGCAAGATACCTCTGTGGAATGGAAAGAGGTGCGATCTGCCCCAAAACTTGACAACTGCGCCAAACTCTCGTCTGGCGCCAAAGTGCTCATGGAAGAAGAACCAGCGGAGCATCCTCCCAGTCAAGAACAACAACCGGTGATAGTACCTTTTTCTTCAGTGTCAAAGACACTCTTGAGAAGGAAGAAGTATTACGCCTCTCGCATTCTCATGAAGAACTCTTCGCTTCGTTCTGCTTGGCAGCCTGGCACGAACGTCGGTCAAATTAACCCATCCGACAGAACAACCTAGGAAAGTGGTAACTCACCTCCACCCTCCCCCTCAACTCCCCCTCAAGAACCTCCTCCCCACCGACCCTCCCAGCCAACCCCACCGCCCTCCCAAACCCCCTCACCTCCTCCAACCTCCGAATACTCTCCCAAAACTCCACCCCACCATCACCCCCCTCTGGATCCCTCCCCTCCAACTCCCTCAACCACCCATCAACCACCCGCTCCAACTCCGCAACCCTCTCATCATCAACCCCACTCGCACCCCCATCCCTCACCGCAAACCTCAAATCCACAACCCAATACTTCGCATCCTCCAACCTCTCCCGGATCCGCGCCCAGTCGTCTGGGCGTTCCGTGCCGGCTTTGTAGAGGAGTAGTTGGGCGCGGTGGAAGGTGGGGAGGTTGATGTGGAGGAGGAGTTCTTCGAGGGCGGCGCGGATGTCGGGTTTGGTGTTGTTGTCGTTGGATTTGAGGTTGTTGTAGGCGTGGGTGATGTCGGCGATTAGGGTGGTGAGACCTTGCAGGTCGGATTCTTGCCAGGATTGGGCGCGTTGGGTGAGTGTTTGGGGGGACATTGGGTTGGTTGCGGTTGGCTTTGTGGTGTGTCGTGGAGTTGTTTTGGTGTGGAAAATGAGGTAAGTGGAAGTGAATGCCTAGTGAATGTGTCCGGCAAGCTTGGGTCGTCACATGTCAAAGCTTAAATGTCGAATCACTTCAATTGGGAACTTTCTAAATTCAGCATCTTGAACTCTTCACGAATCCGCATCCTAAGAGGTTGAAGTCTCCAAATGTTGAAGGGGTGTAAGTTCTCAGCCAGAGCACAGTAAGAGGCCGAAACAATGAAAGGGTAGAGGTAGAGGAGTGATGAATCCGAACGGTAGCAGTCGTCTTCAAACCTCCTCCCAAAGCAGAGAACCTTTCACCTCCCTACCGCTTCAAAGTCTTCTGCTTCTCGGCACTCTCCACCACTTTCTTCTTCACCGCCAACCCCTTCCTCTCCCTCACAGCATCCACATACCTCTTCGCCACATTCTCCTTATCCGCCTTCTCGCCCAAATCCTCCAGCTCCTCCTCGGTCGTAGGCACCCAGAAAGGATCCTCCGGCAAAGCCTCAAACCCCTCAAACACAAGCTGAGGCTGCGCGAACCCAGACGTCCGTTGTCGGATCTCGTCTGAGAAGCCGAAAGATTCGGCTACGGGGAGGAGAGCGAGGATGGTGAAGTTGGTGGAAGGTTCTAGGAGAGATTCGCTGACGATGCGGCCTCGTCGACGCGTGATGACGGAGTAGACTCTGCCTAGGACTTCTGCGGATGCTTGGATCTCGCAGGAGTACATGGCGAGGAGGATGCGCGGGCTCCAGTCGAGGAAGCCTTGTCGGACGGACTCTCTGACGGTGCGAATGATTTCACCGGTGAGTCGGCCGATGTTAGCACTGGCTTCACCTTCAGAAAGCTCGGTTTGCACATCCTCGAGGAAGACTGCCACGCCTTGCATTGGCTCGTGGCAGAGAGGACCTTGGTAGGTGGCGAGCTGGAAACCATAAGCGATCTTGTCGACCAGCGTCGATACATGCTTCTCCGTTCCATTTGCGTTGTTCGTGGCAGACATCTCGGAGTCTTCTCGAAGGCTGGAAACTGGTCAGTAAAGTTCATCATCGAACGTTCAAAGCATTACTCACAATTTGCCGCAGATGTCTCCATGAGTTGCGTCAATCAATACATTTGGTCCAACTCGGCGTGGTCCGAACGATACAATCCTCTCGACAGCATCTTTCCACATCTCGCGATCCGCGTTTTCCTCAGCGAACGCCTCAGCAAGCCCCTGTTTGAACTCTGCCATTGTGAGGTGTTGTCCACCTTCTCCGGTCGTGTCTTCGTCGACTTCTTGATCGTGTGAATCAGTCGATGCCTCATCATGGTCGCGGTTTTCAGCGTTGCCAGTCAATCGCTCCTCTTCCTGCGCCTTACGCTCAGAGTATAGTCGCTTCACAGCTCCTGTGTGTTTGACGAGAAATTCCGTAACGGGAACGGGAAGAGGCCTGACTACTAGTTTGACTGTAACTTGCTTGCTCGATGTAACGCCTTCCACTCGACCTCGACCAAGGGCTGGATCTCGTGGCGGGTTCATCTCTTCAGCTTTCACGATGCCCTCACGGTAAGGTACAATGGCTTCACCGGCTTGGACGTCGCATTTGGCGAACCGTTCACGTAGATCCTTCAGACATCGCTCGAGATGCAGTTCGCCCGCAGTCAGGATGACATGTTCACCGCTTTCGAGCTGCTCATACGAGACTGCAGGGTCGGCTTGTACTAGCAATTGCAGGCCGCGCACCATCTTGTCTAGGTCTCCAGGATAAGCTGGTTCCAAGGCAACGCGCACAATGGGTGCGTTCGTGGAGATGGCGGATGTTGACGAAAGATTCGGTGCGCCTTCCAGTTGGGAGCTGATCGTGCCGTTCTTAAGGATTGCGCCTTCCAATCCAGCAATACCAACCACATTGCCCGCAGGAACTGAGCTGAGACTCTCCAAACTGCGGCCCATGAGTAGGTATAACGCCGTGATGGTGACTTTCTTTGGTTGTAGTTGGGCGTTGGGACGAGCAGGTGTGAACTTGGGCGGTAAGACGTAGACTTCATCACCCACTGTGAGTGTGCCAGAGAAGAGTCGCGCAAAGCCGATGAGATGCTCCGGATCGTCCGCCTTCTCTTCGTCTCCATTTGCTCCAATATCATCGTCGTCTCCAATAGCAGCACTGCTAAGAGCATCAGCGACAGAATCAACGCTTGCGTCTCCATTCGCCTGTGCCTGTGCTCTAGCGATTTCTGCTCGCTTTTTCCTCCCCAGTTCACGGGCTTCTTCGGCGGTCAGAGCACCACCACGTCGCTTGTTCGCGGGTAACTCGCTCTCAGGAATGGACACCATCTTGCTGACGTATGCCACAGTAGGTTCGCCAATAGTTGAATTGGAATGGATCATGGCGTCTTTCACTTTGGTTTCCAGATGTTCCGAGCCTGGTGAATGGTCCAACAGATCGGGCATCCTAGCTTCCTGAGCAGACTTCGGCGATGGTAAGCCTTCGATCACGGAGACTAGTAGAGCTGTCGAAAGTGGCAGCCAAGCTGAGAATACCGCGCTGAGGAGCGCCTTGGGGTCTCTCGATCGCATGATGTGGGCTGGGATGTTGATGTTGAGGCTTTTTGTGATCTTTTCCAGAAGTGCCTGGTCTCCCTTGTTGTTCGGTCCTCCCAACGTAGCTTCGTATACAGCCCAGATCTGCTCCAACACCAATTGAACGAACATAGGCTTTAGATGGCGCCCTTTGAGATGCTTCGATCCTAGTACTCGTTTGGTCTTCGGGTCGAGGTAGAAGTCGCCCCAGAGCACCTTTTCCAAAATACTGCGCTTGATACCAAGCTTCTTCTCGTAGAGACTTGCGAACTGTCTTGGAGTAAAGGCCCAGCCATCGATAGCAGAACTGAAGATGACATTATTCTTTTCTGGTTCAAAGTAGATGTCTTCGTCGTCCTTTTCTTCGTACTCGGCTGGCGTGTCGCTCGTGATAATTCCCTCTTCGTCTTGGTCGATGCTGTCTTTGCGCCCTTTCGCGCTGCCATCTCCATCTTGATCTTTTGCTGCCGATGCTGCAGTGACTTTCTCCTCGATACGTTCTCGCCACCGTAAGTCGTCTTCCATACGCTCACCTAAAGCAAAGCTCCCCATGACGGCGTTGACTTGTTCGAGAAGTTTTGAGAGGTGGGTATATGCTTCTCCTGGACTTAGCTTCAATTCAGTGATCAGCCGGTCCATCTTGTTGATGACCAGCAGCGGCTTCAGCTTCTCTGTCCATGTCTGCCGCAGCACAGTGACTGTCTGAGAGCAGACACCCTCAACAGCATCGACCAGCACTACAGCACCATCGCACAATCTCGAGGCTGTGGAGACTTCTGAGCTGAAGTCGATGTGTCCAGGCGAATCGATGAGATTGATGAGGTACTCCTTTTGCTCAGGCTGAGCGTCTGGTGCATTTCGTCTGAGTAACGAGAAGTACAAGGAAATGGCCGAAGACTCCATCGTAATGCCACGCAGTTGTTCATCAGGCCTGGAGTCCAGGTAGCGGATCTTGCCCGCAAGTTTGGGAGAGATAATGCCATTTGTGGCAATCAGAGCGTCTGTTAACGAGGTCTTGCCATGGTCCTGCAGGAGTCAGTACAAGTACAAGCAACACAAACACGGAGGTAGGTATGCAACATACAACGTGTGCGAGGATGCAGATCTATGCGGTACTATTAGCTGCGATCCCATCAGTATTGGAGACGGCTGAGCGAGTCAAAACGCACATTTCTGATGCCGTCGCCCTGCTGCTGGAGTTTGACCAGCTTTTCCGGCTGCACGACAGGCATGTTGGACGAGCCAGCCTCGAATTAAGTGATGGTAGTTGGGACCGTGCTGCCAGGCTGAAGGTGTAGACTTTTAAGTAATAATCGCGGTGGTCGACTCATCGTGATTGAGCTTTCTTCAAGGGCGGGCTGGCAGCTGGCTGGACGTCATTGGCTTTGCGAGACTCGAAACACGGCGGCGCTGCAGCAAGCATCTGCGGCCCTCACCCTCGCAAACCCTCCTGCCGCCGACCACCTCGTCGCAGCAGCAGCAGCCTCCATGGCCGTATAAAGCGCCGGCCGCACGCTGCAGGCGATGCGCCTCGTCCCCTGATGCTTTGGCCGCCGTCGCGTGAGGTCTCACGTGCCGCGAGTGCTGCTGGCTGCGACGTCTCGTGCCTCTCATGCCTGGTGCCGACCCCAAGAAACTCAATCTCATTTGCTGCTCGTCGATCTGGTCTGGGCGCCGTCTGATCAGGAACCCGCCCGCGACGACTTGACCTGACTGCGACCACTTCGTCCTCTAGTGTCTCACGAACGCGACACAACATGGCCGACGTGGCTCAGAACTCGCAGCGCCAGCCCAAGCCAGCGCCGTCCTCGACTCTGGCTGTTCCCACCCCGAGCCTTGCCATCCCCGATTCCGCCACTCCGGCGCAAAGAGCTCGTCAACATGGCCTGTCCCTAGACACGTTCTCTCCTGTCACGCAGTATGGCAGCTACGAGTTCGATCGCATCATCAAGAGCGGCGAAGTGCACAAGCGGACTCGAAAGACGAAGGTGCGTATGGGGTGGATCATAGACATGCGAGCCTTTGACTAAGACCAGTGGCAGTCCTGGAAACCAATATGGATGGTGCTTCGACCGAACCTGCTATCAATCTACAAAGACAAGGGCGAGGCGAGATTGAAACATCAAATCACCCTGTCTGAGCTTACTGCGGTGGCGCGGCAGAAAGATCCCAAGCGTAGAGACAAGCACATATTCGGATTGTTCTCCCCTTCGCGAAACTACCATTTGGAGGCGTCGTCGGACAAGGAGGCACACGATTGGGTGGAGTCAATACGGAGAGAGGCGAGGATGGATGAGCAAGAGGCGGAAATGTATCTGGCCAGTCCGGGCGGCGCCAATGCTCCCTGGCAGGGGTTTGAACGAAGCATAGACGCCCATATCAGTCCCTCGGCGGATGAACGGGCAGCAGGATACAGCTCTTCAGATGCAGAGGCGTTTGGGCAGTCACAACCACTTCCTAAACGAAGGGACCACGCACGTCGGAGTCCAAACAATCGAGTCACCTCGGGACTGGAATACTCTGGGGCGGAACATGGTTCCTTCTCAGACTTCTCAGATTCTGGAGGTATTGGCGCCACTGCGCGCATGTCTGCTCTGTCACTAGCCAACACCGATCCGCGACCTTCGACAAGCAGCACCCAGACACCGCAAGTAAATTCTGTCTACGGACCAGCACCCACACGACCTTCCATGGGTGCTCGCAACCCAAGTCAAATGTCCGGCATCGGTCTGGGCGGCGAAGAGCGCAAAACACCAACAGCAGCCGACGAAGAGCGGATCATCTACCACGGCTGGATCTACCTCCTGAAGTCGAGATCAGGCGTCCGACAGTGGAAGAAAGTCTGGATGGTCCTCCGGCCCAAACAACTCGCCTTCTACAAGAACGACGAAGAATACACCGCACAACTCATCCTCCCCTTCCCCAGCATCATCGACGTCGTCGAGATCGATCCCATATCCAAAAGCAAAACCGCGTGCATGCAGATCATCAGCGAGGAGCGGAATTATCGCTTCTGTGCTATGGACGAGGAGTCGCTGGCGAAATGGCTGGGTGCTTTCAAGAGCTTGCTGTCGAAGCGAAAGGCGAAGGTGGCTGGTAGTGGTGCAGCTGGCGGCGCTACGACTTGATTGATCAATGACCCCCCAAAATTTATACCCCTTTTTCGCGGACTTTGTGAGGTTGTGTCTTCTTGTCTGTACATATTTGGCGGGAATGTTACGATTACTTAGACCTTGACCTCTTTCGTCTTTTTGAAGCAGGATTTGCCATTCGTGACCAAGCCATCATACTCATCGATTCGTTTGCCCAACGTCGTTCCACAACAATACACCAACCTCCTGGGCCCAAAACTCGTTTTGACAGAGTGATGGATGCTCTCTCTGGCTTACCCATGAAATCGCTGATTGCATTCACCTCAACTCGGCATCAACATTTGCACAGGAGACTCGCGACTTCAATCAATCCTTGAACCATCTCAACATGGCAACCAACGGAGAGTCGGGGCAAGTTCGCACTGTTGTCGAGGTGGAGGAAATGTTTCATGTTGCTCCTGGCGCGTTGGGTAAATTCCTGATTTGAATGTGAGCATCGGCACTGTAGGTGGGCTGCTGAGGATATGATAGAGGTTGGATCTCTTGCGTGCGTTGGGTGGCATGGCCATGCTATGATTGTTGACGCTTTCGCGAAGATCAAGGAGACGTGAAGCGACAAGCATGTAGTCTAACGAGTACTGCTGCAGAGCTTCCCGCCAACGTGTTCAATTGAGATGCACGATTCTGAACATGTTCCTCGAACACTGCGTCCAAGTTGTCTTCCTATTATTGCACTGTGGGGGTTCCGCGAGCTCCACCCTTCGCGTAGACCGTGCCGTGAGATATCTCGTGACACCCCCAACAAAGATCCAAGCACATTTGAGGGTCGCCGCTCACAGAAGACCCCCTGCTACGCTTAGGCTTTCCTCCTGCAGCTGCATAACCCAACCCGCGTATCCGGCAACGGGCTTGCCATTTCGCCCAGCTCCACCACTTCAAAACATCTTCGCTTCGCCGACTCGCAATCTTCCTTTCCAACTGTAGGAAACCCTTTCGCGTTCTAGATGTTCTCTTCGACAAGGACATTCACCGACCCGGATCGCAGCCGAGTCGATGTTTTGCCAGTAATCGGGGCATATCCGAGTTGTGGTTTTGGCAGTGGAGTAGAATGTTCCCCGCGTGTTGCTGCTGCGAGCGAGCCGCGAAGGCGGGGCAAGCTCTTGGGTTCGGTGGAGTTGGGTTGATCAGATGGGCACTTGTGCATTCAGTGTAAATTGGCCGCGTCGGTTCGCTCGAATGTTTCTTCTTCGTTCACTTCCTCTTTTTACTTTCAAGCATTCATCCCTGCGGAGGTCCGTCCCAAATTTGCTTGTCACGAGCAAAGTTGCCATGTCTTGTATGTGCTGTTTCGATGTCCTTTTTCTTGGTGACCAGTGCCATTGACAGTCAATGCTTCCAGCTAAACACTTCATCAATGATCCCACAAAGCTTGTGGACACGGCATGCAGGAGCATAACGTATACGAACCCCAATGTCGCCTTTGACGCCAAAAACAAAGTCCTCTACCTTCGACCCGATGCCGCACCATCTCAAGTCTCGATCGTCTCAGGCGGTGGCTCTGGTCACGAGCCCTCCTTTGGCGCATTCGTTGGACCTGGCATTTTGAGTGGTGCTGTTGCTGGAACGATATTTGCTTCTCCGTCAGCAGAACAAGTTCGAAGAGCTATCTTCAGTCGTGTGGATACGAGCAAAGGCATCTTGGTAGTGGTGATGAACTACACGGGCGATGTGCTCAACTTCGGTATGGCTGTTGAGAAAGCCAAGGCGGCTCAGCTAAATTGCGAAATGGTTGTCATGGGTGATGATGTTGGTGTTGGCAGAGAAAAGGGAGGCAAAGTCGGCCGAAGAGGAATCGCAGGGACGGTCTTGATCCACAAGATTGCAGGTGCGCTGGCAGCTTCGGGTGCGAGCTTGAAAGAGGTGCACAGGGCAGCCCAAGCGGTGGCGGACAACACAGTCTCCATTGGATCATCGTTGAGCCACGTGCATGTTCCAGGTCGGGCCACGGTCGAGGGAGAAGAGGAGCTCAAGCAGGACGAGGTTGAAATCGGTATGGGCATCCATAACGAAGCAGGCGCGTCGAAAGCCAAGGCCGACCTACCCACGCTGGTCAAGACCATGCTGAAGTATTTGCTGGACCAAAATGACAAGGATCGTGCTTTCTTAAACGTGAGCAGCTCAGATGAGACCGTCCTCCTGATTAACAACCTGGGCGGTGTCTCTGTGCTCGAGCTGGGCGGCATCACGACCGAAGTCGTTGTTCAGCTGGAGAAAGATTACGGAATCAAGCCAGTCCGCATCATAGCTGGAACGTTCATGACTTCGCTAAACGGTCTTGGTTTCTCCATCTCGATCCTCAAGGTGGCCGATCTCGGTGTTGGCAAATCGCTGTTGCAGCTGCTGGACGCGCCCTCAGAAGCTGCTGGCTGGGCTGCTGCAATCAGCACGAAGACATGGTCGCAAAAACCATCGCAAAGTCGAGATACAGATGCCGGAATCGGCGGCGGCAACAAACCTTGTGGTTTCCAGTTCGACCCCAAACATGCGACGAAAGCACTGAATGACGCCCTCAATCGTCTGATGAAGGCTGAGCCGGATATCACAAGATATGACACGGTTGTTGGCGACGGTGACTGTGGTATTGGTCTCAAGCGTGGTGCAGAAGGGATCCAGAAATATATCAACGGCGCAAGCGAGCAGTCTGATGCAGCCCTGTATCTGGACAAAGTCATCGATATTGTCGAGAATACGATGGACGGCACGTCCGGCGCGCTATATGCCATCTTCTTGAACGCCCTTGCGTGGGGCCTTCGTCAACAAGGAAATGGAGGAAGCAAGCAAATCACTCCGGATGTGTGGGCTAAGGCCTTGAACACTGCGATGGAGAGCTTGGCCAAGTATACTCCAGCAAAGCCAGGGGATCGGACGTTAGTGGATGCTCTCACGCCGTTCGTCGATCAGCTCAACGCGACTGGAGATGTCCAGAAAGCGGCACAGGCAGCCGATGAAGGATCGAAGAATACGAAAGGAATGAAGGCGAGTCTTGGACGGACGGTATATGTCGGCGGAAGTGGCTTCGAGGAAGTGCCGGATCCAGGTGCGTATGGTCTTGCAGAATTCCTGTCAGGGTTGGCAGATGCTCTAAGATGATCGTTTGGACGGTTGAGTACTTTTGAGTCATTTAGCGACAAGGAAAGCGTGTACGTACTGGACAGCATAATACATGGTTTTCCATTCTTCATCGGCTGTGCCTTTGGTGCTAACTTTTCACTCATTCGTTCGAAGCCGTGAATGCGCCTTGACATAATGTAGTGTTAGCCGTGTTGGCTAAAGGTTATGGAATGATCCATACCAGGATTTCCTCGTTCGTTACATCCCAAAGGCCCTCACCGCTCCTTAACGCCGCCGCATCCAGTATCTCGATGCCTTATCGTCGCCTTGATATCGCAATCTGCTCTACACCGCTCAGCTCAAAAGGACGAGGATGACGCTGTCGCCTCGCAAGAACATCTTGCTGATGAAGCGGTCCTTATTGACCGGTCTGCCCTTCTTGCCGTCGCTCAATCTCGGGATCTCCGTCCACATCTCCTTCACATTCTCCAAGACCATGTTGCAGTGTCGGTCGAACGCCTTGACTCGGCACAAGAGCTTGCGGTTGTTGCGGCAGGAGATGAGGACTTGGGTATGTTGTCGCACAGCGGTTTGGAGGAGGGAGAGTGGGCCAGAAGTGAACTCGTGGGTCTCCAGGAGGGAGATCTCGTACTCTCTGGAATTGAATATGTTAGCATGCGACTTCCTTGGACTCATGATATGCGAAGAGACTGACGTGAGCTCGGCGCGAGGCTTTGCCAGTAGCTCCTGGATCTTGGCGTCTGCTTGATTCGCGTTCGACATGATGAGCTGTGATGTGTGTTTTCGGTGGAGTGGTGGTGATGGTCTCGATGTTTGCTTGTCGCAAAAGTCAAGTTCGGCAGCAAGCGAAGTGCTGGAGTGGCTCGAAAGCACGTGATATGTCACTAGCGCGTCCCGTCCCGACGATCGGGATCGGTTTAGAGTTCAACCTTAACGCGCGACATGAGCGCGAAGCTCGATCTATCTTCCGTCCTGACCTCTTGTCTGCTTCCTCTTCCTCGCAAACAACCACCACACTCCGCATATTGCTTGTCAGAAGCTACCCTCACCTGCCCGAAGCCTCACTACTCACCACTGTCACCTGACAACTGTTTAAGCCGGCATTTGATCCAGTCATCCGCGTCCTCATCCCGCCGACCTGCCCGCCGTCTGGACAAACACCTCCACAGTATGCTGTAGCACGCCGCAGTCCTCAGCCCGACAGACAGGAGTCTATAAAGGCTTCCGCTGTTCGAGTTCAAACTTAAACCTTTACACCAACCTCGAACGACGCCATGGATTTTGGCGATGGCGGCGATGGCGGCTCGCTCGAAGGCATACCCACGCGTCCCATGCGGGTCAAGGTCCTCTACACCTTCGATGCTGAGAATAAGACACAATGCTTGGCACGTCTTCAGGATACTATGAACATCCCCGTTGTGGCGGTCGACGAACAGTCTCAAGTCGGTGTAATAGACTTGCAGCAGTGCATCCAGGCTATGCTATCCGCGTCTCCCGAGATCCTGTCGAAACTTGAGACTGGCGACTTCACTGTCTACAACTTCGACTTCACAGAACACGATGCCCCTCTCGTCGGCCAGGGCAGGCTATCGTCGCTCCTCGACGGATCTAGTGGTCAGGGAAAGACGAACATCATCGGACGCGTTTGCAAGAATATCCAAGCTTTGTTCAGCGGTGGTGTCAAGGAGATTCTGGAAGTCAAATTCAGGTTGACACCGCTGTCAAGACCGTCCCAAGGAGAGTACGGAAGGAGTACGGAAGCCTTGCGAAGCAGTAGTCCTGCAACGTCTTCAGGCTTCGATCCAAACGCATGGAACGGTGCAATGCAGCAAAACAAGGTTACGCAGCAGTCGAACGATTACTTCAACTTTGATGCGATGGCTACTGGTGGCGACGATGGAGCAGTGTTGCTGGAAGACATGTTCGGCATGGCATCCGGCGCCACAGGGGATGTCAGCGGAATTCAGCAGCCAAGTGGTGTGGGAGTCCCAGAGACCCCGACAGACTCAGTCTTCGCATACAACCCCGCCTTTTCCGCCCAATCTCACAGCGCCCCAGGCAGCCGAGCTGGAAGCCCAATAATGCGTCCTGGATCCAGCACTCACAACGAGCAAATACGTCATCACAGCTTCTCTACACAACCTCCAAACTTCGCGGATCAAAATCGGCCCGGTTCACGTGCAAGTGTGCGAAGTGAAACTAACACCTCGCGGCAGCCTTACCCCTTTCCACCACAACCCCAACAACAGCACATCCAACCCCAGAATGAAGTACACTACAATGAAGACGGTCAACCACGCAAGCGCGCAAAGGTCATCCAAACTGATTGGCGCGGCAAATCGTCTTTTGGTAGCAAGTCAGCAGACCTTCGCGTTACTGCCGCGACAGCCTCATCAATGCACATGCACCGACCCATTGCAAAGCGATCTACTGGACCAGGAGCTGACTTGGAACCTCCACCTCGTGTGCCAACGCCTGTGCCCCAGCGCACTCTCCATCCACGCCAACGCTCACTCCAACCGGTCCCGCAGCGAAGCATGCTGAGACAGGCATCGATGGCAGACTCTGACTTTGGCTCGGATATTGAGCCGTTTTCCGATACTATGACCTCTCCTGAAGGTAGCTCTCCAGCAAATAGCATCACTGCAGATGGTACCCCTATGGACATCCCATCGTCGCCGCCTCTTGTACCTGGCTTCAATCAACCTGCTCCAAGTAGCCCTGGCTTGCCGACTTTGCCGCCTGCTCGAATGGCTGATAGTGGATACATGAGTGAGCGTGGGTTCAACAGCGGCAACGTGATGGAGAGCTTGGAAGATGATGAAAACCGCAGCCCAGATGCGGATGACATGGAGGTGGCTGCTCATTATAGATCACGCCATCACCGACAAGAGGCCTTCTTTAAGACGGAAGGATCCGTAGCGGGTGATTTGCCTTATTCTATGGACGGTCTGCCCCAGAGCGATATCGACGCCAAAAGCCACGGGTACGTTGACAACCAAATGATGCAAGAGCTCTTCGGAGAGCTCGATGACTCTGAATCAGAACGTGACTAATGGCCTGTCAGTCACAACGCAAGCACCGTCTCTGGCATTCAGAGCGCGGGTGGGTCTCAATTGCCATCTGCAACTCCACCTTGGGACAGCCAAACGCCTCAGCCAGATGCGAATGCATCAAGACGTGGTTCTCTTGCGTTGCCGTTCAAACCACCACCACGAGCGAGCTCTCAAGCCCAAGTCTCCAAAGCACCAGCGAAACCACCAAGGCAACCACTTCACCGATCCCACACGACTTCGAATGCTTCTGAAGCTGGCTCACCTGCCCCTAGCGACACTGAAGGCAAGCCTCGAGGCGCCTATCGGCAAGGGCCTCGTCGAAAAATCATCGAGCAGCGCCTCCAGGAGTCGATCGCTCGTGGTGAGTCGCCTGTATTTTGCGTACACTGTGGTGCCATTGAGACACCCACATGGCGCAAGATGTACGTCAAGGAAGTCGATGGGAAGCCTGGCCCACTGGACGAAGTTGAGGGCGAGGGCGAGACCATCGGCATCGAGAACATGGAGAAGGATGAAGATGGCGAAGTCATCAAATTCCGCATTCGCAAGAGCGTCAAGGCTAAACAAGATTCCGAATTCGTCGCCGGCTTCGAGCAGGTGATTGTCTGCAATCCATGTGGCCTCTGGTTCAAGAAATTCCGAAGCATGCGTCCCTCAGATCGATGGCACCGAAAGCCGTCTGCAAGGAAGTCCAGAAAGCCAAAGGGCGATGACAACCTCGCAACAGACGGGGCGGAGCCGCAATCAGAAGCTTTCTTCACAGATCAAATTGCTCCAGAGGACGCGGTTGAAGATAGCAATTCGGCCGACGACACTCAGAAGGATAACACTACTCTATCTCAGCGCAATTTGGCCCCACTACGACCACGTGCCAACAGCGTACAGCCGCAGCCAGCGCGCAGAACGAGTGACAACATCAACGCTGGCCAGGTACGACGGAATGCCGCGATGAGTAGGGACGTTCAGTCCAGCCCTGTCCGAACACAAGGTTCACAAGACAGTCCGATCGAGCTCGATCTGACTCCTCAACCAACTCGACGACTCCTCTTTCCTTCGCCGCGGCAGGCAGGTGAAACGAAGAGCCTTGAAGATGGTGCCAACCGCGGGTCGGCTTCTCCCAAAGCCAATGCTTCTGGTGAGAAACCTTCTCTGAAGGTTGTCGGAGTTGTTGAAGAGACCACTGTTAACGTTAATGTCTTTGAGGCTTTCACTTCAGACAAGGAGAATATGGCACCACCTCTCAACGATACCGATGATCTCTCACACCTGTTCGAGGGCTCGCCTGGCGCCCTTTTCAAGACACCGCTTCGCAAAACGCCTTCGAAGAATGCGTTCAACCCTACCAACGACCTGTTGAAGACGCCAACACAATCGAGCCGCAAGCGAAAGCCGTTAACGCCCAGCCAGAATGCTGCCAACAATGCAGACATGAACGGCGAAAGTCTCCTGACTTCGCCATCTCAATCGCGATACTTTTTACGCTCGACGCCCAGCAGGCTGGAGAGAACACCCGGCGGCCGCAGCGTCAGCGGTGGCAACCAGCTACCAGGCGACGGTATCTCTCCATTCTCTCGACATATCGCCCAGATGTTGAGTGACGCCAACGGCATGGGCGAAGCGTTCACCAGTCCCAGCCGACAGTACGACTTCAGCGACATGCCCACCTTCACGACGCCGGGGCGAGACCAGGTGGATTGGAAAGGACTGGACGAGATCTTGAATAGTGACTTTGCTAATTACGATGAAAACGGTGGACATGTGGACGGCCAGCAGTCCTAGGCAGGCAGCCTTTTGGTGTGGGTGAAGTTCACGAGACACACGAACATAGTTAAAGAGGCGGTCAGCAGTCGACACACAATGATACCCATTCTTCGATGACAACGAGCATCGCGATTACCATCCCATTCTCTCCGTCAGACCGAAGTATTGGCGTCCCTTCCTGGACGAGACGTTCCATCTGAAGGATCATAGTCCCGGTGTGGAGGAGCGCTCGCACGCGGGCGACTTTCGCTCTTCCACTTCTCAGTGTCGTCTAGGCATCTTCTTCTTCATCCTTCTCCGCCCAGTTGAGCGATACTGATGCAACCTGTTGCGCCGCATGCAGGTCGACTCGATAAACTTGTCGTATTGCGGGTAGACGGGATGGTTGACGGCGAGGAGTAAACGGCACGCGCTCCGGTGGTAGGTCAGGTATGTACGGTATATGGGCTCCTTGTCTTTCTTTCCTAAGTATCAACATTAGCGTGTCCATCCATCAGCTGCAAGAATGCGTTCGTCGATCGCCTTACTCTCTTTCCTGGACATCATCACTGCCGCAGCCGTCCCGCAATGGCCCCCTGGTGGCGGATGGGGATGGGGAGGAGGACATGGAGGCCAAGGACAACCTATCTCCACGACAGTTGATCTAGGATACTCCAAGTACGAGGGTGTAGCCCTGGAGGGCTCTGGAGTCAATCAATACCGTACGTCCTCATCATCCCCTCTCACAACATTCTTGACTGACCCCTTAATGGTTGGCATGCGCTTCGCCGCACCACCCGTAGGAGACCTTCGCTTCCGCGCCCCAAGAGACCCTCCTCGAACGAACGGAACACAGTCAGCTGCTCAGTTCCGGGCGACTTGTCTAGGCTCCTACGTTGGGTTTGGCCTCGAAGATCCGCAGGAGGATTGTTTGTTTGTGAATGTGTTTACGCCGTCGAATGCTACGACAAACTCTAAGTTGCCGGTTTGGGTAAGTGAGATGGATGTACGAAGGGTGTTTGAGGACTGTGCTGACTTTGTGGTGGGTAGTTCTATATCCAGGGAGGAGGGTATTCGGGGAACACGAATGCGAATTATAATGGGACGGAGGTTGTGATGAAGTCGGGGTATGGGGTGATTTTGGTTAATATGAACTACGTGAGTCGGTTTCCATCGATTGAGGATGGATGTAGAGGATGATAGTGATTTAATGCAGCGCGTGGGAGCCTTTGGTTTCCTGGCAAGTGAAAAGGTTCGAAGGGATGGTGATCTGAACGTTGGTCTGCTGGATCAGAGGAAGGCTATGCAGTGGGTGCAAAAATACATTCATCTGGTGAGTCTACAGGACTAGAAGTCTCAAGAGTCAAGTCGATTGATATGTCCAGTTTGGCGGCGACCCTAACCATGTCGTGATTCACGGTAAATCCCCCCAACCCAACCTCATCGACAAGGCTGCAACTAAGACCACCACCACCAGGAGCAAGTGCCGGCGCCGGCTCCATCGCCTACCACCTGACAGCCTACAACGGCCGCAACGAAAACCTCTTCGCCGGCGCCATCAGCGAAAGCACCTTCTTCCCCACGCACCGCACCGTCCCCGAAATGGAATTCCAATTCGCCCGCTTCGCCCACAACGTCTCCTGCCCCAACGACGCCAACGTAATGCCCTGCCTGCGCTCCAAAGACCTCGCCACCCTCCAATCCGCAGACTACTACCAACCCTTCCCCGGCCGCCAAAACGCCCCAGATTGGTACTTCCTCCCGGTGGTCGACGGAACTTTCTCCCCGGACTTGCTCTACAACCTTCTCGCGCAGGGCCGCTTCGTCAAAGTCCCCCTCCTCACAGGCCACGACACCGACGAGGGAAACGGCTTTGCCGCCAACGCCGCCACGAATGCCGATTTCCTCTCCTTCCTGCTGGACAACTACCCCAACCTGACCCCCGCCCAAATCGGCCGTATCAACGCAACCTACCCCCTCCTCCCGCCCCTGCCCCTCCACGCCGAATGGTTCCCCTCCGCCGCCGCAGCCTACGGCGACTCGACCTTCAAATGCCCCTCCAACTACCTCGCCTCGACCATGTCCGCCTACTTCTCCCCTAACCGAGTCTGGAACTACCACTACAACGTCCTCGACCTCACCGACCAAGCCTTCGGCTCAGCCGTCCCGCACACGGCGGAAACGCCGGCCATTTTCGGGCCGGGGAGTGTCGATTGTGGGGATTGTTCGTATACGACGTATAATGCTCCGATTGTGCCGGTTGTGATGAGTTACTTCATTTCTTTTGTGAGGGATTTGGATCCGAATCCGGGGAGGTTGGAGGGGAGTCCGTATTGGGGGAGTTTTGGGAGGGGAGCGGGGCGGAGGTTGAGGGTTGAGATTAATGGGACGGGGATGGAGGGGGTCGGAGAGGATCAGAGGAGGAAGTGTGAGATGTGGAGGGGGTTTGCGCAGACGATGGAGCAGTAGATGTAGGTTTCATCGATTACAATACTCGTTTCAATTTCTGACAGAAGTCCGTCTCTGGGTATCAAACTATTTCGAACAGCAAGAGATAGCACGCCAAACGCCCAGCGCTTGATGTATCTCCCGAAAACCAATGGCCTTCGTGTCGATTCAAAACAATCTCAATCTCAAATTATCGCCGCACTTGACCCGTCTCCTGACGACGAGCCTCCCGCATCTCATTCTGTGGTCTTTGCTCTCGCCTGCTACCCTGCTTGACGCTAGAGAACCACCCGCCTCCGCCTCGCCGATCTTCAGGAGCTCGCGTGGGTCTGGGTTCTTGTACACGACCGGAGGCCTGACGTTCGGCAGCACGGATGCGTTCTTCTTCCTCATCGCTGAAGTCTTCGAATGCAGTGGCAGGTGGTGGGTCTTGAGGTGCGTAGATGCCCGATTGTCGGTTTTGTCGACGCTTCTCCTTATCTACACCAACGAGGTCTCGCTCGTCTGGATGCAAGTTCCTAGGCTTGTACTTCTTGTCGAGCGTGACTTCCAGTAGGCGAAGGTTCTTGGTGTTGCACTTGAATGCCGCGTCTGCCAGGTCGCCAATGAGGGGAACCAGCCCAACAATGAAGTCCAGGGCGATGTTGATCAACATACGCAGCTTGATCGAGTTGTCCAGCCCTCCTTCGACTTGCATTGCCTTTTTCATGACCAGCAGAGCGAAGAACACCCCAATACCGTCCCCGGCCACTGGAATAAGTCCAATCACGGCCTCCCACCCGAATCGTATGCCCAAGAAGTTGAAGAGACACATGTCGAGGCGGTAGGCTTTGCGACGGACAGAGGCGAGTATCATGGCGTCGTGCTCGGGGATGTAGGCTGGAATCTGCTTCTTGACTTTCTTGAGCTTGCCAGGTCGCTTGGGATCTTCGACCATGGCAAAGTACGGATCCTGTAGGAACCTGTCAGTTGCGTTGGCTTCAAAGGTACGGCATTTGGGACTCACATCGCCGGTCTCGACTTTCTTTCCTTCGTACCCCTTCATCTGTTTCTTGAGGAACTTGTTCGCTGCATACTTTCCAACGACCTGCGCCATTTCTGCTGAGTTGCCGAGTTGATAGTTTTTGTGATGGAGGGGGATCCAGCAAGATAGACGGTGGCAGCAAGCGTATATAAGCAAACAGCGTGCTATTGAATGCGGTCAATTGATTGGAATCTGGCACGCGCGTGCCACTTGGGCCTGAAACGTCTCAGCAAGCGCGACGGCAGGATTGCAAGAATAGATGGCCGAGCGCCTGAGATTTCAGAAAAGCGCGGTGCGGTCTGAAGCAGTTTGTTTGGGTGAGGGGTGATTGAACAGGCGGCGGGTGTGGCCAGTAAACAAATGGATTTTATATTTCCTGCGTCGCATGGGATCGACGGGCAGGTGCGACATCTTGTTTCCAAGCTTCTTCATCCCTCCGTCATCGATGCGGAATGCCATTGGCGCATCGATCTCGCTCTCTAGCCACAGTGGCGGTGCTCGTGTCAAGAAAGGGATGGAGGGAAAGTCAATCGATGGGTGAGGCGCCGGGTGGGTGAAGGCCGTGTGGCTGTGTGCAGCTCCAGACCGCGGGCTCAGCTGTCCTGCTGCTGTAGGAGGTATCATACGTGTCCGGGTCATGTGCTCTCGCTCCCGAATTGCATTGCTGTAGCATTGCGGAAGTCATCGGCGTTGGCGTGGAGGGTAATCGAAGAAGAACGATGTCTGCGGTGAGAGTGTGCTGAACGGAGCCTTCTCCTTGAGTCTCCTGTCGCTGCCGGCACTAGCCGCGCAAGCTGACCACAGCTTGCGACTGCATCTCTGGGCGCCGCCTGCACTCCAACCTCCTGGACACTGAACCCGCACATCTGGAAGAGTAGCGATATTACTGGACATGAAGGCATGGGTGCAGCTGGCCGTGCTGCTGCTATGGCAGCTCATCGGTGTGCATGCGGTGGAGATGCAGATTGTACGTTGCGGAACAGCTGGAACACCAGGCATACATGCTAAGATCGTCAACAGGACCAGAAGGAGAGCAATCGACAAATATGTTCCGGAATGTACTCGCGGAAATCATGGGGCGGCGAGATCGATCCCTTCATCCTCGTCAAGTTCGTCAAGCCCAACGACCTGCCCGAGAACGAAGACCCGATTGTCAGCTTGGTAATCTTCGAGTGGAGGGATAGACCTCTTATCGGGAACGAGGACGACCCTGCGGATCCACAATACCTGTGCGATGAAGGTGCCAAGAGCAAAGGCCTGTGTTCGGACGGCGATCTGGGCAAGTTCGTGATCGCGTCGAATGCGACTGAGAAGTCCAAATCCCTCATCCGGACGGAAGCGATTCATTTGAAAGAGCCTGGTGCAATCAACTACCCGGTCAAGCGGACTGGGTACTACTGCGTGAGCACAGCCGCTTATGCGCAGGACGTGTTCCCATATACCGGAGTGGTCGAGTTCAGGAATGCGTTTGGTGAGCTTCCTGCTGCTCAGATCGCCAAGCTTCCATTCTATGCGGCTATCACTATAGTCTACGCTTTCGTAGCCATGGGATGGGGTGTGTTGTACTGGATGAACCGACGGGACATCTTGCCGGTCCAGAACTACATCACCGCGATTCTGGTCTTCCTGGTGATTGAAATGTTCATGACCTGGTTGTTCTACGACTACCAGAACCGACACGGACTGAACGCTGGAGCAAAGGCGCTGCTTGTGGTGGTCTCAATCTTGAGCGCAGCAAGAAACAGCTTCTCCTTCTTCCTGTTGCTTATTGTCTGCATGGGCTACGGTGTGGTCAAGCCAACGCTGGGCAAGACCATGTGGTATGTACGAGCGCTGGCTATCACTCACTTCGTCTTTGGAGTTGTCTACGCCATCGCATCTCTGGCAGTCACGCCAGAGAATGCGGGACCTCTGGTACTGCTGGTCGTCCTCCCCCTCGCGGGAACCTTGACAGGCTTCTATATCTGGACGCTTAACAGCCTCAACTACACCATGAAGGATCTCATGGAGCGAAAGCAGACCATCAAGGCGGCGATGTACCGGAAGCTATGGTGGTGCATCCTGATCAGCATTGTTGTCATTTTTGTATTCTTCTTCGTCAACAGCTGGACGTTTGCCGGACAGAGCGGAACAGACTTTGTACCCAACCACTGGCAGAGCAGGTGGTTCATCTTGGATGGATGGTTGAACTTGGTCTACTTTTTCGATGTTGCGTTTATTGCGTACGTCTGGCGGCCGACGCCGAACAACAGGAGATTCGCCATGTCTGATGAGGTTCGTCTTAAACATCCTCTCGCGAACCCTCTTACTGACAGCTCTTTCAGATTGCCCAAGATGATGACGGGTTCGAGATCGCCTCCATTCGAGACTCGATGGACATGGACGACGATCTTGAAACTGGTGGACTTGGTGGCAGCAAGGCTCCACCGCGCTACGACGGGCCACGAGAAGGCTCGGGCTCTTCAGCAAACAGAGACGCGTCTCCTCTGCCTGCCCCGATACCGACCAAACCCACGCCTCTCCCACGAGAGTCGCTCGATGGCGAAACCATCTTCGCGGTTGAAGGCTCCGACGACGAGGATGATGAAATTGGCGAGAGCAAGCGGCTGACTGGAAAGTCTGATTGAATGTATTACTAAAGATAGCGTGAAAGCGGTTGTACTCCATTTATTAAAAACCAACTTTTGCACGGTGGCTTTCTACATGTCTCATATTCATTGTGTAGAACTTTTCTCAGAGAGCCGAGCAGACAACCGCGGACAAGATCTACGGGATTGGACAATGTACATTGTCATGGTAAAGCGTTTGCCTTCCTTACTTGCATTATCCTTGTGTCTCGAGGAGAGAGGTCCTTCTTTATCCCCATGCACTTCCAGCCCCTTCGAATCACCACGGTCTCTGTCCAGCATATCACATAAACACAACGCATCCCTCTCACACTCCATGCCCTCTACCCTTTCCCCCCAAATCTCCCTCGCACCCACCTTAGAAGAAGAAAATCCTCAACATGTCATCAACACACTTCATCCCCAAAATCCCCCCCTCAATCCACAACCCCACCCAAACCCCCACCCTCCTCTACTTCCTCGCAAAACACCACACCAACGAAGAAATCTTCATCGGCCTCATCGCCCTGGAAGAACGATACACTCCCGTCCGCTGCGTCGATGATGTGTTTAACGAGATTCGGGATTCGATTCGGGCGGTTGCGAGAGGGGAGGGGAGGACGGACGATGAGATGGCAAATGATTTGTTGAAAGCACAGAGCGAGAATGGGGTTATTTTGAGGAACAGGGAGCAGGTGAAGGGGGATCGGTTTGGGAGGATGGGGAGGAGGGGGACGTCTGCGAATGAGCAGAGGGGGGTTGCGTGGGGGATTCTGGGGGAGTGTAGGGGTCTTGAGGGGCGGGGTGGTGTTGAGCAGCGAGGGGACGTAGAGATGAAGCCGACCGTAGATGTTCAGCAGGCGCCATGTCGAGATGCAGGGAAGTCGATCCGTGAGAGGATGTCATTGAAGCATATCTTGAAGTGATCGCGCAGTCTTTTTCTTTCTCCTTTCTGCTCGATCTGATAAAGCGCAGTGGGCAAGGTATTGATCAAACATGCGCCCACCCATTCCAAATCAGCACCTGCATCTCATTAATCAAACAAAACACGCCCCTCTCCTCATTCCTCTCGCCCCTCTTCCTCCACATCCCCACCCGTCCCTGCACGACTTGCTCCTTGAAATACGGCGTCGTGATCCACCTCAGAATCCTATTCGTCCAAGCGCCCAACGCAATCTCATACGACGAGATCCACGGCGATGTCTGGAACGAGTGCACAGCTTCATAAGCCGGTCCACTGTATCCGACGCGCACGTTGGGGTTGAGCCAGACGCCTTTGGTGGGCGAGAGGGGGTTGTCGGCGTGGATGAGGCAGCATTCGGAGCCTTCGAGGTGGGAGAGCGCGAGGCTGTCCGGGACGCCCCTGAAGGCTAAGCGGTTCTCTGAGTAGAAGGGTGCGGCGTCCATGGCGACGATACCGTTCCAGCAGCTCGTGACAGGGACAGGTAGGCTGGCCTTGACGGCGTGGCGAGACGTCCGCGCTCGGAAAAAAGGCCACCGCTGCGTGAGCTGATCATGCCATTCCGCGTCCCTCAATGCAAACGTGTCGTAGAACGAAGACCCATGCTTGAAATCCAATGAGCAAGCCGCCGCATACTGCCCCTCCCTCGTCGCCAGCAAATTCCTCACGTCCCAATTGTTAAACACCACATCATTCAAAAACAAGACCTTATCAAACTTCAACCCACCCTTCTGCAACTCGTACAACGGCTCCATAACCAAATTCCTCAACTTCGCAAGATACGGTATCCGTCTCAACTCGACCTGTCCCCTCGGCGTCCGGATCCAGCCCGTTTCCGCCTCAGCAGGAGTTCGAGTCACCTCGTCAAAATGAGTCGTATTATCCAAAACAATCCTCCTCGAAACCCCCGCCTCCTGCAATCGTCCATCCAACTCCCTCAACGCGCCTTTCGAATCGTCAAAACTCCCGCTCTCTTGTACGCTCACGTAGACATTCTCGCGGCCGATCTCTTTCGCTAGGTCGACGACGGCTCGATTCCAATGGCTTCGCAAGATGGCTTCGTTGTTCCAGTGGATGCTCGCTATGAAGATCTTCTCTTTGCCCAGGGCGGGTGGTTGCTGTGAGGCTTCGCGGACGAGGGCCGTGCGGACGTAGAGCACTTCGATGGCAGTCCAGGCTAGGAGGAGGATTCCGACGATTTGGAGACAGCGTTGGAGTAGGGGGCTGCGTTTGCGGATCCTGGGTTTCATTGGGTCGTGAGGTGGAGAGGATAGCGAGTGTCGCGAAGTTGGGTGGATGCTATCGAGGACCGGGACATCGAATGGATTGGTAATGAATGACGATGCGATGTCGATGCACTCGGCATATCAGGCAGGGGGTATGTATACAGCTGACCGATGCCAGGACAGCATGGTGGTGCAAAAGACTGTCAGTGAAGTGAACTTGAGAGACAAGACTGACGACATGTGGTTCGACTTGGCAAGGGTCCACCTTGAAGGCTTGGGGTAATTTGGGGAACGCGAGCATGGAGAGGAGAGAGCTCCGCTCCAATCAAATTTCTCGTATCACCGCGCAGACGAACTTCAAGTTCACCTCGTCGTTTGTCCTCAGGGCAACATCTCAACTTCTTCTCAATCATGCATGGGCCCAAGCAATGAGTCCGTAACTAACATGTCCGACTGACTATGGCCTCTCGGAGGGACACCGACTGTAATAGAGTCACCACCGGCCAACTCCCGGTCCTCGACCCAGCGCGACCCGCGCGCCACGAACCTCGTAAAGCTAACCGAACCTTCACGACAACCATCCAACTTACACAGCACCCTCTTCCAACCCAGGTGAGGCTGAGGTTCCCCCAAACGGAATGCAGCGCGAGACGTGCCAACGATGGGTTTGAGCGATGTGTGAGGGTGACGTACGCTTCATCGCCAGCCAACATGTATAATAAGGACAGGGGAGAATTGCAGAAGATGGGTGCTAGATCCAGTTGAACGCGACATCTTTCAAGAAGCCACACAATGGCGATCAATCAAGTCCAAACGAGAGCCGGTCCAGTCGAAGCCGAAGTGACGGGGACCGGCATACCAATCCTCATCCTGCACGGCAGTCCGGGAGGCATCGATGCCGCGCGAACCATGAGCCACTTCCTCGACAAGCATGTGTTTCAATGCATCTGCTTGTCACGTCCTGGATATCTTAATACGTCACTCTCGCGAACCCACCGATCCATCGACGACGAAGCAGATCTCGTAGCAGCACTTCTCGATGCCTTGCAAATACCACGCGTTGGCGTACTTGCCTGGTCCGGTGGCGGTGGAGTCGCATACCAGCTAGCTGCCCGACATCCACAACGTGTTTTCGCTATGGTTGCGATCGCGGCAGTGAGCAAGGCGTGGATTGCACCTAAGACGCCTCTAGCGGAACGCGTCATGTTCGGCACGAAGTTTGGGGCCAAGGTGGTCGACTTCATGTCCGCAAAGGTCCCCGAGCACGTGGTCCAAGGAGCGTTGGAAGGAGAAGGTTCCCTCCGCGGCGAGGAGCTCGAGACGCTGGCGAAGCAAGTAATGGAGGATCCGGCGCAGCGACAGGTCGTGCTGGAAATGGCGTCGACGGTGAACGTGGGCGGTCCGCGGAAGGAAGGATGGCTGAATGATGTGAAGAACTTCGCGGCGATCAAAAGTCTTGGGCTCGAGCAAGTCCAATGTCCAGTCCTCCTCGTCCACGGTGATGCCGACACGGATGCTGTTCCGAGCTATAGCGAAGACGCTCATGCCAGGTTACCGCTCAGCATCCTGGTGATGATGCCCAGAGGTACGCATCTTTGCTTCTATGCGCACCCACAGGCCCGCGAGGTCCAAGCGCAGGCGACGAAATTCTTCTGGGATCATGCACAGCGTCCTTGAATTGTGCCCGTGGTCGGCACGAGCAAGTTGATGAGACAGAACACGATTGCATGCTCAATCCCCTCGCGTACGGCGGTTCACAAGGTCGTTAGACGCCGAAGGGTGCGAAAATATACCGATGGGTGTCGCGCAGAGGTTCTGATGAGCGATTCGAGTCGTAATAGCAGCACGCGATGAAGCCAGGCAAGGAGGGAATCACGGGTTGGTGAAGCTGGAGAGGCCATGGTCGCTGCACATTGTTTGATACACATTAGCATAGCGACTCTCTACCCCTCAAAAAACGATACACCACCAATGTTCCTCCCATCGTCCCTCGAACCCGCGTGCACACAACCTCAAACCAACGTTCGATGAGGGGTAAGGGTTTCGGAGAGATATATGCCTCTGGATTAGGTGTGCCGAAGTTGCGGCGAAATGTTTCTTTAGCAGGCGGCGCTAGGCTGCGGAGGGAAGGAGTAAAGTTTCGTACGTCTGGCCTCGTCCGAGTCTCAGCTCCAATGGTCCTTCTTGGATGGAATCGTGCGGCTACCATTTCAAGAAGTCAGAGAGTGTAGTGCTTTGAGAGGTAGGTTTGGGACTGACTTGAGAAGCGTAGTGGACCACAGATGATAGCTTTTACTGGCACTACCATCGTCTTGTTCGATGGTCCTCGATCGTTCAACGTGCCTCCTCCTTGCATCTCACTTTGACTTCTTCGCCGAATCTCCACGCATGACCTTCCTCCGCTGAGCCATCATATGCGTATACAGAATATACGCGCCTATAAAAACCATTAGCACCTCCACCACAGCTTCTCGGAAGATTTGCTTGTACTCACCAGGCACATAGACGAAAAGCACCAACTTCAACACCCACTCATACGCCAAATTCCAGGTCCTCGCCGGCTCAATCGCCTTCCAAACCAGCCAACACTCACTGCTGATCCCCAATGGATACAGCACAAAAAACGTATTATACCTCAACCACGTCAAGAACCCCGGCACTTTCCCATACAGCAAGTTGAGGGCGAAGTAGCTGTACCGAATCACCTCCGTCACGCTCCACGCGATGAGCATGCTGGAGTAGAAGGGGCTGCTGCGCGCAGTGGTGTTGGGGAAGTTGTGCACGATGCCCCAGACGAGGAGGAAGCGAGAGGCGACCTGCATGAGGGTTGTGAAGAGGGGCGCGCGGACGAGACCTATGAGAAACAGACATACTTAGCTTCTGGACGGTTTGCACGAACATGTTTGCTTGTGATCTGGTTTTACCTATCGCAGCATGCAGCACCTCCAATGCAGCCAGCGTTTGTGTCCATTTCGTGAACTCCCCAGTGCCGAGATACACTGCTTGGTATCCATGGAGTGCCAATATCAAGACGACTCTTCCCAGAACCACCGACCAGAGTAATGCGGAGACGGAGTTGTAGAGGATCAGGTATCCAGCTTTTGCTCCTGAAGGCGCGCTCTTCTTTCGCGATTGCGTATCAGCTTGCTGAGGAGGTTTCTGCGAGTCGTTTGGCCGGTCCATGGTGATCTGAGTTCGGTGTTGTATATGGCTCGCGAGAGAGGTCATCGAGAAATGTCAAATGAAGTGAAAGTGGAAGTGGATCCCCTGCATTCGGGCCGAGCCCCAATCAGCCGAACCGATCCCTGCATGCCATTGAAATATTGACGTAGCCCGAGGAAGAAGTGTACGCGATCTTGAGAACCATTGTTGTGTGTACCGCCATGGTTTTCAACGAAGTGTTCGTACTGAAAGAATCGTCATGCTCTGAGTAGAGCAAACTTAATCATAGCCAACCCCGTGCTCAAGCCTCATGATGCTCTCCAGCCCGAGCATTTCATTTCCAGACCCTGCATCCATCATCCTTCCTACTCGCTCGAGTTCGTCTCGTCTGTGCCCTGCAGACCGTGGAATGACCTCTTCACTGGACTTTCCTAACCACCAAAGAAGACGCGAACCATCGACTTGCTCGAGGCTGATTCGTTGCATCCATCTACCACGCACTGCTTGAACGGCGCTGGCGCATCAATGACTGCAGCTTTGCCTTTGCCCTTCTTCACTCCCTTCGAGCTGCTCTTGTGTCGATTCTCGGCGCAATCACCACAGTACACCTATATCTTTGTTAGCTTTGAAACCAGTCTGACCGAGGAAATTGAAGACTTACATGACCGCATTTCTTGATGACCCAGACTTCTTGTTTCTTTTCCGTCTCACCAATGGCGAGCTCATCGCCGCAATTTGGACAGACCACCACTTCATCTTCTCCAGGATTCCGAGTGAAGCCTTCTGCTGGTGGTTCAGGAGGCTCGTACTTTGGCGTCGGAGGCTGGTTTCCCCCAAACCCCATGTCGAATCCAGTCATGTCGTAGTCCATCAGTGGCACCACGCCACCAAAACGGGGAGGAGGTTGCTGTGCAAAGCGGAGATGTTGCTGGTGGTTGTGCTGGTGCCGGTGGCTGTTTGCTCCTGCCACATGGGCCTGCTCGAGAAACGGAGGTTCACGTGCCATGCCGTCCAAAGCACCGCCGAAGTTGCTGAGGCGCTGAAGAAGCCTACTCCCAGTTTGCAGCACTCCAGTGAAGTCGAAAGCGCGGTCAGCGGTGCTCCTAGTGCCCACGCCGCCTGTGGCACCAGGGCTGGCGAGGTTGACTCCCTGTGGCCGAGTTCGGGTATCCACGTGCACCACATCGTCGTCGTCTTCAGTCAGGTCGATTGTGTCGTGAATGCCCGTAGGATATGGTGTGACGCTGCGTTGCGTCGGCGCAGCAGGTGTGTGAGATCGACTTGTAGTCTGTGGACGGGATCGTGGACGAGATTCGACGAACTCGAGGTCGTCCATGTTCGGGGTGTCTGTGTTGTGTCTTGGTGGCCGTCGTAGAAGGGAGATGCGAGGGTGATGATCGCGGGGGTTGCGATGGCCGGGCGGCGGCAGGAAGTCGGTGATGTTTGGGCGTGAAGATGTCGCTGCAGTGTGCTCCTCCTCTGCGTCACTGGTCATGTCGATGATGTTTCGCCCGTAGCGTGGAAGTCGCTGGGCACGTGAGGAACCAGCTGTGGCCGTCGCTGCGGACTCAGAAGGTGCTGGTGCATTTGCGTCCTGAGAATCATCCTCCTCCGTGAGGTCAATAACCATGGCTGGATTCCGACCCGTAGCCGTGTTGGACCCTCCTCCTTCAGACATGACTGGACTCCTGAAATCGTATCCGTCTCCTGCAAAGCGTGGAGCTCGTGGGGGAAGTGCAGGCCTGTTCGGCTGAGCTCGTTGTGATGGGTGGCCGTTGTTGTAGTGGGCGTCTTCAGGGACGAAGAGCGGGTCGGGTGAAGTGCTGCGGTTGGTGTTTGCCATTGTGCTGAAGTCTCGCTGTGAAGTAATAGTCAGCACATGAACTGCTGACGAAGATGTTGCGAGTGAATTGGAAGCGGGTGGTCGTCGCTCACCTTGATAGACTGTCGCCGGAGGAAAGGGCAAGTCGTCGATGCCGCTCTCTCACGTTCCATCTTCCGCCTTGAGCTCGCGGCTCGTGAAATGCCTAGGAACTGAATCAGACCGTGAGTCTCCTTCAGTCAGGCAGTGCAGCAGGCGGGCGACGTGGGTTGTTGTGTGTGTGAGGTGTGGAGAAAGGAAGCAAGAGACGAGCCCAAGTGAAGTGGCGCTTGGGTGTGGTGGAGGAGGTCCAGTTTGGCGTGCCGCCGATTTGTCGACCGAGCCCGTCAGCGACAACAAAGCACCCACCATTCACTACATGTACCTCTGCAACATGACTATTTCACTTTCTGATAGTAACTTGTCACGATTCTCTTCTCGAGGTTTGCCTTTGAATCCGTGAACATTTGGTAAGAGGTGGCAAGTCATCTTCTTAAGTCCGAAGACCAGTGCTACCCTACAGCCGACCCATGAAAGTCACAGGTTTTGTCCATACTCCTCGCGCCCTTTCTTCGGCTTTCATATGCTACAAGCTCCTTTTTGACGCCTGAACGCCCTGCACAATACACCATGCCCTTCTACGAGCTCAGAACACTAACAGCGCCCTCACCCGTGAGCGCAACCAAAGCCTTCCCCTTTGCACCCCACTTTACGTCTGCCGCGTTGAGCGCCTTGCGGAGTGGTTCGGACCACGACTTGGAGCTCTTTGAATACTGATTCACAACAACAGCTCCAGGTCCGCAAGCTGCCAGGAACTGTCCAGTATAGTCCCAGGAGATGCCAGATACAGACGTTCCGATGTCGATGGTCTTGAGTGCGTTCAATTTCCGAAGATCCCACACCGTGAGCATGTTCTGCCCTTGATTTGCCGATGCCAACCAGGTTCCATTCTCGGAGAATGTGAGCGCCACGATCGGAGTCGTTGCTGCGGGAGCAGGGAATGTGTGTGCCAGTTGCGAGGTTCGGATATCGTAGAGCCGGACCGAACCATCTGCGCCGCCGATTGCAAAAAGGTGGCCGTCGGGGTGGAAGGCGACGGTCGTCAATTCTGAGAGAAGTTAGCCCGTGCTACAGATATTTCGAGTCGATAAAAAGCTTACCGATATCACCAAACACTTGCGTCGCAACCTTGGAGGACGCGAGATCGTAAACAACATAGCTCTTGTCGTAGCCAACCGACACAAGCACCTCGCCGCTGGGATGAGAAGCCACAGCAGTCGCAGCTCCGGCATGCTGTTGGAATTTGGCTTGCACTGCACCCTCCTGGGCAACAGCAACAACACCAGTGGATGTAGACACTGCCTGCTTGTCGTTGCACCAAGTACCACCCAGAATCGCCCCAGCGCCGAGGTTGCTTCTCGTAGTAAAGGCGCCTTGTTGGAGATCGTAGATACCGATAGTGCCATCAGAGTCACCGCACAGGAAGAAGTCGCCAGTCTGATCTGCTGCCAGGGTCTTCGCTCCGGTGAACTGGCTGTCGACAGATGATTTGACGTCGAAAGTCTGAATCTCGTCCGCAGTGGCCCAATCCTCTGGCACAGGTCGCTTGCGACGGGTGCTGGAGAGTCGCTCTTGTGTCTCTGTGATCTTCGCGACAACGTCGTCCGACAGAGGCTGGCCATCCACATCCATGGCATCTCCATTTGTTCCATTCACGCCGTTGGCGCCTCCGCTGACTGAAACTCGCGAAAGAGCATCACGAGCCTCGTCCCTCTCCTTTTGCAAGCGTGCAATCACCCTCTGCGCCGAGTCATTGTAGTACAGTGCAGTGCTCAGCTCCTGTCTCGTCTCTGCAAGCTGTTGCTTGAGCTGGTAGGTCTCCAGGATGAGCGCATCCCATTCGTTCTGGAAGGTGGAAAGGAGAGCAGGAATCGAAGTGAGAGTCGGTGGTCGCGGCTTGACAACACGCGCTTGCTTGAGGTCGATCAGGTCGTCGGTAGAGAGCTCTTCGCCGTTGACAGGGTCGGTGCCGTGCTCAGAGATGTAAGTCTCTATCAACCGCCTCTCAAACACATTGCCTATACCTACAGTGAGCCCTCGTCTTTCATGTGCAGCTTTCGCGTTTCAGTCACCCACCGGACTTCTTCGATGCGACGGGCTCTTGCGGAGCTTCACCGCTGACTGATTCGAAAGTCAGTGTCGATCAATGAATCTGCATATGTATTGACTCACTTGCGCACAGCATTCTGGCGGATCTGTGGACGATTGGCTGGTGTTAATGCGATTGAAGTGGTCGTAGGGAATTCTTCGCAGCATGTCTGCTAGCGGCAGCGGCTGGTCCCGTTCACAAGCCTCAAGCCACCAGCCTCTGTCACACACAGAGTCTCAGCACAGAAGCACGGATTCCGTCTTCTCTCAACGTGACAAGCCACAACGGGGTTTCTGCGCCTTTACTCTGGAGTCCATCTTCTCCAGCCTACGTATTAGTGGATCGAATTACATCAATATAGCCACCGCCCGCTCCATCCCTTCGCTGTGTTTCTGTCGCAGATGTGATGCTGGCCGCAGTGAGGCCGACGCCCCCAATCAATCACGCTGCTTCCATTGTAACGCAGTCGTAGCACACCGCTAGCCACCGTCCGCAGGCCTTCGTTCGCTCCCAGCACGTTGCATAAGGCTGACGAGCTCTGCACGGGCAATTTCGGACCTGGCCAGCGCTGGTGGGGTGTGAAGCTGCTGAGGAGGGGTTCCAGTTTCTTTCGTCATGTCCAAAGCGAAGCCATTCTCATTTTTTCCTCCTCAAAACCACCACTCCTCCAGCTCACACTTGCTCTGCAGCTTCAACTTTCTTAAACTCCATCAAGGTCGCCCTTTACAGTACCCAAGTAACACTTACTCAGCAACAGCACAACCACCGCAATGGCTCCTGCAGTTCTCAAGAAGTCGGGCGTCGTCTACGGCGGTGGGTACTTGCGCGAGTTTCGGCGGCCATTGAGGTTCGATACACTGACTGCTGCCTCTGCCAGATGATGTCAAGGACCTCTTCAAGTACGCCCAGGAGAAGCAGTTCGCCATCCCCGCGATCAATGTCACTTCTTCCTCCACCGTCGTAGCATCGCTCGAGGCCGCTCGCGATAACAAGGCCCCTCTCATCCTCCAGGTCTCTCAGGGCGGTGCCGCCTACTTCGCCGGCAAGGGCGTCGACAACAAGACCCAGGGCGCCTCCATCGCCGGTGCCGTTGCCGCTGCCCACTACATCCGTGCCGTTGCCCCAGCCTACGGCATCCCAGTCGTTCTCCACACCGACCACTGCGCCAAGAAGCTTCTGCCATGGTTGGATGGTATGCTCGATGCTGACGAGAAGTTTTTCAAGGAGACCGGTGTGCCGCTTTTCTCTTCGCACATGATCGATCTGTCGGAAGAGCCAGTCAAGGAGAACATTGAGACCACCGCCGCCTACCTCAAGCGCGCTGCGCCCATGAAGCAATGGCTCGAGATGGAGATCGGTATCACTGGTGGTGAGGAGGACGGTGTCAACAACGAGTCTGTTGACAACAACTCTCTCTACACCCAGCCAGAGGACATCTACGACATCTACAAGGCCCTCTCCCCCATCTCCCCATACTTCTCGATCGCCGCCGGTTTCGGCAACGTCCACGGTGTCTACAAGCCAGGCAACGTCAAGCTCCGACCAGAGCTCCTCCAGAAGCACCAGAAGTACGTGCAGGAGAAGGAGGGCACCAAGGATGAGAAGCCAGTCTTCCTCGTCTTCCACGGTGGCTCTGGCTCCAGCAAGCAGGACTACCTCGACGCCATCAGCTACGGTGTGTGCAAGGTCAACCTCGACACCGATCTCCAGTACGCCTACACCGAGGGTATCCGTGACTACATGATCAACAAGAAGGACTACGTCAGCTCGCAAGTCGGCAACCCAGACGGCGAGGACAAGCCAAACAAGAAGTGAGTCACATCACACAGAAGTTCGGGATAAGATTTCCAACTAACACATCGCCAGGTACTACGACCCAAGAGTGTGGGTGCGCGAGGGTGAGAAGACCATGAGCAAGCGTGTCGCCGTCGCCCTCCAGGACTTCAACACCGCCAACCAGCTGTAAAGTCTCGAAAGAAGTTGTTGTATCGAGCGAGGCGTTGAAGAAGCAGAGGTGAAGATATCAATGGACAGGCAGGTGTTGAGGAGAGATGAGGAAGAGGTTGCTACTTGATGATGTTCAATGACCAGATTGCATTCCCAAACCACAAATGAGTATGAGGAAATGAAAGTGATCAGTACCCTAGAGTGTACATATCCGAGCTTGAATTGGCCTTTCTTGACAATCACATTCTGTTGCTTTCCATGCTTGAGCCATCATACCACTATCATTCCGACTCTGCCCGACAACCTCCTTTTCCTGGACTCATCATCCTCGGTTGGAGAGGTTCGGCAATTCACCGAAGAGGGAACTGGATCGAGCCATGGATAAAAGATCAAAGCAGAATGAGGTATGGTACACTGCCGCCAGCGGCATTCTTGACTACAGATTATGCACACTCAATATACAGATCTCGACCGTTCATACAAAATCTTTCAAGCAATCCACCTCCTTTTCACATACAGTCGCACCCGTCTCTGTTCACAACCGTCTCTCGTAACTCTACAATAAAACATACACACTCCCCGCAACAACCATCTATCTCACAAAACTCGACCTCGACACCACAGGCGACGACCTCCTCATCAACCCAACATCCATGGCCGTATTCCCCCAACTCCTCGAAAGATCATGATCGCGATTCGCATAGTCGTACCACGTAGGGAACCCCCCATCGTCCACGGGCACGAGCTGCGGTGATTGTGTGTACCTTCGAGGAGTCCCTGCTTCATGTATCTTCTTCGACGGACGGCCTCTTGGCTTGGAACGTTTTGATTGTCCGCTGCCGCCGCCCATTTCGTCCGGGAACGGTGTCCTCGGCGTCGGTGCGGGTTTGAGTTCCTTGAGGATTTTGTTCAGTTCCGTGGGGGTTGTGGCGACTTGGGCTTTGAGGTATTGCATTGCGTTGGGGGTTTGGAGGCTTTCCATTACTGGTCGGCGGGGGGTGTATTCGAAACGTTCTGGTTGTGGGGGGTCGGAGGCTTTCAGGGTTGGGTCCAAGAATGCTTCGTCTCCTTTTTCGAGCAGTTGCACGATGTCTAGGGATTCTCCGGGTGGGATCTTGTCGGGATGCGAAGGGGTCACACAGTCCATGTCGACTTCTTTGCGGAGGACGTGGTCAATATCCACGGCACTGAAGTATGCACACGATTGAGGGAGATCATCGATGCCCATTTGCTGGCTGAACATGGCTCTTGTCCAGACGTTTGCGACTTGCAGTGCCATGGCGCATCGGTACTTGTCTTCCTTCTTGGCAAGATAGCGAATCTCATCATGTACAGTCAAAGCAAGTCGAGCGTTGATGTTGTACCTTCGGCAAAGGTATTCCATGCTAATGATCAGGAGATGCAGGTAGTCGACACCAGATGATTGAATAGCCCAGTTGATGCGGCTGGTCATGAAGCCTCCTTTGTTGATGAACCGCCGCATGAGTGCTTCTGTGATTCCAGCACCTAACACTGGCGTTCGAGGTCGTTCTTGCTCAGCGAAGTCTTCCAACTTGTTGAACACCAGGCTCTCGCTACCGCCATGCCAGAACTTGCGTTCGCGTAGCAACTTTCGGGTGATGCTATTGCCTTTCGTGTTCTTGTACAAGTTCGTAGCGATCTGCTTTGCATCCTCCTCCTTCAACGTCGGGTTAAATTGACGAAGGAGAGATTGAGCAAACTTCAGTCCCGCACCGTAAATTCGACCATAATTGAACACCTTCGCATCATTGCGAGAGATTCCTAAAATCTGGGCCGTTCGAGAGTGCAAATCGGTGCCGGCTGCTTTTGTGCCCTCGAGAGTCATGAACCCAATCGCGTTGCCGCCATGTATCTTGAAGCTCGCGTCGCCAACCAGGGAGGCGATCCAGAGTTCTTGACTGTCAACATCGGCGCCCACAAAGCAATAGCCTGGCGGTGCTGTAATCATGCTCTTCAATTCTGAGCCCACACGATTCTTCTTGGCATTCGAAGCCGTTAACCAGGTATTCTCGACGGCTCTGCGAGTGATAGTGCCCATGGGTATGACTTGTGGGAGGATGTAGCCCAGATCAGTATTCTCAGAGCTGGAGTCGGCGCGTTCCTTCTCGTACACGACCATCTGTGACGTGATACGGTCTCGAGCAGAGATCCAATACGAGCATGAAGCATTCATTTCGAGTGCTTCTTTTCCGTACTCATACTCGGATGACAGTGTACCACTCTCAAAGAACTTGAGATACCCTTTGGCAAGCGGAGATGTGCATCTGGCTTCCGGACCGTCCTTGTGCGGCAGCTTGAAGTAGGTATGATCAAAGTCGTCCCGCAGGACCATGTTCTCCTCTTCAAGCATGTCGCATTTGGTCATAGCTTGGTCTTCATATTTGGAGGCCTGGGAGTTGGGCACTTTGAAGGTCCAGCCATACTTGTCCGACCACACCAGTGGATGACTGTCCCAAGCCATCCTCAGCAAGATCGGTGCAATTCGAGTGCGAACCGTCAAGGCAATGTCGGCATCATTTCTGGCAAAAAGGTCCCTGTACCATTGTGGCATGCCGGGTTTCTTCTGCCTCGCAGCTGGTCGTGGTGGATCGCCCTTCTTTTTCCCCTTCACCATGCGAACTTCCTGTCCGCTCCAGTCCAGCTGCCGCAGCCAAGGGTCATTCTGGTACATGTCGGGCTCCTCCTTTCGCTGCAGAGCTCCCTCAGCAAGATCGACAAGACGCCCCGTGACTTCAGAAGACAACTTGTGATATGTGGCCTCTGCATTCTTGATGTACGCTTCCCAAGTCTTGTCAACAGGTAAGATCTCGGTTGCCATGTGTCTAAGCGCTGCGAATGACACCGGATGTGGGCATGTCTCTAGGAAATGCGGGAAGACCTTCTTGTATACTTTGTGCGTGATTTCGACGTCGGCAGCACAGTAGTCGAGGAGTTCATCCAGTCGCTCGACAATGCCAGCACGATCCAGTTCGCCAAACCATTCTCTTCTTGCCTTATCGATAGTGATTCCGCAGTGGAACTTGGCAACGTCTCGCAAGCTGTTTACAGAAGACCGCCCGACCCACAATTCCTCCTCCTCAGGCGCGGTATCTCTTGATTCCAGTAAAGCGGACAGATCGACGCTGTCATCTGCTGCTGCTATCCGGTCCTGGAGATCACGTTCCTTGCGATGCTTCACCCAAGTCGGCCGTTGCCTACTGCACATTCCGTTGACTGCCACATGCAGACTCATGGTATCCATGAAGAAGTTTTTCGACTGTTCCAAGCTATATTCTTCGGCTACTCGAGCTCTATCGTAGCTGATGTTGTGCCCAACAATGATGCGAGGCTTCTTCGAATCCCCCATTGGGATGAGCTGCCTATCGTTCTCACTTTCGCCAAGTAGCCACGGAGATATCCAAGCGTACCAGTGGTTTGCAGAGACAGCACATGCCATGGCAGGGAAGTTTGTCTCCAGCCACATTACTTCCGTATCAAACGTCAAAACATCCTCGTTGGGAGATGCTACAGGTTCAGACGTCCCATCCTCGTAGTATTTGGTCCATCCACTTCTTACTATCCATCTTCGAGGCTTTTGTGGCGGTGATGCGCGGGCATATCTCTTCGCCAGACTCAGATACGGCTCTGCACTGTCCATTCCTAGCTTGTGGAAATGTTCATCCAACGATGCTCCATGCAAGACAGGCAAGTCAAATCCGATCGGCTCTGCATTATCGCTGGTCTTTCCCAGCAGTTCATGGCGAGAGAGATGGTCTCTTGACAATGCGACCAGTTCCTCGTCTGGCTTGGATGATGCGCCGGATGGGAAAAGTTGTGGATGCACGTAGGCACTGACTTGCTGGACGCCGATTTCGTTATGTCTGGCCTGCGACGGAATGGATAGCGACCTCTTTTCTGGAGCAGGTTCGGTCGATGCTGTCGCGTAGCATCTTTGCGCACACGACCATCTCAGGGGTCGCGGTCGGATCCGGAGTAGCGAGGTTTGCTGCGTGCGCTCGAAGGCGTCGACCACGTGCTTGTGGCATCTCGTTCGCATCGCTATAGCCGCTGTGAAGGCTGACTCGGCATTATCGTTGGTGGCGAGGAAGTTGGTGGAGAGGGCGTGAACAAGGTGGAGGTAGAGAAATCGCAGGCGTCATGTCATCAGCCCTACGCTAGCTGGGCAGTCGATCTCCCGCTTCCTGCATCGCCTGCCCCGTCACTCTTCCCTTTCACTCGTATGCCTTACTCTCCGTACTGCCATTGTATAGGCTCTTGCTTCTGAGCAATGTGAGCGGGACGACATGTCGGCCTGGGACTTTGACCATAATGGTGGTGGCGGTGGCGGGCGCGAGCACTTTGAGTGGGATGATGAGCCCGAGTGGAACTTCGACAGGCTGGACCACGAAGACCACGAGGATTGGTACGTGTGAGCGCTGTTCACCTAGAATCGCAAACACTTACATGCAGTGAAGGGACGAGCAATTTGCTCTCCACGCCTTTGCCCACTCCCCACCGCCGCCGACTCACTCCGCCTTCACCAACACCCGCAACGCCGCCCCGCCTTCACAAAGACACGAGAACAACATCTCACGTTCACATGACACGGCTTTCCTTGACACCCTACTTCACGCCACTGCCCCAGCAAGACGCCGAACTCAAGCTGTGACCGCTCAAGCCGACCTCACGCGAAGACACCCCGCCGACCCGCCACGAGATTCAGCGGCGACCTCCAGTCGACGACCTTTTTCAAACTCACGTACTCACACCAATCACCCGAGCCATTTCGGATATATTCCAAGTGCTCTATTCGACGAGTCGGACAACGGAGACGACACACCTTACTCCACACAACCATCCACCCGTGTTTCCGACCGAGCTTCTGAAGATTTCGTGACTCTCGAAGAGGATACAGACGGGGAGGAAGGGTTAGCAGCCATGGCACCAAGTCGTCGACGCACCACTCGCCGAGAGTCAGCGACGGTGGACCTCACCCCAGGTGCTTCAACCACAGCGACTTCGCAACAGCGCTCACGCGTCCGCAAACGCTCAGTCGACTCAACCGCGGCAGGCGAAGGTCGTGCCTTCAAACGAGGTCGGGTGTCGCAGGAGGATACTGAAGAGATTGACCTCTCAAAGGACCCACCTTCCGCTGAAGAGGAGCTGCTACAGAAACAGCAGCAGGAGGCCATCAAGCAACAGCACGCCGCAGAGGAGAATCAAGGGCCTTACAAAATCGGGAAGAGGACTTGCATCATATGCATGGAGAACTTCACCAACTGCACCATTGCATCTTGTGGTGAGTATTTGATCCATAAGGCATTTGCTGTGAGCATTTACTGACTTGCACAGGCCACTTCTACTGCCACGAATGCCTCATCCAAGCACTCATCGCTGGCGAGAAGAACTCCGACCGTGGTCACGGAACCTGTCCCCAGTGCCGCAAGCCACTCACGAGGAACACCAAGAAGAAGCGCGATATCATCCCGCTTTCGTTCATGAAGAAGGAGACGTTCGAGAAGAACAGGCATAAGCGTTTGCAGGCATCGTAGCTATAGCGGTGGCAGGGATGGTCTGGATTGAATCTTTTAGCTGAGCGAGGCGTTGTGGGATTGATGAGAGACGGTGTTTCAGGTGGTACCATACGGAAAGCGATACCCAACAACAGCATTATTGAATTGAACGGATTGATACGATCACAACTGTACTCGAACGGTGCAATGTGCATTGAATTGAGAGACAGCTCTTTTAAGTGACTCTAGTACAAGTCAATCGATGTATAATTGTTTCAAGACTCAGGTAAAATCTAGAGCATTATCAATCCGCTCTTCAGGTTAGTCCATCGTGCATATGCATCGGCCGAAGCCATCTCGATTGGCTGGAAGGGAACGAAGGAGGCGTGGCTTGGCTGACGGACGCCTCAGCTCAAGGTCACGATCACACTGCTGCTGCTGCGATCTGCGTATCTTGGAAACCATCGCCCCTGCGATGCCATGCTGCTTAGGTTTCGACCTCTCAGCCTCCTGCCATTGCCTCTTCTCTACTACAATGACCCGGCATACAACTTAATGTCTGGCTATTATTCGTGATTCCGCGCCTTTCGTTGCGATTTGTTGAGGGACAACGATACGGGAAACAGTCCTACTAATCGACAGCTTTCGCTACGAGGAACGCGTCGCAGCCTGGTCGATACATTGGAACATCGGCGTCTCGTTCGGCGGTACTGTACGACCTCGACCATCATCGATTCTTGCTTGGTCTACTTGACGAAGAGTTTCAATTGTACACACATTCGACCTTGTCCCCAATCCACACTGTTTGGGCTGTTTTCAGACACAACCTACCGGAACACCTGGAACGTCCGGATCTTCGACGGAAGCAGCTCTCGTGATTGGCTTCGAGATGGAGACCATCAAGAAGGTCGTTCCCTTCACTGGATCGAAGAAGGACGAGTCCGGCCAAGAGCCAGTGTCCGGAGTGGAAGGCCAAGGCACGTCGACTGAGCCTTACGACGCGGGCAACCAGGAAGGTAAGCACTACCTACGATTTCTGTCGTAGAATCACCTTATTTCGATGTTGGTGAAACTGCTCGGTTGGCGACCTGGGGAAGAAACTCTTGCTTGACCAATCTATCACTTGGAGCCTGAAGCCTGAGTCCATCAAAGATCTTCGTTGAACAGTATGGATCAATGCCTGACTGACGCCCGTACAGAGCAGCCAGAGCTATCAGGCAAAGCTCCACGACACACAGGTAAGTGTTCCCAGGCATTGAGTCTCTGATGAACGACTCGGACGCTGACCCAACTTCATTAGATGCAAAGGAAGAAGCACCAGCACCTGATACTTCTGCTGCGGAGAAGACTGCTCCCTCACAACCGGCAGACAGTAAGTCTGACCAGCCTGCCGAGGCCACCGCCAACGGCACATCTGGAGATGCTAAGTCGTCGCCAAAGCTCATTAAGAAGCCAACGATTGGGAGCTCGAGTTGGTTCACAAATGCCAATCCGTTTACTAAGAGCAGCACCGACTCTGACGCGGCTGGTGAACAGTCGGTGGATCCGAAGACGCCCGGTGTAGAAAAGACACAGGCTGAAGCTGGTGGCGAAGTGTCGAAGACTGCTGACAAGTCTGAGTTGCCTCCGAACCATCTGGGCGAGGTATGTATAGCCTCGTGCCCACTACAATAGCAGTTGATACGGCCTCTGACACTTCACAGGATGTTCCCCCGGGCCTCGATACAGTTGTAGTAGATCCAACTGAGAACGTAAATCACGCGACAGATCCCGCCTTCGCCTCTGGCAACTCAGAGCTCCCCAACCATCTCGACGACAATGTTCCTCCAGGCCAATTGGCGGCGCCCATGGGTAAAGGCAAGGGCAAGGCGAAGATGACCGATGCAGACTACGCAGAATACGACAGCAGCAGTGCGGCTAGCAACCGATCAACGGGAACGAGGAATGAGTCCGTCGCTACAGACTACACGATCACCTCCAAGAATACGTACTCGACCGCAGGTACTGGAGCTTCAACTCTGGCTTCTAGGAGACAGTCTGCCGTGCAAGCTCCTCACAGCCAAGGCAAGACTATCACGGCTGGTGGCATTCCGCTGGGTCAGAGGGCGATGCTCGAGCGTGAGAGGTGAGTCCTTCGTCAACGAATGGAGTGCATTGAATTATTCTGACTTCTCTACAGGCGCTTGAGCAGCATCATCCCCGAACGCGACTTCGGACGAATCGACGACATCACCTCCTCCAACACCCAGCGAAACTCTGGCGTCGGCTTCTCAGACGCCGGCCCATCCCTTTCGAAACACCAAGATTTCACTCCATCCACCCGGGCCCCGGCGAGCACCTCACCCAACACCGACGAGCCCATCAAAGACGCCCGCGTGTCCTCGGTCGATAGCAAGACCGCAAGTCCCACGGAAACGAGGAACAACCGCCGCCACTCGAGTGTCATTGACAAGGCGAAGGGCTTGGGGAGGAGGTTTAGTCAACGCATCAAGCCTTCGAAATGAGCGTAGCATTGTTGCGGATTTGGGTCGGAGTTCAGCGATTGTTTTTTTTTTTGGTGTGTGCCTGCTGTTTTTGAGGGTGTAAGATCAGCCCGGCGTCACGAAGATATGAACAGAAATCATCAGTACATGTGTGAAAAGAAAGAGTACATAAACCCAAAATTCAGGTGGCTTTCGTCAGCCATATTTCCCGGCCTAGCAGTAATCTGACACTTTCAACATGAATAGCAAGGTTGTGGACTGTAGCAAGCAATCGCAGTCGTAGTAACGTGGGTATCATAATCAAATCTAGAAAGGTCTATACATATAAGGCCGGGATTCAGCTTAGAGCAGGTATTTCTTCCACAAGAGGAAGATTATGGCGCCGATGACGCCGTATATCGCCTTGTCGATCCAGGCGGGGATTCCGTCGTCTTGTTGAGGTCGCCGCTGTTGTTGCTGTTGTGCGGCTACAGCTGCCGTTGCTGGTGGAACCGGCGCAGGACCTGATACCGGTCTCGTTTGTGTGGTAGTTGAAGTAGGTGGCGGTACAGCCGGTGCAGCAGCAGCAGGAGGAGGAAGAGGAGGATTACCACTCTGCGAAGTCCCCTCCTTCGCCTTCCCCTCCCCCTTCCCCAAATCATCCCTATACGCCAACCTCAACTCCTCCGGCACGATCTCCTTCCCCATCTCCGCACCCGCCTCCCTCACAGCCTCCTCCTGCTCCCTCATAACCTCCTCATTACTCTTCCCACAAGCCGCACACCGGCCCTTCAGACTCTGCCCCGCAAACCTCCTCCTCACCTCCTCACTCGCATCCATACCCCCCACCTGGCCCTTCGCATCCGTATCCATGAAGCTCCGTATCGCCACCAGCGCCGTCCGGATCCCCCACGCCGGCTGCCACGTCTCCTCGTGGTGCCCGCTGATGGACAGGCAGATCTCGCGGTTGACTTCGAAGCGGCCGGTGGGCGTGAGGAAGCGGAAGGAGGGCGGTTTCAACGGGTATGCTGGGGGCAGGACGATGCGGCCGTGGTAGATTCCGCCGGCGAAGGGCGAGGGCGCGGGCGGGCCGCGCAGGGTGAAGTGCCATTCGAAGAGGTCCGTTTCGAGCGGGGCGGCGTGGTAGTCTGGGCTGGGTTGGGTGGCTAGTTCGGAGGCTTCTTTGAGGATGCGTTTGATTGTGGGGTTTTTGGTGGACATTGTTGCGGTTTGCGGTTTGCGGTTTGTTGGTGATTGTAGGTGGTGGGGGTGGACTGCAGGGTGTATAGTTGGGTGTTCGTGGGGATCAACTCGGCATTGTTGTCGTTTATCGATTGATCATCAGGAGCTCTTCGGCTGATATTGTCACAGGACTGAGCAGGTGGCCTTCGCGACAGAGTTGTGGGATGAGGAGGAAGAGGAGGTCGAGACGACAAGTGGCTGCTCGAGGCTCGTGCTTCAGCTTGGACGGAAGGAGGTCCGATCGGAACCCTCAGGCCTTGGATGAGCACGACTGTTGAAGGAGTCGTTGATCAATCTGCTGAAACATGCGTAGAAGCTGAGACAATCAAATTGATGTGTTCATGAGACTGGTCTCCAACTCGTGAAGATGACCTGACGATCGATCGAAAGCTCTATTCCCCATCGAGCAAGCACGACGATCTACTGGCATGTGATAGCGCTCTACCTCCCCTCAGACCTCTCCTCTCCCACACCACCTCTCCCACTCCCTACACAACAATGCCCTCCCAACGCCTCCGCACCCTCCGCACCCTCCTCCACCTAACCACCAAAAACAGCGACGCCTTCCTCCTCCACCTAACCCGCCTCCTCTCCACCACCACCGGCCTCGACGCAACCCTCTGCACCCTCCAATACACCCTCACCTTCGTGCACTCGCAACTCGTCCGCCTCCTCACGAACAAATATGAGAAACTCGCCATCTCCATCGCGAGCAAGGCCTCCGAGACGATGCTGCCCGGCGAAGCACTCGTCGCGACGATCGAAGCGCCGCATGTGACGTTGACGGAATGGTGCGCGGGTGTGAAGGCTTTGGGCGAGACGACGGATGATGTGAGGACGTTTTTGAGGTACGTACATATCTTGTGTAGTAGTCACACATTGTGCGCGAATCTGACGTGGTGTAGGCTTTGGGGTCTCGCGAACATTTACACTTGGGCGCGTGAGACATACCTTTACCCGAAACGCGACCCCGCGATCAAGTTCCTCGTCTGGGCGCGTATATTCGCGAGTGTTGGGTTTCAGTTCTATGAGAATGGCGCGTACCTGATCAAGAAGGGGGTTTTGCGAGGGCAGAGATGGGCGGATAGGGAACCGAGGTGGTGGGTTTGGAGTTCGAGGTTCTGGATGGCGGAGGTGGTATTGGAGATGCTGAAGCTGTTGAGGGTGCGGCAGTTGAAGTACAACGAGGAGTTTGGGGCGGAGAAAGTGGATGAGGATGACAAGGGCGTCAAGGTGCAGAGCAAAGAGCTGGAGCAGCGGTGGTGGAAGGACTTATACGCCAATGGTGGCTGGTTCGCTCCCAGTCTGCATTACAGCTTCCACAACGAGGAGCACAGTCCTGTGACTGAAGCGTGGCTCGGGCTATCAGGCGTGATACCGGGAGCGATAGCCCTGCGAGAGGCATGGCGAGCAACGGCGTAAAACTGGCATGTCTCATACAACTATGTGGTGCGGAGCCTCCATCTCATCAGATGCGCGTGATGTCAACGCGTGCTCTTTCGAACAGATCATGAGTCGCGTATTCGGCCTCCCGGTCGTGGTCGTTCAATGCACGGGGCTGGACACTGACAGCAGCGTACGTGCCGGGACCACGTTTCTTGCTCAATGTTCCAGGGTTGATGCAAACGACGGATTCGACGACCTACAAGTTGTCAGCACGCTGCATTAGAAACACGCACCTATGCCTTTGACTGACCTTTGCAAACGGACTTAAGACGCTTGGCAAGATGAGCATATCAGGCCTTGCTTGCCAGAAATCGCCGAGCTTTAAATACTCAAGGTCCAGGTTGGCACCAACAGCGAGCCTCTCCTCTCCGCCAGGAGCCGGTACCTCGCCCGGGATAGCCGTGGGTTTGGGAAGGTCCTCTCTGGCAAGGGGCGGAAACACCGGGAAGTAATGGCTTTGCTCGATGATATGGCCAGACAATCTCCCCAGAAAGTCGTCATTGAAGCTCTGGCCTTTGGGGGCTTGGTAGACATTCTCTCTCCTCAGTTCCGACAGCACATCCTGAGAGGACATTCCGACCAGCATATCGTTCATGGAGAGAGCCATTGGGTTCGCCACGAATTGCACTTGTCGAGGTAGGTCGAGGGCAGGCTTGGGGACCCGATCTTGGGGCCAAGACACATGCTTGCTGATTGCATCCCGCATGGATGGAACGAGCACAATCGTTATTGTGGGTACGGCCTGCACAAGTCTTTGAATCGGCACGCTGATGAGAGCTTTGAAGACATCAGTAATCGTGGCTTGGTCAGGTTCGATCTTAGTGCCAGCTGGAAGATGAGGCTCGAAGTCGCCAGAGGCCACGACTGGATGTTCGAGATCCAGAAAGGGTCCAGTCAGGATCAGAGCATCCACCCTACCGGTTTCTGCCTTGTTCAGTAATGTATAGAGAGGCGCGAAAGAGAGGTCCGTGTCTGTTGTGTATGGACCACTGGCGATGAGCATGGAAAGTGGTCGTGTCTCCCTGTCATCTCCTGTAAGCCGATCGTTATGCACATTGATCTCTTCCGGTCGAGACGCTGCCGGAGGAAGCAGGGGCATGGGCAAAACTTCCGTGACCGCGAAATATTCCCCACTGACGTTCGTGCCTCTCAACGCCACAATTTTGCCAGGAAAGAAGTCGAAAGCGATACCTTCCATCTTCAAAGGCACTCGCATACCTGCACCCATACGTCTGCTCGTCTCTAACACCATGCTGGCTGCATTAAGCTTCGCGTTGGGTTGATCGCACGCAATGCGGCCGACTGCAACAACTTCTGCTGAAGATTGAGCTGCAGGATTGCCGAAGGCACTGTCTGGTAGCTCGTGGTGCTTCTGTACAGCCTCCGTAAAAGTGTCGATCCTGTCGTCCAGGATTTCTGAAGCCTCTGAGAGCTTCATTGCCATCGGTTTGTACGCGAATTTGGGCAGATCCGATGCAGCCTTCAGCTTGACGCGGGCGGCCGAGGGTGGAATTTGCGGGATGGTCGCAGCAGGTAGATGCGAGTTTATAGATTCAACAACATCGCCAGCATTCTTGCGTTCCTCGAATGCTACGGCTGGGACGTGTCTTGCGGTGGCCGGTGTCTTGCTGTCTGCAGGAGAGCTGTTCAAGCCACTTCTGGCTGACTTGGGAGCTGGAGTATCGAAGTTGGTAGCCTTTCTCTTTGCAGCAGATGTTCGAGCGCCCGGCGTTGTAGACACCATGCCATCTAGCATGCCGAATACATCGCCTCCACCACCTGTCGCTCTAGGTGTCGCATTCGTTCTCTTTGCGGCGCCCTGAACGGCATGTTTGTTCCTCGAATCACGCTCCAGCGCGTCCTGCAGCGTCTTCTTGAAATCTCGAACAGTTTTATAGTCTAAATTGGTGGTTTCAGCGCCCATCTGAATCACGTAGCTGTCCCATTTGTAGTAGAGGTCCTCCGGCGAAAGGGACATGAGCTGGATGATGTGGAGCAGTTCGGTCATGACATCTTGGGCGAGCTTCGAGTCGGGAGCTGCAAAGAACTCGTTGATCTGTTTTTCGACGTCTGCCATGTTCGTGGTGGTGATGCGGTGTCCTCAATGGCAGTCAGATGTCAGAAGGCGGAGGAAGTTGGAAGTGGAAGACGCGTCTTGACGCGAAGTTGAGATCGCGCTAGTAAAGTGTAATTGACCTATCAAACCCCCGAAAATAGGTAGCACATCCTCTCGAGATACATTCGCACTCGCTTTGCATGATACTGGATCTCGTGCTTGCTTGCGATTCGAGCTCTGCAAACGTATCGATCTTCCTGTCTGCCCTACTTATTCGCAACGCACGATGTTACCTTCTTCAGCCGACGTCACCGCAGTCAGGCCCGTTCATGCATACCAACAAGATTCCATGTGCGCCGGAATCCTGACGGTCTGACACGGGAACAGTCATCATTGTTGTTGTCTGGTAGGAAGTGATAGTCAGATCGCGAAGGATGTCTGGAGTTACCTTGTACGCGGACCGCATTCGACAGATACGTACGTAGGTAAAGGCTCGCGATAATGACACCGAGCTGCACAAACCGCGAACCGGGGATTCGCTCGTTCTACGAATGCACGAATGCCAAGGTGACATCCATGGATTGACGCCACAGCGGATCTCAGAGAAAGCCGCCCTCCGAACACGATGAGGTCAAAGGCTTATGTAGCTGAGTCCGTTACAAAAAGCACCGTTTACTCATCGCGGCAGGGGAGTGAGAAGATACACGTTGCATCTCTGCGCAGGTGCCGCAACAGTTCGTCTTGGTCATCGTTAGAGTGGAAAGCTTTGCGCCTGTTCGCATTATCATTTCTCGCCAGTATCATCCCTCCGAGCCCACGCGAGACGCAGGGTCTCGAAGTCTAAACTCCATAATCGTCCAATTCTCGAACCGACCCAACGCAGCTGCCTCCTCTCGCAACAGCGGTCAGCCCTTCTAATACCTCGCCCTCGCCGCTGTCGCCGCCGCGAGAAGCACACCATCTATCTCCCGACATACCGTGGCACCATGGCTCAGACCGCCAATCCCGGGAGCGTCGCAAATGGCACCATCATAGCCGACGAGAAGGCACCACTCAACGAAACCACCTCGCTGCCTGTGTCGCAACACCTGACGCCGAATGGCACGGATAACTCCCGTCCAGAGTCGTTCGTCTCTGCCGACTCCTTCAAATCAACCTCGTCGCAAATCCAGCCCTCCGACACCCCTGCGAGTAGTGCTACCGCAACTTCAGCTGGAGCTGAGCGTGAAGAGGAGGAGTGGAAGCCACCGACCAATGGCTCTCTAAAGACACCGATACCAAAGCCAACAGCCACCAGCAAGCCATTGCCTCCTGCAAAGCTGACTCCTGAGCAAGAAGTCAAGTACGCCACTGTATTCGCGGGTGTCTCGCAGTGGAAGACTCTCCCTGCTACAACCGCAAAGAATGCACCTCAGGCGCCCATTCAAGATCATGAGCGGATGTTCCTGACGAGGGAGTGTCTTCTGCGTTACCTGCGTGCCACCAAGTGGAACACGGCCAACGCGCTTAAGCGTCTGCAGCAGACATTGAGCTGGAGAAGAGAGTATGGCGCGGACACATTCACACATGACTACATCAGCCCCGAGAACGAGACCGGCAAGCAGGTCCAGCTTGGCTTCGACAACGATGCCCGACCCTGCCTCTACCTCAACCCAGCGAAGCAGAACACCAAGATGTCGGACCGCCAGATCCACCACCTGTGCTACATGCTGGACCGGACGATCGACATGATGCCTCCTGGCGTTGAGAACAGCGCATTAATCATCAACTTCAAGGGCGCTGCTAGCGGCAACGTCCCCTCAGTTGGACAAGCACGTGCTGTCCTGAACATCCTCCAAGGCCACAATCCTGAGCGGTTAGGTAAGGCGCTGATCAGTGAGCTGCCTTGGTATGTCAACACCTTCTTCAAACTCATCAGCTCATTCATCGATCCTGTCACGCGGGAAAAGATGAAGTTCAACGAGGACCTACGAAAGTATGTCCCACCCTCACAACTATGGGACCACCATGAAGGCGACCTCAAGTTCGAGTACGACCATTCGGTGTATTGGCCGGCGTTCGAAGAGGAGTGCAATAAGAGGCGATCGGCATACAGAGAGCGGTGGGAGAAGTCTGGCAAGAGGATTGGAGAGTATGAGGAATATCTTCGTGGGGGCAACCACGCTTCTCTTCAGCAGGTGTTGGACAAGGCACGGGCAGACGGCACTGTGGATCTCTCGCAGCAGAAAGATGATGACCTGATAGCCGCCGAGATGGGCAAGTTGAGCGTGAGGGCATAAATGCATGAATGATCAGCATTGGCTTTGGGGCATTGAGTCGTGCATACGGATTTGGAAGACGTACACCAGCACATTGGCGTTTTGGCGCCGCAAGGCGATCTTTAGGCGGTCTAGAGGTACGATGAGTGAATTGTCTCCTTATCCATTGCCGATAGAGATATTCAACAGCAATGAGCGTTGGCCGAATTCTTGATGCATGCATTGACCAAGACATACTGTTGAATTCGGGCCCGAGCTAGATCCAGTCGGGTCTGCAGAATGCTTGCCCGATGGATGGTCGCTCTCCTTTCATCTGAACATGGACGGCGATTTTCAATAAGATATGGAATCGCCCAATGTTGATGCGATCAGATCTCTGCCGTGTATGTTGCCCGAGCTTCGAAGAGTTCCGCACGTGCCTGTGCGTTGTCAAATGCAAACTTGAATGACCTTGTCCTGCCAGGCCCAGAAGTCTTGAGGGTGGGCACCCGAAGCTTCTTAATTGATCAAACCAGGGATACGACGCATTGTGCCACCTCGTGGCCTGAACGGTCACGGCATCACAACTCGAAAAGCGAGGCCGAGCAACGTTTGAGACAAGCATCACGTCTGCCCAGACTTCGTCGTCCAAGATCTTCTGTCATCGTTCTTCGCGTCTTCGTCAAATTTTCTAGTGTCTGTCTTGTCGAACACTGGTCAAAGACTAGAAGATGCGCTTTGCGTCAGGGTCGCATCGCAGCGTGAGAAGAATCACGGCATCGTCGGCAGGTCTGGTCGTGTGCCCTACTTCCGATACCGAATTTAGCCCTCAATGTCCGACGAGCTTTGATTGAGAGATGTGTTTCGATGTGGGCCGAATCTCGGTCACATCACGGTGGTATAGCGATATCGTTCGAGGAGGTCCACTCGTGTTGATAGCAAGAGCGAATGAGGGTTGGCGTTGTCAAACGAGCAGTCTGTTGTGCAGCGTCTTTTCTCGCTGACGCTCAGTAGCAGTATGCCGCGATTCTTCGAGGTTTGACACTTTTGTCTGATGCGCTTTTGAAGCAGTGAGGTCAACAGAGGGCGACGGCGATCGACAGAGGCTGTCTGAGAGCCGGCGCTAATGCAGCTCGCCGCGTCCCGACACTCTGTGAAAAAGACGCTAGCTGGTCCGAACTCGACTTCGTTCTCTCAGAATAACGGCGTGACACGGCCAACCTCTGTGCAGAATCTTTCGAACCGATCGGCATGCCTCGCGCAGCATGTTCATCCGGCTCCGGTGGGCCACTCGACATGTCGTCAGGCTTCAGGACGGCTATGAGACCAGTATATGATCTGCATTTTGAGCAGAGTCTAAACAAGACCAGCCCTGACGAAAGAGTACTCGACGGCAACGAAAATTGTCCCAAAGAGAGCAACGTCCTATAATTGATCTCGGGTCTCCTTCCTGAACTCTCCTACGCCTGCAAGTGACTTCCAATATGGGCTTGGTGGTTCTCCATAGGCCTCGAGACTCGGTTCGGCTGGAAGCACATGAAGCGCCAGTCGTTCAACTCACGGACACTTTTCTCACCGTCGACCCACTCCAACCACGCAGATGTGATCCGTGAGCCGTCAAGGTCTGCAACCCGCGTGCCCGCGAAAGTTGCATTGTGACATTGGGGCTCACCATGGGCCTCCGTTCGAAGAGCCCCACGACTCCAAGAGCTTGCTGCGGTGTTTAGGCGCGTGGGCGTCGGCAGGCATAAGAAGAGCGCGTGTCCACGTCCTTCTTCTTTTTTGATCTCCTTCACCTCCTCGTCCTTTCCCAGCAGTCTCTTCATCGTTCTGCTTATTCAACATGCCGTTCCTCAAGCGGACTGAGCGTGAGGCTCAGCAGGCCAATCAACTTGAGAAGGCTCCCTCTCCCACCGCTGGTGCTGGCCAGAAGGTTACCTTCCTTGCTGTATACCTTGGACTGGTCGCCTCGATAGGTGGATTCATGTACGTCGACAACTATCGCACCCTCTCCAATCATTATGTACTGACAACTTCACCTCAGGTTCGGCTATGTCTCTGGACAGATCTCAGGTTTCTTCCAAATGGAGGACTATGCTCGACGCTTCGGTGAACTGCAGAGCGATGGCTCCTACACCTTCTCTGCCGTCCGACAGGGAACGATCACAGCTTTGCTCTGCGCAGGATGTCTGTTCGGTGCTCTTATTGCCGGCAAGATTGCGGATGTCCTTGGCCGTCGACTTTCGATCTCTTGCTCTGCATTCTTCTGCTGCATTGGAACCGTCATCGAAATCTCCTCCAACACGTCTTGGGTGCAATTTGCCGTTGGACGCCTCGTAAACGGATTTGGAATTGGCTCCCTCTCCGTACTTGTCCCAATGTACCAATCTGAAAGCTCGCCAGCGATCATCCGTGGTGTCCTCGTTTCATCGTACCAGCTTTTCATTACGCTCGGTATTTGGACTGCGGAAATGGTCTGCTACGGCACTCACGATGACAGCACCAGTGCCTCATGGCGCATCCCGAACGGTCTCTCCTTCTTGTGGGCGCTCATCCTCGGCGCCGGTATCCTCTTCCTGCCCGAGAGCCCTCGATATGCATACCGTATTGGACGTGAAGAGGAGGCTCGTAACACCCTTGCTAGACTTGCTGGACTGGCGCCAGATTCTCGCGAGATCAACATACTCGTCAACGAGATCCGGGTCAAGCTCGACGAGGAGACGGCCGGTGTGGACACTGCTTGGCACGAGATCTTCACCGGACCAAAGATGTTCTACCGCACCGTCCTTGGTATTGTTCTGCAAGCAGGACAGCAGCTTACTGGCGCGAACTTCTTTTTCTGTACGTCGCAGAACTCACAGCTCTTGTGGCCCAGACATGTACTGACTTTTGGCTCCTAGACTACGGTACAACTATCTTCAAGGCCACTGGTCTGAACGATAGCTACGTTACCCAGATCATTCTGGGAACTGTCAACGTTGCCTGCACTTTCGGTGGTCTTTACGTGGTGCAAAAGTGCGGCAGACGCAGTGCCTTGATGGCTGGAGCTGCTTGGATGTTCATGGTGAGTAAGCCATCGTTTTTATCCTGGGACCAAGCTGACGTCCAGACAGTGCTTCATGATCTACTCCTTCGTTGGTCACTTCGCTCTCAGCCAGAGCGATCCTGCCTCCACCCCGGCTCCTGGAAACGTTCTGATCGTCTTCTCGTGCCTTTTCATCGCTGCATTTGCGACAACATGGGGACCAATCGTCTGGGCCGTCGTTGGTGAACTATATCCTTCGAGATACCGCGCTCCTTGCATGGCGCTGGCCACTGCATCCAACTGGCTGTGGAACTTCCTAATCTCATTCTTCACCCGCTTCATCACCGACGAAATCGACTACCTCTACGGACTGGTTTTCGGTGGCTGCTGTCTGGCCTTATTCGCGATCGTGTTCTTCTTCGTCATCGAGACCAAAGACCGGAGTCTTGAAGAGATCGACACCATGTACGTTCTGGGCGTCAACCCGATCACGAGCTCTAAATGGGACGGCAGCAAGCTCCCAGAGAGCAAGGACACCAGTGGACGCAACAGCAGTGATGCGGCTGATGCTGAGCGTCAGAACTCGCAAGCTCCTGTTCAGAGAGTGCCGACGGTGACGATTGAGGAGTAATGGATGAGCTTAATGATGAAGAGACTGGACAATGTACCAGACAAGGGACATGCGACTGAGATGAGTTGCTCAAATACATGAGCGCTGTACAATAGACGGACAGGACGAGGAGACAAGAATCAGACATCGGACAATCCTCCGCACCAACGCTGATTTGTGAACAGTCAGCCGTTTGATGGCTTTCGTGAGGTTCAGCCTTGCGATGTGAGAGTAAGATTATCGAAACACCATACAACACCACGAGAGTATCTTCGCCAGGCGAAAAATCACCGGTCTCATAGTCGGTCTATGATGGATTTCCTAGATCTCAAGTACATGTAGGAGCTCTGAATTCCCCCGGTCTCCGCGATGAATGACCGCTACTTACATCACGACTTTCCCTGGCTAGGTTTCAAAGACCATACAATGGCGTGTAAGGCTGATCAAACCAACCTTATATATGTTACGCAGCTCTAGCCGTAGTGGTTCATTCCTATTATCTTGTGCACCTCCCGTCACATCGCACAAAACTCTCACCGGACGTCGCCCTGCTGAACAGAGTTTCAATCCTTCGCGAAACCGATTCGATACGTCGCTACCGTCAGTCAGCCACACAGCCTCCAAGGCATTCTTCCGTGCCTGCCTGCTCATACATAGGTATACATTAATCCCATCATTTCCTTCTCATTCACTCGTTCCCTCCATCAAAATCTCCCAATCATGTCAATACTAACCACCTTCCCAGCAACCATGGGCGTCTCCCTCAGCACCGCGCGATACCTCGCGCCAGCCTCCTTCCTCTACGACTTCGCAGCGCAACAATACGGCATGTTCTCGTCCCCCAACATGAAGGACATCCACGACGCCAACCTCTCCTTCTTCTCCCCGCAACCCTACTTCATCGCGGGCTTCTTCTTCCCTCAGCAGCTCTTCCAGCTCGCCTGGATGTACCGGCTGTGGAAACTCAGCCCGCAAATTCCCAAGGAGAAGAAGGAGCTCGACGATATGGTGCGCTTCGTGCCGTACTACGCCCTCGGCAACGTGTGCATCGGCACGTGGATGTTTTTCTGGAACGCGAGCCACCTCAAGGTTGCGGATATCTTCGTGATCGTCAACACGACCGCGCAGCTGTTTTATGTCTTCTCCCAGCTGGAGCCCATGAACACCAAGTCCTGGGGTTCCATCCTGACGCATGTCGTCTCCAAGACGTTTGCGGGGATCGGCGTGCTGGATATTTTGCATAATACTTCGGTGGCGTTTTATAGGAATCAGCTGCCGAGCAAGTCTCTCAAGGTGGCGACTGGGCTTGGGTTTGGGCTGCTCTCCGCTTGCAGTGATTGGATCTTGGGAGGGTGTCTGGTGTACGATTTGATTGCTCTGAGTGTGGGACAGGCATCCTACGAGCAGGATTGGAGCAGGGTGTTGGGCGGGTTCGCACTTGGGAGTGCGGCCATTGTTGGGCTTAAGAACTATTTCAGGTAAGGCTCAGTGCGCTTCCAGTTGATATTGAACATAGGACACATGGCTGTGGGTTGGATGGAAACAGGCGTTGACAAGAGGTTTTCTAGGCCACCTTATGTCAAGAATAACGACTATGCATTGACGGCACAGGATGATGATATTGATGATCGGGTATGATGAATATGATAGCATCTGGTTGGGACAATTTTGTACTATTATGGGAAATCAAGTCATGTATAGCGAGGCATGTTGACATTTGTTCATGGAAAAGTCCGATGACGGAATAAGCAATTAATGAAAACGCAATTCACGCCTGCTCTCGAGTACATTTCGTTGCTACTGCAGCTTGTCGCTTTTTACATTGTGCCGTCTAGATACTTGGTATTGGTACAAGTTCCTGGCAGGCCGTCTTTTCTGCACACCCCTCCGTCCCTGATATACAAGCCTCCAATATCAACTCGAAGCTGGGATGGACAAGGCTGTCTTGGCAACATGGGCCGAAGTTTGGTACGAGTTTCCAATTCCACCTTTCACGTCTATGCTGCCCTGCTCTTTGGTCGGCCGCCGCCAACCTTCCTCGCCTGTGGCTTGTTCAAGTGTCCTGCTGGAATCCAGCTCTCGTCGTATCCCTTGGATCCAGTTGTTACAGCAGGTCCATCCGCACCGGCCACGGCCACCTGGTCGGTTGGGTCAACAGGTTTGCCTCCAGTCGATCGCTTGGCGCGCTCGCCGCCCTTGCCTCCTCGCTTCTTCTGAGGGAAGAGTGTGGTGATCCAAGTGTTGTAGATGAAGTAGCAAGTTCCGCCGAAAGCACCCGCGAGGAAGAGGTAGAGGAAGATGCTGCAATCGATATTAGTGTAAGTCGGAGCAATCACCAAGCGGGAAAACATACATCTGAGGATCGAAGATCGAGACAGGAGCTTCCACAACTGCAACAGTCTCCCTGAACACGGTTAGAGTAAACATGCTCTGGGCTCGTGCGATGACGGTCTTAAGCTCCAGGGTAAGATCCTGAGGGTGCATGACAGTCGAGAAGGCGTAAGTAAGGGTCTCCTTGGTCTTTGGCGGGATGATGGTGCCGAACTTGGTGCCAGTCAAGTTGCGGACAACCTGCGGTGGGTCTGGGGCTCCTGGGGCGTCAATTGGCGTCAGGAGCGCACCAAGTCCAACCAACACATTGACCTCGGTATCCTCGTTGTTCACAATGTGAAGGAGCGCTCGGGTGGGTCGGCCATTGACCATCTTGACTCCAAAGATCTCGGCATCTGGGAACGAGACATTGACGGCGACGTTGAGAGGTTTCTGCGCCTTTTGCTCCTCAGACCATTGCCTTTCTCCTCCGCTCTCTGCCCACTTCAACATATCTTCCATGTTGACATCCTCGACGGCGGGCTCGGTGGCATCCTCGACCTGAAGAGATGTTGTTAGCAGAAAGCTTGAGCATCTCCAATGCTGTTTGGATTACTGTACCTTAATACCGTCAGCTTCTGGATCTTGTGCGAAGGCAGTGAACGACGAGAGGGCAACAGCAGCGATCGCTGCGAACTTCAGTGAGACCATGTTGGCTGATTTGGTGGAACTGCAAGGAAGCACGAGGTCGATGTCGAAAATCAACCTTCCAGCTGGCCAGAGCCGCAAGATGGGCCCCAGGAAGCACAGACCACTCCAGCCAACGTCGGGACGACTTCAGGTGAATCGAAGTTCCTGATTCTTTCTACAACATCTTCCATCTCGTGTTTTCCTGTCATTTACGGCCATAGATTCTGTGCAGGGCATTCCATACAGTCAGAGGGAAGGACATAGATCATTTGTGCATAGCCTACACGTCAGAGTAGATCTCCTCGTCCTCCGGCCACTTCACCATGGGATGGGTCGATAAAGTGCCTCGTGCGGGCAATTTGTACATCGGTGGATTACATGCGCTTTATCAGAGACAAGACTTGTTCAGAGAGTACCGAATAAGCCATATCATTTCGGCCTTGGATTTCGATCTCTACGAAGCCGGACATTTCAAGGAGTACACTCATATCCAGGTCAAGCTCGACGATGACCCCAACGAGAACTTCTTTGCCCATACGAACCACTTCAGAGATACGAACGACTTCATTGAATCAGCTTTGAGCAATGGCGGAGCAGTGTTCGTGCATTGTGAGTAGTCCCCCGTCGTTTGCTAGACTCCAGCGTTTGCCAGGCCCCTGCATTCACAGCCCCCTCTGCTAACGTTTCGCGTAGGTGCAATGGGCAAGTCGCGTTCGGCAACCATCGTCATAGCCTACCTGATGTGGAAGTATCGCATTTCACCCGTGGAGGCTCTTGCGCAATTAAATGAAGGCAGACCTGTGTGTGAGCCAAATCCTGGATTCCAGGAACAGCTAGAAGTCTACCATGAGATGCTCAGATCCGGGTCTGATGCCGGCGCCAAGCTTGTCTACGAGCAATGGCTGAAGACACGGTACACTGGCGACTGGTACAGCGAGCGACGACGGCAGATCTCGAAACTGTAGACCAATGAGAAGCCGCTCTGAGCACACCATCTGCAGTTTCTTCCTCACTCATTGTCACGAGCAGCTCGCAGGCTGCTGAATACAGCGCGAATGCCGCGCAGTGACGGAAAATCTGGCAATTCGGCACAACAATACACGTGCTGGAGATAAGGCAGCAATAGCACGGCCAATCAGAAAGCCAAACGGAGCGCGAAACAGTGTCCTCACTTCACTGATTGAGATGCCAAGCACGTGCGGTCTGTTTTTGTTAAGCGCGCTGGGATCACAGTGGGAGAGACAGGTCTATGCAGCCCACGGATGAATGTTTCTTATCCCAGGACTCTCCCGCGGACTAGGATCTCGGCGTTGAATTCTGAAGAAGATGTACACGGAACTGTGTCCCTCTCCCAAGCTATTGGGGCATTGTCATGACCAGTTTCGGGAAGACAATAGTAGGCTGTTCCCAGGTGTTTCCCACGACTCGGACTCAACCTGACAGCCTCAAAGCAATGGTTCTCCTTCACTCACCTGAAACACGGCTGCGGCCTGTGTTCTCCAAACTTATAACTACCTCGCTGTCCTCTCTCAATTTTGAACTCTTCAAGCCATTGCAGTCGACCTTTCAAGTTTTTTGAATAGCATCTACAAGCACTTTGAAGCCGACTTTGAGCAACAGCCCAACGCCCACACATATTCAAACACCAACCTCGACTACACTCACCATGGTATGTATCCCGCACTATCACACGACACACCAGCACAGCTAACCTCGATTGAATTTAGAAGCGCACTGCATCAATGGCTCTCCTCCCCAAGCCGTATCGCCGCCGAGTCACTCGCCAGCAAACCAAGTTCTTCAAGACCATCTTCCCGTTCCTCGCCCTCCCAGCCGAGATTCGCGAGTTGATCTACTTCTTCTGCTTCTCCTTCGCCAACATCAACGGCTTCTTCAGCGAGTTCTTCAATTTCGTCAAGGCCGAGGCTGATGTTGGCAACGACAAGCCATTGGGCAAGATTCCCTTCTGCTCGACTCCCAGCATCCTCTTGATCAGTCGCCAGATCTTCTGCGAGGCCATCACCCTTATCCGCAAGCACTCCATCACCTTTAACCACGGTATCTTCAACATCAAGCCGCTGAGCCAGGTCATCACTCCGAATCCTCTCCGTCAGCTCTCCTCGATCGAGATCACCGACAAAGGCCACCCTCTCCTGACGAAGAAGACCCTCAGCGTCACCTGGCACGGTTACATGCGGTATGTTCTGTCGAGTACATCTCAATTTCGACCTTTGCTAACGTTTCCCAGGTTGATCAAGAGCCTCGCCCAGATCCTTTCCAAGGGCCACCACCTCAAGAACTTCACCATCCGCTTCGACGACCCCAACCTCGTCGAGCACGTCACCACCTGCGCCGCCGGTAGCTGGAATTGTGGTTTCCGTGACCAACTGCGAGACGCCATCTTGAGCCTCAAGATCGTCCGCGGCGTCAAGAACGTCACCTTCATCGGCCTCGAGAAAGCAGTCGCCGAAGAGGTCAAGCATTACATGCAGAGACCCAAGGTCATCGGTTTCGAAGACTTCCCCGACAAGGTTCGCGAGATCGTCTACGGCGACGCCTTCGACTGGTCCTCCGTTTCCAATGCCCTCGCCCGCAGCGTTGCCAAGTGGCCAAACGAGAACAGAGTCAACAGACCCTTCCCTAACCCCAAGATGACCACGCCGACCATCCTCCTCCTCAACAAGCGCATCACCAAAGAGGCCCTCGCCATCATCCGCAGCCAGCCCCTCAATATCGTCTTCCCCACCTCGCCCGCCATCGACGGCGGCAACTGGCGATTCCCACAACCCTCCCGCTACCTCCCCATCAAGACCCTCCGCCACGTCACCACCCTCAACATCACCCTCAAGCACTGGAAGTGGGCCTACAACCTCATCCTCCCCCTCTCCGCCGTCCTCCGCGAAGCCAAGAAGCTCCAGAAGTTCACCATCACCGTCGTCGACGTCGACGACAAGGAGAAGCAGGGCGTCCTGAAGTGGCCGCGCAGCAAGGGCTCCATCCCCCTGCCGTACCACCCTGCGTTCCACGGCACCGTCAAAGCTCGCGAGCTGAAGGATTGGGGCGTCTCTGGCCATATCGGTGAGATGTTCGTCAAGCCGCTCGGTCATGTCTTGATGTTCAACGAGTACGAGAAGCGTGACGACTTCGGTCTGATGCCGACGGCTGGTAGTTTGTACGGCAGGCTTGTTTGGGGTCGCTAGATCTGAGGCGGGCATGGTATCTTCAGCATCACAAACGCGCAAGCGCGTACATCGCCACTCTCGAGGCGAATACGCACGCACGCACGCACGCACCCACGTACATCATCAACTCCTTACGACCACGTACCCACTCGTATCTTTATCCAACGACGAACGACGAACGACGATCACGGACGTTACGAGAAGGATATCTTGAGGAAAAGAAAGAGAAAGAAAGAAAAAGGAATAATATATGAATGATGAGCCGGACATTCATCCAACGTCTTCGACTTCACGACATGAACATCTGCATTTGCTTTTTGGGTCTTTGGGTTTTGGGTTTTCATTTTTCCTTTGTGGGTTTTTGGGGTTTCTCGAACGAAAAGCAGGCAACGACACGAAGAGAAGAAGAGAGAGAAAGATACGGGATGGATCACACACGATTGAGCTCGGTATTCTAGCTGTATCTGATCTGAGCAGAGGTCCGCACTGCTTTTTCCCTGCACGCCTGTTCCTGGTATGCGGGTTCGACTGCTTAGCTAGTCGAACAATTCGGCTGGGGTATATGTATGCTATTCTCAACTTCAAAGGTTTTTCACTTCTCAGTTGAACAGCGAGTCGAAATCGAAATCGGCGTTGTTGGTGTTGTTGTTTCCACCGCTGCCCGTGTCCATGCCGTCGAGGTTGAAGTCCATGAGATCTTCAAAGGTGGAGTCTCGTTGTTCGCCAGCTCCTTGCGAGTCCATTCCGTTGCTTGCACTGCCGACTCCGAAAAGCTCGTTTAGGTCAAGGTCAGCTCCATTGCTGGTCGGCTGGGTATTTGCGTAGTCCTCCAGACCTGGTAGCAGGGATGAGATGTTGTCGTTGTCGGCGCCATTCGCATCAAAGTTTGCCCCGAAGGAGCCAAAGTCGATGTCGTTGGAGTTGTCTTGATCGAAGTTGAAGTCTTGGTTCTCGCCACCAGCTCCTCCTGCGCTCATAGGGTCGTTGAAAAGTGAGTCTAGGTCGTTCGCGGTGTCTGGCGCTTTGTCGTCGTCGGTACCTTGGTCTTCGCCAGTATTGTCTTCTTCGGCCGATGGCTTGGTGTCAAGGTGAAGGCCTTCGTTTAGTGGCTTGAGGTCGTCGGTCGTTTGCAACGTGTGCGCGGCTACACTTGGCTTGGATTCTGCGAGAGGTGGTGACGGCTGCTTTGGCAGGTCTTCCGCAATCAACTCGTCGAAAGACATGACGGGTACCGGCTTCTCCTCGTCATCTGGAGCTGGGTCCTCCATGACGATGTCCTCGTCGGGTGGTGCTTCAGGCTTGGGAGGTTCGTGTTGCGAAACCGTCTCGACCGGCTTGACGTCTGGCTCGGGTACTGATTCAGGTTCGGGTTTGCTGTCTGAAGCTGCCTTCTCGTCCTTTGGCTGAGGTGGTTGTGCTGCTGGCAAGACTGGCGGTTCGATGTGCACGCCAGATCGCTCTCGACACACTGCCAGATCGCGCCGCATCACGGTCTGAGCTGAACGCTATAAGCGAGTCAGCTATATAAGCATTGACATATGATCACACGTGGAGAGACGCACCAGCTCGGACTCGAATTGATCCAATGCCTCATGGAAGCTCGTGGCGGCCTCGGGTATGACTTGCTGGAGCTTCGTGACTTGCGCTGCTGGACGCGCCTTGGGGTTGTTGGCCAGGGCCACGAACACGCGACCGGTCTGTTCGAGCTGCGACATTATCAGATGGAAGGCCGTCGTTGTTCAGATGCCCAGACGTACCACAGAGTTCAGCTGGAGATGCAGCTGATCCAGCAGCTCGGCGTGGTTGCTGCTCGTTGCCGCCATGTCGATGCGACGATGACGCGCAAACTGGTTGCTGGTGAGATGGCGGAAAGGAGCGTGTTGGAGCTATGTATAACCAGAGTTTGGTTCGGGTCGTTCGGTCGGTGGTCACCTGCATGCAGGCTGGGTGTGAGCAGCAGCAGCAAGCTAAGCTCGGGAGCAGCCGCCGGGGGTCTTTTGGTCACGTCCGTCGTCTGGTCTCTGCTGTCGCTGCTCATATCCTGCCTCCCACCGTCGCCGTCCATCAGCAACCACCCGCAGACCGTGTGCCCGGGTCGCCGCGCCGTCTGCATTCTTGTTTCCTTTGTTCGTCGCTGGACCGTTTTCCTCCGCCTGCTGCTGCTGCTGCTTTGTGCGCCTTGCTCGACGTCTCCGTCGACACACCCTGCTTCGAGTCTTTTGCGCGCCGCCCACCCCAACCAGCAAGACCCACAGACAGACCCGCCCGCCAGAGGCAGCTCTCATCTGTGCACCATCTCCTACTCGACCTCCCGTCGTCTCCTCCAGACAGCTAAGCATTCACGAGCTTTTGTCTCCTTGTGCGTTCCTCGTCCCTTGCCCACCACGCTCATTCGGCCAGCACGGCGCCTAATCTCACACGCAGCAGCTTCTTCCGCTGAGCGCATATCGCATTTTCCTCTTGGGCCCTTTCTGCTCCTATCTGCTCTCATCTTTGTTATCTCCTCGAGTTCTACCATTCAACCAACCATGGCCGATACAAACACCTCCGTCGCCTCGTCGCTGCCGCCGCCGCCCGCCACGGGAGTCGCCCCAGGCCAGCCTGGCTACGAGAATGGCTCCCAGCAGGGTCACATGCCACCGCCGCCAGTCCCGCCGCTCAACATCCCCCAGAACACCAACCCGATCCCCACCGCGGTCGATATGCAAATGGGAGACCTGATGTCGCCAACCAGCGCGGGAGGCTATGTCAGAAGAGCTGCTCCAGAACCGAACAAACGAGCGCTATACGTTGGTGGTCTTGATCCACGCGTGACGGAGGACGTGCTCAAGCAGATTTTCGAGACGACTGGACATGTGCAGAATGTGAAGATTATCCCGGACAAGAATGTGAGTACCACCGCACATGACCCTCGAGTCAATGGCAGCTGCCGTGTCTGGCCGATAATAACAGGCCGCGTGACCCGCTGCCTGCCTATTGTCGGTTGCGCATTTGGCAACTGCAGTATATCAAGCACCTCAATTCGACTGCAGTTTCCGAACACAGTCTAACTCTGACAGTTCCAATCAAAGGGCTACAACTACGGATTCGTGGAATACGACGACCCCGGTGCGGCAGAGCGAGCCATGCAGACCCTCAACGGCAGACGGGTGCACCAGCAAGAGATCCGCGTCAACTGGGCCTACCAGTCCAACAACACCTCCAAGGAAGATACCTCGAACCACTTCCACATTTTCGTCGGCGATCTCTCCAACGAAGTCAACGACGAGGTCCTCTTGCAAGCATTCTCAGCTTTCGGCCAAGTTTCTGAGGCACGTGTCATGTGGGACATGAAGACGGGACGCTCGCGTGGCTACGGTTTCGTTGCGTTCCGAGACCGAGGTGAGGCGGAGAAGGCACTGAGCTCCATGGACGGAGAATGGCTTGGATCACGTGCCATTCGCTGCAACTGGGCCAACCAAAAGGGCCAGCCTTCCTTCGCGCAGCAGCAAGCTATGGTCTCTATGGGCATCACCCCAACCACTCCTTACGGTCACCACTCCTTCCCTACCCAGGGCGCTCAGTCGTACGAGATGGTCGTCAACCAGACCCCACAATGGCAGACCACCTGCTATGTCGGCAACTTGACCCCGTACACGACCCAGAACGACCTGGTGCCTCTTTTCCAGAACTTTGGCTATGTCACCGAGACTCGGTTCCAGTCCGATCGCGGCTTCGCTTTCATCAAGATGGACACGCACGAGAATGCGGCCAACGCCATCTGCCAGTTGAACGGTTACAATGTTAATGGCAGACCGCTCAAGTGCAGCGTAAGTACATCAACTGCGATATCTATCAAACAACGCATGCTAATTGTCATCAGTGGGGTAAGGACCGCCCACCGACTGGCCAGTTCGACGGCTACAACCCAGCCCAGACTCCTCAATCCGCTGTGTCTGCCTTCCCTCCGACCCCTCAAGCCTTCTTCCCACAGTACGGTCAGCCCAACGCTATGTCGCCACAAGCTAGCACCCCGGCAGGCCAGTACCAGCACCCAACTCCAGGAAGCTGGCCGAGCAACATGACTCCCCAGAGCATGCACCCACCTGCCGGTAGCTGGCCAACCCAGCAGATGACGCCACAGAGCGCTGGAGGCTACGGGCAAGCACCTGCTGGATTCATGCCCACACCTGGAGCTCCACAGCCAGCGCCGTTTGGACGTGGCTACGGCTACCAAGGTTAGGCGCCTGTATGTGCCAGCGGCTGACACGACTCTCTTGTTACTACGACACGGCAATGTACTTTACTCTCTCGATCCTCGACGATGCTCTTTCCCGTTGGACACTGGATACCCTGCTGCAGTGGCCTCTGTTACATTCTGGTTGAAATTGGGGCCTTCGATTAGCGACTGCGATTTCATACTCTGCATTGTGCCCAAAGGCTGAGCCGACAAGCACAGATCAACATAGTTTACTCCTTTGTGTGTGTGTTTCGCTGTGGTTTGCGGTGCAGTCGGTGTTCTGAAAATGGGAAGGGACAGGATGTCAGGATGTTTATAGCGTAGCTCGACTCAGAGAATGGATTTGAAAAGAAGTTGTGATTTTGAGAAGAAGAAGAATATCGTCTCGTGATGTTCGATGCTACCTGATAATCCGTTTCATATGGTCCTACCCCATAATTTGATCTTGTATAAGCGTCTTAGTATGACTCTCTCAATAGACACCTAGTTCACCTTGACGATCCTCGTACTGGGCAACTGCCTGTCCCCACCAGTGGAGTTCCCCTCTCCTAATTGCTTCGTTATCTTGACATACTGGCCACTGTTCCCCGCCGTCCCCACACCATTCGGCCCCGCCTGGATCCTCTTCTCCGCCCTCCTCTGCATCCACCTCGTAAACGGCTGACCCACATACGCGCCCAGCACACACGCAAACGTCGCCCAGAAATGCCACAGCAACACGATCGTGGCTCCGATCCCCCAGGGCGCGAAGAATCTGACGAACTGATCGGTCTGGTAGAGGTCGCTTTGCGATTGGATGTAGTATCTCCGCGAGGGGGATTTCCGGACGAGTTGCAGGACGGTGGTGAGGCTGACGGGGGCGGAGTAGAAGGGGATGAAGAAGATGGAGAAGGTTTGCGTGATGCTGACGTAGAGGAGGAGGGAGGTTTCGTCGAATGCTATAACACATCATCGTGAGCCTTTGGGACAGGGAGAGATTTTGGAGGAAAGGAATGGTCAAGACGAACCAACAGAATTGACGCTCAATTCAATCGTCGGACTGAGGATTTTGTACCACCGGAAAATGGCGTGGATGAGCCATCGACTGCCTTCGAAGCTTCCTGTTCGGCAGAAGGGGTGTGTGAAGGAGGCGTTTGTGGTGAAGTATTCGTTGATGGTTTCTTCTTGTTCCTTTGGGGAGCCTTGGGTTAGACGGTGGACGACGGAGGTGATGTCTTGGATTGGGTCGTCCATTGCGGTTGATTGATTGTATTGTATTGCAAGCGTATGTTGTTATTTGAGGTTGTGTTGTTGTTGCGCGAGGTAAGCTCAATGGATTGGAGTGTTTTGCAGGGGAAGGTCGAGAGCTGGACAAGAGCTCCTTTCACATGCCAAAGAGTCGAAAACGTGCCTGACGATGACATCACTGGGGAAAGCGTGTTCCAACTTGAAGTTACCGGGTCTGCCGGCGACAACGTTGAGGCATCGTCGAGTCTCGATCCATCGTCTTGAGCTCACTCATTCACCCCTTGATGGGTGACGTACACCAATTCAATTCCTTCAAACAACAAGTCTGTTTTCTTCCTTTCGCATCGAAGCTCAAAACAGCTCTCGAAAAAAGCTGAGCTCTCCTCCAGCCAAGCCACCATCGACTGCAAGAGTGAAAGCTACCAACGATGGCGAGTGGCAGCATCACCAAGACTCTGCAGCACTTCATCAACGACCCGATCAAGTTCCTCTTCCAACTGATCCAAACCCTCCTCGACTATATCCTCTCGCCTGCCCCGCCGAAACCGAATGCTGAACTGGGTCGTCCCAAGATCGCCATTGTTGGAGCTGGACTTACGGGTGTTTCGTCTGCGTCGCATTGTGTTGGCCATGGGTTCGATGTTACGATTTTCGAGGCGGGGAGTAGGAAGAATTTGGGTGGGATTTGGAGTCGTGTGAATAACACGTCGGGTACGATAAATCCATACAGCCTGTGCTTGAGCATGTACTGACTTCTGGACAGGCCTGCAGATCCACTCCATCATGTACCGATTCCATCCCAGCGTCAAATGGTCCGAGGGCTATCCTGGTCGTAAAGAGATTGTGGGTGCCATTGAAGAGCTTTGGAAGAAGTATGGACTCGATAAGAAGACCAAGTTCGATACTCGCGTGGAGAAAGTGTACAAGGACAACCAGGGTCGATGGATCATCAACGATCCCTCGAATGGTCGTTTCGATGGTGTCATTGCAGCTGTTGGAACTTGTGGCGATGCGAAAATGGGTCAGATCAAGAATCAAGACAAGTTCAAGGGCGGCGTCTTCCATTCGTCTGAGCTAGACGGGAAGGAGGCCAAGGACAAGACTGTTCTTGTTATCGGAGGTGGTGCATCTGCTGTGGAGGCCCTCGAGTACGCCGCCCACGCTGGTGCTAAGAAAACCTACATTCTGGCTCGCAGCGAGAAATGGATCATCCCACGAAACCCCTTCATCGACATTCTTCTATCTTTGAACATCTTCGGCGCCGAAACTCCTCTTTCCTGGATTCCTGAATCGCTTCTACGGCTGTTCTTCTACCGCGACCTCAGCGACATCGCGCCAGCGCCTAATAGTGGCAAGGGCATCTTTATGGACACGCCAATGGTCAACAATGATGTGTTGGAGCAGATTCGCAGTGGCAAGGCGAGCTGGCTCCGTGGCGATATCAAACGTTTTGAGGAGAATGGGATTTTGTTCAATCACCGCAGCCAGGGTGTACCGAAAGGTTAGTGAAGTGCTGTCTGTGATCATTCGGTGTGGTACTAACAATGTTTAGGTGGGCCTGGCCGCGAGGAGCTCATCCAGGGCGATTTGTGCATCATGGCGACAGGTTTCGAGCGACCATCTCTTACCTTCCTCCCACCGGAATGTTTCGAGGAGAAATACGAGCCCCCGAACTGGTACCTACAGGTCTTCCCACCTAAGCACATGGACATCTGCGCAAACAACTGCACCTACGTCAACGCCATCGGCACAGTCGGCAACTACCACATCGGCATCTACACACGTTTCCTACTCATGTTCTTGGTCGACCCTCTTGCTAGGCCCAACGAGAGACTGATGAAGACATGGGTGGACTTTACCCGCTGGGTCAAGGCTCGTGCGCCCACTGGGGCGTTCGATTTCTTCACCTACGCCGAGCTCATGTACTGGTTTGCGTTCGTCATCGTGATCAACCCGTTCCGATGGAAGTGGGCGCTTTTCGTGCTGTGTGGTATTGGCGAGTCGTTGCCGAAGAGGATTGTTAAAGAGGAGGATAAGTTGAGGGCTTCGTGGGGAGCGGCTACGAATGGTGTCAAGGACGAGTAAAAATCAGGGCGGACGAGGAACGGGTTTGTATGTACACATTAGAGACAGACATAACGAGATACAGGAACCAAAAAATGATATCAAGAAGAAAACGACGCCGTGCCAGCCGTTTGTCGAGGTCTAAGAAACGCTCCTTCCAGTACTTCCACGCGATATCCTCCTTCCTCCAACAGTGGGCGCACTTTCCTCGTCGACTATCGTGGTCCTTCTAGCCATCTCTGCACCATCGACTCGGCATCCCGAACAACCCCTACCCTTATTTTCGATTCTGCCTCGCCCACCCTCCTTTGCCCTACACATACACTTCATTCGTACCAATATCACCCAGAGGCTCACCGTGGCCTCTATCCGTCATCACGTATACTACCCGGCGGCTGTCGCGCGCATCCAAGGACCGCCGACCGAACGCGCGCCAGAATCGTTTCTCCCGCAGCACTGAGTCTCGAGGTCGTAGAGACTATCATCGCCAATCCTACTATACTGGCCATACGCCTTCACCTGCTCCAGACGACGACAACGACAGTATGGAGACTCCAGCGCCTCCATCCACTGCTACGACCACTGTGCAGCCTGTTGAGGAGGAGGAAGCTGTTGCGGCGATTCCTGATGATGAGGTTTCGGGTGATATTCCTGCGATGAGCCGGACTTTCACGACGCCTGATGGCGTACCTATCACCGTGATGGAGAAGCCGAGCGCTGAGGGTGCGTGTCCCGAACGCTTCATTTGTTGAGAGCTAATGTGGTGTACTGACAGGCTCGGTAGTCGTCAGGAGACAAAGCACCATCGCGAAGGGCTCGACTATCGATAGCATCATATCACCCAAGCCACGTCTAACGAAGAGCTTCCCTACCACAGCACCTTCACCGCGTCCAGTAAAGAGCTTCCCGAATGTACCTTCGCCTCGCCCAGCTTCGCCCACAAGAGCATTGACCGAGCCCTCCAAACCCGTCAAGGTAACGCCAATATTCCCCAGCCTCACCGAGAATGTTTGCCTGTTTCACGACCATGTCACCTTGCGCGAAGTCACCGTGGTCATCAACGAGAGAACAATCATGGACAGAGAAGGCGGACTGCTGTTTCAGGTCGATCACAAAAAGACCTTCCTCGAGCCAAACGGATAGTATGCGTTTGATCTGAGGAGGAGCAAGATGCGGTGGACGAAGAGATGGTACTTGGACATCAAGGGGATACAGAAGTTGACGTTCAAGAAGAAGCATCCGAAGAGAGGCAGTACGACTTCAAGCCAGCGGCGACAGCATTGAGATTTTGCTAACAGTGAACAGGAGCATCAATGCATACTCAGCTCCCTCCGGCCAATAGAACAGGCTCACTGGATGTCGTCCTTCAAAACGGCATGTTACGTGTCGGACAAGGCCGCAGCAGCATCCTCGTGGCAATCGTGGAAGACGAGATCAAGCAGCTGAACAACGAGCCGCGCGGAAGAAGAATGAGGGTGGCAAAAGGCTTCGATCTCGCCGTTGCGAGCGCGATGTGTTTCCTCTTCTACAACGGCACCGGGAAGAGTCAGTCTCGCGCGAATGGGTATGCACGCATGTAGTGGAGGAATGAGGGTGGCGTTGTGAATCTGTGTGAAGAAAACCTAGTAATGGTCAGAACATGAGCAAGAGGCTCTTCGTTTACCATGGAGAAACAAGAAGGAAAACGTTGCGGTGGTGTTTGTGGTTGAAACAGCTGTTTTGATCAAGAGTACGTAGCTTTGCAAACAATCGTTGGAAACAGCAGTACTTGTTCTCATTCCATCCCATTCAAATCAAACATATCATCCCATGGCATCGCCCTTGTTCGCGAGCCTGTTCCTTCATTCCAATTATTCCAACGTTTCATCGTCATCTCCAAAGTCAGACTCATTCCATACCACCAAAAGCGTGTTTCCCTGCTCATACTCCCTGTGAGAAGGGAGGAGGGTGCGATGGGAAGCAGACTGTGTCCTGTCTATGCTTTGCCCTTTCCACTTGGCCTGTGACCTGGCCCGACCTGGCGGCTGATAGCTTTGTTTGCTGTTCAGCCTTTCGCCGGTGATGAGGAGAGGTGAGGTGGGATGTAGACTGTGGCCTGTGTTTTGCTGTCCCGGTGAAGTGCCATCTGGCTGAGGGACCGGGCGCTTTGATGAGCTGTTCGTGTCATTGCTGGAGATGGCGAGACGTGAAGGCTGTGTCATGCCTTGATGTTCCCTGTGGAGAGGTGTTGGGCTGAGGTACCGACAGCTTTGATGAGCTGTTCGTGTCCTTGCCGGAGACGTGGAGAGGTGGATGAAGGCTGTGACATGCCTTGCTATTCCCCGGAGAGAGGCGACTAGCTCAGGTACCGACGGCTTGATGGCCTATCTGGTCCTTGCCGGAGACGAGGAGAGGTGGATGCAGGCTATGACATGCCTTGTCATCCCCGTGGAGTGCCATCTGGCTAAGGTACTGACAGTATGTCGGACTGTTCAGTCCTTGCTTGTGATCGGGAGAGGGTGGTGGGAAGCAGGCTGTGACATGCCTTGCTATCCCTGTGGAGTGCCATCTGGTTGAGGTACTGACAGTATGTCGGGCTGTTCAGTCCTTGCTGGAGACGGGGAGAGGTCTCGGTCGGGTCCTTGCTGTCTCCATGGCCTGTGACCTGGCCATGCTGCTGACAGCGCATTGATCCGCCGATGAGGGAGAGGAGGAAGTGGGGTGCAGGCTGTGTCCTGCCTTGCTATTCCCAAGGATAGCCACGAGGCTAAGGTACCGACGCCTTGATGAGCTGTCTGGTCCTTGCCCCTGGTGAGGAGATGAGGTGGGGAAGCAGGCTATGACCTGCCTAGCTATCCCCAAGGAGAGGTGCCTGGCTAAGGTACCGACGCTTGATGAGCTGTCTAGTCCTCGCCCCTGGTGGGGAGATGTGGTGGGGAAGCAGGCTGTGACCTGCCTTGCTATCCCCGAGAACAACGACCGGTCCATGCCGCCGATAGGCTGCAGGACAGCCTACTCCTTGCGGGAGAAGGGGAGACACATCCCAAGACGAGGTGCTTTTGGCGCTGGCTCGGCGGGCTCAGCGGCGGCGGCAGGTTGCTCGTCCTCACCAAACAACTCGGAGAAGTCGAAGTTCTGCTCGCCTTCACCGAAGAGGTCGGCGCCGTCGTTCTCCTCAACCCCAGCCTCAGCCTCTGTGGGCTGGGCGGTGAGGTTGAGCTCACTCTCTCCGAACAGGCTGTCGGAGTCGTCACCCTTGACAGCCTGCTCACCCTCCCCATCCTGCGCAAAGGCGCGCGCGATCTCCGCCGCCACCTCACTCTCCCCAACCTCCTCCGCCGCGAAGGCGCGCGCGATCTCCGCTGCCATGGCGTCCTCGTCAACCTCATCTGGGGAGGTGACGGGCGTCTGGCTCCCGCTGCCGCTGCCCTGTGAGCTCCCCTGTGGGGTGAGCTCACTCTGGGAAGACTCCCCAGACCCTCTCCGAGCACCAGCACCCTGTTTCTTGGGTGCTGAGCTTGGTCCAGCGACGACCGCCGGGGATGCCTCGACCTGTTGAGCAGGTGAGGCTCCCTTCTTGGCGGCCTGCTTGCCCTTCCCCTTTGACGGGGCGGCTGGGGCCTGGGGAGAGTCTGCCTTCCCAGCAGCGGCAGCGGCAGCAGCAGCGGCCTTGGCCTTGTCCGCCTTGTCTTTGGCGACCCTCTCGCGGTAGCGCTTGTTGCTCTCGTTGTGAGCAATCCTGCGCTTCTCCAGCGTCTCCAGCGTCTCCCGCTCTTGGCGCTCCAGCGCCTCCTGGGATGGCCTGGGAACAGGCGCGGCAGCTCTCCTCCGCTCCTCCTCAGCCCGATAGTCCTCCATGCGCTTGCGATGGTGCTCGCGCCTCCTTCTGCCGTTGATGTTCGCAGGGCCATCGTAGAAGCCCGTCCTCACCTGCTCCGCCCGGAGAGCCTCCTGCTGCTCGCGGAGGAACTTCTCGTGGTTTGCGTGGGCCGCTGCGGCCTCTGCGGGCGATCTCCGTGGCACCCCAACGGTCTGTGGTGCTGATTGAGGTGCCAGCGGCGTGGCAACAGGGGACGACGACGGGGATGAGTCGTCGCGCGTGAGGTCGATCGTCTCGGGAGCCGCCTGCGCGGCTGCCGCCGAGGACGACTCGTCCTCGTCGTCACCGGTGAGATCGATCGTCTCAGGAGCCGGCCGCGGGGCCGGAGCGGGCATCGGCGCGAAATGCCTGTGCAGGGAGAGGTCAAACCCCTCCTCCGTTGGCGGTGGCCCAATGAAGGGCTCCACCAGGGGCGCTGGGCCGGCGAGGGAGATTTCCTCTTCCCCGTTAGGGAGGCCCAGGTCAGCACAGAGCTTATTGGCGCTGTGCGCCCACTCCTCCCACGTTTCCCCGTACAGGGTGCGTGACGACAGGTCGAACGACTGGCCGGCTGGCTCAGTCGACGACTCTGCCGTGGGGATGTCAGCACCCGCCGGAGAAACGTGATTACCCTCACGCTGAGAGCCCGCAGGCAGCGTGAGCTTGGCCCGCTTGGCGGGAGAGGTGGCCCCTGTGGCCGCGCTGTCTTGGGTGAGGCCGGCCTCCGTGCGAGAGCGTTTGTTGCTGCTCGCCTTGGGAGTGGCCGCACTCTGTGGCGCTTCGTCGTGATGGCCGCCCACCTCGCTGGTGGTGCGGCCCTGCTCGTACTGGGTGAACTTGCCAGCCATTGTGTGATAATGGCTCTGTTTCTCTATTGGTCTTGTTTGTGCAAATGTGCTATGCTGTCGATCAATAGCTTGGATTGCTGTAAACTGACGGAGAAAGTGTGATGTTCTGTGTGAAAAGAATCCCATCCTCACCTGCTACTCACGTCTTCTTAAGTAGGCGCTGGGGGGCCATATCCTGGGTGCGGAGGAGGCTCACATGTTCGCAGAGTCGAAAATCTCTCCTCAAAGCTACCAAAACATCTCCCAGCTCATAAGCAGAGCAAACCACCTTTCGAACATCGGCCATTGGCAGAAGCCACGCTGAATCTCTCGGAGACTTGCTTGTCATGCCAATGCGAAAATGACCAAGCTGAATACAAACGATCCGTATGGTGCTGTCGCGCGGGCAGCATCGTCCTCCCAGCCATGGAACCACGACAAGGTCTTGGTCATACATTGTCGACAGAAAATTTCTGCGTCGCTCGAGTCCCCTGGTTTCAATACTGAATGCAAACGATCTGTATGGTGCCGTCGAGGCCGTGCTTGGAGCCGCAGCGTCTGCTCGTAGCTTGTCAGCGCCGCCAAGGACGCCGAAGTTTGGTTTCGTTGTGGTCTCTTGATAGCTGCAGCTCGCCAGTACCAAACAACGCTCGTCGAGGAAAAATTCTCGCGGCCAATGAAGTCCTTCCAAATTTGGGTAATGCCTAAAGAAACACCTGGGACTTGATGTGACATAGAACAATCAGTATATTTCCGCTGGGTATAACCTACAACGCCCAAACTCCAGGTCGTCCGCCTCACCGTCGTATGCTCGTCGTCCACGCCTCATCGTTCGCGGTCATCCAAAGACGCCGGCTCGACGCATCACCCCTTCGAAATCATCTACCCCGACACCTCCCAGCGTTCCACCGGTAGCCTCTCGCACCATATCCTTCAGCACATTCTCCGATACGTCCTCTCGAAGCTCCTTCGCCACTCTGCGGAGGTCCAGCAAGGTGATGTCCCGCTCCTCGCCTTTGGTAAACAGCTGGTAAGCCTTCAGAACCTCCTCACTCAGGGCATCCGGATCATTTTCATGCGCATGCATCTTGAGCGCAGCGATCGCGACGAAATGCTCGAAGGGAACGAATCCAGAGCCATCAGGATCCACCGTCTCCACCATTTCTTTCAACTCTGCCGCATCGGTAGGAGGAATATTCAGAGCGACGAGGCATCTCCGCACGTCATTGGTCGCAATGACTCCCTCTTTCCCCTCAAACTCTTCATGCGGTCTGGCAAATAACGCAAAAGCCTCTTGAATCTCTCCTTCCTGGTCCGCAGTGATATCGTTCTCCTTGGCCAATTTCGACCGTCGCTTCGCAGGAGGTTTCGGGGCCGCGGCGGGCTGCTTGCGCTTGGGGGCCTGCCGAGGAAAAGAGGAAGACGATCAGCGAGACAGGCTAGCATGTGACATTTGGGGTACGACCTACCATCTCTGCGCACCTAATTTCGCATCATCAATATTCGATGGTCATGGCATTAAGGTTTCAGTCGTCCAAAGACGTGAGGTCAACAAAGCTGCAGGCATGAGAGCTGACTAACAGGTACGGATCGGAGCTTAGACCATGGTACTGCGCACCCAATTTGAACTTCACTCTTGGCTGCTTCTCTTTTCTTCACACGCATCGCTGTCATCAGCACTGCCAACACCGTTCGAAAATCATCGAGTTGGCCGTCAAACTGAAAGCCAGCCGAATCTATCAAGTCTAAGTATCCTCCTTCCTCTCCTTTCCCTCATTCATCACGGCCATGAAAATTGCTAGAGCCCGTCATCGCCTTTCACAAGGATGTCGAGTGTGGACAGAATGGCTAGAAGGAAACCCCTGGCCTCGTCTCCAAGAGACAGGTCAGCGTCCGTGGCATGTCACTTTTGGCTTCCCACCCTGCTGAGAGCTGACTATTGCGGACGCGACAAATACTGGAAAGAGAAAAGAATATCCTCGCTAATGCTACACTGAATGCTACTGTTATGTACATCTTGGTTGGGTATCATCTATCCAAAGAATCGAATGCAGAGCCCTCCCAGTCCTGATCCAATTCAAAGTTTTTCTCCTGTTCACTGAAGACCGTGTGACTTCAGAAACGCATCCATCGGTCGTCGGTCTTTGGTCGCAATGTAGTAGTGTCCACCGACATCTGTCCAGCTCACGCTGTTGGAGAAGTACTCAAACCTCCTCTGAACCAGCTGATTTGCCACCGAATGAATGTTTCTCATTGCGAGTTTGTGTCCCTCGGGTACGAACGGCTTCAGACTGACCACTTGGCACCCTTCCTTGAGGTCGAGGAACTTGTTGCAGAGCTTGTCGTTGAGCGCCGGCGTGAAGGCTTGATTGTTTACAAGCACAACATCAGCTCGTCGAAGAACCTCATCGATGCCTGGATGGTCAGTGAAGTCGCCGCGCAAGAGGTTAACTTTGCCAGCCGACAGCCCCCACAGACGCGCTCGCGCTGGGAACTCTCGAGCCTGCAGTTCCGCCAGATCGCAAGGGTTCTTCATCATTTCAATTCCCCAGCTCTCGCATCCGATTTCGAGGGCTGCCTGCAGCACCACGTTTCCGACGCCAGAACCCAGATCAACGAAGACTTGCTCGTGGTTGAGCTTTGTTTTGTGGAACATCTCACTGCAGAGACGAGGCATCAACTCTCCATAGACATTATCGCTTCCGTTCTGATACGCCCTGAGCGTCTCGACTTTGGGCGAAACCGTTCTGCCGTATGTTTGATCAAGTATGCGTCGCACCCAGTCGAGGTGCAGACTCCTCTTGTGTTTCAGCTCTTTCTCGAGGGTGCCGTCACTCAACAAGCCACCCAAGATAGTGTTGAAGTCCTGAACAATCTCTATGAAATCATCCACACTTTCTCGCTGCCATGCTCGGTGAAAGCGCCTGTCGTATCCTGTTTCTTCGCTCAGGCCAGTCGCAACAAGCTCTTCCGGGAAGTACCACGTGCAGATTGTCTTGATGGTCTCGATGATATCTTCCATAGGCTTGTAGTCGTCCTTGGACACGTACTTCGGCCACTTAAGCTCGAATCGTTCCTTGTGGCCCTTGCTGGGATATTGCAGCTCCACGCATTCGAAGACTTCGTCTTCAAAAGGGTTCTTAAACTTGGAGGCATTTGGCCCGGACGTCGCATCTGCACCATGTATGAAATCGAAGATGGTATCATCCTTGAAAGCTGCTTCTGATATCACGTTTCGCCTTGGCCCACTGCTCTCGACCGAGCTGACGCTGCTCTTAATGCGCTTCCGAGACGCATCTGAGTCGGAACCGCCGATGTCGCTACTGTCATCTTCATCGTCGCTGCTGAAGAGTGCCGGCTGAGGAGTCGCGCTCTTTCGTTTCACACCTCTCGAGACAGACAGGGCTCGGCGAGCAGGGTTGGGGGGTTTCTTCGAGGTCGCGGGCTTCGGGCTTGCGCGGTGGAGGGCCTGGTTGAATCTGTTCGGATCTGGACGGCCAGAGGGTCGCTGGGCCCCAGCGGTACTTTGGTTCGGAGTGACGACCTTTCGTACAATGGTCTTGCGAATGACGGGTTGGTTCGCTCCGGTCTTAGGTTTGCTGAAGTTCATAATGCAGGGCTAGCGAGGGGTATCATGCGTGTACGCGATGTCTCATGCTTCGGAAGGGTGCGCGCGTGAACGAGCGGTGTATATATATATTTGGAGTGGAGGATGAATGACTAGCGTGTTCGAGAACGAGCATGTGAAGTTGAATGTCAGAAAAAGAAAGAAATGTGAAGTCTTGAGTGAATACGAAGGAACAGGCAGTGCTCACGTGTCGCGCGGCGGCGAAACCGCCACGCTAAAAAACAATACAGGCAGGCCCTTGCGGCTGAGAACGTCGTGCTTGACTCGAGAAACCACTGTGGCTTCAGTGAGGATTCAACGACCGTCTGTGGATGTCAAAGCCATTAAAGTGCTCAGGAGAGGCTGCGAAGTCAAGACAGACTTGTGCTGGTGTTTCCCTCCTCACCTTACCTTCTTTCACAACTTATGCCAGTTACCTGCACTGCAAACCCCGGAGTAGCATTGTCTCATGGCCTTGCGAATACATCTATCTCACAGCGCAGTATCACAGTGACGTCAAAACTCGTAGCTTGTCTGTTCAGAACAACCAGGTAGGTGCATGTGATGGTGGTGTATAAGAACCTAGCATCACAACGCAACTCAGCTCTCCACCCTCTCCTCATCGAGTAAGCATTGTCTCCTCGCTTCACAGAGCATTTTGATTTCATTTCCCAAGTCATCCAACAACATCGAGAGAGATCCATCAAACATGGACAAAATCCCCGAATCCAACGCCACCAAAGGCCAACCCGAATCAACGACCAACAAACTCCTCGAGACAGGCGCCTCCCTAATCCAAAACTTCGAACCCCCCAAACGTCTCTGCGCTCATCTGTAAGACCTCAACCCCCAAAATCCATACCACCTACCTACATATATCTAACACCCACCCCCAGCAACGCCTTCCACGTCTACGCCTCCGACCCAACCCGGCACACCGAATCCAACCACTACTGCGCGCACCTCAACGACGAAGTCCGCCAATGCATCCTCTACGACTCCCCGCACGCCAACGCCCGCCTCATCGGAATCGAATACATGATCACGCCGCGGATCTACGCGACCCTCGACCCCGAGGAACGCGCTCTCTGGCATTCACACGTCTTCGAAGTCAAATCCGGCATGCTCATCATGCCGGCGCCCGCGGGCGTCCCGTACGCCGTGTGGGAGGCGGCGGAGAACAAGGAGATGGAGCAGGTGGTGGAGTTGTATGGGAAGGTGTATCAGCTTTGGCAGGTGGATCGTGGGGATCAGGTGCCGTTGGGGAAGCCGGAGTTGATGACGAGTTTTACGAAGAGGGAGCAGTTTGATTTTGACGGGGTGGTGGGGGAGAGGGATCGCAGGTTGGGGGTTGAGAGTGCGAGGAAGGCTGAGGTGAGGGAGTATATTCGGGAGCCGGAGGTGCATCCTGATGCTGATGCGACGTGGAAGAAGGGGTAGAGGAGGGGTGTAGGGGGTGGATGGGTGGCGATGGGGTGGAAAGGTCGTAGTCTCTTGCGGGTCGTATGGAGTATGAGCCGTAGTGTCGACGTGGGTGAGCAAGCCTGTACTCAATGTTATCAGCCCTGCGTAATGTCAGTCCATTCAAAAACCTCGATTGTATTTCTGCGGTCTCTTCTTATACTCATCAGAACTTGCGACATTGAAGAAAGGAACAGAAGCAATAGTCATGACCAAAGTTAGACAATAATGATTAATCTGATTGGATGCTGGCTGGGGCGGAAATATAGAAAGTGTCTTTTCGTCAAACTCGTTTGGCCGTCCACGCCGAAAGAGACATGTTGGATCCAGGAATAAAAAAAAGTGAACCCAGTATTCACTCAAGATTCCCCGTTCGTGGGCACAAAGAGTTTTTCCCCTTGATAATCCGGTCGCCCCATTACCCCTAGTTCGCTCCCATCAAATAAACGCCGTTCGTCGCCATGTCCCATCACTCTCTAAACAGTTTTCGTATCACAGGTATCGGTTGGTTTGGTTTGTTGGTTGGTATGTCGGTTGTTGGTAGCAGGAAGTATGTACAAGAAAGGCGTGGTCGTAAAAGATGGATCCATCTCTCTCAGAAACGTCTCCGGTCTATGTCGTGAACAAGAAGCTATGAGACAGAGCGCTGCCTCCTAGAGGATCCGGATGGAGGCAATGCTCGTTGCCGCGCTGCAGGAAGGATGGAGCGCGGACAGCGTGGCTGAAACCACAAGCTGAAGAGTCGAAAGACCTAGTGGTCCATGATTTTCCAGCCTTCTCGTAACAATGTTCGACCGAAGAACATGGTGCCGAGGATCACACCGCAACCGGCGAGTGCAACGCCAGTGTACCACGCGCATCGGATGCCGTGCATGACGTCCGCTTCGGTCTTGCCGTGGTTGTTGACTTGTACCTCGACGGTACCTGCGATGCCGAGCGCAATGGAGATGGAGTAGTTGACCATGGTATTGACCAACGACGCGGCTAGACCTTGGTGTTCTCTTGGCATGTGGTTTGAGAGGATGACTGTTCCTGCTGGGAACGACATGTCCATGCCTGTAAGTCGTCAGTACAACGTAACTTTACACTTGACACCTCGAGACTCACCGAAAGGCATGATTAGAATGGCGACAAACATCTGCGCCCAGTATGTCTGATGTGCTGGCTGGGTGGCAGTGATCAGCTCACCGAGGAAGAAAGCCACCATGGCAATCATCATGGTGAACGCGACGGGCGTGTGCGTAAGCATGAAACCCGTCGCACCCGCAGCAAGGAGACCACAGACTAGAGCTGGAGTGTATTGAGCCGACACGCTGAGTGGAGTGTAGCCACGGATCTCCTCGAGGAAACGCCAAGAGTAGTAGATCCAGATACCGAACGAGCCCCAACCGATACCAACCAGAGCCATCGTGTACGTAACAGTGCTGGTCATGTGACGGACGGGAAGAATGGGCGAGATCGCACGGGCTTCGACCCAAACGAATGCGATCAAGGAGAAAACTCCAATGATTAAGATGAAGTAGACGTGCGGTTGATTCCAGCCGAACAGAGGCCCGTTGTTCCAAGCGACGTTGATGAGGATGAGGCCAATGACTCCGAGGAGGGAACCGGTCCAGTCCATGCCTGGCTTGGTCGATCTACCGGCGAACTGAGCGTCGTGGGCGAGCGCCTTGGGGATGATGACGGCGGAGAAGGCAGAAAGTGCCCACGCCGCGATACCGTAGCTCCAGAACGCCCACGGCCACCATGCCAACTGTGCGAAGACGCTAGAGAACAAGGCGCCCATCACGAAACCCCAGGGAGCCATGGCACCGAACAGGGAGAAGACGATGTTCTTCTTGATTCCAGGAGGGTACGCACGACCAAGCAGAGCGAGTGCATTGGGTGCCAGTAGGGCAGCTCCAATACCCTGGAATGCACGGCAGATGTCAAAGAAGACTTGACGACCAACGTAGGCGCTGAATCCGGCAAATGCTGACCAGCATCCAAGGAAGAAGTATCCAAAGACAAACACTCGCTTGTGTCCGATGATATCGCCCATTCGTCCAGAGATCAGGATAAACGTTCCGACGGTGAGCGAAAAGGCTGCCGCAAACCATGCTTGCTCGCCAGGATTCGTTACGTGCAGGCCTTCTGCGATAATGTGCATTGGAGCGATGGACTGCCCAAGACCAGCCAGACCCATGAATTGAGCCATAATCACAACACCGATAAACAGCGTCTCGTGGAACACGGAAATGTTTAATGGCTGTGATGACGGTGGCGCTGGTGTTGACGGAGGGTCGGGCGAGGGCGAGACGATGTATCCAGTCGATTCGGCGTCGTCCTTCATCGATTCGGGATTCGAGGATCGCATCATGCTGGGGTCCATGAGGAAAGAAGTCGACCGTCCGCGTCCGCTGCTATATATCGCTGGGATCTCTGGTACTGATTCTCTGCTCTCATCCCACATGCTGTCGGCCGCCAGAGAGTCGACTCGGGACTGGAGGGATATGTGTCGTGATTTGTAGAGCGATGTGCGCGCTGAGCTCGAGTCGTTGCCATCCCTCATGGGAGGGGGGTAGTCGGGGAGAACCATGTTGATGGATTCAAAGAAGAACTATGAGTTGTGAGTATATGTTTTGTAGTGGTCTTTGCTCCTGCGAGCGCGCCAAGTTGACGGAGGAGCAGGAGCCACCGTGAGCGGACGGACGTACAAGAGGGCTATTGATAAGATTCCAAAACGAAGGACGTCGTGGAGACTGTCGTTGCAAAGAGTGGCCAACGACAACTCACGAGGGTGCTCGAAACCAGAAACATGCGCTGGACGGTACGCCGAGACATAGAGAAAGGCCGGGCAGGCAGGTGGTTTTGCTCTGGCAACCCGTCCCTCGAGCGTCACCCTAAGCCTGGCGCAGCGCTGCGCATCTGGGCGATGGCTAGAGCGTCACGTCGATACCGCCCCTAGTTGTCATCGTCGCTCTCGAAGCCGCCGGTACGCCAAAGAGGAGAGCCGTGTTAAAATTGGGCCAGCAATCTCATAACGGTGCGTGCATCTGGCGCTTTGGGACGAGAGCGTTCGCCCTAGCCTCGCAGAAGCCAATAGCACGAGGCGTCGTTGGCGAGCAGACCTCGATGCGGAAAGGCCGGCTCTGCCGCCATCACCCAGCGCTTTGATGAGGTGGCTTGCACGTGAGAGACTACGGGTCGCCGAACACATCCCTGAGTTGCAACTACGCAGCGGCAACGTGGTGATGGTATGGGATCGGTGTCGAACTAGCAGGCATAGGTGTCGTCGCAACCGGTGCCCGCAGCCTTGTCAGATGCACAATAGCTGTAGCATCGCCGGGCGAGCTCTGCTGCACGTCAGCGTGGTGGACTGTTGGTTGGGTGGTCGTCGTCGTGTTAGCCTCGCAAGCTCGCGGCAGGAAAAGGGAGGAATGTGGAGAAGGTGCCGTAACCTTAACTATTTTGTCATGTCGATCGGCTGGCGATTCCCAAACACGCCAGACAACCGCCGTCGCGTTGCTCGCGCTGGGGCAGATCCCCATCACCGCGAATGTAAAAGGCAAGCACATCCCCCGCGAGTGATCCTGTCGCCGTCGCGGAGATGTTTTTTCTTCGTGTGCCGTGCTCCGGCCATTTTGCTGTGCCATCGAAAAGGAAGAACGGGAGACGTCCAGCCCGCAGAGTCCCAAGAACCGAGAACTGCCGCTGCACGCGTTCGTAAGCGAGACGCAGGAACACGCCCAAGCCTCGAAAAGAAGCTTAACGCTGTTGGTCCTCAGCTGCTCCTTTCCGCCCAAAGGGCTGCGTGTACGCATGTGCCTCTCATTCCTGCCCTGCATCCTCTTCTGCAGTCTGACACGGTGCTGTGTTTCGCTTGCGATGACACGCAGAGCGATGGCAGCGCCAAGCCGGTCTATGGGCACCTGTTTGGTTGTTTGATGTGACGGGCGGTCGTGACGTTGGATCAAAGATCGTGACAGCTCAGGGGTCCCCCGCGCATCGGACGATATCCCTGCTCTAACGTCAACCCCCATCGCGATGATGAGGCTGAGCACGCCGAACGAGAAATGGCTACATTCATCTCAAAACAGTCATTATCTTCTCATCCGTCCGCTCGCAGTGTTGGTCAATTTCCCAAGCCTTGGCTACTCCTCTCCCACAGAATGACATTCTCACTGCTCACCGATCTAGCCTCATGCCCAGCTTCCTCTTGTAGCCTCTGCGACGAGCTGGTGGTGAAACCTGCCGCCTCTGCCATGCCATGCCACCGCTACCAAGCAAGATCTGAATCATGGCTTGCATGTCAAGAGCGTGGCGCGACGTGCTGGGCTGGGCAGGGAGAACAGGAGGTCATGGCGTTTTTGGGGTGGCTGTTAGACTTCTGTAACGAAACCACCTTTCTGCTACGAATTCGGCCGTTGGGATCCCTTCGCGCTACCTACCACCACAAACCACATGGGGGTTTGTTGGTTGATGGATCGTGTTGGTCCAAACATTGCGATTACGATTCATGTACCAACAAGCGCTTCGAGATTGTTCTGTTGATGAGAGTTGCACACGAGAAGCATTTCCATAAACCAAGACTGGTTTTCTCCACCAAGCCTCGTAGACTTTGAATGCATTCGATATCAGCCTCCCGCTCGGCAGCAACAAGAATAGCCATCTCGTCTCAGCAAGCGCCCGCCACGATCACGTAGCCACCATTCTGGACCACTTCCAGACTCATCAGTACAACAGGCTGGCTTTCTCCACAGAACTGATCAAGGGGCATCAAGTATAGCCTCCGAGGAACCCGAAGTGGCTGATGGAGTGGTAGGGCGCCGCGTTATGAACGTATGCACGTCGATGATGAAGTACCACCAGGCGCCCGGGAGACGACTTCGTGCCAGCAACGTCCGGCCAAAGATCATACTGACTTGTGATAGTTGTCCTAAACATTCTTTTACTTGCCATGTCCACTTCTCCGTACTTCCACAGCGAGTCAGTATCGCAAGCATCACGCAAAGACGAAGCCGATTCGTCGAACGGGGTTCTAGGCCGCACACTCGGGTTGTGCTTTATGGAAGACACGATGGAGCTTTCATTAGAGATGTGAAGAGACTGCTACATACGAAGGGGACAAGACATGAAGTGAATCAATTTCATTCCGATTCTATCAACATTCAAACACAACGCGTCTAAAACCAGCCAGCAGCCCTTCTCAATCTGTCGCAGACTTTCCATGACTGCGAACGTAGAGACTGCTAGTTGCGCCGGGCTGAAAAAAGTGGTGTCGTGAGCGTGTTGAAGTTCCGTGCATCGTGGGGCGTCGAAGGGGTTCACGAGGGTATCGGGAAGGTGCTGGAGGAGTTGGTGCCGGTCGATGGTGGAGGGTAAAGGGACGAGGGGCGCAGAAGATCGATATTGCTGCTTTCGTGCTGGGCTGATCCATGCTGGGCTCGTGTGGGGTCGATGGGGAGTGGTCGCTGCCATGAGGCCGTGTATCGTCATCGTCGTGCTTCCACATAGTATATCGACGATCCGGATGGAGCTATTGGTCCTGAAGCTTTGGAATACTTTCGAGGACTGGGTGGGTCTGGTCTTTGAAGAGACCGCTTGCTGTCGCATTCTGCCTTGATGAGGTCTTTACATGTCCATGCTGTCTCCACCGTTGGCGAAGTTGAAGTTCTGTTGCTGCTGCTGAGCACCAAAACCGAACTGACCATCTTGGCCCTGCTGTGGAGCCAGGTCGTTGACATCGGCATCACCGTCATCATCCGAGAAGTACTTCTCAATGATGTTGTATGCCTTCATGTAGATCTCCTCGTTGCTGTTGTTCTGGCAGTCGTGGATCTTCTCCATGCCACCGCAGTCTTCGATGAAGAGAGCATACTTGTTGACGGGTTGCTCAGTGCTACCATCTGCAGCCTCCTTGTCCATGTCGCCGACCTTGAGAATGTTCTCAAGACCGTCAAGTGCAACTTGGATGATCTTGTTGTCTGGGCAAGAGAGCAGGTCGCACAGTGGTCGAATTGCACCCTGGTTGACCAAGTAGCGGATCTGATCGGGCTTCTGCAGACCACCGCTCGTGGCATTAGAGATAGCCCAGCAGGCCTCCTTGCGAGTCTTGAAGTCGCCGTGGCTGAGAAGATGGATCAAAGGTGGAATGATGTTGGCGTCGATGACAGACTGGATCTGGGTGCTGTTGCCAGCTGTGATGTTGGAAATCGTCCAGCAGGCTTCCTTGCGAATTCCATCCTTGGTAGAGCTCAAGAGAGAGAGAAGAGCGGGGAGGGCACCGCAGTTGATGATGAGCTGGGTCTGCACGTCGTCTCCGGTTACGATATTGCCAACTGACCGCAGAGCTGGGGTTTGGACAGAGGTGGAAGCATGCATAAGCAGCTCGACCAGGCGACGAGGAATGTTCGCCTCAATGACAGCCTGGATCTTATCATTGGAGCCATCTGAGAGGTAAGAGATTGCCCAGCACGCATCGATGAGAACTTCGTCATCCAGAGAGTAGACCAGCTTGGCAAGCACGGGCAGAGCTGGAGCGATGGTGTTCCAGTCGGGTTGAGGAGTCTTGCCACGGCAGAAGTTGCTGAGGGTCCATGTGGCGTTCCTAAGCATGCTGAGCTTACGGCTGTCGCCAAGCAGACGCACCAAGGGCTGGAGGGCACCCTGTGCAAGGACGAAGTCACGGCAATGTGGGCTGTCTCCTGCGATGTTGCCCAGCGCCCATACCGCCTGCTCGCGGACATCTGGCTCTGGGCTGCTAAGAAGCTCCACGAAGATCGGTACAGCTCCTGCCTCGATGACGACTTGTGTTTGTTGGGCTGAGCCGGAGGCGATGTTGGTGAGGGCCCAGGCGGCTTCGAACTGGACGAGAGTGTGAGGAGAGCGAAGGAACTCGACAAATCGGCTGACAACACCGGTCTCGATGACTCGCTCGATAGGTGGGTTGCGCTCTTTGGAGAGCAGCTTGCGGAACTTGGTGGTGGCGGAGATCTGGTCGTCAATCTTCTCGGAGAAGACGCCCTGCACCATAAGCGGCAGGTCCTCATTCAGCTATAGACGTGTTAGCACGAGCTCAACTCCAGGTCTGCCTATCGCATCCTTACCTGACTCTCGGTATTCACGCCCTCATCGTCACTGTCTGGGGCGGCGCCGAGCGAGGCACCGGGGGCGCCATCACCGCGAGCGCCAATGCCTCGTCGCTTGGCGAGGTTCTCCTCACGCTTCTGCTTCCGGATCTCAACCTGCTGCTCTTCACGGCGCCGACGCAGCTCATCTGGCTTGAAGGTGCTCTTGGCCTTGTAGTTGTTGCGGCGGTGCTCGGGAATGTAGCGCTCCGCCATGGTGGCAGCCGTTTGCGTGCGGTGGCGAGAGGGCGGGTTGTGCTGCAGATGTGAGTGGAGTGGTGGTGTGTGCAGTGCAGAGAGCTTGGAGGGTAATCAGAGGATCAGGAGTGAAGAAGGGTTGGTCGGGATGTGATGTCTTCAGCAAAAGAGCGTAAAGTTTAGAGGGGTGCGCCCGTCGCTTAGTTTCTTACTGACGCCGGAAAGTGGTGGGACGCGTGGTTGCTTTGTTTGGTGGAGGGCGGCAGGAGGTTGATGGAAGAAAGACGGCAGTCACTTAAAGCGGCGGAGTGAGTCGTGCGCCGAGACGAGACAGCTGATCGTTTAGCAGCATGTGCGTGAAGACTCTGAAGTGAAGCGGTGCGTTGCCGTGGCCGAACCGTTTGACGACTTTTCCGGTTGCCTTCCGGCCCACCGCCCCGCCGAGCTGGCGTCGGCGCGTCTTTCAGCAGCGGCGGCACGCGACCCTCCAAGTAAGTGAATGTCCGCATTTGCATGTGAACTTCCTGCTAGCTCGACCAACTCCTTCCCGATTTCCAGGCAGCGACAGTACCGAATTCACGAGCCTGGTTCTTGGCCACACCTGTCAATTCTGACGACGAAATACACTGAGCACAACGATCGTGTCCACGAGACTGTCTCCTCACGCTTGGCACCCATCTGAAGTCTTGCTCACAAAGTTCGAGACTTGATTGGGAAACCCTGCCATTCGGGCTCTGACGCACCCAAAGATGTTGTCTAAGAGAGAAGTTGAGCAACGACCGTCACTTCAGCCGCGGTTGAATGTCAAGTGAATGTCGAGACCGGCCTTTCGCCGCTATATCCTACCAGTACAGCGATCTTGAGTTCGAAGATACAACACACTATCACGAATCACACCATGGCATCAGGACTTCGCCCACCGGACGGCTTCATCGACCTTTCTGCGGCATACACTTCTCCTGACAATGCATTCGTCAATATTATCGGCGTGGTCGTCGACCTCATGCAGCCGACAAAGACAACCAATGGAAGAGATTGGACCATGTCGTTCAGACTGCTGGATCGACAGCTTTTTGGTTGGGTGAGCGGTTCCGAAGGCCTGTCTATTCGATTTTTCAGAGCGGATCCTACGCATTTACCAAAAGTCCAGAATGTCGGTGATGTCGTGCTGTTACGCTTCCTAAAGATGAGTACTTGGATGGGACAACGATCAGCACTGTCGAATTACCAGACGCAGTGCATTGTGTTTCCTGCCGGGCGTATCCCAGAGCCATCGTTCGCCATCGCAGTCCAAGGGCGAGACAAGATTCAAACGCTTGGGATTGAGCGAGAGAAGGAGAATTTCAACTTGGTGGAGCAAAACTATGCGATCAGTCTGAAGAAAGACATGGCAGGAACTGCTGCGGATCGTTTACGGAAGTTCAAGGATCAGGACCAGCGTCGAGAAGAGCGACAGGAGCAAGGGCCGCCGGCCAAGAAACAGAAGTCCAACGGCACATTCAACCCCAAGTTCAAGCTCATCGTTGACCTTGAGCCGCGCACTTACGCCGACCTTTACGGAGAGGTCGTGAAAAGGATCGGCGTCACGTATGGTTGCGATCTCTACATCACTGATTACACTTCAAACCCCCTCTTGCGTCAGTACGACCCACCTGACAAGGAGGCGCCCGAGGACAGAGATGGTGACATCTACGGTTACACGGCTGGAGCCTCGAAAGGAAACTGGAAAGGACCGTTCGGGCAGCTGACGATGAAGATTAACGTCAAGTCTCCGCATGCTCAGGTGGCAAATAAGATACTCAACGAAGGCGACTACGTCCTCCTACAAAATGTAAAGACCAGAGTTACTGACGCGGGGCCATGGCTGGAAGGTGACATGTGGCCAGACGACATATCCCCTGAGAAGGTGAAGGTCATAAAGCTTGAGGGCTCGAACAATGCGGTCCAGCTCAAAGCCCTCCTCGAGAGGAAGGCGGCATACTGGAAAGGACAAGAAGCACGCGCCGCCCAAGGGCTCAGAGAGGAGAACAACAAGGCCAAGAAGAACGGCAAGAAGAAGAACAAAAAGCAGAAACAAGAGACTGCTGGTGCACAAGCGGAAGATGAAAGCTCGACAACAGCGAGAAAGCCAAGCACCAAACCCGACAAGAACCCACACATACGCTGCAGCCACGAAAGCGTCCCTCTATCGAACATCAGAACCATCCTTGACCCAAACAACGCCCGTCACACGAATGCCCCACCCACGGGTGACCCCTACACCATGCCCTTCATCAACGTCAAGTACCGCGCCAAAGTCCGCGTCGTCGACTACGAGCCCAAATCTCTCGAAGACTTCGCTGTCCCGCCACTACCAGAAGAACAAGACGAAAGCCAAGACAGCATGGCATGGCAGTACACCGGCACTCCGAACTTCGAGTGGTACTTCTCCTTGCTCCTCGAAGACGCTACGAACAGCAAAGACCACAGCAGAGTCTGGGTGCACGTCCAACACAAGGATGCCCAATTTCTATTCGGGAACGACATAAAGAATCCGATGGATCTAAGAGCAGAGCCGCGGCTGCTGGCCAAGCTGAGAGAGAAGATGTTCGTTTTGTGGGGAAATTTGGAGGAGGGAGGCGGTGAAGGATTGAGTAATCTGCCTTTCGAGTGCTGTATCCAAGAGTATGGCATCGAGATGGATGAGGAGGATCCTGGCAAGGAGAAGGCGCCTCTGGGCTGGCAGAGGATGTACTCTATGTTCGGCGTCACGATCCTGTAGAATGATGTATCTCTTCAATCATCTCGATCAAGACACATCTTCGAAAGACACACGCAATGTTATCGACAAAGCGCACGGAGGCCCACACTACCCACTACTCGACAGGAAGGAACTTGACAACCGTGTCCTGCCCGCAACAGCCAACATTGTAACCTTCATCAAACCCCAACCCATCTCGGCCCAGACCACGAGACGTCCTCGAGCCATCCATCTTCATGCGTGCCCAAGACGAAACACTTTGGAGAAGAGACAAGTACCCTTATACCATTTCTCCTCTGTAAAGAGGAGCTCTCCAACGCTCCATCCGCCCTGTTAACAAGTTCCACATTGACAAATAGATATATCCAAGCCACTTCATGTGACCATCGGCGCCATGTTCGTCAACGATCTTGGAGAAGTCCAGGAAAGATTTGGGAAAATCCCTGTTGTTCCCAACATAGTGGATATCGCAGGCATCTATATGGACTCCACATTGTTGCGAAGTAACGGGTATGGAGCCTTTCAAGAAAACTCCGAGACCTGACCTCATCTGACGAGCTCGATCTTCGTGCATACCTGCTTCTGTTACTGTGTACAGGAGTAGACCGCACATTTTCGTCAGCCACAACCATGACTCGACACATTGAATCCCGCACAACCTCATGGAAATGAAGCAAAAGCTTTCTCAATTCCTTTACTAGACTAAAGTTACACTTTTCAGGTACTGACTCTTCGCCAGCCCTCCATGTGTATTATGATTACTCAAAACTTTCTGTTGCTGTTTTCTGTTTTCTGGGGTTTCTCGCTCTCTCATACGCAGTAGTGGTTGGGTGGTATCATGCAAAACAAAGGAGACCTCTCTTCTCACAATCACAAATTCCCTGATGGATGGATGAACTTTCCAGAACAAACGAGTTGGGTATCTCTCCGCAGCTTGACCAACGCCCGAAACGGCAGCCATGAGCCTCATCTGACCGTGAATCCGCTGTGGTTTTTCGAACAATCTTCTTGAGGTGATCGGTCGGCCTTAGACCTGTCCTTGGAGGACTGGGTTACCACGGCCGAGGGTGGTATTGTTTGGGTCAGCAGCCTGGAAGGCATTGTCCACCTGGTTGGCAAAGCCGTTGGTAGTTGGCTTGCCATCGATGGGAGCAGCACCAGGCCCACGCAGGCCACCTGGAGTGGCGTTGTGCGGCTTGCGGCGTGGCTCTGAGACCTTAGGCAAGTTCGTGGACTCCTTGGCAGTACCAATGGAGAAGACTGGGGACTCCCACTTCTCGCCCTTGGCAGCCAACTCCTTGTACTCGGTAGCCTTGGTCGAGATGCCGCCTGGCAGCGAGATATTCTTGAAAATACTGTCGTTCTGGGTCACTGCGACGTTTACCTGGTACGATGTTAGTGTGACTGTCCTCATTTGAAACCGAATGTTCTCCGTTGTCAAGTGCATCACGAATAGGTGCAGGTAGAGTCTGCCGCCCTGGTCGATGCGCACATCGCGGGGATAACTTGATGTGTTTAGACTTACCTTGGTGTCTGCGGCCTTCTCCTGGATCTGCTCCTTCTTCTTCTGTCCTTTCTGGATCTCGCGCTGGAACGCGTTGAAATAGCGCTGGTAGATGTTCTCCAGATTCTCGGGATCTGGGTTGTTCTTGGCCTCCTCAGCGGCACGGTCGGCCTCCTTCTTGACGGAGAAAAGAAGAGCATCCAGCTGGTGCACGTTGTCGCGAACCTGTTTCTCAACTGCCTTCTGGATGACTGGGCGAAGGACTCTGAGCGCCAAGGATTTGAAGAGACCGAACAGGAGCTTGTGGTTTGACTGCTTGACCTTGATCGCCATGTTCTTGATGTCAACATTGACGGCCGTGATCTTAAAGAAGTGGTTCTTGTCGCTCTTGTCGGCACTATCGATCGTCAGTCGATGCTATAGAATTGGAGAAATCCCCGCGAATATCGTTGGGGCAAGGGCGTGGACAAGACGTCCAATCGCACGGTAAGGTCTAGTCAAATGGGGATAGTGGGAATAATGGCGATGATGGGAATACTCACGTCTCCATCGCCACCTTGAAGCTGAGGCCAGTGCCGCCCAGGAAGATGTCGACGACACCCTTGTCGGTGATGCCAGGGAAGCCCTGCTTCTTCTTGACGTAGTACGATACGTCCTTGAGGTCCATCTGAATGCCAGACACGGACAGCATGACCTTGTTCTTATTCTTGCTCTGTACACCCTTACGGCCCCACTTCCAGTAGTTGTCGCTACCGAATTCGAGCTGGTTAGGTGCCAGGTTGTCTCCCTCGATGACGAGGTTCTCGACCACTAGATAGGACTGTGTTAGCATGGCGTGGTCGGTTGTGAAATAACGGGGATAGATGGTCACATACCAGCGTCGATCTGGCTGTCCGAGAACTCAATTCTCGGAATTGGGACGTAGCGGATGTGCTCGAAGAACGCCGGCAGGAGTACCTCAGTCAGATCCTTGATCAAGTGAGGCTTAAACTCGGCCTTTCCGTCGGCATCGTTGCCAAGATCCTTGAACAACTTGTCCATTGACTGGGCAAAGGCCTTGTTCTGCGGGTCTTGATCGAACTGCTCAGCGAGGAATTTGACCTCGTCGACGATGCGATCGGTGTGATCACGGTATCGCTCCCTCAGGAGGAAGTTTCCTCTGTCATAGAGACGATTCCACTCCTCATTCGACTCCTCTTGGAGAATGTATCCCTGCTCTTGAAGGCACTTGCGAATGTATCGGTCTGAGTCGGTGAAGAATCGCCTCAACTCTGGGTCTCTGTCGGCATCCGTGTAGATCTGGTTGATGGCATCGAAGAGATCGTCGAACGAAGTCGAGTTCGCAAAGCGCTCAAGCAAAATCTTGAGATCTGTCAGCATTGGCCGACTCTTCTCAAGAAAGTCTAGATTACACACCCGTAGGTCAGCTTCAGCAGTACTCAACGAATCCTGGTTGCGGGCACCTTTGACGGCTCCTTGGCTCTGGGAGGCGACGTTCTTAGTGTGGCCAGTATATTCCTCGGCCAAGCGTAGCAGGGTCTCAATGGCCTGTTGGTCTATGGGATGGTCAGTGATACTCCATCAGCGGTCCGCTGGACAACCTACAGTCTTCATGGCCCTGGATCTCGACGACCATCTTCTTGAGGCGGAAGATGACCTGCTCACGGCGCTCCTTTGGCACCTTGTTCTTGAAGTACTCGCGGGTTCGCTCACGGTATTCGCGGGCCTTCTGCTTCTGGTCCTCGTCCGTGTTCTGTGAGACGCGATCCTTGAGGGTGCCAGCACCAGCGACAGCACCTGTACGGGCGTCGACGCCAGAAGCGGTACCTTGCTGTTGATCTTGTGCAGCCAGAGCAGCGGCATCGGCTGGATCGCGCGAACCGTCTGGATGAGCAGCGCCAGAAGCATCTGCGGCGGCATCCTGGACGTCCTTCTTGCCAATGGGCACCTGCGACTGGATTTGCTTCTTGATATTCTCCTTCGAGAGATCAGGGGCGTCATGCCAGGTGTTGTCCTCAGCTGGTTGATCGATGTTCGCAAGCGCCTCCTCGTCTGGGTTGACCTTGGAGGCGGCCTTTTGAGCAGCGTCTCCAGCAATGTCTCGCAAAAGCACAACGGCATCGTTGACTATGATTGTGTTAGGTGGCTCAGTCGGTGAAAGTTTAGCGGGGAAACTTGGGAAAACTTACGCAACTTGCGGAATTGGCCATTGGTGATGATCAACTGACCGAGAACACGAAGACCCTCGAGAGCCTGGTTGCCGTGTTGCTTGGCGGTGTCCTTGTCGACTGGCACATTGACTCCCTTCGCGTCACCTGAGCCAATCTGCTGCGTTTGCCAGATGAAGTCTTGGAGGACGTTGCCTTCGTTCTTGGAGAGAAGAAGCTCCTTGGACTTCTCGATCACGTCGCGCAGATCAGCGACGAGCTTCTGGCCGTCCGCTGAGAGCTTGGTGCTTGGCTTCTGAAGATACTGCCACTCGAGCGCAGTGTTCAGGGCGCGGTCGCTGCACAAGTCAGTAAATTTCCAGCTGCATTGGTGGTCGATACTCACATCTGAGTGTTGGACGGGGCCTTGCCATTGGCGAAGGCGGCGTAGATGCCGTAAAGTTGGAGCTTGGCATTGACATCCTTCTCCTTGATTTTGACGTCCGTGGGGACGTTGACAGCTGCCTTTGACATGCTGGCTGTTTGCGCGCTTTGAGGGACCTCGCGATTGGAAGCTGTATCGGCTGGCGCAGACTGCTTCGAGTCTTCAGCTGAAGGAGGAGTTGTATGTGACTGGGTGCCCGCTGGTGATGCGTGCTGTTGCTGTTTGAGGGATGGATTTGTTGCTTTGTTTGCTTGCGGTCGATCCACAGCCGACTTCTTGTGAGCACGTGGCGTACAGCAGCGCGACTAACGCATGCGGAATATGGGGTATCTCAAATAAGGTGTAGTAGAGGGATGCGTACGCGAAATTGGAGAACAGGCGTGTGGGTGTTGGAATGAGGGAGAGGAGGAGAAGTCGCAAGGTTGGTGCTGTCGTGGTCACTACTACTACTTGCTTGCTGCTACAACGCGCACAGACGTTCACAATGGCAGGCCATTACATCACCGCGACGACTGCGGCAATCTCGATCTCGACGCCAGCGAGAGCAGCGGCCTTGGCGCACACGAATGAATGGGCGCGCCTCGCCACGGACATCACTCCTCACCGCGTCCTCCTCCTCAACGCATCGTGCCTTGTTTTGGGCCACGCGAATCACGAGTCGGCGCATACCTTGCCTGGACGCAAGCCGCACCAGAAAGCTGGCCCAGGGTCAAAGCTCGCCGTCCTGTCGTCATCCACCTCGCATATCGGATGATCCCAATTCTTCTTGCTCGCGACCCCTCGTCACCATCACGTCGTCTCTCACATGTCGCCGCTTGCATATGAATCTGCGGAATCCCCTGCTGCATCATCCACGGCCTGTTATTGCGCCCACGCTGCGATGCGGTCGTCGCAAATGGGTGGAAGCAGGTTCGGAGTCGTTTCCTTGCCAACCAACAAGCTCAAATCCCAAACGGGGGAGCGCCTGGGGAAATGAGCACCGGCCACCTGTGGCTGCGCTGTTTCAACACTCCACCTCGTTCGGCCAATCGATCGCATCCTTGCAAATATCAAAACCTTAATTTCACTCCTGTGGCTGTGGCTCGACCGCGTTTAGGCGGGAGAGGAATTCATGCGAAGAAATGCCGTCCTCACTTGCCTTGGAATGACGTCGCAAGAAAAAGTACTTTCATCAATCCTGATGGCACAATGGCAGAGGAACGTCAACGGCAGTGGAGCGCGTATGAAGAAAAAGGGTAGACTTGCCTGGCCGTTCATCAAGGTGAAGAACAGGTGTTCCCGCTACGAGGATGTAAAAAGTAAAGCCTCTCTCTCGGAGGCACAACTGGACCAGAGATCAGGCATTGTCATGTCTTTCATGTGTCAATATTCTTAGACTAATAAGATCCAGCATGCGCTTCTTTCAGGCCTGGACAAGAAAAATGCCTGAGCCTAACGAGATGAAGTCTTTTGACATAGAAATTGTAAGGTCATGAGCATTCACCAATCATGCATCTTCAGCCTGCATGTCACACATCCCACCTCTATCTTTCCCCCTATGTACGAGTACTCACAGCTCATCATCACTTCGTTCTCCCATTATATCCAACTCAACTACACCTGACAAAACATCAAAAACTTCTACGGCTACATCAGCCATCCATCTTCCCCCTCTCAAAAACCCACTCCCCCAACTCACGCTCCCATTTCCTCTCAAAGTACTCTGTCAACTCATCCTCAAACAACTCCTCTGCATCCACGATCGGTCTCTTCGCCAGTTCTTTCCTAGCGACAAGCAGCCATCTCTCGGCTTGCATCACGTCGTCTGCGATAGAGGTTTGTGGTGGTAGGTGATGTTGTGGTTGGTGGAAGGCATGTTGATGGTCGGTTGGGGAGAAGAGGATTCTGCTGAAAGAGGTCCAGGCTTGGGAGTCTTGTGTGAGAGCGGCACGGTGTAGATACGCCGTTGCGAGGGCGAGGGTGGGGAGGAAGGGGTGGGGAGGTGGTGTTGTTGATGATCGGGGAGGTGTGAGGAGGGGGTTGGGGGTGGAGAAGAATTGGCCCATTTCGATTTACAAAGCGACATGTAGGCATGGGCGATTGATGCTGTCCGAGCATTCTGTTTTGATCATGTCATAATTTGACTACGGTCATACTGTACTGCTGTGTCGGGTGCTGTATGTCTCAGCAGACTGCCATCGTGAAGCGAGCAAGCAAACCCCATATATGTCTTGTCTTGACTTGACTTGTCTCATCTTGCTCTGACTATGTGCGACAGCATCCTGTGCAAGCTGTCCGTGTCGTAGTCCTTGAGCATCGTGCTCGAATATCGTCGACATATTAACTCCCCCAACATTGCTCTGCAACATGAGCATGCTCCAGATCCATCTACTCCAAGAAACAAACCAAATACACCCCTCCAACAATCTTCATCGTCACATCCAGTCCAAGATCCCACTCCTGCCTCATCTCTCACCTCATCCACCCCATCCCTCAAAAACTCCGCCCTTCTCAACACCTCCATCGCCTCCCCCACGCACCTCCTCGACACCCTCAAATCCTCCTCCACACTCCTCCCCTTCCCCAGCGACCTCCCCGCCTCGCACACCGCCTCATCGTACTGTGCCCGACTCCAAGACCCCGCGGCGAAAGGCCAGAAGTGCTCGTCGGCTTTTTGGGCGAAGAGCGCGCCGCTGCGGTTGTAGAGCGCTATGGCTGTGGTGAGTTTGAGGAGGGAGGTGGTGAGGGGGTTTGTGGTTGGGTGGGGTTGGTTGGGGGAAGGGTTGGGTGGGAGGTCGTTGAGGAGGTTGTCGAGGGTTTTGAGGGTTGTCATGGTTGTTTGGGGTCGTCTTGATGGGGAAGGTATTATTGCTGCTGTGGTACACGGTGTAACGACTAGATTGGAGTTGGGGTGAGTAATGTAGTATTGCCATCTTGTTTGATAGATTGCCTTCAAAAGACAGGACAGGAGCAAATACATCAGAAGAGACAACAAACCGTTTGCTAGAGAAGAGATACGCGAACTGCTGAGATTTGCTTGTCTTGCAACCAGATATCTACAAAGGCGGCAGCGTCTCTCTGCATATTGGACATTGCAGTCGATACTTCATCCAGCCTTCCAAACAGCTGCTGTGGAAGATATGTCGACAAGGCGTCACCATGTATGTTCGACGAGCAAGCAGCCCACCAGCGAGACCTGCATCGCTGGATGCGCCGGCTTCAACGACGGGCACTTCCAAATCTTGCATGCAGATGGCACAATCAAAGACTCGTTTGCCTTTCTCCTTGGCATCTTTCGCGACTGAGGCTCGTCTTGCTGCGGGTGACGTGGGTGTTCGCTCTTGAATAGGCGATGCTGGCGCAGAACCATCCGCTGCTGCTTGCGAGAAGCCGATGGGCATTGTAGCGCCTTCTTCGTCCTCACGTAAGATGGGATGATAGTCGTAGGCTGGTGGGGCCCAGGTTTTTCGGATGAACCATCTTGGTCCTATGATCTCCTGTGAGACCAGCACGACGACTTGGACCCAAACCCACACTGCTAGCAGACTCAGCCCAACGAAGTCCACATCCGCGAATAGAACATTGTGCTTGTAGCCGTAGAAATATGCAAATGGAGTCAGCCGCAGTAAGCTCTGTCCAAGAACGAATTCCCAATTGAGAGCGTGGCGACAATTCCTCTGGACATTTCTGTGAACTTGGGGTATCCAGAAGCTCAAGTAAAGCAGTCCCAAGAAGGTAAAGAATATGCGTCTGGCGGGCGCTGGCCAAGATGTAGCGTTGAGACTCAAGAACAGAGTGGCCAGCAAGAGCAGGTAAAAGCGAGTGTACAACGAAGCAAAGCTAGGCATTCTCGCTGCCACTGCCGCGTTGGTGTTCGTCTGGTTCGCCGCGGTCGGCTGTGCCACTGGTTCGAGACCGTCTTGATTAGATGGCATGAACACAGGCGTCGCCACTGTATCGACGGGTCTCGGTGCGGTGACTGGTATTGGCAAGCCTTCAACATTGGGCTGTGTAGTGGATTGAGGAGCCGGAGTTGGAGTTGACTCGGTCGGAGTCGTAGTCGTCGTATTCGAGACTGGATTCGCAGGATTTAGTGCATTTCCGTTTGTTTCGGCAGGCTGTCGTGCAGCGTCTCTCTCAGCGCGGATTCGTTGCAACGCTGCATTGAATGCCTGTTCTCTTCTGATCTCCTCTTCAACCTCTGCTCTTGCTCTTCTCTCACGCTCAGGTGCTTGGACGTGCCAGATATCCATCAGAAATCTCATACCAAAGAATGAAACGCTGATGAAGGCCAGAAATCCAGTGCCTACCAGGTTGACCCACAATCCAGTGAGGAACAGACTGATCAGTAAGAACGTCATTGTGGTGAATCCGTCTCCAAGAGCCAGGATGGCAATGGTGTAAAAGCTGATCCGGCTTCGTGTAGAAGGTGTACTTGCTTCACGCATTTGGCGCATCAGCAAGAACAGCTGGAGTCCCAGTGCCAGTGTGAACAGCATAAGATGATGTCGACTGTGGAGATACTGCACCTCCATCTTCGGTCCCGTCAGGTGATCATTGTCTTGCGCGAAGTCGTCTGGTGGGCCTTTCGATTCAAGCACGTAGCCACAGTCCGGAGAGAATGCCAGCATCGAGAACCGCAAGTCTGGAGCACTTGGAACAACTGCACCAGTCGGGAAGCGTAGCTCACTCTCAAGGAAGCTGATGAAGGCGGAAGAGAATTGAGTGCTCGCCACGGGTGCCAACTGTTGCAAGTACAGGACCAGTTCGCATTCTGGTCCTGAAAATCGCATGTCACCTGTCCCTTCCGCTCTTGTCGTCCATGGATTACGTAGCTCTGTTCTGCGGTCTGCTTGCCGCTGAATCACGTTTGAGATAGACTCGTTCAGTAGGATTTTTGCCTCTTCGAAAGTCGTCTCTGATAGGGCGAAATGCGGCAGTGTGAAGATGCCGGCGAATTTGTCGCTTGTCGTTGTAAGTATGGCTTGTCCAATGTCGAAAAAGTAAACTCCTCGCAGCTGCGTCTCCCACTCGTCGTAAGATTGCGAGTCTGTGATTTTCATCTCCACGCTCATCTCAGTGACATTATTGTTATCCTGTCTGCTCCTGGGACCGGGACTAGCCAGGTCCTTCTCGTTGAATCTGATTGTGATATCTCCATTGTCCCCCGTAATGTTTCTTTCGAACCGCCGAGGGATGCCAGGCTGGCCAAAGGGGCCGGGCGGCGCAAACTCCGTGAGATTCAACTGCGGTGTTGGAGTGTCTTCCTGCAGCTTTGACCTCTTCCACTTCCCACGCACGTATCCAGTCGCATTGCTGTATAGAGGCGTTGGGCTAGGCTCATCCTTCTTTCCATCCAGCGCCCCAATCCCCCAATCTCCCAGCGCGTACTCCAACTGCTCGCGAGCTCGTCTCTTGACTCCGGCGAGTGAGTCCCAAGCGTACCCTCTCTCCGGCTGGAACCCCGTGAGGTTCAGCGTATGCCCTGAGCTACCGTATGTTGCGTCCCATCTTGAGTTTTGCACCACCGATAGCGATCGCTGTTCTTCAGCTATCACATCGTCCAGCGAAGGCCGGTCATCGAATCGCGCCGCTGGGTTTCTGGCGGGTTCAGGGCTGAGGATAATCCAGGCGAGGATTATCAAGGGTACCACAACACCTCGTCGATCTGCCATGCGCCATTAGGTAGTTGGGGAGATGTAAGGCAAGTTGTCATGGACGTGAGGTGTGGCTTGACGCGGACGCCTAAATTAGGTTCTCGGCAGTCAGTCCGCTAGCGCGAAGGCCCCACGAGGCACGTGTTGGACGTGAATGACCCTGACGAGCCAGCGGATGACACAACTGATTAAAATTCCCTATGATATTGAACTGCACCATACTCATGATACAGCACGTAACAGCGTTTACACCCGACGTGAGAACGTGTTGACCATTCAGACCTTATCCGTGGTCGGGTCCGACCGGGAGTAGCCGCGATAGCGTTATCTTAGCTCGAAGTGGGGGATGATCAGTGACAGGAGCTCTGGTTGCCTGCCTGGCAGCTCAAGAGCGTGGTGGAGGATGTGGTCTCTGGCTGAGACAACCGGTAACCATCTCGACAGTGACACGTAGCGTTCCTCTGCTCTTGTTATTTTCCATTCACCTACGCTTCTTCTTGTCGTCGCCCCTGGACTGGACTCGTCTTCACTTCCTCTCAGCGCCCCTTCCGGAGCCATCGAATTGTAAGCTGCCCCCCCCCGCTCGACGAGGTTCCAGACACGCGCACAGCAAACCCGCGAGCACCCAACTCACCACTCGCGCCTGTCCGCTTCTACTCACTTGCCAGCCTTTCCGTCCTTCGACTCTCTTCCTCCGCTCCCGCACACCTCTCCTCACCCGCAACATGGACAGTCCGCGCCGCAGTCCACGCCCTGAGCTGGACACGGCTCAAGAGCTGCTGCTGCATCACAAGCCAGCGCTAACCGGTCATGTGTCACAGCTTGACAGCACTCGTCAGCACCAACAGCACCCTACCTCTCCATCCGAACCTCCGCCGAACCACCCGTTCAACCTCAACTTTCCAACCTTGGACGTGGACGGCTCTGTGTCTTATATCACCGCCCATCAGACGAGGCGTTACCCTCCTACGCCGCCTGCCGCCCTGAGCTCCCTAGGAGCAAAGTCAAAGATGGATCGTGCAGAGACCGCGAGCGAGTCAGAGGGCTCCTTCGCCGATAGTCAATACGACATGCTCGACGACATGTCCGAGATCTCGACCGACGATCATGAGACAGCAAGCATCACCTCTAATAATGGCGATGACGGACAACTCACCCCAGACGACGCTGGCAGTGAGGCAGACCCTGAAGAGTCTCTTATCTCCTTCGAGGACGAGACTCAGTTGCCTACCCCTCCAAGCACGGAAGCATCATATGTCAATCTACCTACGCAAGCCGAAGACGTTCCCTCGCTTCGCTCTCTGAGCTCGAACCTCCGTCAGAAGCAGAAGGCGGAGAATGACCTGATCGACAGCTACATGTCTGAAGACATGGAGACTCCACGCCAGTCGACCATGCCGAGTGCCCAGCCCAGCAGCTGGTACCGATCGAAGGGTAAAGAGGTTTTTGATAGACCAAGCAACACTCAATCGCCAACGATCCAGGAGGATGGCACCGAGCCTCGCAACATCCTCTTCGTATCAGAGCATGATGTACCCCAATTCGAAATGGACAAGATCTGTATCAAGATCGACACGAGCATGATGTCGACAGATGAAGTAAGTGCTTCCTCGAAGAGAGTCATCCGCCTCCCAGCTCCACCCTCTGGTATTGGCCTGCCGAGTGCCACTGCTGTCTATGGTCGCGATAGAATCTCGGCCACGCTCCAGCACTGTGTTGGTGCAGAAGTTCGCTCGCCCGGCTCTTACAAGCTGCGAGTCATGGACTTCGACGGCCAGCACAGCTCGTTCTACACCATCGGGCAAGATGCGAAGATAGATTTGCGGAAGCCCAACGTTGCAGTCTTCTATGTGGTCAACTCCGAGCCTGAAGGCCGCTACTCGACATGGCTTGACAACGCATTCGATGCCATTAAGACCTTGAACGTCCCAATTGTGGCTATTCTGGGTTCAAACCTCAATGCTACCGCCAAGCAGTCGTGGTTTGAGCGTTCTCGAGGATCGAAGCGGCAGACTCAGTTGTATCTCGGTCTCATGGACTTCCTCCACAGCGATATTACATCAATCTCCAAGGCTGAAAAGCGTCTTTCAAAGCGCGATATCTTCTCCAAGACTCCCGGATCGAAGAAGGCTGATCTGAAGGAGAGACGTGCTGCCGATGTTAGCTGGTTCAAGCTCTTGTCCATGTTCCTCGTCGCTGTGGTGCCTTATCTGCTCATGCCCTTCATTCGCTCCAGCTCGGCCCCCGTACTGGACACGGCTATCCGGCGAGAAGGCTTGAGCGTGGCACTCGAGAAGATTTCACCTTCGATTGCCGCTGGAGCCGTGAACATCGATCATCTCCTCCCTGAGCCAGACTCCGCTTGCGTCTCTAGGGGAGGCTTCTTTGGAGACGCTCGAAATGGTCCCATCTGCAACCAGCAGCCTCGCCATCAGGGGTTGACGCCAAACCACATCCTCGTGTCTTTGCCCACCATACCACGAGACCTCTTGACGAGCGTTTCGAAGAGCGGTGGTCGCGAAATCGCCTTCAATCAGACTATGCTCATCGACGGCGTGTGGGACGTTACCATCGACCCTGAGGAAGCTTACGGCACCGTCAATGTTAACATGCGCACTCACAAGCCGTCCACGAATGTCACCGCGTCTCATAACTTTGGTAGCAGAATGCTTCAGCGCAAGACGTATGAGAAAGCCAGCACCGATGTCGGTAAAGCGGTTGGCAAAGACGTTGCCGTCATGCGTGATGCCGCTCAGAGCCTGCAATCGAAGTTGTCTACGGAGGTTGGTGCTGGCATGTCCGCAACGAAGAACATGACCACTCAGCTTGCCCTGTACATGGCTCGCGACCTTCAAGTCATCGGCAACAAGGCAGTGTCTCTGTTCGGCCAGCTTGCAGAGGCGAGCAACCAGACTGCCGCGGCCTTCAGCAAGGACTTCATCCTCGTGCAGCGAGATCTGGTCAAGTTCACCAAGGACCTTTCGACTAAAGTCAAGTCCAAGGTGGAGTCGGCTAAGAGCAGCTCGAAGGCACTCATCAGAAGCCCACTGGTACTGTCGCGAGATAGGCTCCTCGAGTTGAAGAAAGCATTCGCCAACAGGAAGAAGGTGAAGAGCGGGAGCGACGCCAGCCCCTGCCGTCGTCGAAGCCTCAAGGACCACATGAAGAGCTTCAAATCCAACAAGGCCCTCTCCGTTGTACCAGAGTCCGCACCGCCCAGCGTCACCAACAACGCAGAGCACGTCTCCCAGAAGGCGAAGCTAAAGAAAGCCACCCAACAGCTGGACGCCCTCACGAAGCGCGTCAAGCGTCAAGGCGAAGACCCCGGCAAGAAGATGCCACGCACCGAGTTCCGCAAGCTGAAGAAGGACGCGAAGCGTCAAGAGAAGTTGGTCAAGAAGATGCGTGCGGAGATGCAAGGCGGTGCACCATGAGCATGAGCATGAGCATATGAACATCAGCATCGAGAAGAGCGAGCGATCACAGAGATTGGCGCTGGCGTTGATTGGATCGACCAGGCGTTTTTTTATGTTTCTTTTTTTTTGGGCGTTGTGTTTGCTGCAGAGATCAGAGAATCCAGTTTCATCATGAATCACGGCGCTTTGGACTGGAAGGGGAGCGGACTAGATACCAACTCGCGAACGGAGACACGGAATGGAATGGAATGGAATGCATTATGAAATCGAGAGTAGTGAGAACCCCCCTTCTTAGGTGGTAGGCACGGAACGCACAGGACCTGAATGATATGAATCTTTACGATATTCTTTCGTCGAACTTTTGATACAATTGGCTTCACCGCGTAGCGATGTGTGTGTACAATTGGACACAGACTTCGTTTTATCCCGATACCAATGCTTGCAAATGAGCTGGGAATGCCTTAAGTTCAATGTACTGAATCTTCGTCATACCATTCAGATTTGGCGATGGGACTCGTTGCTCAGTAGAGCAGCAATTCAACACCCGTAGACTGCCTTCAGCACCAGAAACACAAACGAGATGAAAAGGAGCGGAATCGATCGACTTTTGCCATTGAAATTACACCCGAAATACAGTCAATTCCATTGCAAAGCCGTCTCGCTTCACCAACCGTGTCCCAGCCCAGCTTTCACGCCAGAACGCCTCGCTCCTGTTTGGTCTTTCCTTGCTCCATGTCACTCCAAAACAGACCAGGATGGAAATACCGTTGATGATGATGATAAGACAGAAAAGCTGGTATCAATAGAAGCAAATCGCCTTAGGAAGCCAGTGCAACGTCGCTCGCCAAGAACCTGGTGGTGGTTCAGGGGGTGACCTGCCTGCCAAAGGCCGGGTAGCACTTGCTCGTGTAGAACATGCCTTGTCGGTCGAGTGGAGTCGATGGCTGCCACTTTACGCCAGCAGGCGATGTTCGCGCAACAAGCGGGCACCCTATGCCATCACACTCATGTCGACGCGCTTCTCGGTGAAGTCCCAGAGCATCTTGATGAGCTGGTCTGGTAGGGTGTAGAGGTCGACGTGGAACTCGCCATCTGCATAGCCACGTTTGTCAGTGTGTTCCCGTATCTGAAGGCACAAGACTGTCAGTCATGATTCTGGGAAGGAACGACTCACTCTCGACATCGTTCTTCGTGTACGTCTCCTCAGATTTGTTGTCATGTACCATTTGCACGACTTGCAGCAGATCGTCCTCTGGGAGTTGCGGCAAGGCCTCGGCGAGCTTCTCCATGTCGACGTTGCGGTTCGCCTTGGGACGTCTCTTCTCCGGCTTGCTGGCCGCCGCAGCAGTACCGTTGGTAGCGTCGCCAGCTGGGCCAGACTCCTTGAGACGTTCGAGAAGCTCTGGCTTGGGGTTGCGGAAGGTCTGCGATATCCAGTGAGCATGGCGCACTTCAAATGCCACCACCATCTACTCCTGGCTATACATACCACAGTGTGGGTGCTCTCGTACTGCTCTTGCTGGAAGTTCAGATCATGTTGCAGCGTCTGGTCCCCTCCCTTGGGGTTACCGACCGGCGTCAGGGTGATCTGCATGTCGAACTCTCCCCATCCTTTCTCTTTGATCGTGAACGGTGGTGACTTGATCGCTGTTTATAGGTCAGCCCCGCTCTTCTGCAGCTCTTTCCCGTGCATGGCACATACTTTGCTTGGTTCTCTTTCCGAAGGACTCGTGCAGCATGTAGGTCGCCTTGTCGAAGCAGTTCGCGGGGAGTTCCTCGCCGTCTGGACCGATGAGGTAGATGGAGATCTCCCATGAGCGCATGGGGAAGCCCTCGACTTCTGGAGGATCATCGCTGGAATTGAGTCAGCGCAAAGCGAGGAGAGGTTTCGGGTATGCGGAGGGTCTCACTTGATGTGCTGGGAGGTGACGAGCTTCACGGTCCTCTTGACCTGCTTTGCATCAGCTGCCTGTCCGCGTCTTGGAGGCATTTTGGTTGCAGGTGGTTGGTGTGTTGAGTGTGTGGGGTGTTGGAGTGTCGGTGGTGCTTGCAGAAGTCGCAAGTTGGTCGTGGTGGACGGAATTGGAAGGGTCAGATGTCAAGGCAGAGGTAGCACTCACGTCAGGCATGGTGAAGTAGAAATAATGGTTGCGCGCTGTCACAAGCAATCCAGTCGCGCGCGTGCGCCTCTTTGTGAAGTGAAACCGGAGGACAATTGAAGGAGCAAGCTGCAGTCGCGTGAAAGAGGAGCCTGCGTTGACGCGGTCGCGGCGACGTGCAGTGCGGATATGCAAGAGTGGACAACGAAGTGAGGAGGGTGAAAGATGAGGTGAGCTGTGCCGGTGAGGTCGAAGCCATGTCCCGCTCGCCGCAGGGCAAAGCAACCCGCGGCAGCTTCCACAATGACTTCACACGGGCACGAGCCTCACGAGCCATGTGTCCTCGTACCAGCGGAATGTAATACAACTATAGAATTTATTGATGCAAGTTTGCTGGTTGACGAACTTGATGGGATGGTTCTGGTGTCGTGCTTTCATTCTTTTGATTCTATCTAAACTGAATGACTGCCTCTCCGAGCAATCGACGGCTTGGCCTCCCAGCACTCTCGCTTCTACAATGCCGTTCGGTGGGGTATTGTGCAATGGATAGGATGGTAACGGAGGTGCTATACGGAACGCCCAGAATGCTGTGTTGTGGTGGTGGTAGGGATTTGCTTTCATACGTCGTCGTTGGCAGGGGTCGTCGCCCTGCCTCTGTCACTACTTGAACTTCCATTCTGTAGGATCTGGTGACGAGTGCCCGCGGCACGGTATGGTATGCGAGCAGGGAGGATTTGGTGTTGATCTCAGTAAACCGAGACCTTACTCCGAGGCGCCAAAGATCTTCTCGTTCTCCTGCTGAGCCTTGATGAAAGCCTCCTTGAAGAGGTTTGCGTCTGTCGAAGGGTCAGCGTTGAACATTAATGTGCGTCTGCTGTGCGTTCGACTTACTCTCAGCATTTCCGAACCGGATGGCAAGAGTCTGGGCCTCAGGCTCGCCCTCAGAGACATCGGCCGCGGCGTTCCACACCCAGCTGCGGTCGCTACCAACATTTGGCGAAAGCTTCATGTCAGGAACCACTATCCACGTGTTAGTCCAAGTCCAACATCACACGAGCATATCAACATACCGTAGTGGTTGGCGCAGACCTTGAGGGTCTTGTCACGGCGCATGACGAGTCGGGTCTTGCCGTTCTCCTTGTGCTTGAGCAGTCTAACGTCGCCAGTGCCTCTCTCCTTCCACTCGCGGCTCTCGCGGTCGAACTTGAAGAGCTTGGCCCGCATCTTGAAGGCCTGCTCCTCGAGCTCTTCGTTCGTCTTGGTGTCAACCTTCTCGGTCAAGTGAACGACAGGCTCGAAATGCACGTCGGCCTCCTCCTCCTCTGCCTTCTCCTCATCATCGCCCTTGTCAGCTGCCTCTTTCTCCTTCTGAGCTTTCGCGCTGCCCGAGCGGTCGTTGTCTTCATCGTCCTCCTGCTTAGCCTCCTTCTTCGGGCCACCGCCAAACATGCTGAAGACATTCTCCTTCATGGCGGATGCGGTCTCGGAGGCCTTCTCGGTGACTGTCTTGCCCTCCTCTGGCTTGTTCTCGGTGGTGGGATCAGCCATGGTGGTGGATGTGAGAGAGGCGGATGTGGGAATTCGTTGTCTGGTTCGATTTTGCCTGGCCTGTCTGAGTCGGATCCAAGAAAAGATGTGGTGTTGTTTGAGAGTGTGCGAGGTAGTTGTTGAGCGGTCGCTTGAGAAGTTCAGAAACAAACGCTCCACGAGGGGCAAGAAGGGGTCCGTGCGAGCTGCTGAGTTTCACCGCCGCGACTTCACCTCCTCGCCTTCACTCCCTGTTCACGCTACATCACCGTATTCACTTCTGCTCGTGGGCGACCGCCTCTCCATGCTATTGACTATTCCTCGGCTGACATGTGACAACGTGTTGTCATTCATGATGCAGGCTTCTCTCAACCGACCATGCTCAGCCTCCCCCTCAGGCCTGACTGAGTTGTTCGATGCCTTAAGGCAACATTTTCTTGTCGGCATCACAGGCTATCACATTATCATGGGTCGTGACTGGCCAGGCCTCCGCATTCAATTTATGATATGAGGCCTCAGGCATGCTATGAGAGCACCAAGGCAACTAGACAAGGCAGACATACGCACATCAGGGCAATGCCAGGGATGATATATAAACCAATGGTTCTTCTTATTTTCTCGTTCCCGTCAGAATCTCTCCTCTCTCAATTAAACTGTGACTTGCCCATCGGTTTGGCGTCAATATGAAGGTCGGACTCGGCCTAAAGCTACAAGAAGCCTGGAAGAGGAACTTCGAAACACGACCATCCTTGTTGGCCCCTGCCATCAATGCTGCCACCGAAACCAAAACCCTCGACGAGGACGTTTCCGATGAGGGTGAAGGTCCCTTCAAGCAGCTTGCGAAAGAGCCTCAACAGCCCAAAGATACGGCCCTGCATGTGAATACCTCGCTCGGCTACCGTGACGAGTGCATCACAGTAGACGCTCGTCCCAACAACAAGGGTGAGTATGTCCTCGTCAAAGGCTCCGAAGCGTTCGACCCCAGACAAGATCCAAAGAAGGCGAGGAAGCCCAGCTCGCTGCTCGACCCTTACTGTCTTGTGGTAACTCGGCGATACAACGTTGCTGGAATGCTGGAAGGTATCGTCCTAGAAATCCAATCGCAAGAGGTCATCCGCATTATTCGTGAGATCGTCACGTACTACCCCGACAATTCATTCCGTATGGGAGACACGATCAAGTGCGAAGATCCACCCAAGCTCATCTACTACTATCGACATGAGCTCGCATCCTATGCGGCTCGTCTTGGCAACGACCGCGCAGCAACCCACATCGGCTTTGTCCTCAACTTCCTGCAATCACACATCGGGCACGAGATAGAAAACTATGAAGCGTTCCTCGCCATGGGTTTGGTGTCGTTTAAACATATGTGGATGATATTCAAGCCTGGGTCTTTGGTCTACCATCGAGAGACGGACCAACTCTACTTCCTCGAAAAAGGGACCTACACAGAGACAGAGTGTGGACCAGTCTACGCGCTCGAATGTCACTACGTTGACTACGACGGAAACAAGGTGGGCAAGGTCAAGCGCACATTGGTGATCAAAGCCTTCTCCAACCAGCGCGAGCTTGACATGATACCAACAATCCCTCTCGACAAGCACTTGGAGCCAGAAGCACTGAAAGAAAGACTAAAGACCCGGGCTAAACGCTTCCTGGCTCTCCGAGGCATCCATGCTCTGCACCATTCAAAGAAAGGCCGAGTCATGGTCGACGCCAAGACGTTCCTCCGCCGAGCTCTTCCCGGAGATGAGGACCTGCCGAACTCCCACAAACGGGGCATTGTGGTCTACGAGGACTCCAAGTGCTGCTGCAAGGTCTGCCTCAAGGAGACAGATGAGAAGCCAGAAGACTACGACCATGAACTGCGTGAGATCACCCACGACGAGATGCTTTTGTGCTCCTCTTCCGTGTTGGGCTTTGCGCTTGGATCGCACAAGTGGATCCAGATGCAGATCGATGACTTGACCGAAATCCATTGGTCTACCGATGCTATCGATCGACTCGTCCTCGACAAACGCCAAAAGAGGGTCTTGTCCAGCCTCATCAGTTCTCCCGTCTTCACTGAAGGTGTCGATGGTGATGTGATCGGGTGGAAAGGCAAAGGCTTAGTTATGCTCCTCCACGGCGCACCTGGCACCGGCAAGACTCTGACGGCTGAGTCTGTTTGCGAGTCGCTGAAGCGTCCTCTCTACATTGTCAGTGGAGGCGAGTTAGGTGTTACTCCTCAGCAAGTCGAGAAGTCATTGGAGGAGATTCTCGAGCTCTCAAAGCTCTGGAAGGCAGTCATTCTTATTGACGAGGCTGATGTCTTCCTTGAGGCGCGTAGTGCGCATGACATCGTTCGAAATAACTTTGTCTCTGGTGAGATAACCCTCTCAACCGAATAGTGCCTGCCTGCTGACATGACAACAGTCTTCCTCCGCCGCCTCGAATACTTCGAAGGCATCCTCATGCTCACCACCAACCGCGTCGAAGAATTCGACGAAGCCTTCATCTCCCGCATCCACCTCGCGCTCAACTATCCCGAGCTAGAGCCCTGGATGCGAAAGGAGATCTGGGTCAACGCTCTCAAACGATTCCCCGCTGACCAGCTCGCGATTGACACCGCTGCGGATCTAGAAGAGATCTCGAAGGTTCCCCTGAACGGACGTATTATCTCGTACGCAGTGCGAACTGCAAAGGCCATTGCGGACGAGGACAAGACGAAGTTGGCTGTCAATCATCTGTGGGACGTTGTGAGCGTTCAGCAGAAGTTTAATGATCATTTGAGGTCCAAGAGGAACACGGCCGTTTAGTATGCGTGCCAACTCCAAGTACTAGATTGTGCTTCGAGGTACTTTCGATATCTGTCTCATATAGATGCTATAATGATAATAAGATTAAGGACCGCGGTTGTCACAGTACAGCAAAGACTGCTTGGGATGGCTGTATCTTGCAGAAATGCTAGTCCTTTGAAGCACAGTGCTTCGCCGTATCAAGTGACTCCTTCTGGTCCGTGCTGTTTCCAACAAAGCTATATCGGAGCTCGTGATACTCTGTGGCAGTTCGATATTGCCAGCGAAGGCCCCTCGCCGGCTGTATGAAGTGCCCTCGGTTGAAATGTTCCAAGTCGCCTGCAAAGTGTAATCTCGTTCGACATCACTGCAAGAAGCCGCATTGATCACGCCGGTCCCCGCCACGACCAGTAATTGTCCAGCGCCTCGCACTCACCATCGTACGACGTCAACACGCGATTGATCCAGCCCTGCGTGTACCATTCGTGGTCATGAGTACCGAACACCATATTGTAGTACTCCCAATATTCGGGAAACCAGCCCGCGAAACCCCAATCAACGAGACCACTAACACGCCGCGAGCCTGGTGTTCCTGCGACCATGATGTTGTGTAGGTGGAGGTCTCCGTGAGAGAAATAGATGCCTGAAGAAGGTGTCGATATGGGTCGGGCGGCCTTTCCTCCATGGGTTTCCAGTGCAAAGCCCAGAATTGAAGAGCGTCGTGAAATGTTGCAGAATTTGGAAGAGGGCCTATCGTTTGGCCTCGGAAATACATTGCTTTCACGGGTCCGTGATCGAGGGAGCCTGCGATCAATTAGTTGATGTAACGCTTGCGCCAAAGAGATGGGCCAGATACCGACGTACTCCGTCCCAGGAGCCTTGTGTATACTCCTCAAAGACGAGACCATTCGTCCAAGCTGATCCGAGATCCTCGTCTTCTCCTCGAGCGTAAGTTCTGGCCAGCAGGATTCCAGCGTCGTTCCTGGGATCAAGCTCATGTAGATATAGTTAATTTCGTCTTCGGCCCTCCAAGCGACGAGCTCTGGGACAGGTATCTGGTTGTTTGGAAAGGCACGACGGACTGCTTGAAGCATTTGTGCCTCCTCCAGGCTGACATTATGCGAGCGGCCAAACTTGACGAACAGCTTCAGGTCGGGGAAAGCGACATACCCTCCGTCATCACAACCCGCGCGAGCACGTACTTCAGCGGTGGTAGGCAGTGCGGGTTTGTTTGGCGATCTTCCTTGGAATCGAAAGAAACTTGTCTTAGGGAAGTCGACTGCGCATGGGGCAAGCTCAGTCCGTAGCGATGCATCAAATGTGAGCTGTTCCATGCCTAGTATGAAAACGGGGGATGTTGGTGTTGTGTCCGGTGAAGAGCTTCCAGAGTTGACAGAGGGAGCGAATTGAAGCGCCTGAAAGCAAGGTACAAACCCAAGGCAACTTTGAACTGGGTGCTGCAGAAGCTGGGGAAAGTTGTGGTGGGTCCGTAGATCTTGCATGTTGTTGTCGTGCCAACTCTTCAACTCCGTATTCTATTTAGTTTGTCGTGCATCATCAACGCAAAGCAATGCCGGCTTAAGTGCCTCCTACAAACATGGATTGGTTCTGTTCAAATATCAGTGTATGCCTCAGAGTGGGCTTATCCAGGAGAGACATACCTTCATGCCAAGCCCACACAGCAGGCCTACGATGTTGCCAACATAGCCAACGATGAACCTAGTGTCAATTGTCAGCATTAGAACCTCCAAGTGCGGGGTCTCTAGATGACATACGTCTGTCGCATCGTCACAACAATAGCCCTCACCACGTCTTGTTGCTGCGCCGCAGAGAGGGTCTTGTAAAGTTCTCCACTAGTCCCCGTCAATACTCCCTGGATCTGTTCAGATGCCGCATTCGGAAGGAGCTCTTGTAGGCTAGACAGGCCAAGATTGAAGAAGATGGCGCCAGCTATGCCCAGCGCGAACGTCGCACCACCAATTTGTGCCACCGTCATCAGAGTCGTCGCATTATGTCGGTTCTTGATGGGTAGGATGCCCTGGACCACGGCGTAGGGATTTTGACCGATGAAGCCGCTGCCAATGCCAATGAGGATCGAGCCTCCGTAGATTGTTGCCTTGCTAGTGTTCTCGTCCATTCTCGAGAGGATCACCATGCCTGGAAGTGATATCGCATTACCCAGCGTAAAGTACCATTTGTAGCGTGGAAACCTTGGTAGTGCTTGAGAGGTCACGAGGACGACGAAGACATAGAGCACGATCAGAGGCAGCAATCTGACAGCTGCTAGGATTGCCGAGTCGCCGCGGGTGAATTGGAAGTATCTGGGATAGTCAGTCGATGCTTCTATGTCCAGAAGGACGGACTTACAGAGGAATGTAATAGATAGGCACAAACATAGCACCAATCGTGCTAGCGAACACAATGCTGATCAACAACGGTTCCTTCGAAGAGAGAAGGTCTAACGGTAGTATCCTTTGGGTTTTTGTTGTGCCAAAGACGAAGATCTGTTGGGCGAAGAGCGCAATCCAGCAAAGCGGAGTGACAACATATAGCGCTATCATCGAACCTGAGCTCCAAGCGTAGATGGTTCCGCCAAGGTTGATCAGCATCAGGATGGCAACGAAGGCCCCGATGCTGAGAACAATGCCAATGTAGTCGAACTCGCGCAATTTGATTCGCTCCGTGTGGCCTTGTCGTGGATTGTATCGAGGGACGATAAAGATGAGGATAGGTGCAAAGAGGGCTCCGATGAATAGATTGATGTAGAAGGCAAAGCGCCAGTCGTACAGTTCAAGCGCACCACCAACAACGGGACCCAGTATAGTAGAGACACCCCAGACCATGCCCGTAAGGCCCAGAATGGATGGCCTCTCGGTGTCTGTGGTGTTCACTGACAAGATAGTCAAGACTCCACAATACATGGCGTTGCCGCCAATACCAGCGAGAACACGCCCAATAATCTCCATGTCCATACTCGAAGCTGCTCCACAGATGGCCGACCCGATCATGAATAGTGCCGTACTGGCGATGTATAGGTACTTGGCATCGAACAGAGTGTAGACCTTGCCAGCCATAAAGATGGTGGACAGCCCGCCCAGAAAGAATCCAACAGAGATCCATGGTGTTTTCTCAACCTCTCCCAGACTGTTGACGATGGCGGGCGTGATGTCGGCAACGATGGTGTTATCAAGCGCGTACAATGTGACTGTACTCAGCGTTCCAGCAACGACTAGGAACCATCTGAAGCCACGAGTTGTTCGAACAAATCCAGGTGACTCTGGGTCGGATGAGCCTCGTTCTTCATCCGTAGCGCCTTCGCTGGCGGAGAGTCTTGTTGTATCGATCTTCTCATCATTGTCGTTCGGCACCGGCCGAGGCTCTGTCGATGGAAACGATTGAACTGAGGGAGCATCCTTCTCCCCACTGGCTTCGTCTAAGCCCATGTTGTCTTTGAATACGTCCAGTTGTCTCTCTAGTCAATAATCCCGAGGCGAGATAGTAGAGGTAAGATAGTAGAAAGCGGTATCAGAAAGTCACTGGTATGACACGACTTACAGTCTCCTATTGATCACTACCTAACAAGATGTCAGCATGTTCTCGCGGCTCGCGCTTTGTAAGTCGCGAGAAACGAAGATCCCAAAAGGAGGCATCGTAGCTTTGGATTCGATGGGGTGCCGAAACCGTTGCAGGATGTGGGGGTCATGGAGATTCACGCTCCCTCTCGGCCGTGTGAGGGAATTAAGGAGACAAGCCTGCACGTGATTGTAGTCTTGCTGCTCAGGCTCTTGTCAAGAGACTCCTTGAGTAAATTCATCTTGGTTTGGATAGAAAGTTGTAGTCGAGTTTGACCGAGTTCGCGCCTTCCCGACGTTCAGGGCGCACGTGCCACAATCCCGGGAGCCGATGTTCCGAGTGGTTGTTTACCCGCACTTCACTCTATCAACACATCTTGCTGCAAACATCTCAGAAAGAGGCGAACTCTGGCCCAGGACAAGAGGCTCGTCGGGTGAAGCACAGAAACTCTGAAGCTGTGATGGATGTGACTGCCTGTCGAACCACTTCAGCCCATTCCTAATCTGGCTGCCCTGCACCTGCACCTCACTTGGCGTCGTTGCCGCTGCCAGGCATATGTAAGACGTCCATCTTTCTTTCCTACGTCCATCTTCCGACGAGCACACCACGCCTTCAACATGGCGTCGTACGAATCAGAAGACGAAGACCTAAAGGCAGCAATAGCAATGTCGCTTGCTGAGCAGGACACCAAACCGGCGATGGACGCAACAGTCGCCCAACCTCAAGGTGGCATATTTGGCCTGGACCGCAAAGCCATGGAAGAAGAACGCCTAGCTAGAGCTGCTTCGCGCAAGAGAGAACGGTCCATCTCGCCACCAACGACATCCAGGAAGGCGCCAAAGGTCGAGCAGACAGAGCTTCAGGAGACTACGATCACAATGAACAGTGGCGCCATGCTGAAGATGTTCTCGTCCGGTGTACAGCAGCAGCAGCAAGACCGCAAGCCTGCTACCGCAAATAGAGCGATCAATGAGATGAAGAAGGAGCACTCGCCGGGCAAGATCAAGTCTGAACCGCAGGAAGCCACAGGCATCCGACCAGAGTCCTTACCTTCTGGCTCCTTGAAATATCCATATGGAGTGATCAAGAAGACTTGGGCTTTTGGTCACGAGCGGACAGGCAACGAGGTGAAGATCGAAGAGGTGCTCGAGGCGTCGACCCTCAAGACCGCAGTGCTTTCTGCATTTCAATGGGATACGGACTGGATTCTTCCTAAGCTGAAGACACCTCTTCACGGCGGCAAGACGAAATGCATCTTCATCATGCATGCCAAGGAAGATGAAGAGCGCGATAAGATTCGAGAGTGGGCGAGTGAAGCAGAATCTTTTTTGCGTGTCTGCCTCCCACCAATGCGTGGGCTCGTATGGTGCATGCACTCGAAGCTTATGTTGCTTTTTCATCCGGACAAGCTGCGTATTGCCATCCCGACGGCAAATCTACTGAACTTCGACTGGGGCGAGACCGGCCAAATGGAGAACACTGTTTGGATGATTGACCTCCCTAGATTGCCACAGGGCTCGAGGAACAGCATCGACGATCTGACCTTCTTTGGTAAAGAATTGATGCACTTTATTGAGAAGCAAGGTCTCGATCAAAATGCCAGAGATGGACTGCTGGCATTCGGCTTTACGGCCACGAAAGACATGGCATTCATTCACACGATCGGAGGGGTCCACTACCGTCAACAGGCGGAACGCACGGGTCTTCTTGGACTTAGCCGTGCCATTCGAGAACTCAAGCTCACGGCAAGCGACCTCGAGATTGACTTTGCGGCATCTTCTATCGGGCAGCTCAATGAGAAGTACCTACAAGATGTCTACTCTTCAGCCTGCGGACAAGACTTGATCGCACAAGCCGCAAGTGCTAAGAGCAAAGCATCGGCGGACTTCTTCAAAAAGGGCGCAAAGAAGAAGTCATTAGCGCCCGACGTCAATGAGAAGCTGAGGGTCTACTTTCCGACCGAAGAGACAGTCAAAGCATCCACAGCCGGTGCAGCAGGCACAATTTGCCTACAGCGCAGTTACTTCGAAGCCAAGACCTTCCCGCGAGACATCTTCAGGGACTACAAATCAACTCGACCGGGACTACTCAGCCACAACAAGATCATGTGCGCTCGAGGTAAAGGTGTAGGGTGGGTCTACGTCGGCTCGTCGAACATGTCCAAGTCTGCCTGGGGAGAGCTGCCCAAAGAGCGGAATGAGAAGAAGATCACCTGTCGAAACTGGGAGTGTGGAGTTCTGTTGCCAGTTGCGAGGCAGACATCCGTCAACGTGAAGCAGGAAGTCGAAGGGGAGGACTCGGAGACTGAAGATAGTGATGAGGAACCAGAGCAAGCGGCCATGGTGGAGATGGAGGCTTTCAAGGGTATCATCGACTTGCCGTTCGAGTGCCCTGGAGAGACGTATAATGGCCGCGAGCCGTGGTACTTCAAGGAGGAGCACTGATTTCGCGAGCGAGTGGTATTGACAGCCAAACTCTGCTGCATACCGAATGCTACCATGTCATCATGCTCTCTGACGAGCTCTATACGCCATCCCAATGCCAGTCTGTGTATCGCAACATGCCAATGCTAATGTATACCCTCCCATGCAACATGCAAGGACCTCATCACTCATACATTTCATCACTCATAACCCCCCATACCCATCTGCCCTCCGCTCCCCATCCCCCAACAACTCCTCCCTCTCACCCCCCTTCCCCTCGCTAATACTCGGCACCCACCCCCTCATCCACCCACTGACCCTCCTCCAATGCCACTTCCTCCCCTCCTCCTCCCTCTCCACAACAACCAACTTCTCGCTCCCCTCCCCATAAACCAAAAACTGCACCCCAACACTCGCATCCAGTCCCAACACCCCAAAAGCCCCCAAGAAAAACGGCAAAGCCGCTAGAATCCATGTCGCCCGATCGCTGCCTTCGGGTCCTACCCAGCCTCCACCGCCGTATGCGGCGAAGGAGTCCCAGGCGCAGGGGTTGGTTAGGATGGCGGAGGAGTAGAAGAGGTTTCCGCAGAAGGCGGCGATAAAGAGGTGTGGTGAGAGGCCGGCGGTGGATTTTCGGCGGTAGTTCTTTATCAGTTGGGGGAGGCGGGAGCCGAGGTAGAGGAAGGTGGACATCCAGGAGAGGATCGTGCCGGCTTGTTCGAGTTTTGTTGGGCCGCGGGCGAAGGGTTCGAGACTGCGGCCTGGGGTGTGTGAGATGGGCGAGGCGTGGGCCATGGCGACTAGGCAGGCGATGAAGAGCATTGTTCGCGGTGAAGGGGAGGGCATGGGTGAGGAGGATGTGCCTAGTCGATGGATCGTGTTTCCTCCACTCGGCGTTCCAGCGAGGCTTCCAGAGCCCTTCTCGTTCTTCTCATCTCGTTGTTTCTGGAACGTCGGCGCTCGAAAGATAATCTTCGGTCTCGTCGCCGATTTCCTCGTATCCTCTCCTTCAACATTGTCAACTTCATCTTCTTCTCTGCTATCACTCTGGCTCAGAACGTCCATACCTTCAATCACGACTTGTTCCATGGTCCCACTACTCCCATCGTCATCGCCATCTCCTTGTTGTCCTCCTCTTCTCCACACCCTAAACACCGGATGTCCGTGCTTCAACTTCTCAAACCAGAGCCATTGTCCCACCAGACACAAATCCACAAAAACGTAGTATGACCCGATTGCGACCTGCCATGAAGCCTGATGCGTGAATAGTGCACCTAGCAAATTCCCCAGATCACCTAAACACCACTCTACGAGGAAGAATATCGACAGTCCACTCGTGCTCTGCAACGTCCAATTCTTGTATATCTGCGGTAGTTGGGCGAATAACCAGGCGACGATGCTGAGGGCGCCGAGGAGGTTCGACGTAAAGGCTAGAGGTGTAGGAACGCAGGTGTGGAACGCGCTCGAGAAGCGGAGGAGGAAGTCGTTCTGTGGTGTGCAGTGGTCCGGTAGGGTTGGCTGTAAGGAATTAAGCGACAGCCATTGCATGTTGGCGACCGCCGCTCTGTAGATAGGCTGGAGGATAAAGTGTAAATCTTGTAGGTTCGAAGAGTTGTAGTCCGGTTGAGGGCACTGCCGCCTGACACAAGCAGGCGCGTGCTCGTTTCGATGTTGGTCTCGTGCTCAGCCACGTGCTGACCTGACTTGTCGCGGCTGCCGAGTGCGTTCTCGATAGATGGCAATGTGGAAGTAAGCAGTCGTAGGTGTATGGGCCGTGTGGTGTAAAAGTTTCACAGAGCGTAGACCGTTGTTACTCTTGCAAGCTGGTATGACAATGTGTAACTCGTATGAAGTCGGTAGATATGAGACCAAAAGAGACAGCAATTTGGAGTAATGAAGAGACGGAGAGGGGTTGGATGCAAGAGCAAGAGAAGGACCGATCAGTAACACGAACTAGTCGAGAGGATACATAGCTATTAGAAAGCGCGACTACTGTGACGCTTCGCGCGGCCATGGAGAGGTAATGCATTACCGACTAGAGTCATTCCAAGCAGCTGCGGGCGGCCTCGGAGTGCGAGCGTCCCTGAAATAGCCGGGCGAAGTGGGAGGGCTGGAGGGCTGCAGTGTGCGTGTTTGAGCCGTCGATTGGAGAGAGATAACTGCGTGATGTGTAGATGGTCCGAGTGACAGCATCCCGCCTGGTTGATGAGGTACAGCTGCGATAAGAAAGCCGTATCCCCGCCGCCTCTCCTGCCAAGAAAGATAGAGGCACGATCATGCGGAGGGGGCACGTGCTGGTCGTGATGGAGTCAGCTTGCCTTTGAGCAGTAACCGCATGCCATATCAAAATGCTCGCAACACTTCTTCTTCTCATTCAGACGCTCAAACATCCTACGTTTCGAATGTAGACGTGCGAATTGCGAGTAGCCTTGTCCCTGCCTTTCCGGCCCGGAGATCAGCCTTCATCGGGGCGGTCGTGTGCTGTCCTCTGACATGTGATGATCGTGTCGAGGATGTCCATAGCAATGTCATAGCACATGGAGAGATTTTTCCGCTGGCATATGGCTTTCAAGAGACCCAAAATGAGGTAAAGTGCTGATCGGTCTCAGCAAATGGGGCCTGTAGCAGCAATTGGCGCCAACTCACCGATTGTGGATGTCTGCATCACGATTGATGATGCTTGGTTGTCTTTGAGTTGAACGTCTTGATGTTGGTGATATTTGAGCCGACGGTGTGATGTGACTGAAGTGTTTGCTTTGGCTTGAGACGGTGATTGTTCGAACAACTGGCAACCACTCACGACGGCTGCTCTTCAGTCTCACCTCCGGCAGTCGTACTTTCTTCTTCTTGTGGCGGTGGTTGTTCCTCCTGCACATGGGAAGTCTCATACCAGTCAGTGTCGATCCACTCGACAATCTGATCCCTTGCGCGAGGAATCATATATGGGTAGTCCGCGTTTCTTTCAGGAGCAAACATCGATGTATGCGCTTTCAACTCATCAGTAGCCAGCTGATTGACACACTTGACCCAATGACCTTTGCTCTTGGATGTGTCTTCAGCAAAATCGTGGACTTGCTGTGCTTGAGCTGCCTCATCATCAAGACCAGCGTCTGTCTTGCGCTTTTTAGCATCTGGTGGTGGTTGCTCGACAGGTCTGTCTCTCTTGGTTCCAGTCGGGCTCTCCGCCTTTCGAGTCGCCGTAGGCACAACACAAAACGTTCTGTCATCTCCCAAGATGCCGGCATACTTGGTTTTCGCAGTGACTTTTTCTCCCAAAGCTCCATAAAAGTTCGCGAACCCAGTTCCGTGGGTCCTTTGTAAATCAACGATCTTCTCTACTCGCTTTTGCAGCTCGGCACCTCTGGCCAGACATCCAACAAATTCCAGGTGACTACCAGCCCAAGTGAGCCCTTGATTGATCTGATTCCAATTCAAATACGCCGCACCGGCTACACCAGCAATGGCAGCCGCTGCACCTCCATACAGAGCGTATTTGCCCCAGTTGCTTGACGAACTGCTACCATTTGCTGCTGGGAGACCTTTGCTCGACGCATTGGCAATTGGGGTGGAAGCTCCGCTCTTGGGCGAATTCCAGCCAAACATCTGGCTCGCAGTATCCCATGCTTTATAAGCGGCTGTTCCTTGATTGTACCGATCTTCTGCGCCGTGCGCCAGAACCCCAGGGCTGATTCCCAGATACGGCGTGTCGAAGGCAAGGACGGCTTTGATGTAGGGGAAGAATAGTCTCGATGTCTCGCGAGGTGGCGCTGAAGAAGCTCGCTCTTCTCGATCGGGTGTCTCGAGGTTCGTAGGTCGACTGGCAGATGCGTCGTTCGCTCGACTCGAATGGCCGGTCGTGGAGTTGGTCGTGTCGTTCGCATAGGACGATGGGACTGGCTCGTCGCGGGCGATGCTGAGCAAAGTCTCCGCCGCGACGATTCCGCCCATGGAATGTCCAACAAGTATAATATGGACGGATGGATCTACGGTTGGCGAGGGAGTCTGGACGCAAGTCAGCAGTCGTACGTGGGAGAATCTGGAACTCTTGTCTGACCCGATTGGCAACCTCCAAATCAATAGTCTTGTTCTGAAGCCATTCCTTGAACTTGGCAACGCAGTCGCGCAGGTCGCCGCGTGTCTCATACTGCGGGTACTGAACGCTCAGGACATTAATCTTGGGCAGCGCCTGCGACAGGAGTTTAACCAGCTCTTGAGGGAATTGATGGAACGTGTGGTCGGAGCCTTTGAAGCCGTGGATGAAGACGAGCAGAAGTGTCTTCTTCATGGTGACGTTGTGCTGAGGACGAGGAGTAGAAATCTCTGCGCAAGATGCGCGTTCTGTTGGAGTCACATCGTTGGGAGTTGTCCAACTGACTGATGAGGACGCCGCATCCCTCGAAGCTCGAGATCAGCCAGCGAATGACGTCGGGCGAAACGTCTCGTCACATGAAAACCAGGGGCTAAGGTCTGGCCACTGCGATCAATAGGAACTGCTTTGTAGAACGATAGACTTCTCGCTGAACGAAATATGTATGAGAAGAGTAGGTAGACAGCTACCAATAATGCACCACAATTCGAAACAACCCAGGATATCTCGTTTTGTCTTTTCGCCCTCAAGACGTTTGACCCCAATGAACGCCGTCTGATGCCTCAATCTGATCGCTTCGGTTCAATTACATGTCATAGCTCGCTGCAATGCCAGGAGCTGGTCCTTCTAGATCCACTCTTTGCACCCGGCTGCGAATGTCGTTGCTGTCACGGACAAGGTTGCCGAAGTACTTTCTTGCGACTTCGCTCTCGGTCTGTACCTTGACAGTCTCTTTCTTCTGTTCTTGAAAATGCTCCACGTTCCTCTGCAGACCCTCGCGGAGCTTGTCTGCGGGATACTTGAGAGCGCGACGCACCTCCGAGCTGATGCGGAGCGAGTTGGAGTGCGTGTAGTCCAGGGATGCCAGCTGCGCAGCAAGTTTGGTGCTTAGTCGGCGAGGGAGTGATTGTGGGATCTGTGATACAGCGTATGATACGCCAAGCGTCACTGTCGAGTCTGTCAGTACAATGTCTATTCCAAGGCATAGCCTGGGACTTACCAGCTAAGATCAGCCCTGGTACCAGTAGCCTTCTCAAGTTATTAGGTCCCACAACCTTCGTGGCAGTTAAAGCGCCATCAATCCATCCTAGACCGCCCAGCATCCTGCCGCCGACTACACCGGCAACAGTGACAGCCATGCTTGTGCCAGCGACTTTCTCTTGTCGTTCCCAAAGGCTGGCCACGTCGAAAAAGTCCCAGACTTCTGTTTCGAAATCGACCTGTCGTGCAAGCGCGTCTCGTCGGCTCTTGAACATCTTCTCTGATCTGAACGTGAGGTCGACGTATTGGTCGCCAAGATGCAGCAGACCTAGAGACTTGATGCTGCTCACGCCCTGTACAGTCTTTTCTCGGGCTCTTTCTTCGCACCACCTCACTGTTTCGGTGATTTGATTCAACATGGCCTCTTTGAGATCGTCTGCGTAGTTGTACGCTCCAAAAATGCCAGGGTACTGCACTCCAAGGTCGCTGTCCGCCACCCGAGAGATCGAATCGGTGAGTGTGTTTCGCGTAAGTGCGTATACATCGTTCGACGTTGCCTCGATGCTGTTTGCAACGTCTTCGTCGGCATCTGTGCGCGCCTTCTTCGACTTCTCAAACACCGGCTCCAATCTACGAAGCTCTTCGGTGACCCGGTCAAGCTCACTTTGAGCAACGTCTTTGTTGACACTTGCCAGAGTGTTGAGGTCGCCGAGCACGTTCATTAAGTACGTCTTAGCCGGTGCAAGCTTCGATCGAGCGCGCTTCTCCAAGACAAATCGTCTCAGCGATGCCTCCAACTCGCTGAAGTCGTCGATCGCCTCCTTCTCCTTTCCCTTGCCTTTGCCCTTGGGCGGAGAGCCAGGTTCGCCATGTTTGCCTTTAGGTTCATCGTCGTCCTCATCCTTGCCAGGCCCATCATCACCATTGTCGAAGTACGAGCCGCCAGAGCCACCACCTCCCGAGCCACCATCAGGTCCATCGGGTGCCGGAGCAACTGGTATAGCATTGCTGGAAACGAAGTGCACCAGTTCGGATGATTCCTTGAATGTGGCTGGGCTCAGGTGGGCGATCTGCTTGAGGATCATTTCCTGGCAGCGCTTCTTGTCCCTAATATTGTCGAAGCCGTTGACTACCATGAACATGTAGGCCTTCTCGCGAGCAGCATTAAAGATGAATTCCTTGGCCGAGAGCGTGAAGTGGTTGGCAGCGGAGACAACGAAGACGACAACGTCGATCTCCTCTTGCCGAGCAAATACGGCAGTCGTTTTGAGCGAGTCGTTGTTCAGTCCAGGGGCATCGATGAGAGCAATATCTACGACACCGTTGTTTAGAAGCGATTGGTCCACGGCTCGGATGTCCTTGATATAGATCTTGCACATTGAGTAGCGATCGCCGTCAACAACGATTTGTTCCAATTGCTTCAGGGCGTATACGTGGTATGTGCTCTCGTCGTTCCGGTTGTAGACCAAGCCGTGGGGAATTGCATGCACTTCCTCCACGCTGCCATTCTCTCGGCAGTCCAGTACTTCGCAGAATATGCTGGTACAAGGTTGTTGATCTTCCGGGAGAATCTTGCGGCGCAAAAGAGCGTTGCAGAAGGTCGACTTGCCAGCATTGAGATCGCCAGTCACCAACACCTTGCTCGATGTGTCTTCGATCCGCTCTCTGAGAGAGAACAAATGTCGAATGCTGTTGTTGATTTGGTTGTCCAACAAAGATGCGACAGACTGCTTCTCCAAAGAATGCACAATCTCAGACTGGGCAAGACCATCCATCTTGAGCTCAATCTTCAAGACAGAGAAGTCCTGCGCCAGCTGAGGGGTGACCAGTCTTGGTTCTGGCGGAGGCGCTTCTTCCCCAGCATCTGCACTGGACTGTGCCAATGACGAATTACTCAGCTCACCAAGCGATGTACCTGCGCGGCGAGGGGGCTGTGGCCTTGAAGAACTGGATTCGTGTCCGTCGACGTGGAAAGTAGATTGTGTGTGCGGCATTCCAGGTCGAGCCTCTGGGCGCGAGGGCTGGGGAGAAGGTGGTCTCTGAACAGTTGGGTAATGTGCCGGCCATTTCGCGTTCATCTCTTGCAGCTTCTTGAGAGTCTCCACCGTTTGATTGATCGCCCGACCCAAGGCTGTCCGGTTCTGATTGTAGAAGAGCTGATGGACATGGCTTGCAAGCGCACGTCTTTCATTCTCTGATGCCGAAGTGGTCTCTCCTGGGTTGACGGGAGTATGTTCTGGAGTGAATCGATCGGCCGAGGGCCCTGGATGCCAATCATTCTCCATCGTATCATCTCCCGTTATGCTTCCTCCATATCCCGAATCTTCATCCAGAAGCGCCTGAAGCCGCGAGGCACTCTCCGATATCGAGCCTGATCCAACAGTCATGTACTTTCGCGGGTTTTGGTCGTGGCCGGGGTTGTGGCGGTTCGCGGAGGAGCTGCTGCTTGCGCCGGAGTGGCCATGGCTGCCGTCGAAGGGATTGCTCGAACTCATCTTGGTCGTGATGTCTCGTTCATCTCAATGCGCGGATGTCGGGCGTAGGTGGTGCATGGGGCGAGGTGCGAATAAGTCCATCAACGTTGCGCGCCGATGTCATGAGAAAGTCCCGGCTCGGCAAGGGCTTGCCGAACGCCACGCCTCGCGCCTGGCACGTGCGAGGCATCCAGATAATGGAAGAGCTTCATCAGACAGCCACTTTATGAAAGCCATTGCTTCTCACTGAACCTTTCGACCTCCGACAAGAACACGACACCGTCCTCCGGCATCGCGATTCTGTCCAGACCTTCGGTGGGCTGCTCTGTACTGCGACATCAACAACCCAGCTCCAAAGGCTAAAGCCGGCGCATTGCAATCATGAATGTACGAACAAAGCCCGCCTTAAGGATACCCACGTGTTGCTAAGTCGTCCGAACAGATCATCGAATGGGCCTTCGGCAAACGCATGACGCCCGCCGAGCGTCTGCGCAAACACCAACGCGCGCTCGAAAAGACGCAACGAGAACTCGACCGCGAGCGAACAAAGCTCGAACAACAGGAGAAGAAACTCGTCGCCGAGATCAAAAAGAACGCCAAGAATGGACAGATGGGCGCGGTGAAGGTGCAGGCGAAGGACTTGGTTCGGACGAGGAGGTATATCCAGAAGTTCTATCAGATGAGGACGCAGTTGCAGGCGATTTCGTTGAGGATACAGGTATGTTGTTTGCGGGGATCGGTGGGAGTTTGCTGACTTGTGGTAGACTGTGAGGAGTAACGAGCAGATGATGCAGAGCATGAAGGGCGCGACGCAGCTTTTGGGGAGCATGAACCGACAGATGAATCTCCCGGCGCTGCAGCGGATAGCGATGGAGTTTGAGAAGGAGAATGATATCATGGATCAGCGACAGGAGATGATGGACGATGCGATTGATGATGTTACCGGGTTGGAGGATGAGGAGGAGAGTGAGGAGGTTGTCACTCAAGTGCTTGACGAGATCGGCGTGGATCTTGGACAGGCTGTAAGTCGCCTAATTCTTGTAAATGTTGTGGTTATACTAATATGCGTTCAGCTGGGAGAAACGCCTCAAGGTCTACAGAAGAACGCCGTGGCCGATGGCAAGGTGGCTCAAGCCATTGGTGGTGGAGATCCGGGAGATGATGACCTCCAGGCGAGACTGGATAGCTTACGAAGATAGATGCTGCTTGCACGACACGACATTACGAGATACCAACCCAAACATCCATTCCGACCTGCTTGTCATTTCCCACATTCACACGAGTGTTAACTCTTGCCATGTCCCACCCTTCCACATAGCCATCCTGAGACGCACTTCCTCGGGAGAAGCACTCAAATGATTCACACGGTCGATTTGGCAGATCCCCACTCTACGATACGTCTTGATACCCACCTCCTTAAGCAGAAGCCCGTACCAATGTAAATTGACATCTACGCAAACAGAGAGGCCCACGAAATCCTCATCATGATCCTCACTCGCAAATTCAGGGGCATCGGGATCAAAGCTCGCCAACTCGACAGATGGACTGTCCCCTGTCGTCACGCTCCAAACACTCAGACGCCTTTTCGACCTCGCGTTGCGGGGAGACCGCCAGCGGAAAGACTGTCTGATGCAGTAGTTTTGTAGGTAACCAGTTATATGGACTGAAGCCCCAGGGTGGATATTGCCGTAAGGGTTGATACCGCTTGGTTGTACATCGAACTGCTTTACTTCAATGTCCACGCCGAATAAGGGATGCTTGTCACTGTCATGAAGAAAGTGATCCACGGTACGATGGGAGCTGGCCCAGGACCACGATGGTAGACTCTCTTCGCAGGGGAATCTGTATTGTTTGCGCTTGCCGGTCGCGTACCAGAGCAGACACTTATTAAAGACGTCCTTCTCTGTCCAAAGACCTGCCGCGTAGTCTCCCAAAGGGGCTTCGATTTGCTTGCTGCGTTGAGCCAAGGCCTTCGCCAGGCCTGAGAGAGCGGGAAGGACATCGCCCTGGTAGGAGAGCTGGGTCAGCGAGTATTCGTGGACGATCGAGAACCAGATATCCACGAGATGTTGTTCAGGATGAGCGAGATTCGAGGGGTTCAGGGTCATCTTGTTGTATTGCGCTCTATCAAACGAGTCTTGTGGGTGATGCCGATGAGCTATGTCCGGGTAGGCTTCGCGGAAACGACCTGCGAAACAGTCAAAGTAGAGCTCATCTTCGTGGAAGAATAAAATGCGTGGTGAGAGTAGGCATTCTTGGACCACCCATGCCCTCTCCAGTAGTGCGGCAGGTGGAAGTTCGAGACTTGACAGCCAACTTCCAGCAGCCGAGCGAGGCCAGGGGCTGATCACATATGCAGGACCGCCAGAGGTCTTGGATGGTATAAGGCAGGGAGAGGATGTAGGTTGCTTTCGAAGACGTAAGATGCCCCCTTCCGCATTCTCAGACGAGCTGGCAGCAATTGTGAGAGCAGCGTTTTGGTAGATAGAGCACATCTGCACGCATTCTCCATCCCAGTCTTGGGGATCATCCTGGACGATACACAGCGAATCGATCCACAGGTATGGCAGGTGTAGGTAACGGCATACCGTCACGGCGTCCCTGAATGTACGTGGCAGATACTCAAGAGGGAAGCCTTGCAGATGGTGATGAAGATTCGAACGTAGTGTGCTCGCTGAGACGGGGGAGGTGCCCCAGCAATGGCTGAGGCAAGCATAGACACCTCTTGTGCCGTCCGTCTCGACAAGGGTGATAGGATCGCCTGAATGTGATCCTACCTTCAAGACTCGCGTGGGCAGCTTGACCTCTACGAGGGTTGGACAGTTGCGGTGGCCGGCCCGTGTCTCTTGGTCTTGTCCAGAGCACCTATGAAGCCATCTTGCACACAACTTCAGGTCTGGGTATTCACTTAAGAGGCGATTGAGATTGTCAGCGGTCGAGACCAGATGATACGGATGCCGATCTACAACAGCATCGCGGTACTCGACGCGTACTTTGGTGTTTCCATCCGCTTCAATAGCCTGGAACACGATACTCAGTTGCCCGCGGTTGAAGTATTTGAGTTTCGTGCCACGATACTCATCGGTCTCCTGGTGGAAGAGCCGGCAAAGACTACAGCCAGCTGCGGCGGACTGCTCCAAAGCGTCGAAGTTGACGTGATGTGTTACCGTGTAAGGCTCGTCCTCGGGTTGGAGAGACTGGATGATTGCAGTGTCTATGTTCTCACATCGACGACACAACCTTTGCGCGCTAGAGCCGTGGCCAGCAATGGTGTGGTCTGTAGGGTGCAAGGCAATTGAAGATCGCCGAGTCACCTCCTCCCCGATTTTCTGTCGAGACATTGCGAAGATCAAAGCAATGTTGTGCCCGTCTCACGTGGACGAGGCTTCCGTTTGGGTGCCAACGTAATCATATAGTGGCCTATGCATTCTTTCTGGGCGGTATTCTTCCTATGTCGAGCTTCCACTTCGTCCAGGGAGACTCACTACCCTCCTTCTTCTGCTCAAAGTGGAATCATCCCCATTACTTGTCGGCTGTCTAAGCAAGCCAAAGTACTACGCAGAGTTCGGTCGTGCTGACAGTCGGAGAGAGGATTGTCGATGCCATGCGTTCCACTTTGAGCGGGACGACGAGGGTAGGAAAAGATGGCCGTCCAATTCGTTAGAACAAAGTCAAGAACGGAAACGGCACAGGATAGCCTTGCGAGCTTGAAAGGTGCCGATATAGCTCTTGTCGATCTACAGCGACTTCGCTTGCAGTGCTCGGTGGCCTCAACCGGCACACAGCTAGGCAGTTGATGATATGGATGGTTCTGGATTCGCTGCGCCTCCGTGCGGCTCGGTGCACTGGTCATAGGACTTGTGACGGTAGTCGGCCACGGACTGACTGTTGATGTAATCAGTGCTTCAATCGTTCATTGTGAGAAAGAGCTGCTGTCCCGTTCCTCTTCGGTGTGCGTAAAGATTGGCGGCGGGGTCTGCTGCTGCGACTCCTTCTCCACTTTGGCAGGTCGAGAACGCGACCTCGACTTCACATCTCCAAGCTGCGGAGGGCCAGATCCTTTCCATACCATTCGGTTGTTGATGTTGCCAGTTACCTGACGACGCCCGGACATTCACCTCAGCCTCCTTGTCCTGCTCGCACGTTTCGGACTTTAGCACATCCGTCGTCGAAGGCTCCCTATCCGCTTCGCCGGGGCCTGTCGTCATTAGCTGCTGCTTGCAAATAGCACAGACACCGGCCAGCCCGCCTCCGCAGCGGCACCAGATCGCATCAACCCAGCACTCAAGCCAAGCCAAGACAGAGACTCGACCCATTGTGTGGGCCGCCGAACAAAGACTGCTTGTTCGCCGCCTGTCTGAGCGTCGCTTCACCTACATCGCCCGCTGCTTTCATCACTGCTGCCTCATTCCGTAAGCGGCTTCTGGATCTGAAGTCTGCGCTTGCGCCTGCCGCCGAGCTCTCCTCCCACTCCACCACCACCGCGGCCGTGCTGTTCTGCCCGCCTCGACCACGACACACCACCTGCGCCAACACACGCCGCACCGCTTCACGCGCTCGTAGCTTCGTCGTCGTCGGCAAGCTTCTCCCACCGAAACCAGCACAGACCCCTCCCTGTCCTCGCCCGTCCGCCGCGACTGTCCCGCGTCCACCTGGACTTCAAGATACATGAGCGGCGTCACTACCAAGCAAACCACGAATCTGGCCGGAAACAAGAGACGCAGTCTCTCCGGTCAGGGAGGCTTGCTGAACAGGATGTTCGGCAGCTCCAACAATGGCAGCAAGGACGCGATAGACACCACTGCAGCAGAGGGTAGCCCCACCGAGACGCCACAAAGTCCCAACCTCACAAACCACATCAATGCTATCCAGGAAAACAAGGATGAAGCCACCGACGATGCCGGTGGCGACCTACGAAGTCTAACTCGCGAGCCCGCAGAGGACGGCACACAAACGGAGAAGAAACGCAGAAGCAGTGGTGTTGGCCGCGCACGCGACCTCTTCAGCAGCGCCAAGCAGTCGCTGTCAAATCTGAGTGCTTCTCCCGAGCACAAGGCTTCCAGCGGCAACCAGTCCTCCATGCAGAAGCTGGGAAAGTCAGACCCAGCGCTCAGCGTCCCCCAAGGTTCCCTCAACAACTCTGCAGGTGAATCTGTGCCAGGCCCTCGATCGACATTCCGGGTTGGAGTGACCGAGGACAAGAACAAGAAGTGCAGACGTACCATGGAAGATACTCATGCCTATCTCTACAACTTCTTGAGTACCCCTGCGCCATCGCTGGGTTCAGAAAGTTCGTCTCAGAACCAGAACGCGCTGACTGGCTCACAATCCCGCGACTCCACGTTGTCTGATGGTAGTATTAGCACCAAGACCAGCACCAACAAGGAGGTTGTTGAGACAGATAACGGCTACTTTGCGATCTTCGATGGACATGCAGGTACCTTTGCGGCTGACTGGTGCGGCAAGAAGGTACACATATTGCTGGAAGAGATCATCCGCAAACACCCAAACACACCGATCCCGGAATTGCTGGACATGACATTCACCACTGTGGACCAGCAACTGGAAAAGCTACCTCTTAAGAATAGCGGCTGCACCGCCGTGATTGCGGTGTTGCGCTGGGAAGACCGGATACCTAACTCTCAATCCGCTACAGGCTCAACGGCGATCGCACCCGCAGCTTTGGCAGCGCAGAAGGGTGAATCAAAACCTGACCTACAGCAAGGTAACGCAGATGTGCCAGTGACGGCTAATGTGGAAAGCAAGCTAAGAGAATCAGCATCACGTCAACGCGTCCTGTACACAGCCAATGTCGGCGACGCTCGCATTGTTCTGTGCCGCAATGGCAAGGCGCTGCGCTTGTCGTACGACCACAAGGGAAGCGACGAAAACGAAGGCAAACGTATTGCTGGTGCTGGAGGGCTTATCCTGAACAATCGCGTGAATGGCGTCCTGGCTGTTACGCGTGCCCTTGGCGATGCCTATATGAAGGACCTCGTCACAGGACACCCGTACACGACCGAGACAGTCATTCAGCCCGACATTGACGAATTCCTAATTCTGGCCTGCGATGGTGTAAGTTCAATATTTGTACTTTAACCACGCACATCACTGATTTGTTGCCATAGCTTTGGGATGTCTGCTCTGATCAAGAAGCAGTGGACCTCGTTCGAAACGTCCAAGATCCGCAAACTGCCTCCAAGAATCTCGTCGACCATGCTCTGGCACGCTTTTCGACAGACAACCTCTCTTGCATGATTGTTCGCTTCGATAATAAGGCTTTGCAGCAAGCCCAAGAAAGCAAGGACAACCTGATCGGCGTGGAAGGGGACCCAGCGACCAAGACGGGTGGAATCAGCGAGGCCGAAGCGCTAGTCAACGAGACTAAGAAGCAGTTGGACGAAGGTAGCGATCTCGCTGGTCTATCTCGACCGACGACTGGTGAAATTATGGAGGAAGTGGAACAGAAACAAGAGCCCGGCCCAGAACTGAACCCCGCGGCGCTCGAGGCCGCCAGGAAGGACATCAAGCCGAAAGAGGACTCTACACAGCCAGCTTCAAGCGGATAACGATGTTGAGCGACGTGTGTACTGGTTGTTTGGAACGATTCAGTGACGAAACGAGGCAGGACGATTGACGGGGAGTGGGTTACGAGGTCTACATACGGTGTTCACGGCGCGCGATTGACTGCTTCCTCGGGCGCGCAGTGGCTGCGCATTAGTGGCATAGGCATTGAGCAAGAAGCGTAGCTGATGTGTAGTGCAAAAATCAAAGTTTCATGTGAAGAGCATGTCAATGAAGTGAGGCTTTGACGTTAGGTCTTGCGTGAGGTTTGCTGCGACTTCACTCAGTCAACCGATGCGATAAGCCCTTTCAAACGGTTGAGGCTCTTCGACGCTGTAGACAAGAGCATTCACAACGACTGACTTGCGCTGAACAATCCGACGTCTCTTGCACTTCGGCATTCACTGCCCCGCAAAACCGCACCCCACACAGACAATCTCGAGTTGACGTCGTTGGTCAGATCAAAGATCGCGTCGTCACAACGGAAGGAAGGCCGCTGCAGATAAGTGGCAGACTTCGCACTGCACAACATACGCCGCCTGCACCTCCACCCCGCGACCATCGCCCACCCCCGCCGCGCCACCCCCTTGCACCCACGACGACGAGGCTCCAATGCCTGCGGGCTGCGTCGCCGCCCACGATGGAGGATGAGCGCGCTGCCCGTGATGAGGCTCTGAGCAACCCCGAAGGCCCGCAGCGGCAGCGGGCGGCAGGAGTCGAGCCAGTCGAAGCTGAAAGTGAACCATCCCGCGTCCAGGATGGCTGGCGTTCGTCTGCTGAGCAGCACCACTTGCACCTGCAGGACGAGGAGGCGACGAGTCACGAGGGCACCGAGACCACCGCCGCCGCCAGCCCAGCGCTGTCATCAGGCCATGCGACCACTGCTGCCGCCGCTACCACTCCTGCTGCTGCTGCTCCGCTGCCGTTCGTAGCGCCGAGCGATCTTCTCCGTCCGTCACGCGCCCAGTCCACCCGTCCAGTCACTCGCGATACCCCGATGTCACCTCTCGACAGGGAGCAGATCAATGGTTTGGTGAGTCCTTGTGCTTCCTGTTCCTCCTCTTGTTGCTGCTGCTGTGCGTCCCACGAATGGACGGCACTTTGCAGCCGGCTGACAACACCTTTTCTCCCCGCCGACCATGATGACTGGAGCGATTCGTGGCTGACTGTCGTTCTTGTTGTGTAGCGCGCAATTCGAGCCTTCCTCAAAGTCCGCACGAGCTACGATGTCCTCCCGCTCAGTTACCGGCTCATCGTCTTCGATACTTCGCTGCTGGTCAAGAAGAGCCTGAACATCCTCACACAGTGTGGTGAGTCGCACATCATGAACCTGGGAGCGGAAAGAGTGTTAACGTTGGCAGGAATCGTCTCTGCCCCGCTATGGGATTCCAAGACATCCACGTTTGCTGGACTTCTGACTACCTCCGACTACATCAATGTGGTCCAATACTACTGGCAGAACCCCGATGCTCTCCAACAGGTCGATAAGTTCCGCCTGGACAGCCTACGAGAGATCGAGCGAGCCATCGGAGTAACGCCAATCGAGACCGTCTCCATCCACCCACTCGAGCCACTATACGATGCCTGCCGCCGCATGCTTGCCTCGCGTGCTCGTCGTATTCCCCTGATCGATACTGATGATGAGACGCAGAGAGAAATGGTAGTCAGCGTCATCACGCAGTACCGTATCCTAAAGTTCATCTCAGTCAACGTCAAAGAGACACAGAATTTGCGCAAGCAGTTGAAGGATATCAAAGTCGGCACATACACCAACCTTGCCACTGCGACGATGGAGACGCCGGTGATGGATTGCATTCACTTGCTGGTTAAGCACAGCATATCGACTGTTCCCATTCTGGACAAAGATGGTACGGTTCTCAATGTGTTCGAGGCCGTCGATGTCATAGCACTACTCAAGGGCGGCGACTATGAGAACAATCTGAATTTGACTGTGGGCAAGGCATTGGAGAAGCGGTCTGATGTGAGTTGGTTATCAGTCTGGAACGTTACATCAGACACTGACTATTGCTAGGATTTCCCTGGCATCTACACTTGCACGCTCAGTGATCGCCTGGACACCATCTTCGACACCATCCGCAAGTCTCGCGTGCACAGACTGGTGATCATTGACGAGCAGAACCAGCTTAAGGGGCTGCTGTCACTCAGTGACATTCTGGACTACACGCTCAACAGCCCGCTGGGTGATACCGACGAGTAGAGAAGGGAACGAGACTTGCAAACGATTGGTAGCGAAGAGAGAGTTGAAGAGAAGTGGGGAAGACGCATATGATACCCATGCATTGTATGATACTACTAGAACCCGTGCCTGTTCAGAGAACGGCAACAGCAGATTCAGAGTTTGAAAGCAGAGAGGCTTCATCGGCTTCCCTGAATGAGAGAAAGGTTAGATGTGAGTTTCCTGTCCCTGTACCTATTTCTCGCGCATACCTCTCAAAGCAGAGAAGGAGCGTTAGTGATTGTTATTTTCTTTCGGCAGTACTAGAAGGATTGCCAACCTGGGCGGTTTTCACGAGCTTCGTTCTCCGTCTTACCCTAGCCAGTTGGTGGAGCCTCGTTTCCCATCCGTTTAGCGACCTCAGCTGGGACGAATCCAGCAATTATTCGCAGTGCAATGCGAATGCGGCAGGAAGGTACAAGGTAAGCCACATGCTAAGTGCGTGGTATAAAAGCCAAGACTACCTACCTCCAAACGAGAGAAGAGAAAAGAGGCGAGTCCTCCCACACAACCGCCGACATGTCGTGGATTGGGCAGGTGAGCAGTCAATATCATCAATATGCGTGCCCTCTTTGATGATTTGTACAGGCTATGCTCAATCTCAATAACTGGTACCACGGCGTCAACAAACTGAAAGCATCCGTCAAGAAAGACTCGAACCCCGTTCGTATAGGAGTTGTCTCGGCGGCAGCGATCAACTTCGTGGCTCTCTTCGACCCCGTCGGCACACACCCGGGCGCCACCGTCGTAGCCATAGGCGCAAGAGACAAATCCAAAGCCCAAGCGCAGATCGATCATTATGGCCTCGGCGGGACATGCAAAGCCTACGGCTCCTACGACGAAGTCGTGAACGATAAGGATGTGGACGCTGTGTATATCCCCCTTCCGAATGGGTTACATGCCGAATGGGCGATCAAAGCGATGCGGAAGGGGAAACACGTCCTCATCGAGAAATCTATCACCTCCAACGCAGCGGAATGCCGCGAGGTCGAGAAGGTCGCGAAAGAAACCGGCAAACTCGCCCTCGAAGCCTTCCACTACCGCTTCCACCCCGCCGTGCACCGCGTCAAGGAGCTCATCGAAAGCGGGCAGTATGGCAACCCCAAGGAAGTCTTCGTCCGGATGAGCGTCCCCAGCGACGCGATGGCGAAGAACGACATCCGCTTCCAATACCCCCTCGGCGGCGGCGCCTGTCTCGACCTAAGCTACATCTTCTCCTCGGCTTGCTATTTCGCCTGTCCGACCCCTTCCCTCCCGACAGCAGAAATCACCATCCAAACCGCCACGCCCCGCATCCACCCCGTCGACGCCCAGATCGACGAGGCCATCGACGCGACGTTCACCCTCGAGCCCCCTCCGGCGACAGGGAAACCGGCTGTCAAGTGCCACGTCTCCGGGGATCTCAATCGCCCGTATGTATGGGGCCTGATCCCCTGCTGGATCCCCAAAATGCCGTTTGCGCGGATCGAGCTGGAGAGAGCAAGGATTGAGTTTAATAATTTTGTGATTCCGACGTTTTCGCATTCGATTGTTGTGACAGAAGGATGAGCGGGGGAGGTTGGTGGCGGGGAGTAAGCGGACCGAGAAAGTTTGGACTGATGGGCCGGTTTGGGGGAAGAGGGGGGAGGTTTGGTGGAGTACTTATCGGTATATGGTGGAGGCTTTTGTGGAGGGGGTTAAGGCGAGGGAGGAGGGGAGGGATGTGGAGAGGCTGCCGTGGGTTGGGCTAGCGGAGAGTGGGAAGATGATGGAGGTTATTGATGCGGTTTATGAGAGGGCCGGGTTGGCTGTTAGGGGGTTGTGATGTGGCCAAGATAATGGTGGTTCCTTTCTCATTGTCGCGGTATTCAATGAGGTATGAATCATGAAGTCCCTGAATGCATACCCAATGCCATGAGTTTTCAATCCACCCCTTCAACGCTATCATCTTCACCATCGTCACTGTAAGCCGCAATCTCCATCCTCCTGCTCTCTTCCAACAGACTGCAAAGGGACACAGCCGATCCAGCGGGTCTCCAAGATTTCGGATTCGCGCGTTGGTAAGGCTCCAAAAGACTGTCCAGTGAACAGTGAGATCCATGAGAATCGAGACTCCCCTAAGGCCTCGTGCTGATGTTCCCACGCAATGGCAGCAGCCCAGTCTCCCTACCAGACGTCTCAGGCGTTGCGGTACCAGTCCCAGCTGGCGTACCCATACCGCTCAACGGACTGATAGTTCCAGATGGAGGCACGGGGATCTTGATATCCTCTGGACTGCCTGGTACGAGTCGTGAAGGAAGGTCCGGGATGTGGATTCTCTTTGCGCTGTTGTTGTAGGATGCTGGGATGATTTCGATGATTTCGTCGCGGGGGAATTCGAGGTTGGGGATATCGTGGGCGGAACAGGCCATCAAGTAGCCGTAGAGGACTCTCAGGACGGACTCGTGGGCGATGATGAGGAGGTCGTTTTGTTCGCGTTCGAGCTCGAGAATGATAGGCTCGAGGCGGACAGCCAGATCGTGGTAGGACTATGATTGTTAGTCACGTTCAATAAACGATTATTATGACTTACCTCTGCTCTGGGATAGCGATGATGGTATGGATCTTGCTCATGTTTCGCAACCTCATCTGGAAACAGTTCTCGAATACGGCGCTCACTCAATTTCTCACAAACGCCTGGGTTGAGCTGGCTCATCTGGCTGCGCTGTCGTACTCGATAGCCTTTGGCCTCCAGGTGTGCTGCAGTTTCAACGGTCCGCTTTCTCGTCGATGTCCAGATTGTCAAGGGCTTCAATGCTGATGACTCCGGCGCTCCTTGTTTGATAAGATTCTGGTGCTCAGACTCGCGATGCGCAAGCAGCGCTTCTGACATCTTTCTTGCATAGTCTTGACCTTCGGCGCTCAAGCTTGCATCACCTTTGTAGTTCTCTTCGTCTCTGGTAGTTCCGGCGCGACAGAAGTAGGTCTGACGGCTTTTGATGTGCAAGTTCAGGAGGTAGAAGACGATTCGTTGAGACAGATAACCGAAAGCACACGCGTTGACGACCACTCGCTCACCGGCATTGATCATCTTCACATAGTGCAGATCGGATTCTTCAACTGTCTCATAGTGAGGTATCCGTGCGTTGATGCGCTTAAGGTAATCTTGCACGGCATCCTCGGGTGTCCAGCCAATGTAGTCCGGCGAGCTGATCTTGACGGATCTGACGTTTTCCTCAATTATGCGCTCGTCAGTGCAGGTGCTCTCAATGAACATTGTCTGTACGTTGTGCTTCTCGAACTCCTTTGCAAGTGCACGGCGTCCCCCAGCCAGAGGATTGACCGCATCGTAGATAGCGATCTGGCCGTTCTCGTGGTTGAGGAAGTTCAGGATGTCTTCTCTACACTTCTTGAGAATCTTGTTGCGGAGTAGCACTGAAGACGTGCTGGCATTGACATGAAAGTAGTCGTCCGGAACCTCGCCCTTAGCACCAACAAAGGCTCTTCGATAGTCGCCCAGGTGAAAGATGTGCGTCTTCACACCAAGCCATCTCAAGTACCGCGCGAGTGCAACGCTGGTGTGAGTCTTGCCTCGAGCGGGCAATCCCACAGTGGCAATGACGATCCGACCAGAATGAAAGAGTCGGCCAGATTCCGTAGAGTAGAGTTGAGCTGGAGCCATGGACTCCTTCTCTGGTAGATCGTGAATGGCATCGACGTAGGTACTGGACCGTCGGCGGAAGTTTAGCGACTTGGCCGCAACATCTGCAGTTCTGTTTGCAGACAGTCAGTACATTGTGTCATAAAAACCGCACAACTTTGAGCGCACTGCAAGGTGTACTTACAGAAGAGTGTCCATCTTGCCTTGGAGATTGTGCCTTGGAGCACGCCGATATGAGTCGAAGTCCCAGTCACAATACACACTGCCGCCCCTGCCCTGTTGGCAGGGTAGAAACGAGAAGCTTCCTGATTCGGGCCTGCAGGGATTGCTGCTGCTTTACAGATCCAAAGTAGTCGACAGGAATGCGAGAGGGGAGTGTTGTATGTCGCCAAGTTGCACACCGCAGGTCCAACGAAAAGTAGTCGGGAGGCCCTTATCCAGAACAAAAGCAAGTTGGGCCCGATAGCAGCGGAATACTCGACAGCTTGATATATGTGTTTTGGCCACAGTTCGGCGGCGGCGCAACGGTTCCAACTGAGGCACAAGCTGACGCGTATCTTGGTCTGCGTGATTTTGAGCTGGTCGGTAGGAGAGAGCGGTTTCAGAGTCGAGGTGATGTTGTAGGAGCTGGATGTGATCCCCGACCATCCGCAAGCCAAACGTCGAAGGTCGGATCTCACCAAGCCGAAATTCAGCCGCTAGCGCGATGATGTCTCTCAGGCCTCTTCACTTTTTGAAGCGAAGAGGAAACACGCGAGCTCATCCCATCACCACGACCACCCCATCCACCACCACTCCATCTGCCGGCCGACGACTTGGTTGGGAGCGCATCGCATTCACCTTCGCCGACCCCCGTTTCCTCCTCCCCCGACGCGCACAGAATGGCTGCAGCGCCTCCTTTAGAAAAGCCTGCAGTCCCCATCGAGGTCGATGTCGCGCAACCCGTTGCCCTCCCTCCCATAAGGACAAATGGCTTCCTCGATACCGTTCTTGACACATATCGATCCTTCCAAGCACGGAGAGATGCCCTTGGCCTCAGCAATCCCGGCACAGTCGATCAGATAGCGAAAGAGGTGCAAAGGGATGTCTTCCTCACAAACCAGACCTTCTCAGGTCTGCGCGCCGAGCTCAACAAGAGCTTCTCCATCATGCCTCTGTTCCAGATAAGCCATGCTTTCTCGAGTGGATCGCAACTGCTATCGCCATACACATTCCTAGCTCTCTACGGAACCAACAACGTACACTATCCTCGAGTATTCAAGACGGCATCACAAGCTAATAGTTTTCAATAGATACTCTGCCAGGCACAACTCGACTCGGACGCATCGTTCTCCGCTCGCTTCAATTCCCGCCTCACGAACCGCCTCATCTTCAAGACCTCTGTCCAGATTCAGCCATCATCAATGGCAGGCCCAGGTGGTGCGCAAGTATCTCTCGAGCAAGACTACACCGGCGATGACTTCACCGCTTCGATCAAGAGCATCAACCCCAGCATTCTGGAAGGTGGCTTGACTGGCATGTTCATTGGATCCTACCTGCAGAGCGTCACTCCTCGATTAGCGCTTGGTTTGGAGGCTGTATGGCAAAAGCCTGGCGGCGGCATGGGACCAGAGGCGGCTGTGAGCTATGCAGGAAGATACAAGGGTGACGACTGGATTGCAAGCGCCCAGCTCTTGACACAAGGAGGACTTCAGCTGAGCTACTGGAGGAAGCTCGTGGAGAAGGTGGAGACTGGTGTGGACGTCAACTTGCAGTTCGCTGGACTCTCAAGCGCAAATGCCATGATGGGTGGTGCGAGAAAGGAGGGTGTCGCTACGCTGGGTGCGAAGTACGAGTTCTCGCGATCAATCTTCCGCGCGCAGGTCGACAGCCAGGGCAAGATTGGGTGCTTGCTGGAGAAGGTCGTTGCCCCACCGGTCCGCGTCACATTCGCTGGAGAGATGGATCATGTCAAGGTATGTTGTGGACGAAGTAGATCGGGATTGAACATAACAAGCTAACGAATGTTGCAGAACTCCGCCAAGCTTGGTCTTGCTGTTTCCATCGAAGCGTCAGGCGAGGAACTGATGGAGCAACAAGACAAGGTCTCGCCGGCCATCCCTCCCTTCTAGATTGCGATCCGCCATTGCTCTCTGGATCGGTACTCTTCTCTCTGTACAATAAAATCAAAGTGTCGGCGAGCTCTGCATGTGCTAAGCCACGTGCGGCTGGCTCTCGAGATTCTGAAGAGGCCTTCTCATCAGTCGGGCTCAGGATGGGATGGGTTGTTACTAGCATAGCGTTGTGGAAGCAGGCGCGGTGTAACGCTACGTAGAGCATACCATGTGTACATTTAATGTCACGAAAAGACAGACATTTCTCAAGGGGATCGAAAAATGCGAAATCTCATGTAAGCTGGTGCTGTAAGAGCTTTGATATCTAGTCGCACATGTCTAGGCGATCGCCGCTTCGATACCCAGCTACCATTTCCAACCTCACCTGTCTTCGTAAACCATCTGCTAACTCAGCACCACAAACGACCGTCTCAAAATGGGCTCTCTCCAAGAAGAACAAGCACAAATCCCCGTCATCGACATCAGCCCCGCCAACAAAAACGCCCCAGCAGAACTCCTCGATGCCGCCTGTCGCTTCGGTTTCGTCTTCGTGGCGAACAACGAAGCTGGCATCTCGCCAGAATTGATATCGAAAGTCTTCGACATCTCCACAGAGTTTTTCGCTCTGCCGAATGAAGTGAAGCAGGAGGTGTCTATTGCCTCGAACAAGGCGGGCAAGAATCATGGATGGTTAAGTCAAGGGGTGGAGAAATTGGATCCGAAGGTGCAGGTGAGGGCGGATGTCAAAGAGTACGTCTACAAGTCAAGGAACCATCTTTCGCTCATCACTCTGTATACTGTACTGACACATGAACTGTCCAGAGCCTTCAACATGGGCCTCCCCGACTCCAAAGGAACATTCGAACAACCTCTCCCCTCGCCCATAACCCAAAACCTCTCCATAATAACCTCCTTCCAATCCGCCTGCTCCTCCCTCTGCGACGCCATCCTCACGCACTTCGCCACCGCCCTCCAAATCCCCACAGACTGGTTCACCTCCCGACACGACCGCACCAAGGGCCCCTCAGGAACAGTCTTCCGCTTGCTGTACTACCCCCAAACCCCCACCAAAACCGACGTCGACATCCGCGCGGGCGCACACAGCGACTACGGCTCTATCACTTGTCTCTTCCAATTACCAGGCCAACCGGGGTTGGAGATCAAAACCCCTAGTGGGGACTGGGCGCCTGTCCCCGTGGATCCTCTCGACCAAGCGAAGGAGGGCAAGGCGTTGCCGATATTGGTGAATATAGGCGATTTATTGGAGGATTGGACGGGGGGACTGCTCAAGTCGACGAAACATCGGGTGGTGTTTCCCAAGAGTGAAGAGGGCGCGGGGGATCGGTATAGTATCGCGTATTTCTGTCATCCCTTGGATGATGCTCTTCTCGAGCCGGTGCCGAGTGAGGTTGTGCGAGAGCATGTGAGGACGCATGGTGGGAAGGAGAGGAAGGTCATCACGGCGAGGGATCATCTCATGGAGAGGTTGGCGGCGACGTATAGCGTGAAGTAAGAGCAAAATCATTTTGACGCAGAACTGCTGTTTTTCCATTCATGTGTTGCCATTCACCGGGATTGGTCTTTTACGTGGTTCTGGGCTAAGCTGATCTACTCTGCCGCCTTGAAACTTGATGGGTATCATGAAGTCAGTCGTAGCCACCAGAGAGAAAAGCCACTCTTGCTCGCATAAGCACATCATGTCACCCCCACCCTGTCATGTCGCAGTAAAAACAGTAGTTTCAAAAACCAGGCCAACTCCCGGAGTGAGACGCCCATCGGCCGTCGTAAGTCATCGCAATCGTAGCAAAAGGTCGTTTGTGAAGTAGAAAGCAAGTCGTGTTGGGTTGAACAGGGGTGAGAAGTCAAAGTCGAGATGAGGATTGGGTCGTGTATGAAGAAAGTCGTGTTGAGCCGAAGAGGGAAGTAGTCGAAGATGAGTTGGTGATCGGGTCGTGTATGTTGTGTAAGAGCCTGGGCTCGTGTCGCAGTGTCAAGCAGCTAATTCTGCTAGAACTGCTGGTTGCCCTGCAGAAGAAGCTCAAGCATGTCCTGGCCACCAATGTCCGGTCCGTACATTGAGTTGGTGACGTCGGCGCCGGTCATATTGAGGATGGGATCAAGGGGTAGAGCGTACCAGTCCTGCGCCTGCTGGTCGTTGAAGCCGCCGTTCGAGAAGGCATCGTAGCCATTGGGGGTGCCAGAAGACATGTTCGTAGCGTTGGCAGTGTTTGGAGAGTGCGTGCTGAATCCTGGTGGCGGCATAACCGAGTACGAGTTGTTGGCACCCATAGGATCGAACGTCTCATTGTTGATGCCGTACATTGGATTGTCACCGGCAACAGTGGACGGAGACACCATGTTATTGTAGCCCCATTGCTGCTGGTTTGGCACTGCCCCGGCTGAAGCTTGCGAGTCGTAGCGAGCATGGGAGGACTGGTTAGACATGGGAGTGAGGCGGGCCTGCTGAGCGAATTCGTGATGCTGTCCTACGCGACGACTCTTGGTGGCGCGACCACCATCTGCAGCGATCCGAACCAGACGTGGCTTGAGGTTCCGAGAGAGGGTGTCGAGAAGGTCGGCGAAACGGCTAGCAACGTGGACATCATCGACGATGCAAGTCCTCAAGGCCTCCACAGTGCGATCCATGAGGTTGAGTGAGTCAGTCACGTCGCTCTCAGTCGCGCCCAGAGAGAAAGACTTGAACAGCATAATGGCGACGCTGATGATGCGGAAGTACGTGCGGACTGGTGCATGCCTCAGGTAGCCATCGGTGTTGAGCTCCTCGACGACCACCTTCAACAGGTTGCGAGCGGCATCGCCAACATTCTGCATGTAATGGCGATCGCCACCAAGCCACTTCGAAAGAGTAGCTGGTGCGATAGCGACAGGCTGGCCATCCGAGTTCGAAGAGGCTACAGCAGCACGAGCCATTTCAAGAGGCGGATCAATGGGCGATGGCTGGTCGTTGGCACATCGCTCGGCAACAGCTTGGAGACCGAGTGCGTTCAGGTAGACGCGGCAATATTCGAACTCGATTCGCAATATGCACTTCATGTACTTGGGGATGACCTTGCAGTCGTCGAACTCGCGCTGCCAGTCTCGAAGGGGCTGCTGAAACTGCTCGAGCGCTGCCTTGTAGTTGCCATTGCGGATGAGGTCGCGGGTGAAAGTCTTGTTGGGGAAGATCTTGTTATTTCCATCCCTCATGAGTGCAGCCATGCGAAGCCAGAAGTGGAGGGTGATGTCCTGCACGCTGTCTTGCTGGCCGAGCTGGCGTCGGAAGAGATCGCTCTCTTCTGGCTTGCTGTAGTATCCCGGAAGCATGGAGGTCAATCCCAAGCGGCCGCTTGTCTGAGTCACATAGACCAAGAGTAGATCTCGTACGTTGCTGCGACGCTTGTCGTATGTGGTCAGGTCTTCTGCAGAGAGTGGACCGCCGTCCGAAGATCGTGCATGGCGCTGCCACTCACTCGAGTCGAACACACCAATCTCCATAGCAAGAGACATGGCCATACCCAGAAGCATCCAGCACAGGCGATCGCTTCGCCAGCAAGGCTCGAGCCAAGCATCCATGCGGTGGCCGCCGATGCCTCGCGGGACATCTTCAGATGAATCTGGTGTGCTCAGCGGCTGGTCGGGCAGCATGAGATCGTCGTCGTCTTCAGTTGGTGGGAAATGCATTGCTCGTGGGTGCCACTCGGTTAACAGTACCAAAGACTCCACGGTGCCCAAGGTTCTCAGGCCTTTACGGGTGAGTGGGTTGACGTCGCAGCTAGGCTGAGCGCCAGCACCGCAGAAACCACCGCCAAACTGCTCTTGACCCCAAACAAGGCGATCGATCATTCCTGAAAGATAGTCCCAAGTCTTCTGGTGAATGGCGTAGGGCCGACTCTGAGCTCCTGGACCGTCGAGCTTCATATGACGCGATGCGACCAGAAGCATGGTGACCGCAAGCATAGGCTCCTCCTCAAGCAACTTCTTGTGAGTGCTTGGATGTCTGAAGTCAGGGAGGGCGACTGGGGTCAGAGGTGCCAAGTACTTGTAGAAGTAGAGGATGTAGTCCATGCCCTCCTTGGCAGTGAACCAACCAGCGCGCACGAACTTGAAGCGGCTCCATGCCTTGGTAGCGGCAGCGTAAGTCGGATTGTCAATCGGAATAGCATCGAAAAGGCCATCGTTGTTGGAAGTCTGGCCAGTCTGAACTCTCCACAGCGGATCGTTCTGCACTACAGACATGGGTCCATTGGTATAGCTTGTGCCAGGCAGCTTCTCCACGATCGGACTAGTCGCAGATGGCACAGAGGCGCTCGTGAAACCATTCAAGCCTGTGGTGGGGCGAGTGCCACTGCTTGTCATGCTGTCCGACCTGCCGGCTTTGGAAACTGCAGCCTGGTACAGTACCTTTAAGGCGTCGTGGCCACCATGAAGCTCTGCATGTTGTAAGAATGCAGCAGTGTGCTCACTCGCCTTCTCATCTTCTTCGCCATATTGCACAGATCTTGGAGCGGTTGGGCGACGGAGAGGTACGGTTCGTCCGACGGAGCCACCGGGCGTGCGAGGACGTTCGACATACTCGTCCTCAACTGGTTCTTCGTACTCTGGGACGGAAGACCTCAGTCTCTTCCTGTTTCCGCCGCGGATCTCGTAGACCTCGTCGCCTGCTTCGGAGTCGTTGTTCTCGTTGCCGTTCTTCTTCTTGCGGCGGGTCGCCGAGAAGTAGCACTCCTTGGACTCTCGGCGGCAGCGCGTGCACGGTGGGTCGTGAGGGTTGTCGACGGAGCCCAGATCACATCTCACCTTCCTCTGGCGACATGGGATACATGCTATACAGTGGTCAGCCTACTCCAGCACTCCAATCTATCGGGCTCACACCACATACCCTGATAAGTGCGCTGGTGCTGTACCCCAGCGTTGCCGGCCTGGCTCCTCGGTGGAGACTGCGACTGGGAAGCAGTGCCATACTGGCCGTCGCCATTTGGCATGGCATATGCAGAGGCCGTCATGGTCGGGCGTGTTTCAATGGCCTGGTGGACGCTGAACCGCTTCAAAGCGCACTCCAGGTAAGCCGCCGCCTATAAAGTGGAGGTGGGACCGGGCAGATGCAGGGCTCTATCTGGCCTCGTATCAGGTCGCGTGGGATTGGTAGATTGTCAAATGGTGTCAAGTGTTGTTATTGGGTAGGAGGATGATGCAGATTTTCGTGGTGCAGGTGGTGTGCTTGATGCTCATAGTCGCGAGTGCATGGCTACACCGTGGTAGTCGAAGAGGGTTGTTGTTGTCGTTCTGAGTGTTTGTCTGTTTGATGGAGCACAAGAGCCGTCGACTCGATCAAAAGCCGCCAAGGTGTGGCTGTGCAGTATGACTAATTAGTCTTGGCAGACACGTGGGGGTGGGGAAGTCGCACAGCCCCACGTTCACGTGCTCTGGCAAGATGAAGTGAATATTCCATTTTGTTGATCAAGAATTCAGAAGCTGGCGGGTCGACAGACAGTTTTTGAGTTCTATGTAGGTTCCAACAAGTCTAGATCCAGGCCTGACGTCCGCCGCAAGAATCGTCACTATCGCCGCAAGGCAAACTCGCTGCACGACATGACAATGTAGAGAGCTCAATTGGGAAGGACTATCTGCACTATGAGCCGGCTCTGTGGTACCGACACCAGCATGAAGACGCGCCTATAGACTGCACACGCGCGTATCGCTACGATGCAGCTGGCTCTGAAAACCGCATTGGCGCCAGCGAATATCTTCCTGCAATTCCAAATACAAGCGATACACCTCGCGCTGTAGTCGTGCAAGATGCGTAGCCTCGAAGTCTTGGCCTGGTAAATCGTGTATCGATTGGAGATGAAGGAGCCTTATCATTCGCATGATATGTGCCGGATTGATTGCGTATGCCGCCTCCCGTGACAAGGACAACTGCGAGGAAGTTCCGGATGGCGTCAGAGTCGTCAGGCGTGCATTGCCCTGCAAAGGACGTATCGTGTGTAGTGTCTCGACCGCCATGTAGCAAGAACAGCCTAGCATTTACCTGTCCAGCAACTCTGATTAGGACAGTCCGGAGAAAGTCTCAATATCTGATCGGCCTGGCGAAGCCCGCCAGTTCTGTATCTCATCGCCGTGACACAAGCACAAGCTAGCGTGATGGAACTATTGTCGTTCTTGCTGCAGATATGTGTCTCTATGTCGTGCGGCATGCATAGCGGCTGTTCGTACTCCACGCTAGTTGCACATCTGACAGCGGTCCGTCCGGGGAGAGCGATGCAAGGGGTGTCACGAGATGTGACCACAACCCTGTTCCAGGCCCACGGAGTGTAAAGTATGAAGATATGTCTGAAGCTTTTGCTATGATCCAATGGATTTCTGGGGTCACCAGTGTTGCAAGGGATGGCGGCGCGGTTAAAGTGTCAGGTGGCAGTCACACCACGCAAAATGACGGCTATTCTGGATAGCGGTAGCATGACGATACGCGGCCTGCAGATCATATGAGAGAGACAGAGGGGCAGACACACGAAGAATGTTGTGACAGTAGAGTTCTCGTCGGATTCAGAGAGGCCTACCTGAACAAATTGAGCTCCCGCCGAGTTCCATCCACCAAGAAGCTCGGTTCTCAGAGACAAAGTAGTTGTTCTGATGGGTGTACGTGCTTTGCGACACTGTCGTTGCTGGAGCCAACATTGATCTCTCACAGGGAGCACTAGGCGTTGGAGCGGCCACGGTTCGACCGCTACATTCTCCAGGTGCTCATGTCTTCTTTGGCGACGTCCTGGATGAAGCAGGCCTGGCGCTTGAGATGGAGATGTCGGCCGATACTGGGAAATCGAACTCCTGAAGACGAGACAGAGGTGGCTGGGCGAGCGGCAGACTGCAGACCTGGATGCTGTTGCGTGGTGGCGAAGGTTGGATCAAAGACCAGAACTAGAAGCTCTGTACTTTCATTCCACTCGTTTCTGTATCTTTGGCTCCCGGATGCTTCCACGCAACCAGTCGGGAACGAAGGCTTTCAACCCCAACTCTTTCTCATCTCCATTTTGGACAAGAAACCTGTCTTCTGGCTTGTAGGTACTGGGCTCGCTGGAGACCTTAAGATCAGTCATCTGTTCAAGCCTGCACATCCCTAGCCCAATGTTGCCAATGCCCGCAAGGAACTTGCCTGTGCTTCGCTTCCTTTTATCGTCCCGTCGGATGTCAATACCTCCTAGAGTAGACGAGTCGATACCTGATGACGGATTGTATTCGAGCTTTTCGGGGGCGTCGGCAGACTGGTCGAATAGTGTGATAGGGAGTATTCGCCTTCTCACGACTCCAGTGTGGTGTGTCCTGATGGTCAACTCTTGACCAACATAGCAACCTTTCTTGAAGTCGATGCCACCCATAATATCGATGTTGCAGTTCATGGGTAGACTCTCGTCTCTTGGCATCTCCTTTTGACCCTCTGCCACGCCCCTCAGATATCTTCGAATGGTGTACGCTGAAAGTGGTGCCTGTTCCGCGTCTTCCAAAGCATGTTCCACCTCCGAGTCTGCCAGAACCAGCCTTTGCCCCATTCCAGGTGCTCGACAATCCGTCAACGTGATAGTGCCATCATTGTTGGACGTGGTTTGAGGCTGTCCGTGTGCCGTCCATCTTTCATCTTTCCACATACTCCAAACATTCAACTCCCCTTCTTCCACCAGCCGTAGCTTGAATTTTGAGCGCAGCTTATGCCTTTTCAGATGCTTCAACAGGATCTCCGCTTGATCTGCATCCACTTCAACCAAGTACCCAGGCTCTTCAGAATTGGTAGCTTGTTGCTTGTGCCAACTTGAGCCAGAAGTTGGGTAGATGAAGGAATCGTGTAGCACTTTCCCTTGAGCTGTCAAGAATGCCGCATAGAATCCGCTGGTGGAATCGGAGCGAACGTTGTTCGTGATGATGCCCTGCATGAACTTTGGGGCATCGTGTCCGATCAGAGAGATGAGGCGACGGTTTGTGAGTCGAGCAGCTGCAGATGGCGGTGGTGGTGGCGGAGGAGCTTGAGAGGCACTTGCGCTATACAGTCGACGACGTTGTCTCAACAAGCATCGTGTACACACGTACGGTGTACTCGATGATCGGAGAGACATGTTTCGAAGTTCAAGATGTTGATCTGGAAGCAATGGAAGTTGAAGGCACCCGACACATGTAGCTCGCAAGAAGGCCGAGGCTTTAGTAAGCGGCATTTTGATGAGGATGTTAGGTGAGATTTGATTAAGCGCGAGGTTAGGGGCTATTATTCTAGACTGCTGCATAGACTGTCTCGCGATCATGACATTGTAAAGGCGCATGCTATCTTGGGTATCATTTCGTACAGCTTCCCAAACTCCTCGCTAATCGTCCACAACGCATAGACTCAAACACAAAATCAGGCTGCCTCTAGGCCGTCTTTGCCATCTGCTTCTTCTTCCTCCTTCCTCAATTTCTCAGCCAGCCGCTTCCTCTCTGCATTCTTGAGTCGCATCATCGTGACCTCGTCCGACGTGGGGGTATGCAGAGTGCTGGTGGCGGCTTTTGGGGTGCCTTTGAAACTTCCGAACGATGGCACTTTTCTCAGACCAGCGCCATTGCCCAAGTCCGTGTTCTTGATCCTTTCGGTAGCCGGTGTGATGGGCCCTTTGCTTGGGGTCTCTGCCATAGGTCTCGCCTTGGCCTTGGGTATACAGTCTGGCTCTTTGCCACTCAGCCAATCCACGTTCTCAAACACAGTCCAGATGGGAGATTCGACACCTCTCGAATCCTCAGCCTCGGCCATCTTGGGAAGATCTGTCATGGCAGCGTGTGCGCCCACGATGCTCTCGAAGACTATGATTGCAGTAACATAATCCTTCCGATGCTTTTCGCCATCAATCTTGATCTTCTTGTTCTTTGAATGAAGATCCTCAATCTTGCCAAATCGACTGAACCGCGATCTGAGCTCGCTCTCGTCCAGGCCAGGAGTATCGGCAGGATATCGAAGTTTGATAGTCCGATCAGACTCCTCCACGCCCTGCTTCTTTGCTGTTTCTGCCTCTGCTGGCGCCTCCACGGGACCCGCGTTCACTTCTTTCTGCTCTCGCTCCCATTCTTCTTGTGCCTCTCGCCGTAGCTGCTCCTCTCTCTCCTTTCTTCGCCTTGCTCCGTCAGCAGCCAATCGATTCAGCTCTTGCTGGAAAGCCTCCTCTGCCTGATATTCGTCACGTTTCCGCTTGATACCAGCACTCTCTCTCCTCTCTAGATCCTCTTTGAGTTGTCTTCGGCGATCAGAATATGCCGATTCTCGCTGCTTCTTTTCTTCTCTTGCACGTCGGGCGTTGTCATAGAGCTGCCGCACGTTCGTATCAAGCAGTACATCGTATGCGATTTGCAGTAGGTGGAATTTGTCAAGCGCTTCAGGGTTAGCACCGACTTTGTCGGGGTGGTATTTCAGGGCAGTCTTGCGATACCCTCGCCGAATTTCCGACTCGTTCGCGGCTGGGGATACTTCGAGCAGTTCGTAGAAGTCGTGTGAACTGTTGAGCGCATGCTCCTTGAGGTCGCCATCGGCCATGGCTCCAGTATATGCGCTATCGTCCAGGCATGCGCGCGGTGAAGTGAAGGTGTTTGGACTGAGATTTTAATTCAAGCAATCCAAGATCGAGTCAGAAGCTTGAAGTGAGGTCATGCTCGACGTCTCTCCTTCACTGAGACACCACGCGTTGCACGACAACTAGCCACAACAACCTGCCAAAACAACCTCATTTCAGGACAACCGACACTCACTCATCGCTAACGAAAGCACACATCACATTCTTCCGCCAGTCTCTTCTGCTGAAGTAGACGCTCACTTGCGCGGCGCTGCTTTGCATCTTGCAGCCGCCTCATCGACCACACCTCTCCGCCGCCCAAAGCGCAATGCACCCTCGCTGCAACGTCCGCACACACGACACGGGGCAGCATGGCAGAGGCAGAGGCGGTGGATTCTCCATTCACCCGCATGACGCTAGGTGACTGTCTCGACGACCTCACCGTTCGCTTCCTCCTTAACTTGCCGCCGGGCGAGCTCAGCAGCATACCACGCCTGTGCTTCCAGGTCGAAGAGGCACAATGGTTCTACGAAGATTTCATCCGCCCGCTCAACCCAGCCTTGCCGGGTTTGAACCTGCGCGACTTCCTCCTGACACTCTTCAGGCACTGTCCGCTCCTCAGCGGCTTCGATGCCACCCAGCATGTCGCGGCGTATGAGCAGTTCCTGGAGTACAAAACTCGCGTACCAGTCAGAGGCGCGATTCTGATGAATGATGATATGGACAAAGTCTTGTTAGTTCGGGGCTGGAAGAAGGGCTCTAGGTGGAGCTTTCCCAGAGGCAAGATCAACAAGGACGAGCCCGACCTGGACTGTGCTATTCGCGAGGTCTATGAAGAGACTGGGTTTGACATTGAAGGAGCTGGCCTGGTGGAGAGCAATATGCAAGGAGGACATGTCAAATCTATCGACGTCACCATGCGAGAACAGCACATGAAGCTGTTCGTCTTCCGCGGAGTCTCGTTGGATACCTACTTTGAGCCGAAGACGCGCAAGGAGATTAGCAAGATCCAGTGGTATAACGTCAAAGATCTTCCAGGATTCAAGAAGGCGAAGGGCGTGGCGGGGCAGGGTCAGGGAGAGGCGGCAGCCACCAAGTTCTATATGGTGGCGCCTTTCTTGGGACACTTGAAGAAATGGATAGGTCAGCAGAGGAGGTCTGACTCGACGGCCGCGCAGGCGCAGCATGGCAGAAACCTGTCGGCCGCCAATAACGGCTTCTCGACGGGCATCACCGAAGATGAGGGTGACACCGAAGCAGAACTTGGGAGTGAGGGTGCTCATCGACATGTGGACCGGTCAGCAGACGAACTGAAGCGCCTGCTCTCCATCGGCGGTCCTGCTATGGAGCTGCCACATCAAGGCAATGTCGAAACCGGTGGCCAAGCCAACAGTCTTCTGGCAATGCTTCATGGCGGCCGACCTGCAGCTGGTGGAGATTCCATTCCTCACACGCCTTTCGAGCAGATTGATCCTGCATTCCCTCCGAAGGAGCCAGAGACGCCTCAGCCCCGTCACCCTCGTGATCCTGCCGTTGGCTTCCAACAAGCTGTGCCATCGTTCCCATACTCGCCGCAGCAACTACAGCAACACCAACAGCAGGTTCACCGAAACTATTCCGTACCGATACATGGGATGGACAGGCCAACCTCTGGGCACTTCCAGCCCTCTCAGCAGCCCTCTCAGGGAGCCGTGCCGCCTCACATGCAGCAGCAGTTCGCGCAATCGCAACAAAGACAGCACAGCATGCCAAGCTTTCCTCCAGGTCAAGCGATGGGACCGCACTTCAACTATAACCAGGTACCTGGGGCACAGAACGGCAGACCACATTCGCATGGACCATTGCATCCCCAGTTCGCGAACATGCCACAGTTTGCAGGGCTTGCGTTGCCTCTTGCAAGCCCCCTGAATCCTGTTGGAGATTCTTCCAAGCCTCCAGGATTTCCATTCGACCAGATACTCAATGCTAATCAGAAGCCGATTGGTAGTGACCCGTCAATGCCCGAGCCGTCGAAGTTGCCGCCGCCGAAGTTGAATGCCCATTCCGCCAAACTGCTGGACGCTTTCAAGAGCTCGAGTGCTGCAAAGTCTACAGTCACTGACATACAATCTAGAAGCTCGAATGGCCAGAGAGCAGGAAGCCAGCAGCAAGCCGCCTTGCTCGATCTGTTCAAGAAGTCGCCCGCTCCTGTAGCACAAGAAAACCCCGCGCCAGCATCTCCCGCTTTGACAGACAGTACAGAGAAGCCTGTACAGCCTCAAGCCAGTGCAAGGAGACCAACTCTGAACGAGATTACCCGTACTTTGCCACCGACGCCCACTATCAAGGCACCTGCTTCGCCGGCTTCGTCAACGCAGACTGTGCGACCACAACCGCCAAAGGAGGCTGTAGCGCCTGTGCAGCCTGCACTGCCGACCCAGCCGAAGACCCATGTACGGACGCAGCCTGCACAGACGATGCAGGCTCGGACTGTAGAGGAAATGATGGACCGACCGAAGTCTCGTGGGCAGCTTTATGATCCTGCAAATCCCCAGAAGTTTGTCCGTGGCTCATCACAGACACGAGTCGAGGAGCCAACAGAGCCGAAGCCGCCTGTGGCGATACTGCAGAAGCCCAAGACGATACAGACGTCTCGCTCACCAAAGGCCTCGCCTCAGGTGAAACCGAATCAGCTCCCCACCGAGAAAGCATCCGCGCCTCCGCAGATTAGCATTCTCCAGAGACCTGGCTCGTCAGCTGGTAGAGCACCACGATCACCGATTCCACAAAGCCCTCTGCGGCATGAATCGGCGAAGCCGACATTCCAACCTCATGTGCTTAAGCGGCCAAGCGGTGGAGACGAGAACGCTGCCACCTTGAGGCAAGACAGCATCAACATCACGCCTGGTGACGATAAGAAGAATCACCTGTTGTCGTTGTTTGGTAAATCGTCTGGGACGGCTTCGGGCCTCACGCCCTCACCAAATGTTGCTGGCTCGTCGGTACCAGTGTCTCCAAACCCACCTGAAAACGGACAGCAGAAGAACGCTCTTCTGGGCCTCTTCAACGGCGCTGCGGCACCCGAAGTGGAAGCAAAGACTCCAGAACCGCCTGCTGCCCCACAGATCCTGCCCGAGCGCAACCCATCAAGTCAAGGTCAACAACCGAACGGCAGCCAACAGGCAGCACAGCAAGTCTTGCTCAGCCTCTTCAAAAAACCCAGTTCGGGCGGCGGAGACAGTCCAGGCACTCCCATCTCACCATTCACTCTTGGGACTCCTGCCACGAAACAGCCGCCTCTTAAGCAGCAGCTACCGCTTTCCACACAAGGTCTTGAGCCGAGATCCAGATTGGGAAGTTTAGCTACACTTGATGGCAATGGTCCGACCAGCGGCCAGCAGACTCCGAGAAGCGCCACTCCAACGGAGCAGACTAAGGGCTTCTTGTTGGATTATTTGAATGGAGTGGTGCAGAAGGAAGGACATCGTGGTGCGAGGAAGTGAAAACAATCACGTTGTGTCATGAATAGGAAAAGACCTCTTAGGAGTAGAGGAAAAGTTTTTGAAATGACAACATGGATGTGATGATTGGTCTTGACGCTTTCGCTTTTTCGTTTCAGTTTTTGGTGCTGTGATTCCTTTTCTCATGTTGCTGCTTTAACGTTTTTCAACGGATACTGCATACTGCAGAAAAGCAAGACGCCGATGATTGAACCCATCATAAGTCAATCCAGAACTTCTCGCGTACCCAGCCACCGAGGAAGTAGAACGTCAAAGGTGCTGGTGCAATCGCAAGAGCCAGGAAGCCAAATAAACTGATCCCCCATCCATAGCCCAATTTATCGAACAGCGTAGGCGCGAAGAGAGGTACAATCCCACCCACAACACTCCTAAACACCGCCCCGGCAGCGATCGCGGAAGCGGCATACTTCTCAAAACAATCGATATAATAATTCGTCGTCGAGTTCAAGATGATGACCTGTCCGATTCCGTAGAAGAATGTGGCGATGATGGACACGTACCACGCCTTATGGTACTCGACTGTCCAAGCGAACCAGAAGAGGGAGATGGGGATGAGGACGGAGCCGATATTCGCGAGAGGGAGGCGGAATTCAGGACGGCCTTTGCCGTTGTTGCGGGCGGCGAGTTTGTTGTAGACGAGATCGATGCGGGGGACGAGGAACCAGACGCAGAAGAGAAATCCCAAACCTGGGCCTAGGTAGAGGAGGCCGACTTGTTCGGTGTTGAAGCCGTACTCGCCTTGGTAGATGGGTTGCATGTTCGTGTAGATGCTGTAGGTCGTGGCGAAGAGGATGGCTTGGTATGTGGACATTGTCAGGACGATGGGTTGGACGAGGATGCGGAGGGGGCGGGTGAGGGAGTAGCGGAGTTTGATGTAGATGGGGCGCTCGTCTTCGTTTTCGAGGCGGTATTTTCGGGGCGTGTTGTGTTGTTTTTCGAGGTCGAGGCGGCGGTTGGCGAGGATTACGGGCGCGAAGGTTTCTTTGAGAAGGAAGTAGGCTCCTATTGTGTTGAAGGCGCAGATGAAGGTGAGGATCCAGAAGATCCTTGATTACCGTTAGTGGTTCGTTCTTCTAACGATGGCACGGGTTTGCTTACCATCGCCAGTTGAGCCTCTGGACAATGAGCCCTCCAAACAGAGGCCCAAGTGTTGGTCCCATCAGAGGACCCAGGAGATACCATCCAAAGATTCCGGCTCTGCTTCCAGGCTCAAACATGTCTGAAAGGCTTCCTCCACCATTGGCAACACCTACAGACCCAAAGAACCCCGACAACGTCCTCATGGCGATGAGCGTCTCAATGTTGGGGCTCAGAGCCGATGGGATCTGTAGAAGTGTGAAGATCGTGAAGCAGGATAGATACATAGGTCGTCGACCGAATGTCTCACTCAATGGTGCCTTGGGACTCATCAGCGAGGGACAACGTTACTACTGCAGAGCATACATACCACTATCAATGGCCCGAGTCCGAGCATGATCACGAAGCCAGTCGTACATCCGATGACAGAATCTCTTGTTGTGTTGAGTCCTTCAGCGATCTGGTCAATCCCCGGCGTGAACATGGACGAAGCCAAAGGGGACAAGATGGCCATCAAGGCAATGACAGCCACGTTCAGCATCTTTCTCGTATAACTCCATTGTCGTGGATTTCCAGAGTCGTTTTCATCAAAGGTGAGGATCTCTCGGGCGTCGCCTCCCTCGCCGCCATCGACTGCTTCGTTCCTCTCCAACAGTGGCTGCCTCTCATCATTGCTGCTCCGTTCCGGCTCATTCGGTCGGCTCGCGTCGTTGGCAGCCATCTTCCAAGTCTTCCACGTGGTCCAATACGATGAAAAGAGTTGGAAGTGGTGTGAGAATTTTCCGCCAGCAGACGAGGCTTACGCTGCCACCGTCATGATGCAAGCAACAAGCGTCTCATCCATGCTTGCTCACCAAGACCCGAGTAAGGTACTTCTCAACTCGTCCTATGACGCGGTCGTGTAAGGATGCACAAGGTTAAACTCTACACGGCGCTAAAAGAGTGGATCGATCTTGCATTTCGGCTGCATTTGCCCGTCAACCGAGACATCCTGGTAAATTTTACGACTTCACCTCTTCCTGAGCAATCTCGTTCCGTCACCAGTCCACAGCGATGTTCAATGAGACCCGCTCTCAGTTGTCTGACCAGGAGCCGAATCACTAAGCCGTTCAGGATACCGCTTGCTTACTCGCGACCCTTCTCGATGACTGCTCTCCGGACCAACACAGCCCGTCTTCTCCTTGATCGCGTGTCCCAGGATGAACGAGCACAAGTCGTTGAGCAAGTAGCGAAATCGCTTGATGCTGCCAGTGGAGCTGCTGATGTTGGAGTTGCTGCCACGTTGTTACAGCTGCAGCCAAATGAGAGAGCAAAAGCTATTATCGTAGCCCATCTCAAGGAGCTGGTCGAGCGTGGCAATGATGCTCTGGTCACGGCAGTATGTCAAGACCATCTCGAGCTGAGAAGCGATGTTTTCGCCGCAGTTGCTGGGTCTGTCCTTGACACGGCGACTCGGCTCAACGCATCTGGTCGTAAATGGATTGCGGTGCCAGTGTCAGATCTGCAAAAGAGCAAGGCAGCTAATGGAATAGATGATGAGTCTGAAGGCCATCTTGGGAAGGCCGTCGAAGAGACGATTCGAGCCCTGCATTTCATGACTCGAATCGGGTCGCCCGGAGAAGACGAGCGCAACACAAGAACACTGCTCGAAGCATGCATCATTCTCGTTGGCGCGAACGACAAGCGGCTAAGCGCAGAAGCACAGGAAGTGCTCTGCAATGTTCTATTTGCGACCGGATCTTCGTCGACCATCGATCAAAACGAACTGTGGACACGGATTCAGAGCCTACTTGCCTCTCCCGACACTTTCTACAAGACTGTTGGATTCTCCTTATGGCTAAGATGGAGCGTGTCAGCTGTAGCGCCAGGGGCAACTATCCTCAAACAGGATACATATTGGGCGCTACTTGTCGATGGTCTAGGACGAGGGGACGGAGAGCGGCGTAAAGCTGCGCTGCAGATTCTCAGATCTTCTGCCCAACTAGCCTTGCAAGACGTATCACTAGTATCGACCATCGCTACTGTAGCGGCGCACGACCAAGGTAAGTCTCACAACCCGGGCGATAGGTCCTACGCGAACAACAGCTTATTGTGTTCAAGAATCGCATGCTGCTGAAACATCTCGAACAGTAAGTGCATTGATGATACCCTGCTGACTCGTATATAGCTCCAGCTGCAATTCAAAATCAATACGATCGCTTCTGCACTGTCTTCGAGACCATAGTTTTCGGTCGCTACTTGAATCAAGTACAAGAATGCGAGGCTGATTTGGACTTCCTTTCCTCTTCTCGTTCGGCCGTGCAGCCCATATGGCTGTACACACTCCTGACATCGGCCCTGGACCAGAAGTTCCAGGATTCAAATCGCAAATTCATCGGTGCATGGATCATGCGGTCCAACCCAAGAACAGATGACACTAAGGGGTACTTGACTTTCTTCCGCACTGCCCTCTTGCCATGGTTTACTGGCGGATCCATGTTTACTGCAACGCTGCGAAAGAAAGGTGAGATTCTACGTTGCGAGCATGGAGAGGCTTTGGCGACGTACATCTGCCAGCTACTGCAAAGCAACTCGGACATCGCCGGTGGGATCATCGATTCGATTCTGGACTCTATCATCGGCAGACACGGAAACAACTTCGCATATGCCGTAGTCCATCTTGTGGACGGGATTGGGCAGGCATGCGATGCTGATCTCACCTTGACATTGAACAACGATCAGCTGGAGAAGCTCGCCCGAATCGCGACATGGGCAGGACTTCCTGAGGTTGCTCGAGATTATATCCTAGCTCGTGCGTGGAAGTTGTGTCACGACCATGTCCGGAGAGATACAAGTGGCTCTCACAGCGAGCTTGTCACATCAACAGCGCAACACTGGGAAAAGCTTCAGCAATGGATATTAACGCTACGTCCGGCGGCATCTGCGCACGTCGACGGCAACATCGCATCTCTGGCGCTTGAGCCATCGAGAAGAGAGAAATACGAACAGAAGACGATTGAAAAGTGCGTCGCGCTGGTCAAAGGGCTTCAGCAGCACACTTCCGCATCAGATCAGTCGGGACAGTACGAGGCTGCCATTGACGACATATTTGGTGACCTGGACTACCTCGAATACCCGAAGTCCCTGTGTGTGATACTGCCGACGGTAGTACCGAACAAGCCATTGGTGGAAGCTGCTTGCGCCTCAGCAGCGAGTAATGCAGATGGCCTTGCTGATGTCGTATCAGCAAAGGTCATGGACGTCGTGGGTCTCACGGAGGTCAGATCATATATGCTCCCGCCCTTCGCCTCGGCGCTGCGGGATGTTGTCCTGCGAGTACCTTCGGCCGTTTCAGTCGTCCCTATCGAGGAGGTCATAGTTCGCTTGTCCGAGCACGCGCCTTCGCCAACACCCGACGCTCAGCTCGAAGATGCGACCATTCCCGTATTACAGACATTGGCACCGGAGCTGGCCAGACTCGACTACGAATTTTATTTCAGCCCACGTGAAAGCAATGGATTCGCGGCACTCTTGGACATCGCTAGTCGTATAGGCTCTGTCAACGCTGACATCAACCGCCAAATCTTCGACCGCATCTTGAAGCGATGGGCAACGCAAAAGACTCCACCGCCAACAGTCAGCGTTTGGAAGACTGCCATGCAGCTGCAGGTAATGCTTTTGTGCCTTGAACAGCTACTTCCGCACGCAGCTGCCACGGAGAAAGCAAACATATTGAAAGACCTCCACCAAGTTCTCGCCATCGAGCCACTTCCGAGGTATCGTTATCTGCTGGAATGGATGATCGCGCGGATCTATCTGCATGCTCCGGAGTTGAAATCGAAAATCTTCGAAGAGCTTGGGACTAAAGATCACCACTCGAATCCGAAGTTTTTGGCATCATTGATGAAGCTTGGGGTGATGATTGCAAAGACAGAGAGCTCTGACGAATCATTCGGAAAGGACCTCGCCGCGATCTTCGTACCTCTGGCCGCGTCATCCAAGGTCGTTATTCGCCACGAAGCTCAGTGGCAGATACCGGTTCTCATGGATCATGCTAGAGATAAAGGCTGGAATTCGATCACAGACGACTCGGCGTTCAAGGCTTTGGACGATTTTATTCGAAGTCTTGAGCGCTTTGGAGATCCTCCTCTCGAGCGTCAGATCGACAAGCTCGACCCTGTCAAGGACAATAATTTGACGCATCTAGTGGAAGGCTCGTGGTGGGACCTCGACACAGTTGAACAACGCCAAGCCAACCGAGAGGACTTTGTGCGATTGTATGCTGCTGATGAAGTGGAGAGCACCCCTCTACCGGAAGCCTGCATGCCTCTTGGAGAGCCTCGTGCGTCAAGGCCACTAAAGGAGGAGGATAGCACCAGGACGGCGATCAACCAGCGCAAGATCCTCCAGAACATCGACAACATCTCCCGTGCCCTGGGCTCTGGTCCTGTGGCTGTACCCACGGCCGCGTCTACTGCACTCCAGACGAAAGGAGCCGCTTACCTTGAGAGTGCGCGCACTCGCTTCGACAACCTTCTAGTCGTGGCCTCGTTGGTCGACAATCCCTACAACCTGGGTGGTCTTTCCCGTGTCTCCGAGATCTTTGGCGCGGGCGGCATGTACCTAACCAACCCCAACGTAACCTCAAACAAAGACTTCACCGGCGTGAGTGTCTCCTCGCACTTACACTTCCCCATCAAAGCCTTATCCGCCGAAGGCATTCCCGAGTTCTTGGCTAAGAAGAAACGAGAAGAAGGCTACAAGGTTGTCGGTATTGAACAGACGGATCGAAGTGTGCTGCTGGGCTCGAAAGAATGTGTCCTGCCGGAGAAGTGCATTCTAGTGATGGGGAGCGAGAGGGAGGGGATTCCGGCGTTGGTGCTCAGTGAGTGCGATGTGTTGGTGGAGATTCGGCAGGTGGGTGTTACGAGGAGCTTGAATGTGCAGACTGCGTGTGGGATTGTGCTTTCGGAGTGGGTGAGGCAGCATGGATAGCCAATCAAGTGGAGCGATTCAGTGGCGCGAGTCTGTCAAAACATGCTTGAAAGCACTGCAAATCCATTTACTCACACATTCCGCAAACTATCAGCAGAAAGACCTTTATATAGAGCGCGGGTGTAAGTGAATGTTCAGCGATGTGAAGACCCCTAACGCTCGGCACACCTGCCCAGCAACCGTTGCTATTTGCACTCGACAACGCAGCCGCGCCCCCATCTCGAATTTGGCAGGGCTAACGCACGCACTGTGCAGCAGCCGCCCCAGTAGCATGCAGATCGCCGCACCGTACTGTAGATGTACACCTTCCTCCGTTTACGCTCACAAGAATCTCTGGAAGACGTCTGCGCGCACTTCGCTGAGCTGACTTGGCTGCTCCCCACCGACATGGCGACTCGAGCCCTCACCACGCCCGATTTGCAGAACTACCACTCGACTGCCAGCGCGCCGAGACTGAGGAGCAGGGAACCGGTCGACGTCATGGAGAGACCGTTTACGCCGCCGGATGCGGATGCAGGAAATGTCAAGGTGGTTGTGAGAGTGCGGAAGTTCATCAAGAGAGGTGCGTGGTCAAGGTGATAGTGTGTTGGATGCGACAAACGCTGATTTGGGGTATAGATTTGGAGAAGCATTCGCCGTGCATCATTCGCATGAACCCGAACACGCAGGAGACGACCATTCTGCCGCCTGAGATTGCTTCCGAGGACGTCAAAACGTCGCGAAAGGTGTATGAAGAGAGGAAATTCACATTCGACAAGTCATTCTGGTCGCATGAAGAGACGGACGGCCATTACGCTGGTCAACAAGATGTTTACGCTTCGTTTGGAGAGGAGTTCTTGGATCACAACTTCGATGGATACCACACATGTATCTTCGCATACGGACAGACTGGAAGTGGCAAGTCGTACACGATGATGGGCACCCTCGACGAACCTGGCTTGATTCCAAGGACGTGTCGGGGACTCTTCGAGAGGATCGAGTCGGAGCAGAACAGCAGTATAACGTACGGTGTTCATGTTTCGTATTTCGAGATCTACAACGAACACGTCAAGGATTTGCTTGGCCCTCGTACGAACCCGCCGACATACCTCAAGATCCGGGAGAGCAAGAGTGATGGTGTGTACGTGCAGAACCTCACGGACGAGCCGGTCATGAGCTACGAGGACATCGAGCGATTGATGAAGGTCGGCGATATGAATCGCACCACTGCGAGCACCAAGATGAACGATACTTCTTCTCGATCCCACGCTGTCTTCACCCTCACCCTCAAGCAGATTCAACACGACATCGCCACGGACAGCACGATCGAACGTCTTGCTCGTATGCGTTTGGTCGATCTCGCAGGCTCTGAGCGTGCCAACAGAACAGAAGCGACAGGCCAGCGGTTACGAGAGGGAGGCAACATCAATCAATCTCTCACAACCCTCGGCCGTGTCATCGCCGCCCTCGCAGATCCCAAACGCCAACGAGCGTCACGAATGACAGGCCTTCAGAACCAAACCAAGCGTCGAGCAGAAGTCGTACCCTACCGAGACTCAGTCCTGACCTGGCTCCTCAAGGACTCCCTCGGGGGCAACTCCAAGACCGCCATGGTAGCCTGCATCTCCCCCACCGACTACGAAGAAACCCTCTCCACCCTCCGCTACGCCGACCAAGCCAAACGCATCCGCACCAAAGCCCACGTCAACCAAGACGCCGTCTCCGCCGCCGAACGCGACGCCAAGATCATCGAAATGCAAGAAACCATCAAATCCCTCCAGCTCTCCGTCAACGCCGCCGCCGTCCGCAAGCGCGACGAAGCCGACCGCGCCCGCGACGAACTCGAAGACTACCAACGCCAGGTCAGCAAAATGCAGCGCGCCATGGAGGAATCCCGTGCCGTCAGCGACGTCAAGATCCGCGCCCTCTCGCAAGAGGTCGACGAGCTTCGACCCCAGAACGAAGCCCTCCGGGTCGAAGTCGAGGCCCTCCGACGACATCTCTCCCTCGCGGTGGGCGAGCTCAAGAATCCCATCGTCTTGCCTGAGGGGTTCAGTGTGCATGATGACGAGGATGAGGAGAATCGTTCCGTCAGCGATGGCGCCTATGATAGCAGCGTGGGCGATGAGGTCGAGGGGGATTTCGAGCATGATGCTTGGCAGGCGGATGTGGATGAGTTGTTGAAGGATTTGGGGTTGTTTAAGCGCAAGGTGGCGGATGATAAGACGAGGTTCCCGCATCTGCATGGAGCTGTAGGGAGGAATGTGTTGGGGGAGATAAGTGGGAATTGAGGGAAGGTGAGGAGTGAAGGGACGATGTTGTTCAGGGGTTACTTGCGTACGAAGCGATGTTTGGATTTTGGCGTTAGGCTTTTTTGTCGGGGATGATGGATGAGTTGACTTGACGCAGCGATTGAGCGGGTAACTAGATATCAGTATAGTTTCAATCAAGTGTACGAATTCTTGTACAACGATCAATGATCTTTCAGCGATTCGCGTCTATGTGACTAACCTATCTGTACACTTTTCCCCCTTTTCTCAATCTACCTACCTCTTCCATTGCAATCTCCCACCAACATCCTCCGCCTTTCTCAGAAGAATATCTTCCACCTTCTCCCTGACGCCCACTTTGCCGTTCTTTTGCTTCTCGAAATGTTCAATGATAGCCTCCTTTGACGATCCATCTCTCACTTGCTGGTAGACATCGACTTCCCTGGGCAAACCGATCCAGGCGTGAGGGTAGTTGTTGTAATCTTGGCCGTTGCTGCCTGCTTCTGTGCCTAGAAGCTCGAAGTCCGTCTCGTGGGAGAAGAAGCTGTCGACGTCGCGGTTGGAGACTTGCTCGAGGGTAGAAGGAGACCAGGATGGTGTGCGCTTGGGTTTGTCGACGAGGAGGGCGGTGACGCCTTCAACGAAGTCGGGGTGTTCCATGAAGCGGGACGCGATGGCGTGTTCTTTCTTGAAGGTTTCGGCGATGGTCCATTTCTTGCCGTCGCGGAGTTGCTTGTGAGAGACGCGGACGGATGTTGGCGACCGTTGCAGGATGGTCTTGCGGGTCTTTACGGCCCATGGTGAGACTTCAGTAGAAGCAGGGTTGTTTGAATCCATGTGCTCCAGGGTTTCCAGTGTCTCAAGAATCTGATTGATATCATTGGCAGGTTGGAAGGTATAATCGATGGCTTGACGAATGTTTCCTCCAGCTGGACCCGCAGAAACCGGCTGATCATGCGGCAGGCCAGTGACGAATTCTTCGATAGTGGAGTTGATGATCTTGTAGCGTTGCTGGAGGTTGTCGTAATCTTTGAATTCGAGCTCGGCTAGACGGGCTTCCAGGTCCGGGAGAGATGAGGAGTGCAGATAGTGGGTTGCTACTCCAGCGTAGAAGATGTGTACTCCCTTGATCTGCTCAGAAGTGAGGGCACAGTACATTCCCAGCTCACCGTCCATCCGTGGCAGGAAGAAAGACGCTCCGACATCTGGGAAGAAGCCAATGTTTGTCTCGGGCATAGCAAAGACGGTGTTCTCCGTTGCTATCCTGAATGGCGCGTGTAGAGACAGGCCTACACCGCCGCCCATGGTGATGCCGTCGATGAAGGCGACGTAGGGTTTGCTGTAGGTGGAGATTAGATGGTCCAGCTTGTATTCCAGTGCGAAGTAGTCCTTGCTCTCTTGCTGCCCTTCAGTGCCCTCTTTATTCCTCTGAGCCAGCCAAGCGACGTCTCCTCCCGCACAGAACGCCCTTCCCTCACCCTTGATCACGACGACATTCGCCAGATCGCTCTTGCTCCACTCTTTCATCCTTGGAATAATCTTCCGCGCCATGCTGCCATTGAGGGAGTTGAGCTTCTTGGGTCGGTTGAGGGTGATAGTTCGAACACCGCCCTGGTTGCTAAAGAGCACATCGTTAGGTTCGTCGCCGGGTTGTTCCTTGATCTCTGCGACTGTAGAAAACTAGGGAGGCTGAGGTCAGTCAGTGGCCGGAATCGATGAGTACGAGTGCTTCACTCACTTGTCGGGATGCGCTCTGCTGCATGGCCGGGCTCAGAATCTTCGCTCGAAGAGGCATTGTCGATGGTCGAGCAGATGCGATCCGTCTGGAGCAGGTTTGCAGAAACATTGGCGATGTATGTACGAGAGGAAAGTTTGAGTGGAAGGCGATGGGAGCTACTCAAGCTACCATTGGTGATGCTCCAGACCTCGGTTGGTAGAGGATGATTAGGAGGACGAAAGTATTGAAATGACTGGTCCAATTCGAGCAGTATTGGGTTGAGGGTGAGGAAATGAACAAACAAGTCCTGAAGACCAGATCAGATCAGGCTGTCGTCGGCAATGGATGGGCGAGGTGGAGGGGAAGCTCGCATGTTCGGAAGCTCTCCTCCTTCGAGATCTGCCGCACGTGATTTGGCCCGAGCGTAAAAATGTCTACTGGACTCGACAGCTTGTCGTCGTCTATATCGCCTCCCTCCCTCATCTCGCTCCGTTTCCATTTCCTTTCCTTTCGGTCTGGCGCCGTGCATCATGTCTTTCGCTAAGGCTGTCCTCCGCACCTCGCGCGCCCTGCGCACCTCCTCATCCAACCCGGTCCAATGCGCCTTGAGCACCAGGGGCCAGTCGCAGTTCCTGGCCTCTGCACGAGGATATGCCACTGCTTTCGAGAGAAACAAGCCCCACGTCAACATCGGTACCATTGGCCACGTTGATCACGGAAAGGTATGCAGAATATGGGATTGAACCAATGGACGATTGCCAAAGGGTAATTGCAATACTGATGAGACATTTCTAGACCACGCTCACAGCTGCCATCACCAAGCGACAAGCAGAGAAGGGCTATGCCAACTTCCTCGAGTATGGCGCTATCGACAAGGCCCCCGAAGAGCGAAAGCGTGGTATCACTATCTCGACTGCCCACATCGAATACCAAACCGACAACCGCCACTACGCCCACGTCGACTGTCCCGGTCACGCCGATTACATCAAGAACATGATTACTGGTGCTGCTTCCATGGACGGTGCCATCATTGTCGTTGCTGCTAGCGATGGTCAGATGCCTCAGACAAGAGAACACTTGCTGCTTGCCAGACAAGTCGGTGTCAAGAGAATCGTAGTTTTCGTCAACAAGGTCGATGCGATTGAGGACAAGGAGATGTTGGAGCTCGTCGAGATGGAGATGAGGGAGTTGCTTTCTTCATACGGATTTGAGGGTGATGAGACTCCCATCGTCATGGGTTCTGCCCTTTGCGCACTTGAGAACCGTGAGGCAGAGATCGGTGTGAACAAGATTGACGAGCTGCTCAACTCGGTCGACGAGTGGATCCCAACTCCAGAGCGTGACATCGCCAAGCCTTTCCTCATGTCTGTCGAGGACGTCTTCTCAATCCCTGGTCGTGGAACTGTGGCCTCTGGCCGTGTCGAGCGTGGTGTGCTGAAGAAGGACTCTGAAGTCGAGCTTGTCGGCAAGAACGCAACTCCAATCAAGACCAAGGTGACCGACATCGAGACCTTCAAGAAGTCTTGCGACGAATCCCGCGCTGGTGATAACTCTGGCCTTCTGCTCCGTGGTGTCAAGCGTGACGATGTCCTTCGTGGTATGGTCATTACTGCACCAGGTACCGCCAAGGCCCACAAGAAGTTCCTCGCCTCCATGTACGTCCTTACCAAGGAAGAAGGTGGCCGTCACACTGGATTTGCCAACAACTACAAGCCTCAAGTGTTCATCCGAACTGCCGATGAGTCTGCCAAGTTGACCTGGCCAGAGGGCAGCGAGGGCGAGAAGGAGGGCAAGTTGGTCATGCCAGGTGACAATGTCGAGATGGTCTGCGAAATCCACAAGCCTCTTGCTGTTGAGCAGGGGCAGCGCTTCAACGTTCGTGAGGGTGGCCGAACCGTTGCTACTGGACTGATCAGCAGACTTATCGAGTAAGCTGAAGATTACGCAGCACGGATCGATCCTGTTGGAGACGGTCTCTTGTGGATGTCGCCGCAAGGCCGGAACGATGCATTCAGTACGGCTGGGTTACGAATGAGGAAGCCAAGTGTAAGATGACATGTACAGCAACGACCTCGAGAAGGTCTCACTCAGCTTCAATGCCTGTATTCACTGTACTTTAGCAATATCGGGATCTAGGCGCATGGAAAAGAAGGAAGGAAAGCAGCGGAAGAGGGAAGTGATGCATAGCCCGGCGTTGTTTTGAAGGACTGTACTTTAGCATCGTTCTTGATACCACAAAAGCAACCGATCCCAGCTCTGTAATACAGAAAAGCTCAGCATGATTCCCATTTGTAGGTGTATGTGAGGGTTCAATGACAGCTCGCTTTCGTTCGTGCCTCAGGCCGTACTTTCACGAGCTTCCGACTCTAAGAAAGTTTGAATCGCGGGGCGCGTTTGACTGGAACCAAAAGTTCAGATTTCTTGAACACTCTCTCTCCACACAACAACCCAATGGACAGACGATAATATTCAATCAAAATGCCCCCGAAGAAGCCGCCTGCCCCTGCGCAAGGCAATGGCGAACAATCCGTGAAGCAGGAAAGCACACCAACCCAAGAACAAGCCACCGCCGGCGCATCACAAGATGCAGCAGCATCAACCCCAACCGCTGGCAGTCCACCAGCGCCAGCAACAGGACCTCCACGACCACCTCTTCAATCCCTACGAGGAGGATCAAGAGGACGCCCCGCACCGAAATTCGCCGGTCGTAGATCCCAAGCCGCACGACAAGAGGCCGAACAAGCGGCTGCTGCAAAGAAAGCTGAAGAGGCGCGGATAGCAGCGAATGAAGCCAAGCGTGCGGCTCGTGAGGCGAGGGCTTTTGGATATCATGGAAGAGGTGGTGGGGATAGAGGTGGACGTGGTGGGCGAGGTGGGCGAGGTAGAGGTGGGCATATGGGCGATGATCGGAGGAGGGGTGGGGATGCTGTTGCTAGTGGACCTTTTGGTGCCGGACAGGTCTCGAGCGAGGTGAGGAGATCGGGATGGAGCTCGGGCGGTGGTGGGTCGGGAGCTTTTGGGAGTGGACTTTCGTCTGGAGGTGGTGGAGGTGGAGGGTCAAGATATGGCGGGGGAGGAGGTGGTGGAGGCGGCGGCGGTGGAGGTGGTGGTGGGAGATCCTACGGCGGTGGAAGCTCTAGCGGTGTCAAAATGGAGCCTGGAATGGGAAGTGGCAGTATGGGAGGAATGCCGTACATCAAGCCTGAGGACGGTGGCTACATTTCCAGCGACGATGACGAGGCGGATACCGGTGGCCCCAAGCAGAACATCGACCAGATGCAAGTGATCGACCTCACAGGAGAAGATGACGAGAAATTCGCGCCGGTACGATTATGGAGAGAAGAGCACAAAGACCGAACAGTTGGACTGAGTGTCGAGGAAGAGCTTGCACACGCAGGAGACGATGTAGCCGAGAATACAGCTTCAGAAAAGAAGAAAGGCAAGCAGCGTGTCCGGGATCTGGAGGTCACTGGAGCCAAGGAGAGACCAAAGAGACCCACAACATACAGCTCATCTGACACCGACGGCGAGCCTCATATCAAGGAAGAGCCCGCGGATGACGACTTGTCAACACGACCAACGACGCCAGAACCACAACCGCAACCTGCCGAGGGAGCAATCGCGAGCCCACTGTCTTCTCCAGAAAGTAGACGCAAGGCGAAGGAGAAGGTCAAGTCCACTGCCGACGTTACAGTAGCAGGCGAAGAAGACGACTTCATTCAGCCTGAGCCGCCCAAATTCCAGACACAAGCAGAAAAGGACGAGTGGGAGAGGCGGTACGATGATCTGAGAGATATTCGAAACGAACTTGGACGACTGATGCCGAAGACGACGAGCGACGGAGATGGAGACGCCACCATGGCGGAAACCACCCCTGCGTCTGAAAAGATCAAGGAGCAGCAGCGGGTAAGAGGAGAGCATGTCTACCTCTTCCAATTCCCGCCTGTGCTGCCAGATCTTTCGCCTGTGGTGGTCAAGCCAGACCCCGACACGATTCGAGTCCGACATCCAGACGACCCCGAGCCTATGGAAGTGGACGGCCAGGAGGCAGAGCAAGAGGCAGCGAAGGATGCGAAGAAAGATGAGGCACAGAAGAGTGGCCAGCCCAAGCTGCCTGCTGGTGCAGTCGGCAAACTGAGAGTCCACAAATCCGGCAAGACGACCCTGGACTGGGGAGGCACCAGCTTGGTTCTAGGCATGGGAGCGGAGGCCACGTTTTTGCAGAACATCATGATTGCCAAGATGCCCGAGAAGAAGCCTCTGGATGATACCCAAGCGGCCTCGGACGACCAGGAGCCCGCGGTGGGCATGGGCATGGGCCAGATTAGGTCTAAGTTTGTCGTCACGCCGGATTGGGATGAGATCTTGAAGTGAACGTGTACATACTAAAAAAGGGTGTGTTTCGGGAAAGCCTCGAAAATTGTTGCATTAGCGAGGCGTCCCGGCGAAGAGCAGGGCAGTCGATCGATACCAAGCCAGAAAACTATCTGCAGTCTACGAACGTTGACCATAGTACCCCTCCACCAACTCCACCACCTCCCTCTTAATAATCTTCCCCGTAGCATTCAGAGGAAACTCTCTCCGCCCCAGCTGCTCGAGCGTCACCACGCTCCCCACAGCATAATCCCTCCCAAACATCTCCTCCACCCGCCGCTTGACCTCCTCCTCCGTCTTCCCTCCCAACCCCTTCACAACCACCAACGGCTCCTGCCCCAACACCGCATGCGGCCACGCCACTACGCTCGTCTGGCTCCCCGTGAATTTCTCAATGCAACTCTCCAGCGCGGCGGGCGTGATGGGCACACCGCTGCGTTTGATCACATCTTTAATCCGGCCGAGGATGTAGATGATCCCCTCGGCGTCGATCATCGCGAGATCTCCCGTCAGGAACCACTGTATTCCGTCTTGGTGCAGGAAGGCGTCCTGGTTGGTGTCGTTGAGGTAGTGGTTGATGACGCTCTTGGAGGAAACGCATAATTCGCCCGGGACGTTTCTTTTCAGGAGGGTGTGGGTTTCGGGGTCGAGGATGCGGAGTTTGGAGCCGGGGGTTGCGAGGCCTAGGGGGGAGATGTCGGCGTAGAAGGGGATTTCGTCGAAAGGGGTGGCGAAGAAGGGCCATCTGAACAGGCCTCCGCCTTCGGTCATGCCGTGCGAGGTGGAGACGACGGCGTGCGGGAAGGCCTTCCTCGTCCGCGCGTGGATGTCGCGGGTGATCATGTCGCCTCCTAAAGTGATATCCGTCACGCTCGAGACGTCCAGGCCTTGAAACTCCGCATCGCCCACAACGCCGTACGTTATCGCGGGAATGAAAAGGATGTAATTCACCCTCCACTCCCGAATCGCCGCGATCGCCCCCTCCGCACCCAGACTCGGATCTGGCATGATGGCCGTCGCGCCTTTGAACCATATCCCCGTGTGGATGGCCGGCGAGATGATGCGGAAGTTTGGGCTGGATGTGAGGACGCGGGTGCTTGTGGTGAAGCCCCGGCCCCACTGGTAGATGTTGTAGAAGATGTTGTTGACGGCGGCGACGTGTCGGGCGCAGCCTTTAGGGGTGCCTGTGGACGTACCAGAGGTGAAGAGGATGAGTGATATGCGGTCGGGGTCGTCTGCCGCGCGGGCTTGTTGAACGATGGTTTCTGGGCTCATGGAGCTTTTGGAGCCAGCGGCTGCGATTGCTGGTATGGATGTCCAGCCATCGGCGGCGCCGTCGAGTAGGATCTTGAGTTTGGGTCCTGCACGAGCAGAGAAGACTTGATCGATGGCTTCAGCTCCCTTCTCATCGAGCACCATGACGACGTCTGGATTTGTGGCTTCCATCAGCTTTGTGAGCTCTTCCCTTCGAGGTGGAGTGACGGCGCCGGGATCCAGGGAGATGAGTGTCAGGCGGAGAAGGGTGTACATCCACAGCGTGAGGGGGTATTCGACCCGATTGGGGATCAGAGTAGCTATTCGCATGCCTGGTTGGATTCCATGGGCCATCAAACCAGTGGCGAACTTCAGCGCCGCTTGATGGAGTTGTAGGTATGTCCATTGTAAGCAATTGGACGAAGCGATGGCCGATTGTGCGTTCGGACTGTCATCTTTCTCCCCAGCAGTGAGTTCTGAGAGATGGTCTGCGCGTTGGTGCATAACAACCGTGGCAAGGCCACGAGGGTTCTTCTTCAATCCTTCTTCGATATGAGAAAAGATAGAACTTCTTTCTTGATTCAGAGCGCCTCCGTCCACATCCGCCAGTTGTTCTTCGGGTTGCATTTTGTTGAGTATTCGTTACCACACAGTCTAACCTCGAAAGCTCAATATTTGCTGCAAATTGCAAAAGCGAGAGCAGATGCTCATATCACGATAGGCAGTGCCATGCAGCGTCCTGTGTATCAAGCTGATGCAGTTACAAGCACTCGTCCAAGATTAGAAGACTCTGTAGCTGATGATGCTGCTGACGGATGCTGCTTGCCAGGTCATAGACTTCCTTCGAGTCACTTGTAAACTCAAAGTCGACCTTATGGAGCTATAGATCCGCCCACGGAGGCCAGTGGTATGCCGATTGAGAGGCGATTGGACGTCTTCCTCTGTGCTTCGTATACCGCGCGGGTTCAACCGCGTTGATATGCCCCACTTGCCATTAGGGAATGTAGCTTGTCGTTCTGCAGGAACGAGATCACGAGATGATTTTCTCATGGAATTGATGATGGCGGTGAAGGCTCAATTCCAGGTTTGATCGCGTACTCGATGTAGATTCCAGTTGCATGTCGACAAGAACGTTAGGCAGTCACTGGTGATATTGCTGTTCGCAACATGTTTCAGAACTGGTAGTCCTCTCCCGTGGTATGCAGTTGGGGGAGAGTTGTCCCTCATATGGTGGACCTCTCGACGGCGACAGCGTCGCTATCCAAATTAAATGCGCAGTAAAATATGTATAGAGGCTCAGAGAAGGCTCACCGGCCCCTCACATGGAGTACCCGCCCCCGAGGTCAACACCCCATCCTTATGCGGGGTGTTGCAGATCGCCACGCGAGGGTCGCAGGTATCAAAAATGCTTGATGGACTTGCAGACGTGTTTCGATTCGGGGTTGGTGTTCAGCTAAATTGTGCTTGGAACAGTCAATCTTGTAGGCTCCTTAACAAATCCGAAGCATTTCGGATCTCTTGCGTGCAAGCCATCCACGATGCGGCCTGAAGGTAGTCGCAAGTATGTCATCCCAAGACTTCGAAACTTGTACAACTTTGGCGTGGCGTTGTTCGTCGCAGTTGGAAGTCTATGTTATGGATGTAAGCCTCCAAGTCCGACCAGAAGGAAGGGTGCAAATGTCTAATCGTTGCATTAGACGCCTCGTCGATATCCGCCGCGTTGATCGGTCAACCGTCCTGGTACGATTACATGGGCCTGGAAGAAGGCACATCTCACACCAATGCAATCCTTGGGGCCATCAATGGGGTGTATGCAGCCGGTGGGGCCATCGGGTGCGTCTTCAACATGTGGAGTTCAGAGAAGCTCGGTCGAAAGCGTAGCATCCAGCTTGGCTGTATAATCTCCATTGTGGGCGCGGCGATCATGACAGGATCCGTGGACATCCCGATGTTCATCGTGAGCAGGTTTATCATGGGTTTTGGTATCGGGATCCTCGTCACTTTGGTACCGCTTTATCAATCCGAGGTCTCGCCTGCTGAAAGTAGAGGCCTCATGTAAGTCCACCTGCATAGAACTTCCCGTCGTTCCACGCTGATCGAAAGCCCAGGGTCGGACTGCACGGCGTTCTAATTGGTTTTTCGTATTCCCTCACTGGCTTCATAACATACGCCTGCTACTTCGCTCCGTACGGCCAATTCCAATGGCGATTCCCACTAGCGGTGCAGCTCATACCGACGAGCACACTGCTGATCGGCTCCTTCTGGCTGCCCTTCTCCCCACGATGGCTCCTGTCTAAGAGCAAGGCTGATCAAGCATGGCGAGTTACCCAAAGGCTTCATGCTAACAGAAGCGACCCCGATGATAGCTATGCTCGTGCCGAGTACCATCAGATGCAAGCTCAGTTCGACTTCGAAAAGAGCATGAATGCAGTTGGAACTCTCGCGCAGGCAAGGCTGGCATTTAGCCAAGGCAGCTTCAGGAAACGTTTAGCGATTGGGTGAGATATTTGAGCTGACCGGCCAGGTGCCATAATGCCGGCTAACATCATTCGCAGCTTTGGTGTGCAGTTCTTCAACCAGACAACTGGTGCTCTCGTCATCAACAATTACTTAACGCAAATCCTCTCTCGCCTTGGAGTGACCGGTGGGACGCCATTATTGCTCATAGGTAAGGACGCCCAGGACCAGAAACATGATCGAATATGTTGCTGGAGTATCCATTGACTTTCTCGTTCTCGTCCAGGCATCTATAACCTATGCACGGTGCCGGGTAACCTGTGCAATGGTTTGTTCATCGACCGGTAAGATGTCAAGCACGACACGATGTCGATCAGAATGGCTAACTGGGCACACGTAGAGTCGGTAGAAGGAACTTCGTGCTTGTGGGATGCATTGGCATTATAGTTTGCCTATCCGGTGAGGCGGCAATGACAGCCGAATTCGTCCAGACCGGCTCCAACAATCGGGTCGGTTTGGCTTGGGGTGTCGTATTCATCTTTCTATATGTCATCTTTTACAGTTCGTGTTTGGATGCAACGATGTATCTGATTCCCTCAGAGATGTGAGCTCATGAAGACTGAATGCTGGAGACAGACTGCTGATCATTCCAGATTTCCGATGGTGATTCGCAGTTTTGGAGTGTCTTTCAGCATTCTCGGCCAGTTCATCGCAACAGTAATTCTGCTGGAGGCAGCTCCGACAGCGTTTCAGAATATTGGATACAAGTTCTGGATTATCCTGATTTGCCTGACTGTCTTATACGCAGTCTGGGTATATTTCTTCCTCCCAGAGGTAAGTGGTCGACGAACTCAGCTAAAAGCGATTTCTGACCATGACCAGACCAAGGGCATGACGCTGGAGGACATCAGCGTCCTGTTTGGAGACCCTGTCGAGCTCAGCTTCGAGCAAGCCTTGGTGAAGCAAGAAAATGCGACAGATGAAGATGCGAAAACGCACACTGCGCATGTCGAGAGCCTTTCTGGGCCGTTATGATAGCTTGGGCGCGTAGAAATTCTAGACAACAGTCAGCACCAGGAACATGAAGTGATGCAATAGATCTCAAAGCGATAAACAAAACGTTCAGTAAAGTTGCGTATAGGTTTTCTCCTCAATTTCTGCAAGCAGAGATAGGACAGCTCCAATAATTAGGATTTCATCATTCAAGAGGGATCGAAGATGTTGCTGAACATACCTTATATGCTGTTGAGTAGTTGCTGAACGCCGGACCACAACAACAATGCTCAGGCAGTCGATCGATGGGGGCTGTAATCTGGGAGAGCGTCTCTCAGGTTCAGGTCTCTTCGTCATCGTCAAATGCGAGTTTGACAGGCTTTGCCTTCTTCTTCGCTTTCTTCACTGTCTTGGCGACGCTCTTTTCTGCATCTTCTCCAGGTTTTTCAGTGGTCTCGTCGTCCTCGTGGTCTTTTCCCACAGCCTTCGCGACCTTACGTTTCTTCGTCGCGGTCCCGTCAGTAACCTTGTTCTCGGAGGCCTTTGGATCTGGAAGAGCACCAGAAGCCTTAGGTTCCGTAGCCGGATCTAGTTCACCCTTTACATTCTCGGTATCCTCGACGCCTGGCTCTGGCTGGTTCGTAAGCTTGTCGACCTCATCCTTGGAGAGCGTCTCGCCACTCTCATCGACCACAGTTGGTCCATCGTCATCATTTGGATCCTTGGACTTCTTCGGCCTAGCAATCTGTCGCTCGTGCCGGTCAGTATCCCCACGTCCAGCGTTCTGATTGTGCAGTCTCTGCAGGAAAGGCGGCAACGAAGAGTCGTAGCTCAAGTCCTTGGACTTGATTTTATCTGACATTGTCGACCATAAGATACCCACGTGGAACTTCTCATCAAGCCAGCAGCAATTTCACATGCGGGCTTTGAAGATTGCTGGAGACATGTGGTGTTGAAGTAGAGCAGCAGACTGAGGTGAAGAAGTCGAATTGGCTTGGCGTTTTATTAGCGCCGGGACTAGCCGTCACGCACTTGGAATCCCGCCGAAGTCGAAAATATCGCGACTCCATCAGACGCCAGACGACCAACGACGACGACCAGCGCAACACCCAGTGCCCACCGCTTCCAACGAAACCCCGAAGCCCAAAACCGCAATCATGTCGCACGAATCCGTCTGGTACTCGCGCCCACGCACCTACGGCAAGGGAGCTAGATCTTGGTATGTGGAAGGATATTGGAAGAGGTAGACGAGAAGAGAATGGACTCTAATATAACACACAGCCGCGTCTGCACCCACAAGGCCGGTCTGATCCGCAAGTATGGCCTGAACATCTGCCGTCAGTGCTTCAGAGAGAAGTCCACGGACATCGGCTTCACCAAGGTACGGACTTGGACTTGGATGGACAGGACCTTGATGGGTTTACTAACCTGACTGCAGCACCGGTAAATCCTTTCGCATCACTGGAATGGTATAAGAGAGGAATGAGAAGGGAGGCGAATGCGGCGGCGCTGAGCATGACAATGGATATGCATTGCAGCATACCAGGCATCGGCGTTCTGGAGGTTCATGGTTGCTGAACTGGGAATGAGCGAGCAGAGAGCCAGATTTCGACTCCACAGCCGCAAATGACATGAAAATTGCGCCTTCACTGCGCTCCACACACTTCTTAGCACGATCCCAATGGTAGGAGATTGACACATGTCCTTACGTGAAGTCGCGATCTCGTTGATCACGAACCGCATGACCGATGGAATCAACATCTCTGCGAAGACCACAACTGTTGTGATCATCACCACGAATAACAATAGGACAAACAATAGACTCTGCTCTCAAGCCCTACGACTCGACTCGATGGCGTACGCTGAATATGCCAGCCAACCTGAACGTTGATTCCCATCACTGGCGAATGACCCGTCAAATCAAACCTCTATCAGAAGAATGTTCCCTTTCAGAGCCAAGGGAGACGACATTTCATACGTTCGACCCTGGTTAGTATTGAAAGGTAGGGCTACTCGCAACAACAATGAGCTCAGACGATCGACTCTCACAATTTCGGCCAGTGTTGCGGTTAAGGCAGCTGTACATGGCACTGCTCGAGAATGACAACGAAGGCGTGTCCGAACATCATCACCACCAGTTATGAGCGAACAGAGGTGACGAGAGTGACAACGCATACATGTCTCGACTCCCAAAAAGCTTGAGTTTATCGTGCAACTGGGGTTGGCATGGAACGAGTGCGAGAGTTCCTGTCTCGAAAGACATGGGTTCGCCTGCAGAGGACATGTTCTGGAAATCGCTTGGCTGGAAGCTATGCAATGATGGTATGGCTTGCAGCAAGCCGCAATTCTTAATCGATTGATGGCGGTCGCAAGCAGACGCCCAGGCAATGCCACCTGTTGCAAAACCTGCTGTAATTTGACTGGCCGTGTCGATCGTCGGATCACTGCTGCTCGACCTTCCCTGTTCCTTGTCTGTAACCAGTTTGTGGGGTCCGGAAGAGGAGATGGTAGACGCGAATGTTTGGTGGTTGAGCGTCGAGACTGTACGGTCTGGTGAGGGAGCGCTCGTCCTAGCGACGAGCCGGCATCCGGACATAAGGACTGGATATTGGACGGCTGTTGATTTGGGGGCGTTATCTCGCTGGCGGAGACTCAATTCCATATCCCTGGACAGAGGCAGGGCGAAATTCGAACACATGTGCCTGACTCAGCGGGAAGTCTTCGCCTGCGCGCATGCAAGTAGGCGCGACGTGCAATGTAATGGTCGGCGCAATAGGAAGCCGACGCGAGTCGCCGCAGCGAAGATGCGAAGTGCCTGTGCAACGGCTGACGATGGGCATGTGGCAGGATATTAAATATGGTCATTGGCATTGATGAGAAGGAAGCTCCACCGGGGGGGAAATTGAGCTAGGCTAGCCTAGGTCCGCTAGGAGGCAGTCGTCTTGGCCTCTATCTTCCTTTGTCGCAGCACTGAACAACGGCCGCTGCTCGCTCCTGCTGCTGCTTTGCTTCGTCGCCAGGGTTTGTGCATCCGTCCTCAGACCGCAGCCGCCGACGCACCCTCTCTCGCTCGCTCACGCGTCCACCCCGTCGACGACCACCGCACCGCCCCCAGACTCGAGGCGCCTGCCACTCACCCTCGCCCGTGACGCCGTGCCTGAGAACCACCGCCCCGTTCCGTCGTCCACGCCGCCCGAACGTTTGCAGACAGAGCTGCGCCGCCGCCCTTCCACCGTCACCCAAGCTTCGCAACCCCGTCCCTTGCTCGCCCTATCCTCTCGCAACGCACACCTCGTCGGCGCGCCGCTGGCCATCGCATCGAGTGGTCTCGCTCCACGGCGGAATGGCGGACGCCAACTCGGAGAGCATCCAGCAGAAGGCAAGCCCCAATGCCGCAGCCCGCTGCGCTCGATACCTCGCTAACCTCGTCCCCAGATCCAAATCGCACGGCGAGACGCGGAGGCCCTCAAGGACCGGATCAAGAGGAAGAAGGATGAGCTCGCCGATACCACACGTAAGTCAATGCCTCCTGTCGCGCTCACATGCGCCGTGCGCGGCCTGATTGCTAACATGCTGTGCCGCTTGCAGTCCGCGATGTCGCGCGACAACGCACCGAGCAGCTGCCACGCCTGGCGATGAAGACGAAGCGCACCCTCAAGGGCCATCTCGCCAAAATATACGCTATGCACTGGTCCACCGACCGAAGACACCTCGTCTCGGCTTCACAAGATGGCAAGCTCATCATCTGGGACGCCTACACCACAAACAAAGTACACGCCATCCCACTGCGGTCATCATGGGTTATGACTTGCGCGTACTCGCCAAGCGGCAACTACGTCGCATGCGGTGGTCTAGACAACATCTGCTCCATCTACAACCTGTCCGCGAGAGAAGGTCCAACTCGAGTCGCTCGTGAGCTTAGTGGCCACTCTGGCTACCTCAGTTGCTGCCGATTCATCAATGACCGGCGCATATTGACGTCTTCTGGTGACATGACCTGCGTGCTGTGGGATATCGAGACCGGCCAGAAGATTACCGAGTTTGCAGACCACCTGGGCGATGTGATGAGTTTGAGCATCAACCCACTGGATAACAACCAGTTTGTATCGGGAGCGTGCGATGCCTTTGCGAAGCTGTGGGACATTCGAGCACAGAAGTGCACCCAGACTTTCGCAGCACACGACTCGGATATCAACGCCATCCAATTCTTCCCCAACGGAAACGCCTTTGGCACTGGATCAGACGATGCCTCTTGCCGACTTTTCGACATTCGCGCAGATCGTGAGCTGCAGAGCTACACTGTGAGTATCTGTGCAAAAAGCGAAAATGGAACAATCGCTGATGTAATGTAGATTGGTGAGCCAGTGTGCGGCATCACATCTGTCGCCTTCTCTGTGTCTGGACGTCTGCTCTTCGCGGGCTACGACGATTTTGAATGCAAGGTACGTCGAAGGTCATACTTTTCGAGGATCTGAGAGCGGCGGCTAACCCCTTCTGCAGGTGTGGGACGTACTACGCGGCGAGAGAGTCGGCACTCTGCAAGGACACGACAACCGCGTGAGCTGCTTGGGAGTGAGCAACGACGCCATGTCGTTATGCACAGGCTCATGGGATTCCATGGTAAGTGGTTTGTGTTCAGGAGCACCGCCACATCGCTAACCTCGTCCTCAGCTCCGAATCTGGGCATGATCGACAAAACTACAGCATGTGCAGGATGCCACCGCTTCGGCACCGACTTCGAAAAGCACGAGACCGAACAACGACCGTCGCAGTCGTCGCGCCTTTCGAAAGAGCTGTCACGGGTGAAGAGTCCTGCAATGGCAATTTCCTTGATACCTCGACAGACAGGACGTTGATGTAAGATGCGGCGCTAAGCCACCAGGCTTCACTAATCTGGATGAAGCAACAATATCATGTTTTTTATCTCGCCAGTGCCACGATTGTACCCAAGTCGGGCACGAGCGAGACGGCGAACCCTTCCTAACACGACCTCCCAGCCGGGATCCTCTTTCTTCACAATCGGTGTGCTTGAGTACTCTAGCCAAAGGAGTAACGGAGCGAGCGCCAGGGGCGCAAATCATTGCGGGCCTTGTGGCATTATTGGGCGGAGGGCTTTCTTATTATGTGCGCCTGCATCGAACCGGCGCGGTCCGAGGTTGTTCTAGTAGCTCGGTGGGACAAGCAAACGGATTCAAAAGCTGGCGCCTTTCTAGCACAGCATCTAAAGCGTTGTGTATTCTCGAGGGCAGAAAGTCAGGTAGCAGCAGGAAGACGGGATTGGCATTTCAAAGTTTTCACATTATTATTCACCTTTGCGTTTCAATACAAGCTGTGGCGTTGAAGTCGACGCCCCTGATATCGGCCTGTATCGATTCTGAAATGTCGGGAGGAACGTCATCTCCCCTTTCCACACCCTTCATCTACGAGCTTCGCTCGATCAATCACCGTCGAAGATACGCGAGACCTGGCAACGGCCAGCTCCTTGACAGGCCTGGCGCGAACTCTCCCGGCGCCGGCTAATAGACCGTTCAAGCGAAGACGCAGACCCCACAGCGGCATCTAGGAAGCAGCCGAACTTCACACATTGGCCTCACCTGATGATGATCCTGGATTTTTGCAGGCGATGAAACAGTTGTCGGCCCAGCCTGGGCTGCAACATGCTCTGTTTCAACTGTTTCAAGCTCGCCGTCCAGGGTTCTGCTGCAAACCTTCCTGGTAAGTAGGGTCGGGCGGGCTTTCCCTGGTCCGCGCTGCCTATGAATAGGAGTCCTTCAAAAGTAAATCCCACCACCAGAATAGGCGGCCCTGCAACTTTCACAGAGTCAAAATACCAGCACGCCTTCAAGTTGTGCCGCTCTGAGCGCCATTGACAGCTCCAGCTGCTGCTCGACACACTCCGCCAACTTCGCGAGTCACCACTTACTTCAGATACCGGTTTCGACATCCAGCTGTTCAGCATGTCGGCCGCTCAGGAAGAGTTCACTGAGCTCATGAGAGACAAGGATCGGAGGACAAGGCATCCAGATGACGATAACGGCGACGACGGCAGGTCATTCCTCAACCTATCAGAAGATGACGAGCCCACGCCTTCATCTTCACGTTACCCCGACATGGACGCCCCCAGACCCAGCATGAGCAGTGCACGAAGCACAATTCCAATGAAGAGATATGGAGCCAACACTGGCCCCAAGGGTGTCATATCCGATGCGCAAGACTTCAGAGATTCTCGACGCAGCCAGAGAATGTCCATGCGGAATTCGCCCAGTCTCGTAGCCAACACCCAGACGCTGTCATTGAAAGATCGAGCCGCGCCAGAGAAGGTTGAAGAAGAGGACGAGGAAGATCTGGAAGACGACGATTTCATGCAGTCGTGGAGGCAGAGTAGATTGAAAGAGATGCAGAATGGTCCACGGGAGAGCAACATGCACCGGAACGGACAACAGAGGAGACTGTTTGGCGGTCTGACCACAGTGGACGGAGATGGATACCTTGATGCTGTGGACAATTCGGGCTCCGATACAGTGGTGGTGGTGTACATTTTTGACGACTACGTGGGTCACTTGAGCTGCTCACAAAGATGGCAGACGCTAACATGTCACAGTCTCAAGTCAGCGATCTGATCGAGCGGTGCATACGAACATTGGCGAGCAAACACCAGGACACACGATTCGTGAAGCTGCACTATGAAGATGCGCAAATGGAGCCGGCTGGTGTTCCTGCGGTCATTGCATACAGAGGCGGCGACAAGTTTGCAGGTTTGGTTCCAGTCATCGATGAGATCCCAGACGATGCTGAGCTGAGCGCACTCACTCTTGAGACGGTCATGAAGAGGTGAGTGCTAGAACAAACTACCGAGGTGATACGTCACGATCTGACTTCTTTCTAGGCACCAAATCCTGGTTTGAGATGTATAAACTGGCCATAACCTGGGACGCCGTCCCGTACCTTGTTTTCCTCTAAGACAAGTCACTCGTTTTGAGAAACGAAGAGCTTGGCCTCGCGTGGACGTCTCCAGCCTGGAACGTGGAGGTGTCAGCATGCGGCCTGCAAACGATGAGGTACATTCGTTTACGATTGACGAACCACGCTGAGGCAAAACATTCAGCAGGCTGCGGTTGTTCTCCGAGATCAGCGATCGAGTATGGCCTAGTTAGTGCAGATGAGCTGCTCGGTTGGGGTCTTGTTTCATGAAGTCAACGACCAACTGTCATTCTAGCTGGTACAGGACATCGTCCTTGGGGAATGCAGAGGCGAAAGCGCGCAGTCCTGGGGGGCAGCTTTACGAGCTTTTCTCCGGTTCGAATTGGATCTGGCTGATGTCCAACTGACTGTCGTTTTGGGAACGATAGTCTTTCAGCGAGACAGGAATAGCAGCTCAATTTTGACCGCCGATTGGCTACTCATGGTGATTTCGTCACCACAGGTGTTGCAAAGCTGTAAATAAAACACTGAACAACACTGACGCATCACGCTTGAAGCGGTTGCTCACGGATGGGCAGCTCGCTGTCCACGATGCTCATCCTGGCTCTTGTCGTTCAAGGGTAGCTTCGAGGGTTCACTCACTTGGCTGCACTATCCTTGGCAAAGGTGTATGACAGCTATATACAGCTATATGCAGTGACCATCTTGGGACTGTAGAGAGCTTGATAGATCTCCAACACATGAAATCGACTACTTAGCTGAAACATATCGAGCCGGCAATCGCGAAGCTCTGGAGCACGTGATGACTTGTTCCATTGGGCTTGGCGTCGTCGCTTGCGTGAAGTGGATACTCCTGTGCCTTTACTTCGATCAAGTCGTGCTCGACGATGACCATATGCCATCTATCTACCCGCTTATCTGTGGCTTTCCGCCTTCTGAACACATGAAACGCCCGTGACGTGTAGGCTCTTTCCATGTTGGTTCACAGTGCCGCCGCATGCTTGGCAGTGGCACGCGACTCAGCACTCGACTTCACCTCGTCAAGTTAAGTTGACTTCCTTCAATACCAACACATTGGCGCTTCCAAACTCCACTGCGCAAGATGTCGTTTCTGTTCGACAAGGTCAAGGGCGCCGTCAATGAGGTCGGAGACAAAATCAGGGCTTCGACGTCGACTTCTGCGGAACAAACGCATGCTCACACTCACCACTCCAACGAATGCAGCGACAATGATAGCCACCATTTGCATCGCTACCAGTCCTTTGCACCACAGCGTGAAGGCAATGAGGTGAAGTGGTACGTCGACGGCTGCAGCTACATGCACGCCGTTTCGATGGCACTGGAACACGCTCAGCACGAAATCTTCATTCTCGATTGGTGGCTCTCTCCGGAGCTGTACCTGAGACGGCCGCCAGCTCAGAATGAGCAGTATAGACTTGACAAGCTTCTCTTTGCTGCGGCTGAGCGAGGCATCAAGGTCTACATTATCGTCTATAAGGAGGTCACGCAAGCTCTCACGCTTTCGAGTTCCCACACGAAGCATCATCTTGAGGATCAGGACAAGACTGGCAATATCAAGGTCTTTCGTCATCCTGATCATCTGCCGGATAGGACGACGGTGGCTTCGAATATCATTTCGAGTCTCAAGCAGAGCGGGTTGAACGCGGCGAAGCTGGCTCAGCTGCCTGGTGATGCAATCAAGGGCATCTATGGCATGAATGATGGGACAGTACTCTACTGGGCGCATCATGAGAAGCTATGCCTTGTTGATGGACATGTTGCCTTCATGGGTGGACTTGATCTGTGCTACGGTCGATGGGATACGAATCAACACTCCATTTCTGATGTCCACCCGGGCGATCTGAAGAAGATTGTGTTCCCTGGTCAGGACTATAACAATGCAAGGATCATGGACTTCTCCGATGTTCAGCACTGGGAGAACAATAAGCTGGATCGCAAATACAACAGCCGCATGGGTTGGAGTGACGTGGCGTTGTCAGCCAAAGGCCCCATTGCTGAAGACCTTAAAGCCCATTTCGTGCAGCGCTGGAATTTTATCTACTACGAGAAATACGACGTTCGAAAGGATGAGAGGTATCAGCCTCTTGTGTACTCACCAATGCGAGCTGGCATCATCGGACACCCGTACCAGCCTGCGCAAGATGGACAAGGTGTTGAAGGCGATGGCCAGTACCACGGCTTCCGAGAACGTATGCGTCAGCAGTTTGAACAGGGTCGTGAACGTCTGCGAGATGAACTATCCAACACGCAACGTGACTTCCCTTCTGGGCCACTTGGAGGTGCACACTGCCAGATCGCTCGATCTTGCGCTAAGTGGAGCCATGGTGTGGCTGTTGAGCATAGCATTGCCAATGCTTACATCCAAACCATCAAGAACAGCGAGCATTTTGTTTACATGGAGAATCAATTCTTCATCACGGCAACATGCGACAAACAAGCGCCTGTGAAGAACCTCGTTGGAGCTGCGATCGTCGAGCGGGTTCTTCGTGCGGCCAGGAATGGGGAGAATTGGCACATGATTGTGAATATTCCCTCCGTTCCTGCCTTCGCCGGTGACCTCAAGGCAGACGACGCACTAGGCACGAGAGCCATCATGGAGTTTCAGTACTTCAGCATCAATCGCGGTGGAAACAGCATCATGGAAAGCATCGCACGAGAGGGTGTTGATCCGATGAAGTACATTCGATTCTACAATCTGCGAAATTATGATCGAATCAACATCAGCTCAGCTGTAACGAAGGTCGAGCAGCAAGCCGGAGTCTCCTACGACGAAGCACGACAAGGCCACGACCAGTACTACGCTGGCGAGTCACACGTCTCCGACAGCTACAACAGATATCAAGAAGCTGCTCAACAAGTGTACGGTCAGTCATCGAGCGATATGGCGAGCGGGAGGTGGGACAGCGTTGCCGAATGCTATATGCTCAACGGCCCTGATATCCGCTCTGTGCCATGGGAGGGTGACAGCGAGGCTGAGATGGACGCCTTCGTTAGCGAAGAGCTGTACATCCACTCGAAGCTTCTCATTGCTGATGACAGGATCGTGATCTGTGGCAGTGCCAACATGAACGACAGGTCCCAGCTCGGCTACCACGACAGCGAGATTGTTATGATCATCGAGGACCCGGTCGAGATTCAGTCATATATGGGTGGACAACCTTTCGTGGCTACGCGCTTTGCTGCGACCTTGAGAAGACAGATCTTCCGCAAGCATCTTGGTTTTTTGCCACCCCAAGACATACAGAGACCAGACGCCAACTTTACTCCAGTTGGTGCCGGTGAGAATCTCTACGACTTTGGATCTCCAGAAGATCTGGCTGTCGTCGATCCCATCTCCCAGGAGTTCGACCATCTCTGGAAGACTACCGCGCGCACCAACACCGAAGCCTTTGCCAAAGTCTTCCACCCTGTCCCGGACGATAAAGTACAGAACTGGAAGCAGTACGACGAGTACTACGAACGCTTCTTCAAAGCCGAAGAAGCTCAGAAGGAAGGCAAGGATCTGCAGCGACCGAGTTCGTGGAAGTGGGGACATGTCGTGAGAGAGGAGTTCTCGCCTGGTGAGCAAGGTGTAAAGGAGATGAAAGAGGTGCTGAGTAGGGTCAAGGGCAATCTTGTGGAGATGCCGCTCTTGTTCTTGAAGGATGAGGACATTGCGAAGGAGGGGCTTGGGCTGAATAAGTTGACGGAGGAGGTTTACACTTAGGTGTGCGTACGGACGAGGGACGAGCAACGATGCAACGGGAATTAATTCGATGACTCTGTTCGAGACAAGAAAATTAGCCATGCTTGATATGGAGGTCAACTCGCAGCCGTCACCGTTTCATGCAAGTGTTCAGTTTCATCTTGTATTGAGAACTATCACTTCCGATGGGCAAGTACTAATAAAATCGAACACGACAGCGATTCGAGTGTATTGGCGCTGGTAGCTTCTAATAGCGAAGGTGTTGGAGCAACCGCTCCTATGTCTGAAAGCGCTGAGCAGCAGGTCTTGGCATCACATGAAAGTCTTGGCATTCACGCTAGACGTTTTGTCGAGACAATGTTCGGTTTTTCCGGTCTAGTAAGGCCACTCTGAAGCAACAGCATCAATAGGAGCCTTTAAATGCTTCCGTTTCTCTTGCGCATCTTCTACTTGGTTCGTCTCCGCCCACGCCACCACTGCTTCGAAGTTCCGGCACATCTTCACGACATTGAAGTCTGGGTCAGGCACCAGCTCCGGTCCTTGGCCATGTCTTGGGACCCAATTATACGGTACGATATCAAGATCAGCATGGCACATGAGCGTCTGCAACAGGATATGAATACAATGCGCCCGATGATCCAACCACCACTGCGAAGGTCTCTCGTCGCCCCAGTAGTACTCCCAATTCAGATCTTTGCGAAGCCAATTCAGGCAATGGATCTGATGGAATACGTCCAGCTGGAAGATGTATGCGTCGTCGCCTCGACCCCAGGATTCTGGGGCTTTGACTGCGGTTTCGGGGCGTTTTTGGCTTTCGGCGAGGGCGAAGGATGTGGTGGTGAAGATTGAGCCGGAGAAGAAGTCCCAGGCTGCGTCGACTTCTGGGGAGGGAGCTTGGCGGAAGATGGAGGAGGTGTTTTTGAAGGAGCCGTCGAGTTTGTGGGGTTGGAGAGACAGGTCGATTTCGTCGAACAGAGGCGCTGCAAGGCATGAGCAACGTTGCATTACTGTGTCGTGGGGGCGAGATACTAACAGTAGATTGAAGTTGCTTTGAGGGCGGGATTCAATCCAGCGTTGTGATATCTTTTGTCAGAAAGTTCTCCAGGGCATCGAGGCTCATATCTCAGACTAAGATATATCGTGAGAGCAGCAAAAATGGCGTTGAGAAGGGTGAGCGTCCATGGAACTGTATTCCGGTGCACCTTTCTGCAGGTAGTGGTCTCAAGAATATCTTTCTTCTGCGGTCGGTTGAATCGACCGTGTTCAGCGTACATCGTCTGGTAAAACGGCCAGATGGTCAAGCCTCTGCTGGCGACCGCTGCCGGTCATTGACTTACTTTCTTGGCGGACTTGTTGACCAAGCTCCACCCAAGGTAAGCGAGACACCTGGTTTCGCAGGCCGAGATTCTCGATTATTATGCACATATAATATCAGATGACTTCATGAGGGTTTCTCTCGCCTGTGGCGAGACATGATCTCCAATCAATCTCATCGATCTCGAACTAGTCCGGCTGAAAGGCGTTCAGCTCTGGCATACAAGCTTTCAAAAGTCTTCGTTCGATGCTTCTCTTCTTTTGCTCTGATGGAGCTTCCTCTGTAGAAAAGTCGCACTCGTGTCGAGATGCAGTAGTTGGACGCTAAACAAGGCTGAAGCTGAAAACTGCGAGGTGAATGACCCCGATCGGGGGATGATCGACAATGCACACTTGCGTACACACCATCTCTTTGCGGCAACAGGTCACACGGCCCCCACTGGCCAACAACCTGGTCGGTTGTTCCCCCAGCACGCTTGAGGTCGTGAGCGGTGAAGCGTTGGTCGCACTTGTGCTGACTGGAAACATGTTGATCCATGGTGGCCAGGTGTGATTATCGGTATAAGGGGAGTTTCTCCTGACGGAACCATCGTCGTGAATGACCCAACTAACATTCGAGCAGACTCTTGTTACGACCTCGGAAGTATGCAATTTAGAGTCTTGTTGGCGCTTGCCGCAACCCTGGGCGTTGCTCTTTCCGCCCCAGTCGACAGTCTGAAGCAGCGTGATCTGGCAGTCAAGAGAGTGCAGGCTTCCCCGGCGGAAAACACAATGTACTCTCCCCATCAAAAGAGAGCAAACAAATACTTACGTCCTCTCAGGTACTACGACGAAGACTTCGACGAATCGGTTGTCAAACGCGAGGAAGCATCTCCAGCAGAAAACACTATGTAAGTGCTTGACTTCAGCCTCATCAGCCTTCATTCATGAAGAACAGGTACTACGACGAGGACTTTGACGAAACGGCGGTCTAGCCATCTAGTTCGATGGCATGCACGACACTTTCGTTGGCAAACTGGACTGGCTTGCATAGTCGTTGGGAGAATCGGACGCTCTTTAGAAATTCCTTTGTCACACAAAACATCAGTCACTTAGATCTCTCAAGTGTCGTCTCCTCAATGTGACCATAACTTAATATCAGCCTAATTTTCAGATCTTCTTCCATCGGTTGAGTGCCTCTTAATTCTGAACTACCCTTGACACCATTTCATTCACGCCTCGGTCACCAGCCGCGATAGATGGCATCGAAGTCTCCGTCAGCGAGCACCACGATCACGGCCAGCTGAACAACACGGTCACAGCTGACCATGGACTCGCATTTTGGAAGCGTCAACCCGGGGCAGCTGAAGGGCCTGTTGAGCTACAACATGTGGATCCATTCTGCAGTGTCGATCCCTCACACTGCGACATCTGACAACGGTGAAGACACCAGCGGGACTGCTGATGCATGCCTCAACTTGATCGTGCGACGCCTCGATGTACGTCTTTTCCGCTAGACTTCGATCCTGTTGGCTCCGATCATTCTGCCGTGCCACATTGTACGAGCAACCCACGGGTCGAAGCAAGTTGGTGGAGTGCATACCAAGATCTTGTCAACTTCTCTTATGCTGTAGATACTTTGATTCGGATCGATTATGCTGGAACATCTGTTCGAAAAGCAGCGCTATAAGCGGCTTCCCAAAGATGAGGAAGAGAAAGATGTCGAGAGCACACGGTGCGTATCACTGAATTGCAAGTCTGAACGTGGCTCACTGCCAGAAGGGACATCGTTCGATCTCGTTCTGTTTCCACGCCCCTGGCAACTATCGCCATAGCCGTTCTTTGCATCATGTCTCTCGGCGGGCTCGTTTTCAAGGTACAGCATTTGCGGCAGGCAAACGAAGAACGCTGCTCTAACCCAAGCATTCGGCGAGAGTGGCGAACGCTCTCCAATCCAGAGAAGCTGGCATACATTGACGCCGTGAAATGTCTTCATCAATCTCCATCTCGTCTTCGACAGAATGCTTCTAGTCTGGACGACTTCCCATGGACGCATCAGCATGTTGGATACGTTGCACACGACTCTGCATCTTTCTTCTCCTGGCACCGGTACTTCGTTCAGATCTTTGAAGACACGTTGAGGTCGGCGTGTGCGTACGAGGGCTCCTTGCCGTTAGTCAGAAAAATTGTCCCATGCAAGAGGTAGAGCTGACCGCGTGGTATAGCTATTGGGACTGGACGTTGGACTGGCAAGACCCCTTCTCGTCTCCAGTCTTCGACACAATGACTGGCTTCGGAGGCGACGGAGATCGTCAGCAGCCTTCAGCGACTGGTGTCGGGTATTGCTTGACAGAGGTACCAAGCACGAGAGCTACACTCAGTGCGTTAGCTGACACGATCTGCAGGGCCCACTGGCAGGTTCCACTTCTCGATATTGGGATATGAAAGAACAGCTGCACTGCCTGGCACGAAATTTGTCGGCTCCGAGCGAGGCCAACTGGAGAAGGAACAGACCCGATCTGATCGAACGCATGCTGGATCATAAAGACTACTTCGACTTCCTCCTCTTAGTTGAGCATGGACCGCACAACACTGTTCCAAACGCCATCGGAGGAGATTTTGCCCGCTTTGTAGCACCAGCAGGTAGGTGGAGGTGATTCGACCAAACAATGCCGTGAAAGCAAGACTCGTTTCAGCTAATGTGCCCGACAGAGCCACTATTCTTTCTTCACCACGGCCAACTGGATCGCATGTGGTGGATCTGGCAGCAGAAGTCAGCCAAGAACCGTCAAGCCTATTCTGGTCCAGCTTCGTCCAGATCGAATGCTACCGCATCGCTGACGGATGTTCTGCCTCTCCGTGGATTGGCACGCGATCCGTTGGTTGAAGAAATCATCGACACGGAAAAGGGGCTTCTGTGCTACAAATACGATCGGACGACATTCGGCAGTCTGTAACATCACATTTCATGCCCGCTCGTCAGGGGTTGATCTCTGGGCACACCATAGCCTGGCCTCCGGTTCAACTCCTTGATTTCGTGGGTCTCGATCCAATTCATCATGGCGTCGAATGAGCGACACTTCTTCTTGACGTTGAAGTCGGGCTGCATTAAAGGTCGGCCATCGATCCATCTGTGCGTGATGAGACTAGTGTCCACAGTACACATCAGATTCTGTCGTAGTACGTCGATACAGTGGTCTGCGAATGCAAGTCAGGGCCTGGTCTCATTGCGTGGAATAGATATGAGTCTCACCAATGTGCTTTCGTAGGACATTCTCGTTGTTCTGCCGAAAGAGCAGAGGTACTTGTGGTTGACTGCGATAGTAGTCTTGGTGTGTATACATCCGGATCATGTTCTGCAGTAGATGACATTAGAACCTGTCGGCGGAATGCTACGAAGCTCTTACCAAGCAGTGGAGCTCATGCGCCATATCTGAAGAAACAACGATTCCTTCGCCATACTTTGGCAACAAGTCTGGAGGCACTTGAACCGCTTGATCTAGAGACTTCCCTAGTGACTCAGCTTGTTCGAAAGAAATCTTCATGAGCCCTTCTGCGAGACCGTGTCAGCATGGTTCCCCATATGTCAGGTTTCGGGTGACTCACCATTGACGATATCATGCCAAGCAGCATCGAGGTCTTCGTTCGGATGTCCCTGCCAACGAGAGTGATAGTGCGTGCTGCCGTTGATCACATCTTCGTGGTAGCCATGGTCGAGAACGCTTTCCAGTGCGGGCGCTGCTAAGCATCAGTCGGCCGACTAGCGTGGATGTAGCAGAGGTCGTTTACAACGTACACGGTGCAAAGAGAAGCTCCGAACAACGTTGCTCCGACCTCGACAGAACGGACACGAGGGGGATCGTTAGCAGTAAGAGACCGATTGCGGCCCATTGTAGCTTAATCGTCCTCGACTTCTGCCGTAGAACTGTCTTGAGACTCGTCAATAGTGCCGAGGAGTCATCAGCAAGAAGTTCCTCGTCCTCTGGCTGATGCAAAGTTCTCATCTTGGTCTGCTTCTCAGATCATCTGAAGGCGACTGACATTACTTGGCCGTCCAAGACATGTCGTGAAGGCAGAGTCTCATGACACAGCCGGACCTTTGGTCATTCCCTTCACGCAATGCAGCTGACACGAAGCTAATGCTGCCCTGCTTTAGGGCGCGCTACTTCTGCAGCCTGCTTCAGCCTTCTCAGCCCGATCTTCGCAAACCTTAAATTCGAGTGCCAAAATGTATGGTCGGCAGCTCTTGTGCATATGGCGTCGATGGAACCGGAGAGAGGAGCTTCAGCCCCGAAGCGATGCATGGCAGGCGGTGAGTGTTGTAGATCAGCGAATCGTCAGCAAAGCTAACCCTTCCCCGAGTCTTGGAGAACGAGTCCGGAAAAGCACTTCGACACCCGTCTTGTCGTCAAGGCAGACACAGGCATGCCAGGAGAGGAACGCAAGAAGGTGAGATTTGGTGATGATCAAATCTTGCCAGAGAGTGAGCGAAGACTGCTGGAAGATGAGGAAGAGAAACTGTTCACCGATCAACACCGTGCCGCCCCTGCTCGTGTGGTCGGCTGCACGTCCATTCGAGCAATTGTTTTGATTCAGACAGGTCTCATCATTCTCCTCCTCGGGACGCTGGTCATTGGTCTCGTATTCAGAGACGAGCGATTGCCCGCACGATGTGCAGCATATCTGAATAACGGAAGTAGGTTTTTACCAGGGCAGCTACTCTTGCCTGTAGGAGCTGACAAGTAATTAAAGCCCCGATGAGTACCGCAGTGCAGTATCAGGAGAGACAAAGAGATGCCTCTACGAGACATCACAGTCGATGGCGGGGACCTCCGAGCCACGAGATCGACGAAGCTTGGCATGATATTGCTCGAGGTAGACCATGCCTGAGGGGTCCTAGCAACTTGATCAACAGCGCACTGACAGAAAACAGAGAACCTCATACTCGTTACTGATGACGAAGTGCGAGCCGCGGGAAAGGATCCAGCCAGGGTTGTCCGTCTTCCACCGCAGTATGAACATCGATATGGACCTGGGGCTCTCACTCTGACCCAATATGGCGTTGAACTGAGCTGCCTCAACTGGATACGGATGTACATCCATGCCGATTATTATCGAGAGCATGATGACTTCCACATCTTCGAGCAGAACAGCGATGAGACATTACGTCTCAAGCTAGGTATGCCTGAATAGCGAAACTTGATAAGTCTTGAGCAACCATTGAATGACCCCGATGTGCAGATCACTGCGTTGAGGTCCTTCGAGACTCCCTCATGTGCAACGCAGGCACGTCGATCATCACGCATCAATGGATCCAAGACCGACCACGAATGTTTCAGGATCTGCATTTTCCCGAAAAGACCTGTAAAGACTTCGACGCACTTGTCCGCTGGACGAAAGAGCGTGAAGTTGAGGAGATGACACATCCCGTGAAGGATGTGATCTTTGGTCATCACAATCCGGTGCAGCCTCAACCCACGGAATATGTTTACTCTCACATCCCCTGAGCATTCAGCCTGGCGTAAGGTTTGACACAATGGCCGTGCACTCGGTTGCCGCACGTCCACGGGAGAAAGTCTTGCTGGCTTCGAAAGAGCAATGTCCCGTCCTGCTTCTCTGCGGCGATGATCTGGCGCTTCATGTACAACCACTTCGAGACGAGCATGGCCACTATGCTCAATCGAACCTCTGCTAGGCAGTCTCCAACAGACTCTATGACCTCGTTTTGACCGAAGCCATTATCTGCTTCGGAGGGAGGAAGGCATCGTATATCAATGTTCGTGGGTTCTTTGGGCACGTTAGATGAAAAGATTTGATGGAATATACAGATAGTGCGGAAACTTACCACTTGACTTCTTTTTCTACCTTAAATACGTTTTGCCATGCAATTGCCCCTACACTAGATCTTACACGGTGCCTGATGGACAAACTGGATCGTGTGAGCTTGCCCTGGAGGGCACCCCCTAGAAACTCAGCGCCTGTTTTGTTAGCACTAGTATCGATGGGAAGATCCCCGATGAGACTTACCCTTCCAGAGGTTCGACTCTGTAATGCCAGGCTTTGAAGCACTAGCAGGCTCGGAGAAAGCTCTGTTGTGACCGGCCAGGTCAGCGGGTAAAGGCTGGCGGAGCGCCTGCTTCTCTGCACGCTTTGCGGCGACAAAGTCTGCATCGCGGTATTCTCTAAACTCCCAAGAACCCTTCAGCCAGTATTTTGCCTGGTCCGGAATGTTCAGCTGATCGATGCTTGGCGTTTTCGGCTCGGCCGGGATATCGACATCAGCTGGAATTGGCACGTTACCGACCTCCATATCGTCAATGACGTCCATGTCCTCTTGGTGATGGCACTCATTGTGCTGAAGCCACTGGTCCTTGGTGCGGTTCGCGATTTCATAGCCGCGAGTCCAGGCCTCGGCGTTATTCTTCTCGGCTTTCTCGGAGGGAGTGAGCTCATCCGGTGCCACGCAAGTCTTTGCCAGTTGCTCGGTGGCTTCTTGAAGAAGTTGGTTGGACACTGCTAGGGCACGATCGAGACGCTCATCGATATCAAGCTCCTCAGGCGTAGGGATCTTGGCTGGAAGACGCACTGGTTCCACGAGTTGAGGTTGGGTCTTGTACTTTAGTCGAGCTCTGTCCATGTAGTAGTATGCTGCATTGGCGCCTACAGGTGGCATGTCCAGTCCTGAGAAAGATCCTGAGCGCTTTTGAGCCATACCGGATGGCTTTGCTGTTTTGTTTGGAGATCGGAAGCTGAGGATCTGTCGTGGTTTCGATCGGAGTCGTCGGCTTAATGATACCGGATCGATCTGCTTGCAACGAAAATTGTTTGATAGGGCAAGACAGGCATCAGATCTCAGAGGTTGATAGCAAATAAATATGTTCCTTCTTTATGTTTCCTTTATGCTCCAACAAGGCATTCTTTCGCTTTGATCTTTGTCCTCGGTATCAAAGCCCATGCTGACCTCCATGTCGTTCCAGTATCCGGCGGCTGACAGCTACCACGCGGTCAGAACGCAATATGAGGAATCAAGCAATTGAGACGATCCCCAGAAGACGCTTCGCGGCCATTATGATGAGAAGGTGGAAAAGGAGAGCAGAGTTTCGAGAATTCTTACGAGGAATGTGGCTGGGAGTCGCGTCCCGCGTCTTGCCTTTCGCGGCTTCTGATTGGTGGACGTCAACCTCACCTCATCGCTCCCTTTTCACCCTCCTCTCTTCCTCTTTCACACACATCGCCGCTCATCGAAATCCTCGAATGCCACTACGACGCTTAACAGCGCAAAGCCTACGACTCACTCATGGAGAATTCTGAGATGTGTTGACAGCAAAATCGATACATTTTCCTCCCTGAGCAAGCCTCTCTGATCTGCCTTCGGTATGTGAATCCACAAACGCAACAGTAGTATTCTCGCTTCCCATTGTCATGTCCTTCATTATCCATATCACTCTGCATCCAGTCATAAGCAAAACATCTCCTTCCAATACTCTCGCAACGTGAAGCCTTCAATATCTCACTCAGAATCCCCAAGGACACAAAATTCTCACAGCACTGCGTTGAGTACCTTCGAAAACAGCGTTTGCTCTCCTCTTACTCCGGGCAAACACGATCAGTGAACTCATCGGAGCTTGTGTCGTCCGAGCCTGCGATTTCCTGGCCGCCATTACCTCCACCGCCGATGAAGAAGCCATTGCCACAACAGCTGCAAGCCAAGATCTTGGCCGGAAGAGGGTCAGAAGCGCGACGAGACAAGGAGTAGAAGCGTGGTGGGGTGCGAGCAAAGGTGCTGTTGTCCGAGTTAATCGTAGCGATGGTAGTGTTGTCATCATCGGCAGAGTTAGGCGAGTGCTCCTCATGACCCGAGAGCGGCAGAGCTGAGACGGGTGGGCTGGACTTCTCCTCATCACCGTCACTGCCATACTCAGACCTCAGGTCTTGCGACTTCCTCTTGCGGCGCAGTTGAACGCTGTCCTGGCCCATACCGAGGTACTGGATCGAAGGAACTCCGCGCACACGACGTGCCATTTGCTCGGCCATCTCTTTGTCTTTGAGAAGTCTCTTGGTCTTGGCGACAGACTCCTCGAGCCAGTCGTCCTTTGCGACAGAGACCGACACCACTGGCGCGAAGCTCGAGCCGACGGACTCGACAAGATCCGAGAAAGCTTGGACACGGCGAAGGTGAGGTTGAGGTTCAGATGAGTCCCTGGAGGCGGGTTTGTTGAACAGTGCATGGCCTGAGCTGAGCGGGATGCTGCGGTGCTTGCGTGAGTGGGAGCGAAGAGGGCGGTTTGGCGACTTGTGATCCATTGCAGCGAGGGTGTAAGAGTAGTCTTGGGCGGTGGTTTGAGCGAGTGACTGCGTCGATGCGTGTGCCTCGAGGAATTGCGTCGAGTCCATACTGGCGCGGGTTGTTTGAGTTCGGCGGACGCAGTTGCGAATGATCGATGAGCGGCGCTGCCAGACACTAGATGAGCAGTTTGAGGACTCGAGCGAAAGGTGGTGTGTCCAGTGTCTTTAAGAATGTGGTTGTGAACGGGCTGTTTGAAGAGGAAGATTCTTTTGCGCTGCAGCGGGATTACCCGCAAAAGTGGGTCTGAAATCAAGTGAATCTTCTACACCCGAATTCACTTGACCGTGTCCTAAGAGGGACTTGACCTTTAAGATTATTGGAATTCATGTGCAAGGTCTGAAACTTCCATGAACTCATTGTTACTAACGCTAACCAAGTCTAATCAAGTCCAACAGAACAGGTCCCTGCAATTGTACCCTCATCGATCACGAACATGACCTTGTTCCAGACGTTGATCTGCTTTCCCACAATTTCAACCTCCACTTGCTCAGCCGAGCCCATCAATCCTTCGGCCGGAATGCCAGGTCGAACTTGAAGCGCTTGGCTTCGTTCGTTGGTTGAGCCTCGTCGGCGCGGAACTCAGGCCTATCGTCTACTTCATCTGCCATCCTCTTTCTCGGTCTCAGCTTTGGCGAAAGGACGAGCTCCTGTCCCTCTGCGTTCTCTTGTTCCTGCTCCGCCTTTTCTTGCTGCTTCTCTGCACCGTCCTTTTGCTTCTTCGCACGTCTATCCATACGAAAATCCCGAGCCGACCCGACATTGGCTTCGTTGTACACCTTCTGGCACGACTCGCACCGAAAGACCTTTCCGCCCTTCCAGTTGAGGCGGTCGTGCCTCATGCACGTGCCCCTTGAGAAGTACTCGATGCCGTATTCTGCCTTTTCCCAGGCTCCAGTGCCGATGCACCCTGGGTGGAACGGATGCTCGCAGTCGCTGCATAGCACCAGGAAAGAAGTGCTCGTGGTACCACACACGCAGAAACTCTGCTGGAGCATGGTCAGGCCTTCTTGCCAGTCGCTGGACGGCTGAGCCAGTGCCTTGAAGCGGTGGGTAAGAGTGTGACCATGGGTGTTGTTTCCAAAGCACTCTGCGCAGAGGTCAAAGCCATCGATGCAATCGAAGCAATGATAGCGGATGCCGTCTATTGGTTTGTCGCAGTTGTCGCACTCAGACTGCACCTTCAGCTCCGGCTCAGGATCGGCTCCTCTCGTGTCTGGACCGGATCCCTTCGAGTCTGTCCTCGATTTCGAAGATATCTTCAGCGCCTTCTTTTTCCTCGTCCTCTGTTCCTCCGCGGTAGCAACTTGAGATGCGGACATGCCTTGAGTCAAGACTGTTATGCGTCCAGCGTCGGAGATCTGCTTGTCGGTCATGAACAACCCGTTGGCTCTGGCCCGACCTCCTGTCATTCGCATGATACTCTTGCGGGCTGGATCATGCTCATAATCCCGGTTGAGGCTCTCGCCAACGTCGAAGTCGGAATCGTGCTTGGCATTGGTGTTTGTGCGTCTAGTTCTTGGGTTGGACTCAGCAGCAGGGGATGGACTTCTCTTCCGAAGTCGTCGCAATGCCTGGGGAAGGAGCACCTCCCCACTTCTTGTATTGATGCGAACTCGTTTGGCCTCTTGCAGAATCCGCTTTTCCTCCATCCGCTCCTCGTCAGCCTTGGAGTCACGGCCGTACACATGGCTAAGTATGCATTTGCGTGGCTTTGGTGCGTTCCGTTGGCGAATGAAGTGGCTTGCGACTTTCTCGCAATCCGGATGCGGGCACTCGAAACCCATTCCGTTCGGCTTCTTGTCCTCCGACATGGCGCAGTTGTGGCCGCATTTCTGGATCGTCTCCGTCACGATATCATGACCGCAGATGAGCCGGTGATGGTGGGGGTGCTGGAGACGAGGTGCCCGGAAGCAGACAGTTGGGAACTGGCGGCCTTCATTGTCGGCCGCTCGTCGCAAGACAGTGTTCGCATCGACAAAAGCAGGCTCATGATCTTCGGGCACGTTGAACAAGGTGGTCGGTTCATCATCCAGAGGCTCCTGCTTGATGATGGGATCGGTTCCCGACATTGTATGCAGTTCAATGACGGGCTTGCGGGGTTGTTGACAAGCGTAAACAGCTGCGTTGCGGGGGCGAGGCGCGAAAGAGACGAAAAGCGCGGCGAGGCGTCACTCTTAAGTAGTTCGAGCGGATGACGAATTCTGGCGGAAGTTCGGCGACGACGCGCTAGGCACCGACAAATTGCGGCAAGTCACTGGACCTCCGACCTCGCTAAGCATGTGATTCTCGACAAATTGGGAAGGAGCGTTGCCGAGCAACAGCGGGAAGTTCCGCTGGGTAGTTTCCTCGCTCACTGTTTGCGGTTGCCATCCTCACCAGGTGTATAGATCTCATCAGCAACGAATATACTCCTTTCAGGTACACAGAGACAACATGGGTACATGCAAACAGTGTAGGTCGATAACCCGCCAAATGCCAATTCGCCTCGTTACCGCCTCATAGCTGTCATCCGCCAACAATTGCTCGCAGCCGCCTTGCCTCTGCCGTCGTGGTGGTCGCTTTGCTTTATGTTGATAGCGTGTTGAAAGAGAGGCTAACCAAGACTTTGTCTCACAGGCCTTTGTTCCTGAGGGTTTCACTCTGCTTCGTCGCCGATACAAGGGATCTCCTGTCGCGCTTGAGTAGGAGACAATGCGCTCAATTTGGGTCAAAGAACGTCCATGGGGAGCATACTAAGGTACTTGCCGATATCAATTCTTCGACGGCGAGAGCCCAAACAAACTCAAACTAATCACGACATCAGAGCTGGACCTTCTCTTCACATCACCTACCTATACCACCATGCCATCGAAGGTATCCGCTATCCCGAGGAGAGAGCCGCGAAAGGCTAGTGCGATGTCTGCACCAACCACTTCAGCATCAGTACAGGGGTCGCAGCCAACATCCATGGGCCCAAAAACACGACTGCCAGTGCCGTCTCATCTGGCTCTGACCACGGCCTCGAGAACCTCTTCAAAGAAACACCAACACACCAGAAGCGTGGCCAGTCCAAGCACAAAGATAGCCCAAGCACCACGACCGCAGCCGACTCCATCGAGTTTGAAGTCGAAGAATCCACTCAGCATTGAGGTCACCAAGCGTGGACCTACTGGACTTCTCACCCCAACATCACCTCAGTCACCAAAGTCATCCGCACCTGAGCTCTTTGCGTCCCCGAAGGCTCCTAGGAAGGAAGACCAGACTGCGGAAGTACCCAAGATCGTCACTCAGTTCAAATCGCCTTCCTCGCCCACAAAGTCGCCATACATGCACGCACATATCGGAGACCCTTGCATTCCTGGAGCTCTGGTACACCAGCTGTCGTGCGGTCACAAGATCATCACTCGGATCCCCGAACAGTGCAAAGCCAACTGTCAACGACCCTTGCCGGAATGCATGGCGAAGTTTGCAAATGCCAAGCACGAGAGCCACATGTTCGTTTGCGGTACGTGTGTGGAGGAGCATGTCGAGAAGCATCGTCAAGCCAAGCGAGCCTTGTTTCTGGAGACGTTCGAGAAGACCAAGCGCCACATGGGCTGCATCCCGGAAGGTTGGATAGAGTCGCAGATGGAGTATTGGGAACGTGTGTGGGAGAACGATATGCACAAGGAGAAGGCTGAGTTTGCAAAGCTTGGAGAGGTTTGCACTTCTATTCCAGGCGAGCCAGGACCTGTCGAGTTGCCACCTAAGAACGTTGTTGGAAAGACGACGTCCATGTCCTCAGGTCCTGAGAAAAAGTCGAAGAAGGCCATAGCATCGCCGGGTACACTTCGACGTGGCAAAGCCTGAAGAGTTGATCAGTCAGGACCAGGCTGAAATAAGAAGGCAGAAAGCAGCTAGGTCAGAACTGTACAAGAAGCCGTGATATGGACCTACGAGACATCTGCACAGACACTAGCAGCGTTGGCAGCGGCCGACTTGAGCACCTCCTAGCAGAAGAAAGGCCTCGATTGTCTCATCATCACCACCTCACCAGTTCCACAACGTAACTCCATCAATGACGTTCAAGGTAGCTGAATCGCCTGAACCCCTCCCTCGTCATGCATGTGATACCGCCAAGCCTCGCCATTTGCATCATCTTGACGCAGGTACGTCTGGTCGCGTGAGAGCTCAGTCGCAAATTTTTGAGCTGAACACTTAATAGTAACCCCTCCTTCTCTGCTCATGGAATCATCATCAAACTCCTCACTCCCAACTCTTCCAAGTTCCAAGCTCTTCGCAACTTCTTAAGACAACAGTCCAATTCACCTCAGTCCGAACTCCCATACCGCCATTATGTCGACCACTCGTAACCCCGACGGACCTTTGAACCCCGAAGGCGGCTCTGGCGAATTCCACCCTCGTGTCGAGCGTGATGAGCCTTTGACAACCAAGGGAGTAGGTGATGAAGTCAAAGACGACGTCGATACCGCTTACTAACAGACTTTAGCATCAACCCGGCAAGCTCGTCGGCAACGACGCTAAGCCTGAGTTCCAGGCAGAGACGCTCCCAGCGGGCTCAGCTCCGGCAGACCGCACCTTTCAGTACGTCCTCAACTTGACGAACATCTGCCCTGTGAGACTAACAACACGACGTAGACCAAACCCCAACGCCGAAGCCCCACCAGTCGCAAAGTACCAATCCGAAGCGGACCCAGATTCCGGCTCGACCGCCGCCCAGGACACTCTCCTCGGAGCGAGCTCAGCGGACGTCCACACCGGTCTGGGACACCCAGGCTCCGGGCAGACTTCAAAGGAGCTTCGCCACGATGGACAGAGCGGTCGTAAGAACCCAGGCGTTGGATTAGAGGGCGTAGGAGCTACAGCTCGCCAGGACACTATTAACGCGAAGGATCCTGCGTTCGCGGGCCAGCGTGCTTTGGATAAGGACGAGGCGACTGTAGGTCGGTCGGATGTTCCTTCGGCTCAGGAGCGTTTGCCTGAGAGTGCTGAGACTGTTGCGTCGGAGAGGAGATAAGATGGTCCTCGCGCAGGGTCGTTTCGAAGGAGAAGCAAAACAGCTGCTACGAACTATTACGATGAGATGAGGTTTATTTGACTGGAGGTCGTTGAGCTTTTGTGGCAACAGGATAGTTCCTTCAGCTCGGCTGATATGATCGAGCCATCAGAGCTCTGCTAGTGTACACTACAATCGAGAGCAATCCTTGTCGTCAGCTCATGCTTCATCGCCGCTGAAGCCATTCCACTCTTCGTCGTCATCATCTGCTGCTCCATCTGCTTCTTCTACTGCACCATTCCGACCTCCATTCGGCTCAATTTCAACATCGCCATCTCTTACAAAACCAGCCACAAAGAAGCCCATAGTCCCATCTTCGCCTCCCTTCTCGCATCGGATACAAGAATCAGCCACTTCCGCAGCATCAAAATCTTTTGCTCCACCCTCGGTTGTTGACGCTGCTATTGCTTGACGAGCAGCGTCTACACTACCTCGCTTGTGCCATCTTCTCATCCCATCGACCTGATCAGCACGCTTCATAATCCGCCAGCCTCGGCTATGAGCAACGTCTGAGAGCAATGCCTGCACCACGACGTTCTCATTCTCCTCTGCATGTATGGAACACGTTGAATACGTGATTCGTTTGGCTGCAGGGAAGGACATGGCGTGTTGCAGTAGCCTGAGCTGGAAGGTGGAAAGGTTTTCGAGTCTTGCTTTCAGTTTCGCTTCGTCCTCATCGTCTTGTTCGGGTGTCTCTTCAGTGATTGCGTCTCCATCCTGGTCTGTCGGTTCTGGCGCAGGTTGAGTCTTCTGTCCGCCTCGTTTTCGTTTCTTGCCCTTTGAGGCTGGAACCGTAGTGGTCGCGGACGGCAAGCGAACAGTCACAGTAGCCTCATCTCGTCCAAAGATGCCATTGCCTGAGCAGCTGGGGTCAAGAAGGAGACTTGTAACATTTCTGCACTCCTTCGCTGCTGGATCTAGTTTGAGAAAGTTCTGCTTCTGCTTGACCGTCACAACATCCCCAGCGCCTGCCAACTTCACCATCTTCTCCAGGGTCTTTGATCGTTCGGGATCTTTCTCGCATGCTGTGACCTTACTCTGAGAGTCGGTCAGGAGAGAGGCCACATGAGTCGTTTTGTTTCCAGGAGCCGCACACGCATCGATCACATCACCCTCGCCAGGCCGAGGATCAAGCAAGTAGGCAGGAAAGCAGGAAGCCTTCTCCTGAAGAATCAGCTTGCCTTGCTTGTAAGACTTGAACGTTGTAGGATCGTCTGGGCCGGTAATCGCAATGAGATTGGGAATGTGCTCGTCGACATGGTAGAGGCGTTGATCGGGCGTGGCATGGGTGATCTCCTTGAGTGATTGCGCTTGAGTGTAGGTAGTGAATGAAGCCGCCAGCTCGTCGTCAAATGAAGTTCTGAGCGTATTGATCCGGATCCATCGAGGATGTCGTATCCGTGGTTTCGAATCGGGATCGGTTGGTGGTCCATTGGCAGCTTCTGAGTTGACGTGTGCTCGCAGTGCATCCAACGTGGCAAAGCCACGCCGTAATCGTGCCTTGGTGAGCTCTGCCGATAGTCGAACCTTGTGTCGACTGATCGATGTGTTCAAGCCATGGCTTGAGGGTAACGCAACACCTTTCTTTGACAGGAAGAGGTCATGTGTGAGAAGGAGAGCCAGGGTTGGAGTCAGCTGGTATACCGTTAGTACTGCAATATGGCTGCCCAAGAGTTTGGGTTTCTTACGCTCTTCTCAACACCCAGAACACCACTCCTCTCCACCACTTCGGACAGGATCTCGCTCCATTTCGCCGCTTCACTTGTCAAGGCGAAAAGTGTTTTTCCATCCGTCTTCCAGGTCTTCTTGCCGAACACTATCGATTTGAGTGATCCCCCATTTTTTTGCGCTCTCTCAAGGATGTCGGCAGCCTCATGGTAAAGAGACATGTTCTCGATGGATTTTTGATCGAAGCTGTCGAGAAGTCAGACTTTGGCTCTGTGGCGTCGGGTGTGGCGTTCAGCACCGCCACGACCCATATTTACCCTTGCGGGGGCGTGGGATTTACTCTCACCTCACCTCTTTCACGAGCTTCATGATTTCCATCATTTGGACGTCAGGAACCTTTTTTACATAGATAAATGCATCTGTGGTTCGACCGATGATCTGTTCAATGGACATGGCTAGCCTTGACGCCTTCAAAATGCAAGAAGAAGCAGTTTCGTAAGGTTCGTTCAACAAAACGTTGAGCGATTTTAACAGTGACAAGCAAATGAGAGAGATTGGCAAGGTATAGATCTCAGGGTAGTCGTCAGCAGTTAATCAAACGGTCACGAGCTTCTATTCCAGCCCTAGCATGGTCACAATTCTTGTGTTATCACTGCCTCCATTTCGTGGCTTTTACGACGATGTAAGTTTTTGCCATTGACGACAAATTTTTCATGACCCTGACACTACTATCCAGGAGGTTATAGTTGGTTGATTATGGCAGCTAGAGGATGCACAAGTCAGACGTCTGCTCGAGGAGTGCACGTGGCGCCACATTCCCCCGAGAATCATGACATCAATCGCGAAGCGCATACAATTCGTCGATGTGCTGCGGTCGTACAAGGATTCTGAGTATTCTGATCATTGCGACAAGCATCTTCAAGTGGTGGCAGTGAGGAGTGCGGGCGGTGAGAAGTGCTGGCAGTACTTCGGCGGGGACGTTTTGAGCTATATATTCAATCTTCCAGCGGACTCCTCATCCAATCGTTCAAAGCAGGCAAAATTAATTGAGGTCGAAGCTCTTCGAAAGGGCGTGGCGGTTAATGGCGTAGCGCGGAGAACGGTTGGATATTATTTTGCTTTTTGCACGTCATTTGCCAATGGCCCGGGTTCAAATCCCTTTAACTGACCAAATTTTTTTCGCTGCAAAACGAAAGACATACCAGAGGCGTATAAATCCCCATCCCAAAGGCGCAATAACATAGCGAGACAGATCTTCCAGTGACCACGCGTAAGAACACAAAAAAATGACCCCCAACATGCACGCATTAAACGCACCCCTTTAACCGACCCATTTTCTCGCTGCGAAATGAAGGACATATTTGTTATAGTAGTAGGCGTAGATGGAAATCACGGCAGGCGTGCACGCCTGCTAAGCAGCTATATCCGGCTGCAGACTAGATAGCTTGAATGATCATCACTTTACACACAAACCATCTCGCAGATTGCTCATCGCATCAATATTCGTCGCGCATCAAACACCCGCCGTCTCAAAGGCGCAATCAAATAGCGAGCCGAATCTTCCAACGACCACGTGTAAGAGCCCCCAAGAAAGAACATCAACACGTGTACGCACCAAGAGGAGCCAGCACCATCGCCGCATCGCCGCCCGTCGCGAAGTCCCGACTCGGGTAAACCCCGGCCGCAGGCCAATTTAAGCTACATATATCCCAAGCAACCCCTCACCAGTACACTATCAAATCAAAGGCGGTGGGTGTCCCTGGGTTTGGTAGTGTAGTGGGATTCAATCCCACTCGTAGGCCAAAAGTAAGACAACAAAGACTTCGAGTCTTGTTTCTTCTCTAGAACACCTCACTAAGCAGGTGATAGTTCTTCTTTTTGCATTTTTGATGTTGTTGTTGGGGTCTGTGCGCGTCGTCCCCCATTCAATCCCTGGTGGTTGGCTGTTTTGGCCCTTTCGTTTCTTTTTTGCGAATATTGCGGACACGGATCGATCGAATGGACTGATTGATAGGCTGTATTATCATCTCTGCGTTTCATTTGTTTTTCACCTTCTGCAAACGCCATTTGCGCACTCTCCTTTTCGCATACTCTGATTGCTTCTCACGCTCGCGATGGACAGATTGGCTAAGGTGAAGTATGACGTCTTGTAACTATAACCTTACGTGTAAACGCGCACCCACCGTAAAGAGGAGTTGGAGCACATAAGCGTGTGCATCAGTTTCAGCCGACGGAGACAGCTGCACTCAGTGGCTTCATACTTAAGGCAGGTGAACCCGCCGCAATCGATCGACTCTCCACTGCTGGTTGAAGGTGCCGTTCCATTCGGCTTGTTTGACGAGGGCGAGGTGCGCTGTTAGGATGATACCCACGAGCAGTGCTGCTGTGAGAGGGCGGAGCAGGGCCATGGTACTTTCTGTCGGTCCTTGATGGGCCAGCAGCAAGATTCTGAACAGAGCTATACATCACAATAGAATCTATACAACTACGCATGTCCACAAATTCGTCTTCACATCCATCTACTTTCCAAGCCCCACCCCTTTCCCCCTCGCATTGATAATCGCATTCAAACACCTCCCCACAGCCTCCAAATCCCCCAGCAAAGTCACATGTCCACGTTCCGAGCTCGCCACGCCTCCTCTTGCCACACGATATCCTTCAGGCACCATGGCCGCTCTGGCGAGGACGACTCCATCGCCACTGGCGAAGGCCAGCTCGTCGTATGCATCGGCGTGTTTGATGCCTTCGCACCCGTCGACTTTGGCTCCGATCACGGTCGGCACGCTCTTGCCGTAGATGGCGGAGATTGGGGGGTAGATGTTTGAGGCGTGGTGTTCGGGTTTGAAGGCGAGTTCTTCTTTGAATTGTTTGACTGTGGCCAGGGTTCGGGTGAGGTAATCGAGGGCTTGTTCTCGCGGGAGGGTTACGGCGGTTCGGACTGATGGGGGAACGACTTCGTCGTCATCGTCATCTTGGGTTGGGGTGTCCCTGGCGATGTTGCCGTTTGCTATGGCGATACGGTTGGCGTCACCAGAGCTAGGATTCATGGAGTCTGGGGCTTCGGCTCCTCCGGCAATCGTTGCGGCGGTGGGGTCCCCAGGACTCTTACCCCGAACAGAGCTATTCTTCCTCCCGGGCAGAGGAAGACTTGGAAGGGCACTGGCCATTGAGCTAACATATCCAGATAACCCCGTGGGCTTTGGAGGGGCGCTCAAGGGAGGAAGTGGTCGAGCCATGACTGGGGAAAGGCGGCAGTCGATCCATGTCTGCGGGTCGAAGAAGTCAACGGGGTATTCTTCCTTTGTGTTCTTATCGATGAAGCATCGACCATCCAGGGGTAGCAGGGCGAAGCTTGTTCGGATCGTGAAATTGACTTGAGCTGTTAGTACTCGACTGCTCAGCAGCACTTCATCGCCGTTTCTCAGAGGTCCTAAGATGTTTACGCATGTTTGGGGCACTAAGTACCAGTTCAGCATGAGCTTCGAATGTCAAGAATCTAGGGCTGCGAGACTCACCTCCAGCATATACCACGCCTCTGAAGAGCTCTGGACGTTGATTGACAGCATGTCGTGTGATTAGTCCTCCTAGTGAGTGAGCGACAACTATCGCCCCTCGCTTGCCTTTGGGTACGCTCGGCTGGTTGCTCGGCAGAGATTCCAGGTACGCGATGAGCTTTTTACTCAAGTGGTGAGGGTGTAGTCGCCAGTCGTAGCCATAGTCATGCACTCTGAGCTTACCAGTCCTTGCGTTCTCGCAAGCTCGAAGGCGCTTGAACAATCTCCGTGACATGTCGACTGGACCGATGTGAGTGAGCATTCCTCCAGGAATGACTGTTTCGGTAGCTCTCTCATCTGCATTCTCGTCTATGCCCACTTCGAGGTCGACCTTGCGTATGTTCAGGCCGACTTTTATCGGAACCCAGAGTTGACGATGGGGCGGTTCAGCAGACCTCAAGATCGAGCCTCGGTACCCACCAAGAATTACGATGTCACCTTCTAGTCGATTCAATGCTTCCGTAAAGTGTGGATGCTCCGTTGCCGACTGAGGCGCATCTGATATTGCTGCTTTAGCAGATGAGTATGGCCGTCTAGTCATGGGATCCACTGGCTTGGGTGGGCTTTTATCTTGTAGATCCGATGAAGACCGTTCACGATTCATAAAGTCTGGTGCAAAGTGGGAGAAGCTCGACATTGAAGGCATGCTTGGCAGTCTGATACTGGAGTCATGGAAGCTGTCTTTGATCGCCTTGAATCTTGAGTTGACTTGTTCTGATACGTGCTCGAAACGACTATCGTCGCCAAGCGATGACACTCTTGACAGCGTTCGTTGCGTGATCAATGATGTGTCTGACGTGGATCGTCGAAGTGGTTGTGGTCGCGAGCGGACTTGATGTAGTTGGAGGTTCGCATTTGTAGGCAAGTCAGGGATTGTAGCCTGTGCTTCTTCTTCTTCCTTCGGAGATCTTGAGCGGTTAATATCTTGAGTACGGCGCGGACCTGGTTCTGTAACTTGATGAGACGTCCCTGGACGTTGGACTTGAAGCTTCGCTTGGTCTGCGCCTTGGATTGTAGATCTTCTAGTCGGAGCTTCTCTCTTTCGGCCATCTCGAAAGTCCTCTTTGCCACCCTCTCGCGTGGACGCAAAGGGAGAGGAAATGGAGAAGTTCTTGGACATTGAAGGAAAGCTTGAGAAAAACGACTTTCCAAAGCTTTCAGAACCCTGTTCTGGTCCGGAAGAGGCTCGTCTCCGGAACGAAAAGCCATCACGAAGTACAGATCTTGACTTGCTAGATCTTCGAGTGTGCTTGACGTCGGCACGCCAGGGAGAAGGGAGTTTGTCGCCTGGTCGTTGCGATCGATCAGGCGAGGCCCTCACTGGTGGGGTCTGGCTCTTTTGAAAGTCTTGCTCCTCCACTCCATCTTCAGGCTCGTCGCCTTCTGCAATCCCGTCAAATCCAGCCCCGAAGAATCCACCGGCACTCTCAAGCGCTGCAGCTTTCTCAGTCGCGGGTGTCCTCGGCGATATGAGTCTTGTCTGCTCGCGACCTATACTGATGCCAATGGCTTCGCGAGCATCGTCCGGGTTTCGAATAGCACCATTGTCCTTGGCTTCCTCATCAGAAGAAGTTCCTTGATCTGATGCCAAGATCGAGTTGTACTGCAGCTCAGCCAGGGCTCGCCGTGGCGTTTCCAGGTCTTTGAGTTTCGAAGACTGGGCTGACATCCTTGCCAAACGATGGCGCAAATCCACAATCTCAAGTCTCCGTATCGTTAGCAGTGGCCAGGTTGCGTAAATGGTGGCATCGCTCGCGCGGATATAGTATGTGTTATCGCCAGATCCAATTTCTGCCTCTCAACTTGTTAGAGGCTGTGCAGCGGTCTTGGCCGAGGAAACCCGTGATCTGCTTGCTGTTGTGCTCCCAGCCAAGCGCGATGAGAAATCTGTGCTAGCGATAGCGATGGAAGATATGAGATTAGGAGGCATGCCGGCTTTTGTTGCTTCCAATGCTCAGCGTGCCGGATCAGCCGTCGAATGTCATCGATTGCACAAGTGCAAGCTAAAAAGTCTCAGCCACAATCCCAAAGACGCCCTCTCGGGGCTGGAAAGCACAGAATGCCGAGATGCTGAGGTCCTGCACAACTTTTGATTGGCCTAGATGACGGATCTTTGCCCGGAAGTTTGCTGCGGCGCAAATACTGCTTGAAGTTGATTGATGCATGAACGCGTATTCGCTTTCCACGCTTTTGCTCTGTGAGAAGGAACCCGAATGATGCTACGACCTCAATAATAGTAGCATTTCCAAGCGGGCACAGCGCAATAACCCACACCAGCGACGCCGTGAATGGTACGTATGAGACAGCGAATGTCACTATTGCTCGCCACCTGGATTTCGAGTGAAGTCGGCATGCATGCGGTCCTTCTCTACAAGCAATTCTCGCCTAGAATCAGCCGTGCCTTCTCGTACGTCTTGATAGAAGGCCATCCAACGTTTCCGAAGTCTTATGTCCATTGACTCGATAGCCAAACTGCCCCGCCCTCGCCTGTGGAGGATTGCTCGTATGTGCTGACTTCGACTGAGGAAAAGAACTTGCTGCGACCAAGGGCCGACGTGTGCATAACTCTATATCTTTTCGACTATGAGGGTTTGAAGCAAAGCTCAATCGTCTCCTTCGCAAGGAACGGATCCAAGGGCCTGCAGTCTTCTGAGAGACGTGAAGTGAGCTTGCTTAGTAAAGAGCTTTGCGAGGTTTTTCCTAAGAAGTATACTTCGTGACCCAATAGGTATATATAAGTGCGCAGCGATCCCTATGCTCTTAAGCACCTCTTTCTCGAATCCTATGGGCACGTCGGGGCATCGAGGATCTGAGCAGCTTCATTGCTAACATCTCCTCTCGAGTGCATGAAGCCGGAGAAGGCGTTCAAATGGTCTTCCTAGCCATCGAAAGGAGACCGGAAGCATGCGCTTTCCTGGATGCACCATTCGCGCGTATGGTCCACAGCGCTGCCAGTCCGTTGACGGGCCGACGAGGTCATTGTTGTGGACACGCTACCCCAGCATGTGGATGCCTTCTCCAGGGACGGCGTGTTGCAGAACATTTGGGCGGGGAGCAGAGAAGGGCGGGCTGGCAGTGGCGAGCGACTTGGTCGATCTGGAAGCGCTGAGTGGCCCGGAACAGGCGTATCTAGGCTGTTCGTCCGACGCGTGCAAGAAGAGCAGAAAGCGAGAGGAACAGACAAGTGTAAGCGTGGGCCGGATGGACATTCCCTTTCGGACCACGCGACGATAAAACAAGCTCGCCAAGACAACGACAAGATTGGCCACGGTGACCCCAATCTGGCGGCTGAAACCCCCTGGACAATGACGACGGCTGGAATTTACGCACGGCGGCCATATCTTCTTCTTACTCCAATCCATTATTTGTGAGGGTGGAGGACGTTCGCGGTCTCATGCGAGCACCGTAATCTGCACCTAAGCAACGGCCCGGCACGTGGGTTACATGACAGAACCTGTCAGAGGATCGGGACATTCACGGTGATAGCTGCCGTTGCCAACCCTCAAAATGGTGCACTCCCTCGTGCTCTCCGAGAGCATCATCGTGCAACTCCTCCCGCCAACTCCCTCTCCGCCCATATCGCAGCATCCCTAGCAGGCAGCATGGCGGCGCTGGCGACCGATGACGCCCATTTGGCCGCCCTGGGTGTCAAGCAGGAATTGCGGCGAAACTTCTCGCCGCTGTCCATGCTCGGACTGGCATTCGCCATTCTGAACTCCTGGACAGCCTTGTCGACATCGCTATCACTTGCATTGCCTTCGGGCGGACCGACAGCGGTTATCTGGGGCCTCATCACGGCGGGATTCTTCAACCTTTGTCTGTCCTCCTCGCTCGCCGAATTCCTCAGTGCCTATCCCACCGCGGGAGGCCAGTACCACTGGGTACACATTATCGCGTGGCCTAAGCAGAAGCGCATATTATCGTGGATCACAGGATGGTAGGAATAACTAGCACGGTGTCTATCCTTTCAGCGACTGATATTTCACTTCTCAGGATCAACGTTTTCGGCTGGATGGCGCTAGTCGCCACAGGAGGTCTCCTTGGATCCCAGATCATCATTGGCATCATTGCGATGTATGACCCTTCTTACCACGCGGAAAGGTGGCATCAATTCCTGATCTACATTGGTTACAACATTGCTGCTGCCCTCATCAATGCTTTCGGGAACTCCTTGCTACCGCTTCTCAACAAGACCGCCATCCTCTGGTCCATCTCGGGCTTCGTAGTCATATGCATAACCATTTTGGCGTGCGCATCGCCGAACTACAACTCAGGAGATACAGTCTACCGCGAGTTCATCAACGAGACGGGCTGGCCAGATGGTCTTGCTTGGCTGCTCGGTCTTCTTCAGGGCGCTCTGGGACTGACTGGATTCGACGCGACTGCTCATATGGTTGAAGAGATTCCCAATGCTGCAGTCGAGGCGCCCAAGATCATGATCTACGCTGTAGCGATCGGGACCTTCACCGGGTTCGTCTTCTTGTCCTGCTTGCTATTTGTGGCAGGCGATTTGCAGCAGGTCATCTCTTCCTCAGCCGGACCGCTCAACCAAATCATTCTCAATGCAACAGGCAGCTTGGCAGGGACAGTCTGCCTGCTTATGTTTCCTTTGATCTGCTTGCTTTTCGCAACGACTTCGATCATGACAACATCGTCTCGAATGACATACGCCTTCGCCAGAGATGGAGGTCTGCCGTTCTCACGCTTCTTCGCCCGGGTCCACAAAAAGCTGGATGTGCCGTTGGAAGCTCTGGCACTCACCAACTTGGTTGTCCTGATTTTTGGCTGCATCTTCTTGGGGTCCAGCAGTGCGTTTAATGCCATTACCAGTGCATCAGTCGTCGCTCTTGGACTGTCATACGGCATTCCAGTGGCAATCAACCTCCTCCGTGGCCGACGCATGCTACCAGCAAACCGACCTTTCCGCCTTCCAGAACCCTTCGCCTGGTTCGCCAACATCGCTGGAGTCGCCTTCACGATCCTCACGACAGTCTTATTCGTTTTCCCACCGGAATTGCCGGTGACAGGAAACAACATGAACTACTGCATTGCAGCTTTCGCGATTGTTTTCATCATAAGCATGCTCACCTGGATCTTCGATGGCCGGAAAAACTATACTGGACCGAAAATCTATATGGACGAGAACGTCCTTGTGGCTACACGAAGTCTAGAAGCGCTCAAGCTGCCAGAGATGGAGGAGCCAGGCTCTCAAAAAGATGGCAAAGGTGACTTAGACAACAAGCCTGTCGTATAGCCATGTTTTGGTGCTAGGTACGTGTTTCTCCACCTCCTTTTCTCCAGCATTCTGATGACACCTATCGTTACGCTTGATTCTTCGATGAAAGTTCTTTATAATATACCAATTGTTCCTACTGATGTTGCACGCAATTTCACCTATCCAAGTTTGACTTGTGGTTGAGAATTCATCGCTGACTATATAGCAGACAGGTTTATGGAAGACACCCAAGCGCAGAGCACCTGTAGGATAGCAACTGTTCTATATGAAGTGATGATTCATGCAAGACCAACCCTTCATGTTCATTCTCCCCGTCAACTATTGATGATAGTGCATCACGAGAAAACATACTCCGTGATCTATATTTCGCTACGAATGCTGACAAACGCTCGATTTTCTAACCAACAGACAACATCATACACATTACATCGCTCACCCATCCCCCTCCACAGCCAAAACAACAATCTGCGAATCCGGCCACTCCGCCCCACGATTCTGCAACCCACACGCCAACCTCGTCGCCATCCTCGAAATCTCCGTCATCGCCCTCGCGATATCCCGACTGTTCGCCGTGATCTCTCCCGCCACGACGACTTCAGGAGTCCTGCGGCCGAAGACGTGGAAGGAAAGGTCCCAACTGTCAGCAGGGAAATGCGGTTGCTGCGCTTGGACGTAGCCTTTGATGCGGTGGAGAAGGCGGTCGATTGCGGAGGTTAGGAGGGCTGCGAAGGGGTGTCAGAGGTGTAAGTTGGAGCGATGGGATGTGGACTCACCGTCGGTTATACGACCCAGGTATATAGAACGATAGGGTCTCTGTAGACGCGCCTGTGCCTCGAACCACTTCTCCGACTCGCCCACGCGCCGCAAGATCGTTCCCCGAACCTTCACCGTCCGATTGTCTTCGAGCGTCTGGTACGAGGCCTGTCTGAGATCCAGCGCTCCCCCAACTTCCGGGACGGCGAGTCGAGACTTGGGTTGCAGGATATACGACGCCACCGAGATCGACGTGCACTGCGACCTCGCCCCGACAGGCGAAACCTCAAAACTCCCGTCGCTGAATAATGTCCCCACTGCGCCGGCACATCTGGGTATCGCGGAGACGCCTCCTTCCTCGAGGATTTTCGCCAGATGGAGTATGCCGCCTCTTATACTTGCTGTCTGTGCCTGGGTCTGACCAAGCGTCGTCTTGTGGGCGTTCTTGAGGCATAGACTTGTGAAGGCTATGAAGGGGACGAGTCTGGAAGTGCTGCTGCTTAGGAGGACTTCGAAGTCGGGATTTGCTTCTGCCTTTTTGAGGAATGCTTGGACGCAGACACCGATGGTGCAGGGGCACGCGGATCGTTTCAGATGAGTGGATGGCGAGGGCGAGCTTTGCGCTGGGGTATTTCCGGGAGGGGTCTTTTGCTGTTCGGTATTGTTTTCAATCGTTACCAGTTTGAAGTCCTGCGAGCTGCTGACGAGTTAGCTTAAGAAAAGATGAGGTGCGGCCGACTACGATATACTTTTGCGTTACCGCTTCTTGAACCATTTCTGCAACCAAATCCAGGTGATCTTCTGGCGCTTTCGTTGACGAGGAGTTGAGGATCAATGGCACGCCGTGAGTGCCCACACAACGGAGCAGTCTTCGAATATCCCTAAGGCAGCTTGCTCGATGTCCTTGTGGCAGGCCGACTCTCACTGCAGCACCAGATCCAGTCTCCTCAAAGCACGAGTTGAGTATCATAGCCGTAGGCCTGCCGCTCGCCGCCAACTGTCGAAGCAAGTGATTGACGCCAATATTGTCAAAGCCATATCCGAGATTGCTAACCGGTGTGATGATATGGCAGACAGGTTCTGCTGAAGCCATCAGTCCAAAGGCTCGGATATCGAGATCGACTATACCCTGCCTACCAAGGCGAGCTCGCCTTCAAGAGCCTTTTAGAAGGTCTTCACATCTTCCGTCATAATAAGCATTGACTGCTTAGCCAAGCCAAGCCTCTATCCACGCGATCACCACTCGTGTCCACTTGACAAACCGACGAGGCTGTGCAAAACAGAACAATTATCAATCTCTGCCATGGACACGGATGTATCCCTTCCCTTTGGGTCTGGAATCAAACCATTGAAGAGGGAAAAGATTCGCAAGCGTACACGCCATCGCCCATCGGAGGGACGGTGAGTGTAGAGGAAAAGGAAAACGTCAAGACGAACTAGACTGATGTATGGCACAGGCGCTTGGATTGCTCAGAAGAGGAATGCCGTACGGATGAGGCAATGGCGACCAGGCTGACCGCTCCAGTTTCCTCGCCTTGTTATGGATAGCTCATCGAATGATTCGGGCCGGGTTGACGTGTTGCTCTGGACTTGCCAAGGCTTTGAAACACTTTAATTGCCGTGAGGACGATTGTGTATGGAGACGAGGGTGGTGTAGAGTTCGGCAAGGTGCCGTGGAGGCCGAACTCAGCGCTGTCCCGACCGCGTTTCGGGCCGGCTTTCGGCATCGAGTGGATGGACATAAGAGAGATAGGAGCGACGAGTGTGCCGAGACCGGTCCGTTTTGGCGTAGAGCAGTTGTGAGACAAAGACTCTTCTTCAATTTGTTGGGAAGAAATTCTTGTACTGAACAGAACAAAGCCGCGAAGGGCCATTTGTCAAGGCGGTCATTCGTCTTCGTCACACACACACCTGAAGCAGTGCAGGCCAGGTTGAAAAGAAACGACTTCGAGCGAAGAACTGTGATAGAACGCCTGAGAAGCATCAGCAGTCCAACCACAACGTTCCAGAAGACCGTCGCTATGACGAGAAAGCAAATCGTCCAGCCTTCCATGTAATCAAAGAAAGGGAGTTCGATATACCCTACTCCCCTTTGTCCCCTCACCTAGCGATTCATTAGCACATCTCCCAATCAGAGAACCACCCAACAGACCCTCTCCCAATGAAAGAACCAACACTCTCACAATGCCTCCCCCTTCTACCTCCTTTCCCCTTTCCCATCCATCACGTCCAACCCCAACTCCCCAGCCCCATCACAGCCAGCACCCCCAAACCCCAAACCCCCTACAAGCAAAACCAAAACCAAAACCAAAAATGTACCGCACCGCCCTCGCCCAACTCCACATCGCCGCCAAATACAGCAAATGGGAAAACCTCTACAGTCCGCCCACAACGCCAACCCCACGAAAGCCAAAACACATGAGATTTCCCTCCTCTACAACAACCACGTCGCAGTCGATGATCTCGCGCCCTATCAGAGCGTGTAAGCTGCGCGTGATTAGGGAGAAGGGGAAGAGTAACAGGGGCAGGTGTCTGTTGGTGTTCAAGACTTTCAAGCCCGGCGCGGCGAGGAATCGATATGAGCCGCCGTGTGGTGGGACTCGTTCGCATGGACGGCGGGCGTCGAAGAGTGAGGTTCAGGGGTGTCAGATTTGTGGGTTGTTTATCGGTAAGTCAACCTATTTGAAGTGCGTAAAAAGGGGTTGATACTGACTAACATTCGCAGACATGTGGATTGGAGATTTGGAAAACCAAGTCCCCAGTTTATGCACAAGCGCGGAGCAGAGCGAGACAGAAAGCACGTCCTAAAGGAGGGAAGACGAGAATGGAAAGGTTCCTCGAATTGACGTGGGTATCATTGGTCTTTCGTATCGAATCGCTTTTTCCTATGTTACATCTAAAACACAGTCCCTTCTTATGCATGGGAGGAAACCACTTGCCTAAAAGGCGACCCTCGTCCGCATCTCCTGAATCTTCTTCTCAATCTCCTTGACGCTGCGATCCACCTCTGCCGCGATCTTCTGCTTGCTGTCGTAGCTGAGCTGCATGAACTGCTCGCAGAGATCGCCGTCGATGACACCCTTGACGGGAACGTAATATGAACGGTACATCAGATGATCGCGGCCAGCAAGCGGTGGTGCTTCCGCACGCAATTGCTGTTCGAGGGCGGTGAAGAATTCGACATCATCTCTGGTGACGAATGGAACCAGCATGCCGAGTGTTCCTTGCAAGCCAGACCAGAAGAGGACTTCCTGTCCACCAGCCACAAGTGCTGTTCTCTGCATGCTCATTGGTATGTCTTGCGTATAGTAGTGGGCACGTAGGTCAAGGCGGTAAGGCGCACCGTTCAAGTAGCTGCGCTCATTCATGATGTAGCCACCTGCACCTTCCTCATCGGCTTCGTGACTGGGTTGTTCGGGACAGCGCACAATCCAGAGATTTCCGAACTTATCTCCTCCAGCCGTGGTCTCATAGTCCACCATCGTGGTCGTTGTGGTCCAGCGCTGCACCACGTCGTCGACGAATGGGATCATGCGATTGAACTTGGGTTTGTAGACGACGTAGGTAACGCTGTCGCTAACATCGCCGCATACAATTCTGTTGCCTTGGGACTCCAGGGACACGATCTGATTTGGCACCGCTGTTCCACGCGACTTTCGAAGTAGCGCCTTCATACCAATGTCGTAGATGAAGAGTTCGTTCGCAACACCCAGAGCGAGCCTGCCGTTGAAGGGATGGAGAGCGTAGATCGGACCTTCGAATTGCGTCTTGTGCACAAACTCCATCTTCGTGCCGTTCTCCACAAGGCGGTAAATGTGCACGTATCCAACAGATTCAGCACCGCTGCCTGGTGCCATGTGTTGTCCGGTACCCACCGCCAGGAACACCTCGTAGTCTTTTGATGCGAAGGGAACGCATGCGCAGCAAAGCGCTGCTTCGTTCTCACCCAGCTCGACGGACGAGACAACAGCATTTTGATAGATTGGGTCAACGACTTGTATGCACGAAGCCCAATGCGACGTACCACGCGGGAGGCCCAGATGCTTTTCAAGTGCAGTTGCTTCCTCGTCTTCATCGATGGATTTGCCACGAAGTTGATCTCGCGTGGCTTTTGAAAGGGCGTTGGCATCACTTTGCACGGTATACCACAGTGGGTAGTAAGGATGGCGAGCCATGCCGCGCGGAGTGTAGCTCAGGTCGATCGAGCTGTGCGACAATCGACCTTCAATCGATGGGATCTGGAAGATCAACAGAGAGGAGCCCTGTATAGCGCAAAGCCCGCTGAGATCAGGGGTGATGAAGGATCTCGCCGCTTCTATTGGGTCGTTGATGAGTGGAGTGACGGTGTAGAGGTTTGTCTGGGGGTGGTTGTAGCCTAGCCATGGCCGGCTGGAGCATGCGAGTACACACTCTTCGTTGTTGACCTCGACGGGACATAGGCGTGGTGGCCGTGTGCCGAGGAATTTGGTCCGCACATCGCCAAGTTCTCCAGTCGTTTCGTCGATGACAGCTCGCAGATACAGACCAGACTGGAGTCCGATATGAACAATGCTGACCGTGGTATTCGAAGCTGGATCGAACATTTCGACCACCTCGAGTGAGGTAGGGACAGCAGACAGTGCTTGCACGCTGCGAGGCTCCAATGGCGAATCCAGCTCGATGCTCATGACACGGATTGTACAATCATCGCAACCCACCACAGCATACCGTGCTTGCTGTCGTCCCCTTGGTGTTCGTCCGACCGAGAGCGCCGTCACCTTGCCACTCATTTCCGGCATCTCCTCAAGCTGATTGAGAATGCCATCATCGCCCATGAAGAAGAAGGCCAATTCGGCCGAGCTGAGTGCCAGGAGTAATTGACGATCGTTGGCCGAAGCAGCGACGACAGTGCGGTAGGAGGGTGACTGCCAATCGTTTACTGCTCCAGACTCCAGGATACTGTGAATGCCGCGTGCATGAACCTGTACTAGTGTAGCGTCGCCCATCTGCTGCGCATGTACCGTGGCGCGATTCTCAAGAAAGCTGGAGTTCTCGATCTGTTCGACGGATTCGCCGAGGGAGCATGCGATCGTTATGTCGCCGTAAGAACTGCTGAGAAGAAGATATCGGTGGTGTTCATCGCTCGCGCGGTGCTTGAACGTCCAGATGTTGTCGTAGGGAACCTGTCCCATGCTATTGCTGATGGCGACCTCAACGCCCAGTCCGTGCCGAATGGTCTTGAACTGGCTCTTGTTGCCTGTGCCCTGGATCGCATATATTTGCGGCGCATCTTCCGAGGTGAGGTTCTCGACTCTCGTCTTCATAAGTGGATGGAGTCCAGGTATGTCGATGGCCAGGTGAGTCATCTTGAGCTCGCGAGGTTGGAAGTAATTCGGCTCATATTCGTCCTCAGGCTCCGTTGGAACGTCATCGGATGTGAAGGTGTTGTGGGGCTCAAACTCTGGGTCGTCCGCAAGATCGTCAATGTGATAGAGCTGGCTGTTACCGTTCTCGGCGGCAATGTACAAGAACCCCTTCTTGTGCAAAAGCATCTGACGGGCAACTGGGAAAGTGTCGTAGTACTTCAAGGTCATGCGCTCTGGGGTCGCGGTCTGCCGGCCTTTGTCGTCGACCTCCAACGAGATCGTGAGCTTGAAGACATCGCCGTCTTCGGTTTGCAGCAGGAAGAAGAACTCGTGACGAGTCTTCGCAAGATGCAAGCAGCCTGCAACGATGCATCTCTTGCGGTTGGGATCCTCTGTTTGGCCTTTTCTCCGTGGAATGGGCACACAGAGGCTCGGATGCTTGTCGTGGCGGTAGTAGATGCGGTCCTCGGCACAGACTAGGACGCCTGAGGGACCGTCTTGGCCTCCAGGAACTCCAAAGAGCATGTTTGCAGTGTAGTCCACCGTATCGCTCCACGTCTTGACCACATGGTTGAGACCCATGTCGACTGTGTAGTAGACGAGCTGCTTCTCCCGCCTCTCGTATGCGTCACCACTTGGGTCGCCCTCTGATTCCGAATACTCCACCTCCAAAGCCGCGAATATGGGAGATTCCCAACCCGTGTCGAGTGCACAAAGAGTGAAGCACAAGCTCTGCCACTGGTTGGCTTCGTGCGGACTCGATATTATGATCTGCCCATCCGAATCACGGTGTAGCATGTACACGACCTTGTTCTTTTCCACGCTCCCCAGCATAACACAACGACCGCGACTGTCACTTGCGAGGTAATGCCCCGGTATGACCCGACGAACACCCGATTTACCGTATGTTTCTAGATGTGTGCGTCTGAACTGATTCTTTTCGTGGTCGTAGGTCAGAAGCGCAATTCGTCCAGAATCGGAGGAGATGATGAGCTGATCTGGAAGGATTTGTTAACATCTTGTTGCAACCTCTCAATCGATTTCGTGTGGGTTGTAATGCCAGCATCGCGAGCCAGCATAGATGGAAGGACGATCTGCGACCAGACGAGGAGGGTACGCTATATCGGCAGACATCACTATGCGTGCTCGCGACGCTGCTCTAGCTCATACGAGGAGGACTCACCTGTTGATGTTCCAGGAATCCTGCTTGTGGCCACGCCACGGACGATGCCGAAGACATCTTGCTCGAGTACAGTTGTGATCTTGCGTTCAGTGCGGTCTGCGTTTTCGGAGATTCGGTGGAGGGCGATTCGTTGACCTCGAGCCTCGAAGATTTGCTGGTCGCCTGGTTTGAGACCTGGTATGACATTACACAGGACGGAGGCGGTAGGGGAAGATGGCGGTTCGAGAGTCAAGCCGTAGAAGGCCTGCGTCTGCTGGATGTTGGCCATGCTGGCCGCCGAAGTCCTGTTGTCGCCGCAGTGGTGTGTGTGCTTTGCAAGAGCTGCAGATCGAAGTTCGATGTTTCTCAAGTCGCATCGAGCGCGCTAAGATTTAGGCCCGGCCCGAGCTCCGGGCGGCGGCCAACACCTCCATCGGGCTCCTCTGAGATGTGCTTGACGTCTGCTTCGCGGTAGAGCATTGCGTTCGAAGCATTGCGCATCATGGCGTCCAAATCAATATGCAGCCGCTGCTTGAGGCTTGCTCTTCCAGTCAAACCATCTACCGTCAACCAGAGCATAGCCAGACGGGCTTTCACGTCCAGCGCAACGAAGCAGCCTTCCAACGCCCGGAAGCTTCACCAGTCGACGAAACAGAATGCTTCTCCAGCAGTAGAGCCTGCACGGCAGACCTCTCAGAGCATACCGCCGTACACAAGCGAACGCAACCAACAACATGAAGAACAACCGAAAGTTCTCTTGCAGCCGAACAACCTCTTCCACTCCTTCACGAACTCGCCCTCTCCCCAAATACGGAAACGAGCAGCGTTCATGCGCCAAAATGCGTACTGTCCACACCCTGAACATCAGGCCACAAGGATGCCAACATCTCCCCATGATCTGGAAGCAAGAAAGACGGGCACAATGCCTCCTGCACACGTACGCTTTGAATGTCCGGATTGTGGGATTCCTGTCTCATGCAGCGAGCAACACTTCGTGAGCGACTATGAAAATCACTTGGAGATATGCGATATACTACGAGAGATCAACGAGGATGATCATGACCTTGTGAGCGGGCGCTTCTTCCCGGAGTTCGAATACCCAGGCCCACAGATGGAAGAGGCGCAGGTTAACATGACGAACTGGGACACGTTGATGTACAGCCGTGAGTTCACGGCCATCAACGATGAGAGAAGTATGCGGCAGGTGACACGGCTGCTGACATACCCTGTCACTATTGGTAGCGTGCTGCATGAGCTGAGTCCATACGGTCTCAAGGACAGACTGACACCGGAGGGTTTGAGATCACTAAGTGGTAAGTTATCGATTTATAGCACTATTCCATCCACGAGAATCTAACATGACCAGCGCTTCGCTACACTCTCCATCCACCACGATCAGGCGCAGGTATCGACATCAAAGGTCTCCGACCCAACGCCCCACCAGTCCGACTCTTCCTCCTAGGAGCCCGTGCAGAATCCAGCTTGCCCCGAGAAGTATGGATCCAGCTATCATACCTCTTCCCACAAGCAACATTCCACCTGATCTTCATCGGCCCCGAATCAATGCAAAATCGCGACGCCGAATTTCCACTCCCAGAACGCACACCATCGAATCCATTCGGAGCGATTGTTGAGGACCGAGGGTTAGGTGGCCAGATGAAGATCTCGACCTACGTTGAGTACTTCCACACCCTCCACCAGGCTCAGCACTTCTACCCATACGATCCCTACTTCGACGCCTTCGTCCTCTTCCATCCTGGTCTCGGCCACCCAGCCTCATCGCACGAGTGGGCTGAAACCCTTCCCCAACTTCTGGAGACCAAAGTGCCCATCATCTGCACTGGTTACACTGAGTTCGACATGCAGAGAGACATCGACTGGGTGACGAAGCAGGCTGGAGGCGAGATGGACTTGCTACTGCAACCAGGCGAGAACCGCTTCCGGAGTTTGAGATGGGATCTGAACGACTTGGACCCTGGCGATGTGAGCTGCGGCAACTGGGGCGTCTGGGGCTTCAGAGGAAAGCGATACGAGACGGACGAGTACCGCGGTCGTCAGGAGGAGCAATAGTGTGGTTGTACATATATCTGGCGGTCCCTCAGACATAAACGCAAATGTGGAACTCAGCTTAAATCTGTCAATTCTTTCATATTTCTGCATTCCCGCAAAGTGCTCCATATTGCATACACGTATTTCTACAACTACGGTGAAGAGCCCATCCATCCATTCTTTTCAAAAAACCTCCAGCATCATCACAACCTGGTAGTTCCAACCAGGGACGCTACACCACCATCACCACCACCTCTGGATTCCATTACTACTTTGTCTTCCATCCCACACACACAATGCTCGAACGCTTCACTCAACAACAACAGCAACGCCGAAATCCAAATCCCTCCGCTCTCCTCATCTCCTCCTCACACCACCACCACCCTGACTCTGCGCACTCGCAACCGTCGGACTCATCGGCTCCCCATTAATCATAACCTGCGGCTTCCCAGCATGTCCATATCCATTGACCTTCGCAGCGGGCTCCACCTGCTCCACAACCTCCGGCTCATCCTCCTCATCCTCGCTCCTCTCGTCCTTCTCTTCCCCCGTCGACAAGAGGCGCCAAAGAATGCGTCCGATCAGGAAGAACCAGAACAGGTTCACGGCCTGCAGGATCACTAGCAGGGCGGATGTGATGCTTTGCGAGAGCCAGCATTTGTATTGTTGCGTGTCCCAGTTGAGGTCGTAGGGGCCGACGGTGCGGAACTCGCCGTTGGGGAGCATCGAGTAGATGATGCGCAGGTTGATGTAGTGGCGGAGGTAGGCCCAGATGCACATGAACATGACGAAGTAGGGGCCGGTGATGGGGGAGTCGATGTAGTTGAGGACTTTGGAGGTCTGGAAATTCACATTAGTGGAGTTCGTAGTAAAGTCCGGATTCCTGACTTACAGCCAAGAAGAAGTCCGAGATGTCGTGCGTGATGTATACGGCCACACCAATGTACGTGAAGTGGAAGCGGTAGCTCAGTCCTATCAGCGCCAAAGTCACAATGTGGTGCACGACCAGCTCCTTGAAATCTTTGCGCGGCTTCTCCAGCTGCAGCATCAGGACGAGGCCTTGCTGCGCCCAGTATGCAGCTTGCAAAAGGTAGTACGCCTTGAACACGTCCTCATGCGCTCTGTGCGGGAACCCCTCGTACATCCCAGTCGTGTTGAAGTACCAGACCGGTGTCCTGCTCATCACGTACAACCCAAAAGGCCCGAAAATGGCGAAGTAGATGGCCGTATAGAACTGCTCCATGAACCTCGCCTGTTTTCCCTTATTCTTGATCCCGTACCAGAGCGCGATCGGCTTGATGATGCGCTGCATGATGAACTCCCGCGTGAACGTCAGGACGATCGTGTAGAAGCCCACAAAAGCAAAGTCCTTCGGTCCTTTTCCATATTGTGTGACATTGCCAATGTGCGCCGGGAGTGTGTTCGTTCGCTCGTTCAAAGGCGGGTTCGCGTAGGAGAGGAAGATGGCATGGTGCAGCGGATTCTGCTCGCCCGGGTTGATGTAGTATGCCGCGAGCAGGACCAGCACGAGGATCAAGGGATTGACCCACGTGTGCCGCAGCGACATCCTCTTCCACCTGTTGAAGAGGCTTTTCGCCTTCTTCCGCTTGCCGCCCTTGGACTTCTGGGTTCCATTCCGCCCGGACGACGATGACTGCAGCTGCTGGCTCATCGGACTCGTCGCTATCGAGTTGCCGCCGGTGTCGCCTCGAGGGTCGCCCCCGAGATTGGAGCTCGTTCGTCGACGTCTGACGTCCATGTAGCTCGAGGCCTGCTGGACTGCGGCATTGGCTGACGGCGATAGCGGCGGGAAGGTTTCGGTCTTGGAGGGCGACGCCATTGTGAGGAAGGAGGGTGTTGTTGGTAAGGAGCGACGGGGTGTGCGAGACGAGAATGGAGAGGAGAGGCTACACTCGAGGCGCAGCGAGCGGGCAGGATGTAATCTCACGGAAGCATGTACATGGAGCAGCAGCAGCAGCTGGGCATCTCATAAGAAACGATGCATGCGCCAAGCTGCTTCTTTTCATTAGTCGGCCTCATCCTCCTCCTTTCTCTCCGCGCTTTGCCGACAAACGACATCGGTGGCTGTCTCTCCCATCGACATAGCTTCTGCATGCCACTCCTCCGTCGCAGCATATATACGCGGATGGAGCCCTTCCCATTTCGCCCGCGAAACCCGCCTGGAGATACGGCGTGCAACCGCCGGCTCAGACGCGTCTCGGGTTCGGCATCATGCTATTCGCCCGTAAGATTTCCAGCACCCGGGTATTCTGTACTCGCCGTGAGGATCCGACCGTTTCTTGACCTCACTTCTTCCCTCTTTGGCTGCCCTAAACTCGACTAAAGACGCCTGCCAAGTCCGTGGCTATCCGTTGTCTGGTCACACAGTTTGACGACATGAGGCTCATCAGCCCTACATACTATGTGTGGCTGGCGAGGCCGAGGATGCGAACCTCGCATTCCTGTCTCTTGAAGACATTACTGGAAGATCAGCACTCTTCTTCAATGCCCTATCTCAAGTCGGCCTCTGTGTACAAGGCGAAGTGCCTACTTGTGCTCTGTCAACGCTGTGCTACCTGCACGGCTTTACCAACTGCAGGGGCTCGATCAAAATCCATCCGGGCAGAAACGTTGTTCCCACAGTCGACAAGATCTTGCGGACTATGAAACGAGTCCCCAAACTAAAATGCTAAATACAGGAATGGCATGCATTCATTTGAGATCTGGTAACAAATTTGCTCCAGTCCGGTTACCTCGGGCAAGACCTTGATTGACGGTTACAGCAATGCCTTGGAGTCTCACAGATTCGCCCGATCTGTCGTACAACGAGGCTACAACGACTCAATAGGTTCAAATGGCTTCAATGTTTCCGTAACACAAGGTGGGGTGAGCCTCTTCGACGCAGTGGAGGTGAGAAGCCCGGAAAGGTTCGTCCATCTTCTTCTCACGAGTCTTGTATCTTTAGCGACGACATATCACCATGCTCGTCAAGACCTTTCTTCGTTTCATTACGATCTTGAGATCTCTTGTTTGGCGAGTAGGGGCGGACAGAGATGAGAAAAACTACTTCATCAATCCACCATGGGAACCGGGCGTACCTGATACCTTCGACAACAACAATTTCTACGACCTGGGATCTACACTTGACCTCAACTGGGAGACCAACTTCACAACCATATCGCTCGTTCTGCGGCAGCAAGACAATGCTAGCTACACGTACCTAATTGAGCGCCAGCCTGCTTCCAAGACTCTCGTGTGGGACGTCGATCTGGACGGGAAATACAACATCACCAGCACTGTGCTGAAGATGCCTAACGGTGAGCCCTTGACGAGCGAGCTGCTAATGTGTGGTGCTTCGCTGAGCTTGGTGACAGTCTTCTCATTCGAGGTTTGGGAAATCATCAATGGCAGTGGCCAGATTGGACGCCGTTTCTCGAGCCACCACTTCAACATATCTATTGCAGCAGCAGCGACACCTTCTCCATCAAGCGATTCAAGTGGCAACTGGCCAGCAATGGCGGCCAAAGATGAACCAACAACAGTACCTCCAGCGCCCAGTGGTCTCTCTGTCGACGCTTATGTTGCCGTTGGCATCGGTGTCGGTCTCGTAGCGGTCTGCCTTGCGATCGCCGTTGCTATCCCTCCGTCATTCTTCTGGAAACAGAGGAAGGAGGCCATCGCAGCAGCCGAGGAGGAAATGCGGCAAAAGTTGGAGAGTGCACCGCCGAAAGAAGGTCAAGAGCCTACGAATCCGCCTATACCAAATCCGCCACAGCCAGCTGCGCAGTGATGGGAGGTCTCTGGAGATTCGCAGACGCAAGAGCTGTGATCGGACGAAACCACGAATTGCCTGGAGCGAGTTTGTGGCCAACGATGGTCAGGCAAGACTGCGAACCTAGCTTCTCGGCCACAGGAAAAATCACCTACTGCGGCTCTCAAAGCAAATGTCAGCGTATCTGGTCTTATGCTTCGATAGATCAACAAGACAAGAAACGCAGTAAACCTCGCCCTCGAGTCCAAAGCAAAACAACATCGACATACTTCGCGAACCATCCACTCGGAGTGCATCCGACTTCCACATAACAAGTAAACCAATCTCGCAACAGTAACCATTGACCCAAATCCTACACAAACCACCTGCTACTCTCATCGGCGCCTAGTCCACCCTCCACGCATGACGTCCAAGGCTTTCCGGGCTGAAAACGCGGTGACGCTCAACTATCGTTAGCCAAACGATGCAACAACAACAACCAACGAAGCGAGACCAACGCAGCAGCGACCATCGCACCTCAAAAAAAACATGTGTTCAATCACCAGCCATTGCCTCGCCCACGAGATGCCTCGCAGCTCGTTCCTGACATCTCGCCGGTGCTAGTTCGCAAACCCTCGTTGATGCCGCAGGATCAGCGCCAAGCGGAGCGGTGCGTGTCTTGGTCAGCGCTCCTTTGCACGACAAATGGGATGAGGGTCTTCGCTCGAGATGGGAGATCGACGTGGCTGGATTGGGAGGGTGTGCCGTTGACGGGATGTCAGCTTTGTTGTTGGATATATAGATAAGAAGGGAAGGGATTGGGCTTTCGGGTTCGAGAAACGAAGGTACAGCTTCTTATCAACGGCTTTCGAGCAACTGTCGTTGTACATAGCAACGGTCTTGCAACGTTCGCGGTCGAAAGACGTTTCTTTGTAACAACAACTCTCATTCAATCAATCAATCAATCAACCAAAATGAACTTCCTCCTCCTCCCCCTCGCCGCCCTCATGAGCATGCTCTCGCTGGGCCTGGCACTCCCACCAGGAACATCGCCGCGTTTCGTAAGATATCCACCAACAACACCATTAACAACCCCCAACCAGAAACCAGCAGTACATCTAACAACACTTCTTCAACAGGGTTCATTGATCCAAGACGACGGGCCATCGTTCCCTTGCTACGATATCACTTGCGTAAGACGATCCACTCATCAACCCATCGTTGTCTCTTTTGTTGACTATGATACGTTATTATAGATTCCCGGCCCAGACGGCGACGCACAGTGCGCTAATGAGGGATGTACGGAGGGGTGTATCCCAACGGCGAGCAAGTGTGGGACTTAGAAAAAGAAAGAAAGTGACGGAGTTTTGGAAGGATCCTGCGAGACGATGAGGGTGTAGATATCACGCTGTAACGATCATACCATACCACACCACCCATCAATCAGTTCAATCACTCAATCAACCCTGCTTCTCCCCCTCCGGCACCGCCATCCCATGAGCCCCCCTATAAGCAGGAACCTCCGGCCTCACCCACCCCTCCAACACCCCCTCATCCTCCACCCGAAAAACCTCCACCTTCAACGGCCGACAAACCTCAAGCATACTCTTCCCCTTCTTCTCCCCCTCCCCCTCTTCCCCCTCCCCACCCTCCCCCCACCCCCAAACACTCAAATCGCCCCCCGGACACGTACTCAACGCACAAAGCAAATCCATCTCAGCAAAAAACTCAATCGCATCCCCCTCCTGCGCAGGACACGCCTCCATGAAATACCTGCCCTGCGCATCGAGTCCAGTCACCTGAAACACATTCAACACATCATGCACATCAAACTCCGTCAGGCCGTACGGCAGCACGGCCCGCACGAGGTTCGAGTGGCAGTGGTAGTCGTACGAGTCGCCCGAGAGCATCTTGTTCACGTAGGGGTCGCAGCGCGTGCCGAGGAGGTCGTGCACGCGGCCGTTCCATTTGTCGACGCCGTATGCCGGTCCTAAAGAGTCGCGGATGATAGTCACCATCGGCCTCAAATACGGCAACGTGCTCCAGAGCCGATCGTACGTCGACACGTGGCTCGCGTGCAGCTGGCGCGTGCGCGCGGCCCAGAAGCGTTCGCGCGGGTTGTGCAGGTTCCAGAGGTTCAGGTCGCCGACCTGGGGTCCTTCTGGGGTCGAGATGCGGAGGATGTGGCCGGCGGGGACGGTCCAGGCGCGGCCGGAGCGGATGGGGAGCGTGAAGGAGGTGGTGAGAGTGCGGTTGGCTTGGGCGATGGAGTCGTAGAGGGGTTTGTTGGGATGGAGGATTGAGCCTGGGGTTGCGGTGTAGGCCGGGGCGGGTGGGTGGTCTGAGGGCATGATGAGTCTGTTCGTGAGTTCTGGTAGTTGTTTTGCTTGCTTTTTGGTGGTAAGGGTTCGAGATATGACCTTGATGGTGTAAGATGGTCGCAGGTAGGTGAATGTTAGAGAGCAAAAAACTCAATTTCAATTATTATACGTACTTGGCCCCGGTAATAGCTACCATAGCTAGGCCGATAGCTGTCCGTTCTTGGCTTTTCCTGTGAGTCATCAAATAGATTGTGTTGCCCCATGCGGCGTAAGACACATGCAGCGCAAACAGACCAATATGCCCTACAAGATTCCCTGTCGCGAGGCTTCGTATGTTGTAGTAGGGCGTATGCCACAGACAAGCCATACCCGAGGCGGCCTTATCACTCCAAACTCCACGCTGCCAAATCATTGTGACTGTACAATTCCTAATGCTGTCTCTGCTGGCCTCCAGCTCCTGAGTTGTCTGCACCCCCTGTCGAGTTCGGATCGAACATCCCCATCATGTCATGCGTTGGGTATGAGGAGTCGAACCAAGGCATCATATCCAGCCCCAGCATGCTCATGTCGACATCCTGAGACTCGATCATCATATCTCCGGGCAGAAAATTCATGGGAAAGTTTCCGGCCTGGCCATCCGGGAAGGGGACATAGGGCTGGTGTATGTTGCCGTTCATGTGAGCAGTCCCACTGGTTGGACCGGCACCATTGTGCATCTGTGGTTGCATGGTTTGTGGAAATGCTCCTGCCATTGGAGACCCGGTACTCCCTGTCTGGCTGAAAGGAGAGTTCAAGCCGTGCATGGGCTTAGCGTCAACTCCCGACATAGCAGTGCCACCCGGCGTGAATTGAGGTGGTTGTCGGTTTATCTTATCCTGAGCTGTCAGACGTTGTGATGATGTAGCTGAGCCCGACCCACTGCGGAGATGCTTGGGGTATTGCACACTCTGTACCTGTCCTGTTGCCGCCTCAAATTCAGATGGGTTAAGCGAGCTGAGTCGTGGATCAATGTTGGGGTTATTGCCCCCACTGGCGTAATGCCATGCCAGATTTGTCGATGGCGAGTTCATCGTTCCCGTCAACGTCCAGCCGATGGCTGTGTACGTATTGTCAGTGGTTCCAACGGCAGGTGGCTCTTGCGCACCCATATACGCACCTTTGCTAGGATCCACACCCTTGGGGCTGCCAGGCACATGACCGAATCCTTTTGGTGGCCAGAAAGGTGACTGGATGTTCTCCATACTAGAGTTGGTACCGTATGGTCCCCAGCTGAGCTTTCTTCGCCATCCTGGTGAGGTGAATGCGGGTTCTGGTCGAGGCTGTTCCATCGACGACTCTCCTTCTTCCACAGTGTATAGCAATGGATCCCCAACGCCTTCAAACTTTTGATCCAGCACCGTCAGGATATACTTCGTGCCAGCCCAGTACGTCTCCAGAGACTGTAGCGCCTTATAGCACAGCTGATAGTGCTGACTGGCTGCAGTGGCAAGTAAAGTATGCTTTGCCAGCTGTTTCTTACCCTCTGCTGTGTCAGTTTTCCCGCCAGGTGAGGTGTTACTAATGGCGATGCCAGAGATGGAGCCCTTTCTCAATGTCTGTAGCGGTGTGCCAATTGTTGACGGGGTGCTGTCCGAAGTCGTGTCCTTACTGCGGGAAGGGCTGGTGGCGCGGGATTGTGCGTTGCTTGTGGCTGTCTGCTCGGCGGTCTCCTTGAGGAACGCACATGCTGCGATGTAGATGGGCTGGGTAGTGAAAGGGTTGCCGAGCGATGCTTTGGCATCCATGAGTTGCGAATAGCTGAGGATGTCGGCGATGGTCTTGGCGCTGCTCATAGATAGCTGTTGCGAATTTGGGAACAGTTGCAGCATGCGCCCTTCGAAGGTCTTGAGAAGTGTAGGTTGATGTAGTAGGACAATCAGCAAGTGGAACCAGAAATGAAGCAAGACGAAGTTTGTCCCTTCGCCAGCCTTCATGTAGTGCTGGAAGTTGACTGCATCAAAGTGCAATCGAGCTGAAAGGCCTTGATAGAAATTGGTGACTTGATGCTCCATCGCTGCTAGGCGTTTCGGCGTGTCTGCGGTGATGTCCGTTGGCTCCTTGATGCTATTGAGGAGATCGGCGACTCTTCCGTAAAGATGGACGATTCTGATCAAAGCAGGAAATGGAGGAGGCCAGTCTGATTTGCCATAGGTGTCGGTAAGTGATGGGAAGGACAGTTCGATGTCCTTGTCGCGTAGAGTACTCCTTCTGCCAGTGCCAGACGAGACAACTCGATCAAGGAAGAAGATGGCCCAGAACGTGTCAACACGCTCTTGCTCGACCGCTTTCGTCTCTTCCATCTCCTTTTGCTCCTCAGGACTCTGCCTTGCCGTATCCACAGATTTTGCTGTAAATGCAGCCTTGTGCATGCTGCCGAGGGTAGGCACGGTATCTGTAGACTTCGATCCACTCTGCGACTCTCGCTTCACGGCCTTTGGTGTAGGACCGTCTTTGCCGACGTATCGTAAACCTTCGAGTTTGTGCAGTCCAAGATCCTGCGCGAGCCGTATTGATATGCCGAGATACATCCACAGTCCACTGTCACGCTGCTCTCCAAATTCGTTATAGGCAAGAAGTAAAGCCGCCTGCGCCGCAGCCACACTGGGACAAGCGTACGTATCGATCAAGGCCGTCTTCGCTCGTTGTGCAAACGCATGTCCATACTCGGCCGGGCTGGTCTTGTTCTCACCCTCATTTGCGGCCTGGGTCAGAAGAGAGTGGGTGGAAAAGCGAGCAGCCAGGGCGCAAACGGCATCCACCAAGATCGCGTCCACCTGCTTTTCCTCCAGATCGCGTAGGAATCGCTCTCTCTGCAAGAATGGATAATTGCAGCCAAGATGTGTGAAGAAGGTGTTGGCTAGGTGTGTGATTAGCTCACTTGGTGGCATGGGCGAGGTGTCGTAGAAAGGTAGATTCAAAGGTGTCCGCATGTCAGATTCCACGGCCGCCGGAGTGTTCGAATACAGCGATGGAACTCTCGGTTCGGTTGCATGTAGATTGTTTAACGACGGCGAGCGCACAGGATCTCCATTGGTGGATGATCGAGCGACATCAGTGTCTTGGCGCTTGACTTTGACAACCATCTGCTTGAATCCTGGCATGATGGCAGTCGGACCAAGCCATCTGAAATAGGGCATACGATTTCGAGGGCCAGAGAATAGTGAATCGCGTGCAGCATCTCCATTCTTCGAGCCTTCGGCCGATTGTGCAGTGCTTTCGGCCATGTTCCTAGGCGACTGTCCACCAAAGATGGTGCGCGACAGTCCATTCAGTCCCTTTTGCTCGGTATTCGGCGAGAACGGACTCTTCCTGGAAGAGTCTTGTCTGGAACCTCCATCTTGCTCTGAAGCCCTCCGCTCTGAAGCAGTTCGCTTATGGCCTGGATTGGCAGGAGTCTCGGTAGAGTAGCCGGCGCATTCGAGCTTGTTCTGCTTGCACGTCTCGCAGAAGGGTCGCTCGCCGGAGCATGCAGTCTTGCGCTTTCGACATGTCAGGCAGGCGGCGCCAATCCGTCGTCTATGGTATAATTGTCAGACTGAGAGGGGAGTAGCCGGGGACATGGGGTTGACTGACCGTTTGGGATGCGGCGCGCCGTAGTTGGTGACAAAACGGAGTGCCTTGGGCTGCTGTTGCTGTTGCTGCTGCTTGGAGGCGGGCGGCGCAGCTACGGTGGTATGGGCGGCGGCATCGTCTCGTTGCATGTTTCACATGTGCGCTGGAGTCGCGCGCTCGCTTGAGAGGGAAACCGACACGGCCCTTGCTCGCCTCAGACGCAGGCAATCCCCGCAGTCCTGCTATACAAGTGAGAAGGTGGTCGGCAGTCGCTGGCGGAGGGCCACATGGAGGCGCATGCCCGATGGACAGGATGGTGAAAATAGAGGAGCGCGTAGTATGGGAAAAGTGCCGTTGAGTGTTGTTGGAGCAGCAAGTAGTAGTGACGAACAGATGCAGGAAGGCCAGACCGGCTAACTGTGCGACTAGTTAGCTCTGGGGCCCAGTCTTCGTTGTTTCTGTGCACGGCGGCTCTTCTCCGCAAAACCACACATCGCCCAGCAGCGGAGACGTGACCAGCAAAAAGGCGGCGTGTGACGAGGTGGAGATTTGATGCCTCCTCTCTCCCACCCCTCCCACGGTTCGCGCCGACTTAGCTGTGTGCGCATCCAGCACAGCACTCACTCTCTCTTCCCATTAAAATCCTTCCCGGTGCAGACCGCTTACATAAACCGCACGATATAGGGCAGCATTTCTTCTGGCACTCTTCGGTGCGTTTGTCGTCCAACTCTATTCATCCCTCGGAGCTGGTCCTCACCACATCGCTGGCATTTGGCGTGAGGCTGTCAAGCTTCACAGCCAAACGCTAGACGTGATCGACGAGCTATTTTCCGACCGGAACGCAACCCGAGCTCAGCCCTTTCAGCTGGTCGGCCTGAACGATGGCTGTTCAGTGTTCATGCGGTGAATGTAGTGCTTCAGCCTGGATGGCGATCCATTGCTCCTATTGAATTGAACATCACCAAGAGCTGGTTCGGATGAGGCTCACATTTGGCTGGCGCTAGTCCAAGCTTTCGGGAATATGGCACAATTTGCCGACGGCCGTGCACATTCTGTCTTGCTTCATGCGTGAGCTATTGACGTCGACATCACGATTCATCCCACCGAGCAACGTCTGCCATCTCGTTGTCAACATGGACGTTGCTCTGATGAGGTCGACGTTCAAGACCGCCTCTTCACTGAGTGCGCGCCGCCAGCTTCAGCAGCTCGGCTCTCCCTCCATCTGCGCAAGATGTCTGCTGCATACCACTCCAGCAAAGGAGGCAACTCCCATCGCACATCCTACAGTTCCTGGTCCTCCACCGACCGCGCCACAAGCCGAACCCACTTTTGCACAAAGTCGGATAGCGAGGAAGAAGCACCAAGCGGATCAGCTAAGGCAAAGCCAGAACTTCAAAGTCAATTCGTCGAAGCCTGGTTCTGCGCTGTCGAAGCGATTCTGGAAGAATGTGTCTGTCAAAGAGACTGATGAGGGGCTGCAAATATTGTTGGATACCAGGCCGGTCCGGACAGCCACACGACAAGTCCTCACCCTGCCCAAGAACAAGCGCGCTCTGGCTGCATCTATTGCCATGGAGTGGGATCATCTCATATCCGCCCAGCAGGCTTTGAGGCAGCATTACGTTCCTTTGACGTCGCTGGTATCGCGTGCTATTGATATTGAAGCTGCAGACCAGCAAGAAAATTCCACAATCCGGGACAGCATCATCACTACCGCGATGAAGTATCTGAGCACCGACACCCTTCTATGCTGGGCCCCCGAGAAGAGTCTTCACGACCCAGTGCAGAGCCGTCCAACGAAGAGCTTGAGGCAGAAGCAAAGAGAAGTCGCAGAGCCCATCCTTGGATTCCTCACCACACACGTCTTTCCCGGCGTCGAGATTGTGGAGATCCTGTCAGAGGACAGCATCATCCCAAGATCGCAGCCACAGATGACCACTGAAATCATTCGTGGCTGGGTCAGTGGTCTGCCGCCATTTGAGTTGGCCGCACTTGAAAGGGGAATCCTTGCTACGAAGAGCTTGCTTGTGGCTGTACGAGTCCTGGTGGAATGGAGTCAAGAGTGGAAGCACTTGCAAAAGGGACCAGGCATGCAAGGCAAATTCGGTATAGAAGAAGCTGCCGAGGCGGCAACCCTCGAAGTTCTGCACCAGACAGAGCAATGGGGCGAGGTCGAGGACACCCACGATGTCGATAAAGAGGACCTCAGACGGCAGATTGGCAGCAGCATCCTGCTTGTCAGCTAGAATACTGTAGATAAAGTTGTACAATCACGTGTATAGTCACTGCATCTGCAGATGACAAGAGCAAGTCACATCCCATCAAGTGGCATAGGGCGAGACAACGCGCTGCGACAGTAACGATATTAATCCAGAAGACACTTATAATCAAAGACTCTGCGGCGACAAATATCCAGCTCATGACAGTACGACCACATCCGGCAAAAACGACTACAAGGACCGCCGATCACCAAATCTTACCACCATCCAAGCCCCCAAAACAACAATGACCCTCCACAACCTCGCCATCACCATCACCCTCACCCTTGCCGTCTCAACCAACCTCCTCGCCATCTCCACCCTCCAATACAGCCTCTCCATCTCCCTCACCAAGCCTCAGCTCCGACACCTCCGCAAATTTCTCGCATTTGCCATATCAGGTACACCAAGATCTCTACTGGCTCTGGCACGGCTCATCGACCATCTCGCCGGACGTATAGATCAGCATAGTCCGTTCGAGGTTGATGTTACGTTGACCGGGGTGGTAGATGCCGTGGTTTGGAGTGGAGAGGGGGTGGGGATGGGGGTGTTGGGGGGTCTTGTTGGGAGGTATGAGAGGGAGAGAGAGAGGACAAGGAGGGGGTTGGATGGGGAGAGGGGGTTAGCAGCGACGTGGGTGTGAAGCGGACCTGGATTGTAGTCGGCGCGTAGTGGATGAGGTCGCTTGACAATGTCAAGGCTGAGATAGCGGCGTCAAGTTGGGAAGGCGGCACAGCAAGCGTCGTGCCGCCTGAACATCTTGCTTTCCAACATCATCAACTCCTCTGCTGCTCGAAAAAATGGCGCTGAGAGCCAGGCATCGACACTTTTTCACGGCCTATTGAAGCTCAGCAGCACGAAAGCATGCCTCCGCCAACCTCTTCACCCCGTCCGTGGACTTGGCTTCGAGCAATCAGATGGCATTGCTACAAGACACTCTTCATCCTGGTCACCGGATTCCTGTTAACAACCAGCGACTACCTCCCATTTACTGTGGGGAATTTGATCGATACGACTTGTCCGAGATTCGAATGCGAGGGAGTAGAGAGGTTTGTGGTCTGGAAGTCCGTCTTCTTCGCTTTGTGTACGATCCTAATCGCTGGATATGGATGCTTTACTCTCATGCTTGATGTATTCGGGCCTGCCGGCCGAACGATTGGGACAAAATTTGATGGGCTCGAGAAAAAGGCCGGTCAGGCTTGATTCGAATGTCATGTTGAAATTGAAGAGAGACAGTCATCTCACGGGCTCGTGGATAGCGATATTTGCTTAATGACGGCTGGTGTCACTTTCTGGACGAAACTTCTCGAGATCATGGCGGATGCTGGACGTCGAGCGGGGAAATGAGATCAATGACTTGATAGTCGAGCTTCAAAGACTCTTCTCCGTTCGCGTTCACAGAACGAAATCATCGACAACCCGCTCAAGACAGAAAAATCCATCTAAAGACGATCATACCTACCCAGCACTGCCTCCATCCAGCCGCAGATATGTCGGCACCCAGCAAAGAATCCCAAGCTCTAGCCGAGCTCTTCAAGACCATCGCCGCCAACTTCCCCTCCACACCCAACCCCTTCCTCGAAAGATGCGTCTACGACCAAGTCCACCAAGCCGCCGCCGAAGCCCCCGGCGTATCCTACGAAAACACAACCGCCGCCGGCCGACCATGTCTCTGGATCCGCCCCGAGAAGGCCTCCACCACCCATGTCATGCTCTTCATGCACGGCGGAGGCTTCTCGTTCGGCTCGCCGAATGGCCACCGCAAGATGTCTGCACACCTCGCGAAGGCGTGTAATACCCTGGCGCTCTCGGTGGATTATCGCCTGGCTCCTGAGCATCCCTACCCGGCTGCTATCGACGACTGTGTCAACGCTTACAAGTGGCTACTCGAGCAAGGCTTCCAACCCGAGAACATCGTCGTGGCAGGCGACTCCTGCGGCGGCGGTCTCTCCGCCAGCGTCCCGCTCACCGCCCGCAAACAAAACCTCCCCTTACCAGGCGCCGTGGTCTCCCTCTCGCCCTCCTACGACCTGACCAACGACCTCGAATCCATGAAAACCAACAACGACGTCGACGTCCTCCAATCCGAGGCCTTCGTAGCTATGCTCGGAGACCGCTTCACCGCCGGCGACCAAGCGCTCAAGAAGGAACCCATCGTCAGTCCCCTGTACGCTGATCTCGCGGGTCTACCGCCTCACTGGATCTCGTGTGGAGGGTACGACATGTTGCTGGATAGTGGGAAGAAGTTTGCTGAGAAGGCGAAAGCGGCTGGCGTTGAGGTGGTTTTGGAGATTCATCCTGGTCAGCAGCATGTTATGGAGTTTATGGCGGGAAAGGCTCCTGAGGCGGATGAGTCGATAAGGAAGATTGGGGAGTGGGTGGGGGGGAAGATTGGGTCGTAGGGGTGGATGTTTCGTACGTACAGCTTCTTTCTTATACTAGGATTTCTACCATTTTCTCATCTTCATTGAACAAACGAATCATTCGTCGGACGTCTGATCCGTAAAGCAGTTTCAGACGAGTCTCGAATCCAACCGCAAATCCAAGAGCACTCCACGTCCAACCCCCCTATCCTTCTCCTCTCACTCCGTAACAACCCTCTCCAAATCCCCGCACACCCTCCCCTCCCCATCAACCAACCTCACCTCCATATACTGCACCCAAAACGCCGTATGGCTCCCCACAACCGCCTCCCTCGTCCCCTTTACCCTCCTCACAACCCTCCTCACACTCGGCAACAACACCCCCAACCCCCCAACCCTCTTATAATCAAAAACATAATGCGCCGCCACACCCCCAAAGATATCAACCTCATAATCAAAGCTCTTCAACAAGAAGTCTTTCTCGCCGAAATAGAAATCTTGCACCCGCGTGTGCGTGGGGAAGTCGGGCGGGTGCGTGACGCGGAGGAGGCGCCAGGGTTGGCGGTGGTGAGGGGATTCGACATGGGGGGAGGAGGAGTCCTGAACTTCCTCGACGCCGAACCCCGGCCGTGTGAAGAGCCACGGCATGGTGAGGTAGTTGTACATGGCATAGCTCAAAAAGTAACACAGCTGCAGATCGTCCCACTGCGTCGTCAGGACGTGTCCCTGAAAGGACTCGCGGGGATTTTCCCGTTCCTGCAGGACTTTCCCCTCGGCGTTTTCGATCCAGACTTTGCTCGGCGTGAAGAGCCAGCGGTCGGTGGGGTCGCCGTCGCCGAGGGCGGTGGTGATGGTCCAGGGGTTGCAGGGGTCGAGGGGGTTTTGGTTCTGGGGGAAGACGGTGATGGTCGGGTGGCGGGTTTTGCCTCCGTAGCCTTTGAGTTCGAGGGCCAGGCCGTGGAAGGCGAAGGTGCATTGGATTTGGTGGAGGGTGGTGAAGGGGGTGAGGCCGCCGTGGGCGGTTATGATCGAGTCCATGAGGGATTTGCTATATCGAGGGTTAGGTTCTGGAGTTGGAGAGGAGGGTGGGTCTGAACGTACGTCTCGTTGTTGGTGGCCATGGTTGTGCTTGGGCGTGGTTGTTAGGCTGTCCTTTGATAGATATCTTGAGCAACGAAGAGGAGTGCTTCAACACGTAAGTATAGGATGGCTGGTTCTGTTCGGTGAGAATCAACGATATTGTTTTCCTTCATTCGTGACCTAAGAGGTACTCATACCGTACTTCAACGATCAAGTACGACGTCTCCAAAGACTAATATGGAGCGCTTGGACTTGTTCGTGATTGCTCAACGAGTATTGTGTTTTTCCCTGACTTGGAGCTTGCTCGTAGCCTCGGAAACAGGCGATTTGGATGTGATTACTGATCGATACATCAATCAGGCTTTCGCGGAGCTGCCAGACATGCAGTGCTAGCCGTGTATCATCTACCTCTACCACTGTGCTCAATGCCTTTTTCGCTAAGCTTTGCGGGTACATACTCCTTTTCCGAGCTTTGTTGTCGTCCACTGTGACATGCTGGCTTACTCTCTTTTAACGGTCTCCAGACCATCGAATACGTGATCCATTGGATCTTCTCGGCCGTATGTTCTTGTTGAAGAATCACTTTGCGGACTTGTTGTAACCCTCCCGAGTAGTGTTGTACCCGAAATCTGTCGACCCCCGTTCTCCTATCAACGGTCCGAGCTCTTGATGTTGCCCTCGACTTCAGCTTTCCCTTTATCTCTTGTTCACCTGGTGTAATGATGGTACCAGTGAAGCCTGAACTGAGGCTGGAGTGTTGGGAGTGTGTTCTCACATGCATTCCGTTCTCAACAGACCTCGTTCGGACGTTCGGTCGAAAGCAGCTTGGCAAGTTGATGTTTGCGGGCGTGATCTCCTGCCCCCTTTCGTCCTCGAGGGTAGAAAAATCTTATTGCGGCTTCTTTAAGGGCTGGAGAACAGACCAGCGATCAATGGGCGCGTGGTATGGGCTTCTGGATGTGGTCGTGGAATTCAATCGGTCTTCGTGGGCAGCCGCAAGTGTTTCGATTCGAGAACTGTGCTTTAGATAGCTCGTACTCGCGTTGAATGAAGTTGATGGAGGAGCAGTGGCGTCTTCGATAGGATACGTAGATGTAAGAGGTACATAGGCTCTACGACTCTGCGTTGTTGGCTTTGTTTCGGGGGTGGAGGCATTGAGAGCTCATTGAGGGCTTGCAGGTCTCGTGGAGGCGGAATCTATCCATTCTCTCATCGCAGTCGCGATATTGCGTTAGTAGCACGAATCAATTTACTGTAAGACTCTCGAACGGAACATTCAGAGAGGATGTGGTCGTGCAGGGGGCAGTGTATGGCCGGGTGCGGAGCGATGGAGCAATGGGTCGTTCAATGCCTTGCCTCTGGTCCCTCTGCACCTTCATGGAACCATGCGATGGTGTGAGTCGTTCGCAATGGTGTGCAAGCTTTGTAGACATGATGAAGAAGTCTATGAGCTGCTCAAGCGAAGGCTGGAGCGCTGTGAGCGTGTGATGAAGGGCGGAGGGTTGAGGTCGACTGCAGCAGAGTCAATGCTGTACTTTCGTCTTCTCTGCTCCTCCGTGGAACAATGCGACGGTGGGAGTCTTTCGCAATAGTATGCTAGCATCATAGACAAGATGAAGGTCTCTGTAGGCTGCTCATTTGATGGCTGGAGCATAGCCGGTGTATTGAAGAGCAGAGCGTCGAGGCCGAGTGCGGCGAAGTCCTTCATGCCTTCCCTACTCCAAGCACCAAGGAGCTGTGAAGCAGGCAGGCGCCCCTTCACCTTTATAGGTGATTCCAATTCCTCTGTCCTCAACGAATCAGAGAGCAAGACTCCTATACCCACACAGTGGATGATCATATCACACAGTAAGTATGCAGATGGTGTAGCGGCAAGCGGTGGCAGCGAGCAGTTCAGAGGCACGACACAGCCTCCCCTATTTTTTATTTTTTTTGCCCTCCTCCCTTCTGATGGGTTCAATTTCGGCCCTGAGAAATTATTTTTTGTTCCCGTGAGCAAGTCTACGGTTGTATCAGACTCCTCATCGATTTTGTGATCCATATCACCGTGTGGTTGTGGTGTTGTTCATTTTTGTTCATCGTGAAGCTGATGAAGCGTAGGCGTGCTGAAGCTGCGTTTCCTCCGCCATCGAAACAACACCGCAACGAAGGCCTCACACGATCGCAGAAATCTTGACAAGCATGGTGACGATATCAAGTGCCTCATCGTCAAATAAGTGTATGCAGAGAGGGCGTGGTTGCGTTGATATTGCTTTTTGTCCGACGTCGAACTCGTGAAGCGTGGGTGTTCCGAAGCTCTGTTTCCTCGACCGTATCGCTAATGGGCTCTACATCGATGATATTGATCGCACAAATTATGTGAAGTATCGCAACGATACGGACTAGCACCTCATCAAACAAGTGATCGTTCACATGCCCTCGTTGTGGAGATATTGCATTTTGTTCATCGAGCAACCCATGAAGTTGACATGGTCAAGACGCTGGTTGTCCTTGACCGAGCGTCCAACACCCTTCACGGCCTCAATTATCGATCGGAGAAATTTGGCGGAGCATCAGAATGGCATTGACAACCTCCTCATCAAACAAGCGATCGTTCACATGCGCTCGTTGTTGTGCTATTGCATTTCGTCCATCCGGAGGTCCATGAAGCCGAGCAAGTTGTGAAGCTGGCTGCCCTCGACGGAGACGTCAACATCTTCAAAAGCCTCAGAGATCGATCAGAGAAAGTTGGCGGAGCATCAGAATGATACCAACAGCCTCCTCCATGATACATAGATCGCATAGAAGACGTGATGCGATGCTACTGATTTTGTTCGTCACGGAGGTCATGAAGCGGAGGGACTCGTGAAGCAGCGTCTGCCCATGTAAATCGAGCAACACCCCACAATGTCTCGTTATTTGACCAGACGAGCCTCTCATTGCATTCGCATAACACCAGCTGCACCCTCAACCGTCAAGTGGGCATGGAGAAGGGATAATCGTGATGCCAGGCCATTTTGTCCATCGTAAAGCTCGTGAAGCCGCCGGGCATTGAGTGTTTCGCCGAGTGCGACTCCACTTCTTGAGATCTCGAAAACCAGCAGACACGTCGTAGAGAGGATCGCAAGTGCAGCAGACGCCTCCTCATCATCAGCACGGCCACCAACGATGAATGACTTCGTTGCTCTGGCTCTACCGTTTCCGACAAGCGAGCAGACGAGCATTGCCAACAGAGCATCACTTCGAGGCTTCGCAGTTCCAACTCCCTCCTCCACCTCGATCGCGCCAACTCGTCGATTATTCCATGGTGAGCAGACCAACGATCCTTTGCCATGGTCGCCTACCCACGATAGAGTCGATGAAGTCGAGCAAGAGCAAGGGACAACACGCCTTGCGAGGTTGAGAAGAGCAGGACAGTCTTGCACAAGGAGAGGCACAAAGCATTGAGGGCCGGCAGGACGACGGGCTCAGGCTTGAGAGCCTCCGCGTCCATGGACATGGTGTTTGGTACGACAAATGACAGACAAGAGACAGGGGAAACCAGACTGCTGTGCCAGCACCTCCATTCACTCCTTGCCATCGGCCCTGCAAAGCGTCGGAGAGCGGCCATACCAACTTGCGAACCATCTGAGAGGCCACGGTCTCCTTCAGAACTTGGCAGAGATGGTGTAAAGAGCGTGGGAACAACAGGAGGGCATGTCACGGACAACAAGCCTTTGGAAGAGGCAGATACTGGACTGCGCCCAGCAACAACGGCGCATCGAGCAACGAAGGACAGAAGATGGCTCGGTCGATTCGTACACGAAGTACGGCCAGATCATCTCTCGTAGCGGAAGATCAGGGCAGAAGCGGCGGACAGCAGTAATGTCACCCTCTGCGAGACAACAAGCCACCGAGGGCGCCGGGCACAGTCTCAAGACGTCCTTCGTCGCACGTCTTATGTTTGGCGATATGTCTCTTCACGCTCGACATGGAGAGAGACTGCCGCCAGCGACGTGGATAGCTGATCTAGCCTTGTAGAGATCGAACCGTAACCCAATCCCTGAGGTCAGAAGGAAAGTCGCTGAGAGCGCCAGACTCTTTATTCCTCTCCGAAGCGATGTAGTTCACTCGATGCATCGACCTGCGAACCCTTGGGACTGATACTACGAACGACAGACTTCACCGTCGGCGGCAGGATGGCGAATAGGGAAAGAGCAGGGCTTCGGCAAAGCAGACCAGAGCATCGTGGAGGTCCGTCCGATGGCGTAGACCGAATCGAATGAGCAGGACAAAGCGAACTCGATCGAGGAGACGGGGCCGAGGGCATCTTGAAGCACAAAGAACATAGCCGGCCAACAGGCCCAACCCCTTTTTTACCGTCCTCCAGGGGTTCATATCATCGCAAAACCCAGACTATTTCTCCCGAAGAACGTAGCAGTCCGTAGCAAGAAACTCATAGACAGCCTCTTCATATCTCCTATTCTGTCCCGAAGATCTTTCCACGGGAAATACTCCACAGCTCGAACCATCATAAAAATTCCGTCGTCGTGAATGAGGCGAGCGTACTGCCGCCTCCAAAGCCGACATTTCTCGCAAGCTCGCTCCTCGCAACAGCAACACCTCCACAGCAGACCGACGACGACAACATCAACAATACCAACACCAGAACCATGAGCACGGCCGGTATTCTCACCGCCGGAGTTCTCTCGACCTTGCTGGTGCAGGTGATTGTGAACCACGGCCCTTCAACCGTGGCCGCCTTCGCCTTTGCGTGCGCCGTCTGCTGGGCACACTTCAGGGGCGTGCGATGGGCGCTCGCCATATTTGCGTTCCTCACGGCGCTGTTTATGGGGCAGGTGAGCGGTATGGTATCGAAGGTATGGTTGCATGGATTGATCATTGGAAACAGCTGCCGGTGTGGTTCGTGGTGCTTGTGGCGGTCGCGCTGCCTCTACTCGCGGCACGTTAACTGCCACCTTGGACACGCAGAGCCAATGCCTTTCGACAGCACCACTCGCTCTCTTCTGCTCGTGCCGCGCCGATCTGGGCGCGTTTCACCAAGGCTTCGAGCTGCAGGACGCCGGCCAGCAGCGGACAGAGCACGAAGTCGACCAGCCGGGCCTCCTCTCCTTCTTTCGGCGGCGACACGACTCGCTGAAGTGTCCCAGCGACAGCGAGACGTCTATCATCGCGACCAGCTTCAGACGTTCGAGGTTGTAGCTGCACGAACAAAGGACCGGAGTACTGCGCTCGGTTCGATATCTTGACACGAACACGGACAAAGGAGCCAACGGGCAAGGGCTGCTTTGTTCCACCATCACCATCTTCGACGACAAGAAGATTGACGTCGACAGGTGCAGCACGAATCAGATCCAGCGATTCTGGCGACATGGAAAGGCTTTGCATGTCAACGACGCCACTGCGTCCATCGACAGACCATCGCACTACCAGAGAGCTCAAGAAGCTCTTCTGCAACACTTCATCATCCACACCAAAGGCAGCGGCATCAGCGCCTCGCTTGGACATCAAGAATACCCGTCGAATCTCGCCAGGAGCGATAAAGCCCTGCCGATTCGAAAGCTCCAGCGAGGAGACGCCATTGTCGTCGCCATTTTCGCCACCGTGACCGCCAGAGCAGGAGTAAGAGATGGACTTTGGCCAGGCATTCCGGATGTCATAAGACACCACAAGAGCATCATCAACGATGGCCTCGGATTCTGTGACCTCAAGGTTGTGTATTTGCAAGGCAGCGTTGACTGTCATGTCGACCGGTACCGACAGCATGCGAGCATATCTGCCAGAAGTATGAGATCGAGCCGGAGTCGTCGTATTGTCCTCGTCCGCATCTGTGTCAACTGGCTGAGAGCAAAAAAAGAAGTTGGCTTGCGTTCTGGATATACCAGCTTTGCCGTGCAGCTCGAAGTCGAACTCGAGACACTCTCCCGGCGGGATCAAGTTTTTCTCAGCATCGTCTTGATCAATGACGGAGAGCCCTTTGCGAACGTTGGCATTCTGCTCTTCAGAAGAAATATCGAGCTTGGCAACTTCGCCCCCCTCAAGAGGTCGAAGTGCATCATCAACCGTCTTGATTTCAAAGACAGCCGCTGCGACAGGACTGGTATTGCGCAACAAAAGTCTGATGTGACGGTTCTCGCCCTCGAGCAGCATCAACCCAGACTCCAGGTCGGACACATTATCAAACACAAGCGTGGGCAAAGCGTCCAGCACTGTGCAATCTATAATCTCCGGGTCGACACCAAGGTTCTTCAAGTCGTGTTGTCCGTCGTCATCGGAACGCGGCGGCCGTGCTTGGAGGCCAAGTTCTTTGATCGTCATGGGAGTTTTGGCCGACCATGCCTCAGAAACAATTGGAAACACCTGAGGCACACAGCCTTGCATCTTGACACGACAGCCGGTGATCTTCGTCGGACCAGTCCGTTGAGGGGATATCATGAGTCGTATTTGTTGAAATCTGAGCGGACCGAGAGTGACAGGCTCATGATGAGAGGAGAGCGGCACGCCATCCGTAACGAGCTCCAGATTCTCAATGTCAACAGGAATGTCGAATGGATTTTGCAGAGTCACAAGGCACTCAGATGGCTCCTTATCGACGAGTACGTACGTCTTCTTGGTAGTTGCCGTCCCGGGACGGCTAGCATTTGGATCGTACAGGAGAGGATTCTTGGGATCGACAACACCATCTGCCTGGATCAATCTTTGGCGATCGATGACAGCCTTCTCGCCAATAGCTTGTTGGATTTCCACACCGCGCACCAGGAAAGGATCCCAGTACGTTGCTTGCACATCAGAAAGACCAAGGTGTCTTGATGCAGCAACAGTCTGACTGATAACGGTGGCCAAATGCATCTGCTCTTGTCTGTTGAATGCGTTGGTCGAAGACTTGAATGGAGCTGCATCGATGGCAGAGTAAGGCCCAGCAGTGCGAAGAACAGACGAAGTAAGCCATAGCACACCGAATGGCTCTGGAGACGCTTCACAGAAATTGATGAGATCGCCAAGAAGTTGAATGGTGAGGCCTTGGTTACCAAATCCTTGAGGGTTCAGGTAGATCGGCGTTTCTGATCGTCCAGGAGGTATCAGACTCGCGCCATATATGTTGACAACGTCAGCAACCAGGTCATTGATTCCACCACTTTCTTCTGATATGGCTCGAATGGTATCAGCGCCAGTGTCCAGCGAAATTGCTGCAGCAGGGTGGATGCCCATCTCAGCGGCTCCCAGTTTGCGGGCTTGGATCAGAGCTCCTGTGAGACGCACAACAAGATCTTTAATGGTGATGGCTTTCTTGCGCTCAAGGCCCAGCATTGCGTAAGAACAGACCACTCCAGAGAGGATCCGAATATGATCACTTATTGCCAAGTTATCATCTGGCGTGGGTAGAGCGAACGCCAGCATATCTGCTATGGCGATCTTCGACAGCAACTTGGCATTTCCCAGGGCTGCCGCGGGACCTGATGCTCGCAGAGGAGAGATGGTAGCATCGCTTGATGCGTACTGGCTGATGCAGATGAGTCGCAAGGCTGCTGGTGTGAGCTGGCCTTTAACCGAGCTCAGCGCTGCCAACAGCTTGGACATGCGTACGGTCGCTTCTGCATGACAGAGAAACGGAAGCTCTAGAGAACCCTCTGTAGAGCGATAGAGGCTCAGTATCAGCTTCGCCATGTCGGGAATGGCCACAGACAGACGAAAGATCTGCAGCTGTTGTTTTGTGCCTTCTGAAGCTGCTTTTGCTTCAGCGGTCAGGCGAGCTACGTTCGGGGAACTCGTTCGATCTGTGACTGGATCACATATAGAAGGCACTTGGAACTCGACCCCGGACCACGCGAGAAGCAGCATGCAAACGATCATATTCTCGAGACCTTTGGCATGCCACAAGTGATCGGAGAGCGATCGAGCTTTCGTGGTGTGTTCTACGAGCAGACGAAGAGCTTCTTTCCAATGGCCAGCCATCAAATATATGGAACCCACGACGATGCCTACTCGAGCTCTGCCTCTGATTCTGGCTTTCTCCTGCGAGGTGCTCGATCCAAAGCCTTGCACTGAGACACGATCTTGACTTGAGGCTCGCGCACTTTTGCCTTTGGGTTTCGCAGCAGCACTTTGATCGCTAGCACGGCTGTCTGGTCTTGAAATACCACTTGAAGTGCTGTTGGCACCCGGTATCTGATCGAAAGACGTCGCTGGCAAAGGCGGCACCCGTGAAGTTGGAGCGGGTGAGCCATCATCTGTCGGGCTGGAAACGCTTCCGCTTGGAGGTGGAGTGGCATGTCCTGTACTGGGTCTCTTCTCGTTTTCACGCAACGATGTGGTCCTTTGCAGACTCCGAGCTGTTTGACCAGGCGTCTGAATCGTAGGCGAGGCTTGCATTGCTTTTGCGTACGTTGTGAGCTCGACCAAGAACCGCGCCGAGACCTCGCACACTGCCTGTCTGAGAGATGGATCGTTGTCATGTTCAACATTGGCAACGTTGATTTCATTGCCTATCCTAGACGCCAGCTCATTCTCGTCCTCCTTCAGAACAATGAGTTGCCTGTGCACAACACGGGGATGCTTCTCTTTCAGATATGCCGCAGCATCTCCTAGCTCTTTTTGACTGGCCTCCTGCGTTGCATCTACTACGCCGAGCACTAGCAAAGGCTCGCGAAAAAGCTCAAAAGGCGAGAGTTGGTGCTGTTGGTCGGAGGGCGCCGCCGGGGAGAAGCGGTAAAGCAGGGAGCCTTGCGGGAAGGCTTTTGGCGAGAGGAAGAAGGCATCGTCGTCCGTTTTCTGTTGGATGTCGGCGAGTGGGATTACGCTGGCCTCTGTCTGTAATCTCTGGACGAAGCGCAGGAATTTGTCGCGCTCTATTCGACCAACTGGCAGCACCAGAGCGCGGACATGGCTGGGGGCTACCGGGGCGAAATGATCCATTGGCAGAACATGCTGGTGAAGGTCTGTCTTCAGTGCTCCTCGGAGATGGTTGTCGCGGGCTCCTGCTTCACTCTGAGCTTGTGCTGTCCTCACTCCGTCCCTCACAAGGCTCGTCGCTGGGATGTGGTGAGAAGGCAAAGTCTCAGGGCAGACCCACATGAGGTCCAGCAGCGGCCCCAGCAGGAACCGTGGAGCCCAGAGCGCAGCCGAGCGCGGCGGTCGATCCTGCCGCCCGGGCGCCTGCGTGTGCGTGCGTGCTCTGACGGCAGAGACTGCTCGTTCCTGCTTTTGCCTCCGACGATAGCGTTGCTGGTGCTGCTTATCCCGCCAGTATGCGGAGCAGCAACGACGGCTGAGACAGCAGGCTCTGTGCAAAACGAGGACGGGCAGAGCAGACGTGGGATGGATGACCATTTGTCCTCGTCAGGCGCGGCTTCGCCATGAAAACCCCATCATCCGCAGGCTCCTCGTCAAAAATCCGCCGCCCTCGATAATGCCCCCAGCGCCCGCGCACACCCCTCACATCGAACCCTTCCCGAAGGGCTGTCCATGGAGCACGATGGGCCAGGCACACCACCATGGCGGCCGTTGTCCAGCCTCAGCAGCAATGCGCCCTCGACGGCGCCGTCCAGCAGGTACGTTGTGCTGCTCTTCGTTAGAACTACCCCAGACTGCACGTCACCCATGCTGCCCTTGACGTGCGTGCGTGACTGTAGCTTTCGCATGAGCCTTGGTCTTGGGACCAGGCACCTTTTTATTAGAAAAGGGCGGCCGTGGATGATCGATGGCGTGCATTTGTTGAACTTGGAGGACGGGTGCACAAAATCGTTGCACGGCGAGGATGGGTGCGGTGTTGTCGGGTTGCGTCTCCTGATGGCCCTCCATGTCTGGCGCGGCTTTTGAGGTGGCAGTAAATTCGATAGTCTTTCAGGACACTCGTTGAAGAAATTCGATTGCTTCCACGCTTCCAAAGCCAACCACCGCTCTGACATCCATCACAGTGCAACTTTGTTCCCCAAACACGCTTCTGTCCACATCGTTGCCAACCCGTCCTCCATCATGGAGACTGTCTCCAGCAGAGACATCGCTCCCTACGAGCCCTTCATCTGCGAGCGCTTGACCAGAGAGATTACCCTCGCCGACCCGTCCAGGCTCCTCGCCGCGCAGAGTCCGCTGTCAACGTCAACGCAACCTGCTCTTTCCTCTCTCCTTCAGGAGGCAGCGACAACGATCCAGTTCCATGCCAAGTGGTTCACACCTACCGGATTGACCACCCTGCTGCAGACGGCACTCGGCATAGCCAGCCGCTCCTCCTCCACCGCCGACCTGTACGCGGCCCTGAACCTGATCGATACCATCGGAACCTACTCGGTGCTGCCAACACTTCCTCCGGCAGTCAGCTTCATCTCCTACTGCTATTATCAAGGCACCCGCTCCAACCGACACAGACGTCTCACCCAATATGCCTGGTCCGTTGCCCTCCACATATTAGAGTCTCACCTCGGCGGACAGTTCGGCGGTGCCCTGCTAGACACCATCACGGACGACGACCTCCTCCGCTCAAAGTTCAAGCTCGCAGCCTGTGTCGGTGCTCTCATGATAACGACGGACAAGCTGCTCTCCAAAGACGAGGACGAGGACGCGAACCAGCAGCCCAGCATGCATCAACCGACCATGCACCCAACGCAGCTCCTTCACGGCATGCGCAAAGCCGTCGCCGTCGAGACAAACCACATACTCTCTGAACAAGTCACTATCATGCTGGCAAGCATGCTGCAAAGCGACTCCATAACCGCTGAGATCGAGGTAGACGGTAGCTGGGACCAATGGATAGATCTACTTGAACGTTGCATTCAGGGGACAGGAGACAGAGCTGCACTTGATCGACTCTTCAACGGCCTCCAGAAAAGCGTGTCCAAGTTTGAAGCACGTCACCAACCGCGACTGGCAGAACTGTTCGTCGAGGCGAGGAGACCACTACCAGAAGAATTATCCTCCCAGCTTTTGGTACCATGGCAACGCGCACTTATCTTGCAAGAGGACACTGTATGGACGACAGGTTTTCGCAGCGTACTAGGAAAACTTTGCGACTCCACATTCTACCTCAAAGAGCTGGATGCCTTCATCGACACCAGTGTGTCTGCCTTCTTTCAGACGGAAAACTTCGTATCAAGACGAGACTTTGTCTTTACACTACGAACTCTCATTCTCGATCCAGGAACTGCACAGCCAGTCATCGACATCCTCGCCAAGGGGATTGTCAAGATATTCATGTACAAGACGCAAAAGGAGAAGTGGGAAGCACAGAGAAACTGGCTCTTTCCGATACTCTGCGAGATAGCGGAGTACAACTTGGAGGCGACACAGCTGCTTCTGAGAATCCGCGCAGACGAGGCCGGCGAAGGATACCTTGAGCCGATCGCGACACAAGACTCACACCTTACAAAGCCCATACGAGAGAGTAACTCGAGCAACTCGTCCAGCCTTTACGGTCTGACGTCCCTGTCTTTCGATTCCTGGGTAGACGTTATTCGGGATACGATCATCGGCAAATGCATGCGCTGGGACGTCTACAACGCACATCTCGTACTCCTGGCAGATCAAATACGAAATCATGCTCTCTGGCGCGAGAGATACTCGCACATCTCCATCCTCTGCCACTACCTTTGCGATACTCTGAAGCAAGAAGACTTTATCGAGCCACCAAAGGAGACCGGACTTGGCAAATCCTATGTGATTGAGAAACTTCTCCAAATTTTGACGGCGATGATCAGCTACCATAGCCAGCTCTCACGCCAGACCGTCAAGACCGCGATCGTCACCATCATCAACGTCGCAGGCTCGCGAGAACACACAGTCAGCATTCACTGTGTGCACGCACTTTCGATATGCTGCTTCGAATTGCCAGAGCTGATGGCCGGCTACATGGAAGTGATCATCAGCAAGATGACGCGAATGGTCACGCAGAGAAATCTTGCCCTTTACGTTTTGGAATTCCTCGCCAGTTTATCTCGATTCTCAAACCTGCAGAACCGGCTTCGCCGAGACGACTTCAAGCGAATCTTTGGCGTATGTCACAGCTATCTTTCGTCCATTCGCAGTAGTACTGCACTCGAACGAAAGCGTACACCAACCAGCGAGCAGAGTGCAGGTAGAAGCAGCAGCTCCAGTGAAGACATGGCACCATACGTCTACGCCCTGACACACCATGTCATAACGTTCTGGTACATGGCACTCAAGCGAGACGATCGGCATGGGTTGAAAGAGTACATCACCAGCTGTTTGAGATACACCGACATTGACGGAAAAGAGCACATTGAAGACCAAGGACTGGTCACGATTGATTTGATGGACCGTGTAGATGCAGAGGAGGGAATCACAGCACCTTCCGAAAAAGTTTTTGACGAAAGCGACGGCCGAATCATCACACGCCACCGCATGACGGGGCTACTTCTCATCACCACCGAAACCTCCCTCCGAACTGGCAAGACCATTGTCACCATCCGCCGACCTTCAGGCACGGCTCAACGCACCATCTCCACGCACCGCAGACATGACAGTGCTCTCGCTGCAGGCATTGAAGACCGCACAGCATCTGTCACGGTGGAGAGCGACCTGCAAGACTACATCACCGTCTTCCCAGATGACATTACCGGCCGCACATACGGCAAAGTGGCCATCCCTCGCCCATCGTCTGCTCTGGGCTCCATTGAAATCCTCAGCCTGCCAGAAGAAGACGCATCTGTAGCCCGCGCGATCCACTACTTCGACTTCACGCCAGCCCTCGACACCCACAAGGCGGGCATCATCTACGTCGGGGAGGAGCAGACGAGCGAAGACGAGATTTTGCTGAACCAGTCAGGCTCTCCAGACTACAGAGAGTTCCTCGAGGACATGGGCTCGGTACGGCGGCTCAAAGGAGCCACATTCAACACGCAAGGGCTGGACCGCGCAGACGACAACGACGGCGCCTACACGATCGTCTGGAACAACGAGGTGACGGAGCTGGTGTACCACGTCACCACGCTCATGCCCAGCGACGCCCACGACGACAAGCAGACCGTCATCAACAAGAAGCGCCACATCGGCAACGACTATGTGAACATAGTCTTCAACAACTCCGGTCGCCCCTTCCGCTTCGACACCTTCCCGTCGGCCTTCAACCGCGTCTACGTGGTCATCTCCCCCTCGGAGCGCACGTCCTTTGTGCAGGCGCGCGAGATCACCGCCGCCAAGGACAAGAAGGCGCGCTTCTACAATGTGCACGTGCTCACCCGGGCCGGCTACCCCAACCTCTCGTCGGCGGGTGAGGTGAAGGTGGTGTCGGGCGCCTGCCTGGGTGGGTACGTGCGCAACCTGGCGCTGAACGCGTGCGTCTTCTCGAAGATGTGGGAGGCGGGGGGTGAGGGGGAGTATCCCTCTTCTTGGCGGCAGAGGCTGCAGATGATCCGGCGGCTGTACGAGCAGCACCGCCCCAAGTGGGCGCATGAATGAGTGAATAGACACCACCAAAAGTTTTTTGTTTTTGATTGTTACTTCTCTCCACTTTCTCCGCTGTCTCTATTCTTTCAATACCTTGATCGATGGCGTGGACAGATACGATATTCTGGGAATAGTGGTTAAGAGAACCATCCTGACCTGTAGTTTACTCAACAAGATAGGGGCATTCACCTCCTACGCTCAGCAGCCTCTCCAGGTCCACAGAAGTCACTCAAGTGAGGCTTCTCCTCGCGTTCACTTCTCCCAGATATCTCCATCATCTCAACTCTCTCGGTAGCCCTCTCAGCAGCATGGACAGACATATCATCCTGGGGATACTTGTCGAGAGAACTATCCCCACCTCTGAACAACACGATAATATGAGGGCTTTCACCGGCTACGCTCTGCAGCGCTTCGCAGCCGTATCAGGACAACAGCTTACATCCAAGTGAGAACACTCATCGGGGTCATTTCTCCCACCTATCCCCGTCCCCTCAAATCCCCCAATAACCCCTTCGACAGCACAGCCATCCATCTCATCCCGGGGATACACCCCAAGAAAAACCCTCCTCACCTCCAAACATCACACCAAAATGCCGGCTTCCACATCCAGCGCTTCCTATCCGCCCTGACGTACCAGAAACTCACTCAAGTGAAGTGCTTGCTCATAGAATTTGTTTCGTGAATACATATCCCAATCCCTATCCCGTACATATCCCTACACATCCCATTCCAGGCTCCCCTCAACGGCGGGCAGCTTTCAAGGCTTAAACTCCCCATCCTCCTCCTGATCATCCGGTCCCCCATCAGCGACCGTATCAGCAGTGCTTAGACCGCCTTCTTTACTATACATCAGAACAGAATACGTTAGCACAGACACCACTTATAGTCACCACTCTACTCAACCCAACCCGATCGGTCGGTCGAGTATGCAAAAGAGAAGAAAAAGTCAGGACATACTCAGTCCCCCCAACCCCCGAATTCTTATTCCCCACATGACCCTCTTTCTTATTCTCCTTCATGCCATAGTTGGGGATGTCGTTTTTGAGCTGGGCGGCGGATTCGGTCGTCTCCTCACTTTTCGAAGAAAAAGGTCATTAGCATGAGGTTGGGTTCGAAGGGGACGAGCTGGTGGGAGTGAGGTGGTTAAGGGGGAGTGACGAACTGATCTTTCTTGGGAGGCATGATTGCTGTTTCGTTGTATCTTCTTTCAAACTTGGTTAAATCAAGTGGATCTACTCACAACTCGTCGATAATGGGTAACACAAACACCTACATATATATACCTACAAACTACGCAGCCACACACCTCTCACTCTCCTCTCCCTTCCCAATGACGGCATAGCCACAACCCCTCGATCTGCCAGATCCAGATCCAGCCACGAGCATCACCCATCACATGCCCACATGCACCTACCTCCCAAGCCAACAGGCGTCGTCTCCCCAGGAGTGTGTGGGTTGTAAGAAGTACGCCAATCGTCGATGCCCTGCCGTAAACCGGTTTACCACAGCGCGCCAATGACGCATTGCCTCGAATAGGTTTGAGCTTTCAAGTGCTGGTGGACCCTCTTCACATGATCCTTCGAAGACTACACCACCATCTTTGGAGTCGGGACAGTTTTGCTTTGCTTTTCGCCAAACGTATGAATTTCGTCATCTTAAAAACTTATAGATACCGGACCTGGCAGCTTTCGCTCTTTCTTGCTCAGCTTTCTTCGGTCCATGGCTTACGTACAAGTCCCTCTGCCCTGCCAAGTTGTCTCAACATTCGGGTCCTCGGTACATGTTGTTGGTCGGTTGTGTCTGAAGCATATCGTAAAGGTCATAAGAAAATGCCGAACAGCGTAGGAGGGTGGATAGTGATGATGTCTTCCTCCTCTTTTTTTCATTTCCTCTCATTTCGTCTTCGAGCCCCTTTCCGCCTCTTCGTCCCCCTCCTTCAAAACACGCAAGGAAATACAAGTAGATTAGGCTTAAATCCACCAGCCCATATGAGATATTGCGACCAGAAAGGACTCCAAACCCTGACCCTGACAAAAGAGACTTTTGCGCCACGCGAAAACGCTTCATCACACGCCAACAGCGCCGTACATTCAATCAGTCGTTCACCGTCCTGTTACCGCCCATGAATTTTCGTGTGCTGAAACTTATGTCACAAGAAGCTGGATTGCATGACTTTGCCTCCGCATCATGCGTTGTGCCCTGGAAGAGCACGCTGGATTTCTCTGCCATCGGCACGTCGGTATTGCATGCCCATGCTGCTGGGGTCTAGCTCGCCGCCAGTGTTGTCATCGTCGTCAGCAGCAGATAGGGATGGGATTGATGTGATGCTCTCTGCATGGCCGTATGTGTTTGGTCGTGCGCCTTGTCTCAGTGGGCCGTTCTGGTGTCTATCACTAAACACGTTGCCATAGCTACGCTTGTGCGTATCGTAAGGTGTTTGCGCGTTGCCATAGTAGGAGTTCTGTGGACCCGTCGAACTTGGTGAAGAGGCTTCGATCTTGTCGCCGATTCCCAGGGTGGTGTTGAGTGGCGGAAGATCCCAGCGTGTACCGGACTGAGATGGAGTGGAGCCGGTAGTTTGTGCTGGGGGATGGACAGGTTCCGGGGGCGCAGGGCGGTTGGCGTACGGTTGCATGGATGAGTACGAGTGCTGTGAGTGTTGCGATGGTGGCTGCGACGGTGGTTGCGGGTAAGTGGGTGGTTGGTACGTGTGGGGAGCGTGCTGAGCGTAGCCAACTTGAGGAGCAGCAACGGGAGGAGGCGTGTCCTGAGTGGAATGCCGACGGTAATCCGTGTTCGAGTAGTCGATGCTTTGACGCGGTGCCTGCGAAACCGGCTCATAGCTGCCGTTGGGTGCGCTGTACCGATGGTTCGCAGCAGGAGCAGGAGCTGGTTGATAGTTGCTGTAGTAGTTCTGCTGTGCCGGCGGTTGCACTGGTGGTGGAGCCGCGTAGCTCTGGTGTTGATACTGCGGCGGTGGCGGTTGCATGGGTGCCTGAGGTTGAGTGTATTGGTTCTGCTGGTATTGCTGGCCTGGCGAAGGTCCGTACGAGGTCTGGGCATATCCATTCTGCGGCGTGTGCGGTGCGGTTCCGTAGTGCGAGGATGGTGGGTTGAAAGCCTGGCCCATCTCTTGCAGCGAAGGACGGCGTGAAATCGAGGTCCCGGCAGAGTGGTGGCTGGCATTGCTGGCTGACCGTGGACGAGGGACTGGCTCCATAAATCCATGTGATGTCTGCATGACGGGGTACACGTTAGGATCCGGAGTGTTGGACGCTCTGGCGCGAGCTGCAGCAGTTTCTTCTTCATAGTCATCCCAGTCTTTGCCATCGGACTTGTGGTCACGTCTCCTCATGCGCACATCACGTCGGATACGAACACGACAACCCTGCTCGGCAACCATACGGCTCAACGAGGTGCTCTCACTCAAGCCTGGGAACTTCTTCGCACTGTAGACATGGAATGGCTCCGATTTCACTTCCAAACGGTGGGTCACGTGGGAGCTGTCATCTGCGGCATTGGGCTGGCCGACATCCTCAGTCTTGTCGTGGTCCTTGGGCTGTTTCAGCTCCTCGAACAGGCTGAAGCTGAGGCGATATCGACCTTCATGTCTCACAGAAAGATCCGGGAAAATGAAGTAGCCAGCAGGTGAAGGGCGATCCAAATACACCATGCCGGCCACAGGAGTGCCGGTCAGAACTGGAGGAGTTTGCCTTTCCTGGGGAACACGACCGTGGGCCATTGAGCGGGCTGATTCCAGCGTTGCGAAGAGAAAGTAATTGCCGTGCATGGTAAACGTAATGTCCTCCTCGGCTTTCTCACCTTGGAAGATCTTGAGTTCGACGATTGGAGGCGGATCCACTGGGCGGCGGTCTGCCGATGCTGTGGGAAACGCATGAGCCATGGCCATGATTTCTTCAATTCAGGGAATCACTTACATTTCGCACCTTGGCCACAAGCGCGTGCACGTTGCGGCTGCTGCAGCACGGTCATGGTGTAGGTGATGATGCGGCCATCGACGGTGCTCCGAGAATGTCCGTAGAGCGGTGCTCCAGGCGGGCCATGCGGTCCATGATGGAAGGCGGGGATGGGAGAGTCAATGGGTGGTACCGTGGCGGTGGTGAGGGTGCTCGCGCTGGGCGAGGTTAGCTAGCTAACAGGCGGGCAGCAACAAGGTCGCGGCAGTGTTGGTGCTAAGAAGGCAAGAGATTGGGTTGGGAATCGAAGGTGAATCCGTTCCGGCGTGTTGGAGGTGAGCCGTAGATCTGGGAACGTGGATTGCGACCCCGGAAGCGCGGCGATGCAAGGGGAGGCTCAGCAGCGACGAGCAGCGGATTGTCGCAGGCGCGAGTGGCAGCAGCAGAGGCGCTCGGAGACTGTCTGCGTGCGTGTGCAGGCGGTAGTGGCGGCGGTGACACCGGGCAGAGAATGGAGGAGTAGCTGCAGCAGAGGGCGATGCGGTCGACTCGGGTCAGTCAGGTCAGGTCAGGCCAGGTCTGGTCTGGTCGTCGGAATGCAGCTGTCTGTGGTCGGCCCAGGCGGACGGAAGAGCGAGATCTGCTCGGGCAATTCGCTGCGGCGGTTCGTATGTGCTGCTTTGTCCAACAGCAATAGCGACGCGAGTGCCGCCCAGTGTGTTGTTGTCGACGACGCGGTGGGAGGTGGAAGCGACGAAGGAAGCCTGGTGGAGGAGGAGAAGAGATGCAGCACCAGCCAGCACCAGCGCCAGCACGGGCGGACTCCCACCAAAGCCAAAGAGCGACGACGGGACGCTTGGGCGTGAGTTCGCACTAGGCTCGGCCAGGATCTAGCGCCCTCTCGGCAGGCTATCCTTGCTCATCAATGCCCCACACCTGGCTCCTCCCGCCTCGCCTGCGCGATCCATTCGGGCGTTGGCGCTGCCGCTCACTGCACCTCCGCCGGGCAGCGTCCACACGCAGGCACGCACGCAGCAAATCTGATGGACGGCGCCGCGCAAACTCTGCCCCCACGAGAGCTGCCGTCAAGCTTCAGCGTAACGCGTGCCAGTCTCGCGCAATTCGCTGTGCCAGCGACGCCTCGAGCCGACATCCGTGGACCACCCATCCGCCAAGGCCAGCCCTCAATTCCAGCTGACCTCACTTGGGACGCGATCCTGACACTCTATCGCCCTCCACCGCGGCGGCAGCGAGTATTGCGTCGTGGAATTCGCCCTTGAAACGCCTGCTATGCTGCGAGGGCGGATGGCAGGTCGGGCATCCCATGACCTGAACCGCACCACGAGCCCGGGACGATGGCCCACCACCACGCTGCCGTCCATTAAATTCAAGCGCGGCCTGGCCCGCCCAATCTCCAACGCCTCTCCTGCATCTGAGACATTCGCGTGCGCTCGCATCTCTACCGTCGACACACCTCCTGCCCCCACGCCTTCTTCCCCTCACAGCACGTCGTGCTGCGCTGCGGCTACGTCGGACATCTCTCGCTTGCTCCGGCGACGGCAACCTGATGCCAATGGACGCCCCTGCCAATGCTGCCCGCAGACAGCGCCGCCGACCCCAGGCGGGCATCCATACCGTCGTTTCGCGGATCCAGCCGGTCGGACGCACCACCAGCCCAGCTTGAACCAATATTTGCTATCAAGGCAACACCTCCGATCGACCATTCAACCATTCGGCGATTTAAACACCAACTAGGCAAGGCGCGACCCATTTCCAACACTACCTCATCACACTCCGCTCCACCTCCCACCACACCCACCCATTGTTTGTGCTGGCACCCATGCGCCCTCTTGCACAAGTATGCAACCGCCAGCGACCCCGAATGCACCTCCGCCCCTGTCCTTGCCAGGCCCCTGCCATGTTACACGATTCACTCTCGCCATCCCTGACTTGCACTCTCGAGTAATGCGGCATTCGCTTCGGTCAACAATCAATCAACTCACCCGCGAGCGTCTTTGACTAAGACCTGCCTGCCTGTCGCTCCCAACGGCGGTGCCTACGGATTCATATAGAAAACGTGACCTATCTCCTCACTCTGACATCCATGTGGCAAACACCCTTCCATGGTACGCGTCTGCGCCTCCGACGCGTGCGACTCGAACGGCGACAGCCAACGAAACGCCTCACGGCACCATCCGCCCACGGATTGCTGTGTTTGCAAGCCTTGGACCTGGAGCTGTCAAAAACCGCTTCGCTGCATTACTGCGATCCACCACGCAGCAGGCCTGCCTGTCCACCATTCCCGCCATGTCACCACTCGGCGCGACTGAGAGCCTGTCCTCTCGCCACCCCGTTTCATCATCACTACACACCTGCGCGGTGAGCGAGTGTGGATGCAGGACGAACGACTGCCCATGATGATGAAGTCCGGGAAACATGCTGCAAGCCCGTCGTATCCCGTCCTCCTGGTCACCCGACAGCGGCTGCGCTAGAAACTGCTCAAACAGCAGAAAAGGGTCACCTGCAGTTCCACCCTTTCTGTCATTCGAACAGCGGGTGACGATGAATGTTGAAAGTCACAACTCCACATCTACGAAAGGGCTATAATCTACCTTTTATTAGTATGGTCCTCCTCCTGCTGCCTTATTACAACACAGTAAACTTCGATATCCCACCCAGTGATCGAACGATCGCTTATTGCTCCTTCGTCTTCGTTACACCGCAGCGGGAAGCGCTGACGCCACCGTACTACGCACAAAACGCAGCAACGGTGCATCGGCAGGAAAAGCGAGCCCTCGAACAAAGAAAACGACCTTCTTACCGCCGCCGCAAGTAGGTGTCGTCTCCAGCGCAAAAGATGCCATCCTAGCCAACGAAAACTCCTTTCACATCCAGCCATTCTAACCAGCAAGGTGTGTCGAGTGAATGACTGTGGCTTGTCGCAGAACTGACCGACTCTACATATCCAAACGGCATGGTCCTCGTATTCTTGCATGCCTTTGTCAGAAAGAAGCACATGCAGGCGGACCTTTTCGATCTGATGAAAGAAAGCCGGACATATCCATACGAAGAGGCATGCATGCATCTCATCATCTTTCGATGGCAAAACACAATTCTCACAAAAGAGAACACACTTCCCCCTCATCACAAAAGGGCTATGTGCTGGCACGACTCATTTCTCGAGGAAATACCTTCCCCATGACAGTTTCCCATGAGACGGACCTTGCGCTTGTCATACGTACGGTTGATGAAGTTCTCATCAAGCAAGCCCCGAATGCACCTCCTTCTGAAAACGGGAGCGTGCTTTACGTCTTGGAAGCACATTGGGCATCAAAGGTTGGACAAAACGAAGACGTAGGTGCACAGAAAGTCACTTTCTTCTCTTTCTCTTGTTCTTTCTGCCGTTACATCTCTTCCTCCCTCTGATTTCGACTGGGAGTCGTATCTTCTATGAGCTGATCATGACAATCATGTCGACTTTCTACTTCTATAATTGGGAGAGAATACATGGAACGATCACAACACGAACGGTCGCCCCAAGTAAATACCACACAGAATCCTCACCTATGCACATCACACCCAACTCACAAAGTCCCAAATGCATACCGGCAAGCATTGAATGCCCAGCATACCTCACTCTCGAGGTATCATTTGAACGAGCTCGATGGTCAATCATCACAACCCCTTTTTCAAACCCCCTTCCACTACGCACACCCTACACACCCTACAAGTTTCTTATCTCAGAGAAAAAGAAGAAAGTATCATCACATACTATCCGTGTCCATCAACAACAAGCTATATCCATATCCATCTCCATAATATCCACATCACAGTTTCATCTTCATCTTCTGCACACATAGACTAATTTGACCCTCCGACTCAGACAAGAAAGCAATACAAAGACCACCCGATATCCCCATCCCAGTCCCCGCCGACGGTGACGCTGACGCTGGATGCAGCCTCCCCCAAAAGTGACGCTCGCAAGATTATAACGATGTACCCAACCCAAACCCAGCCCCATCCCATTCACCAAGGCATCCATTCCATTCATATGGGTATAAACACAAACCACAACAACACCCAGTAGAAACACCTTGCGCAATATACCCGACTTTTTATTCGGTAGAAAACGCCAAAGGTGAAGAAAAATGTGAACAAGCCTCCCTTCCTCCCAATCATCCACAGTTTTTGATTATAAAGGATATAAGTATTCGTCATCGTCGTCGTGAATTTGGCTGGGGACATGTATATTGCTTCAACAGCTTGCCTTCCGCCCTTAGGGACGCGGTTTGCCGTTCAAGCAACCATCGACGCCGTTGGTGGTGCCGTAGATGATGTTTCGCTCGTCATGACCCGCGCCGAGAGAACCGGCAGAACGTGTTGCATAGCGACGGAGGCGAGGATGGCGAATACCGGCATCTGCATGTCATCGTCAGCTGGTGAGGTCACCCTGGTTGTTGGTAAACGCGCGCACGAGACTCACCCAAAGCCACGACGGCATGACCGCCCCGTCGGTCTTGTTCGGGGCGTGATTAGCTGAATAGTAGCTCGCCTCTTCTCCATCGAACATTGCCGCGCACTTCTCATCCGCAATAGCGTCCACCACCGCGGACTTCATACCATCATCCTGGCTTTCTTGCGTCGGCTTCCGATCCGGGAAAATATCGTAGTATGCCGGCGGCGCGCTGCTCTCTGTCGGTGCCGAAGCTGGACTTTCACTCGAGGCTGAGAAGAAGTCCCAGAAGTGATGACGAGTCAGCGGGAGCTGCTGATGCTGTGAAGCAAGAGGTGGTTGGTGTGGGCGTTCCGTGGCAGAAGGTGCCGACTTGCCGGGAACCAAAGAGCTGAGCCTTCTACAGTCGGTCAAGTTCGGGAGAGGAGGGAGCTGGAAGTGTGGCATGTTCCAGTGCAGCGTCTCTTGGAAGTGGTGGATCTGCGCCGCGAGTGCGTCTCGCCATGCGGCCATTGCGGCGTACGGGAAGAGTGGTGCTGTATCGTCGATTGATGGAGGTATGTCCTCCTCGATGAAGGACCTGGTACTTGGGCGTCGCGAGGTCGGCTGAGATGGATCTTGTTCGCTGCCTTCCACCTCAGACTCGTAGAACGAGGCGCTGGCGATGTCCCAAGACGCTCTCGATGATGCGGTTGAGCCATAGCTCAAGCGTGTCTGCAATGAAGGCCGTGAGTGTCGACGTCGTTGAGTGCTCTCAAGTACGCATATCAATTCATTCCGAACCTCGGACGGAGCCAGGTCGATTGCAGTGTAACCCTTCAAGTTCCTGACACTCGCATCAGCACCTCTCGTGAGAAGCAGCTGAAAGATTTCGACTTGACCATGCAGCGCTGCATGCATAAGGGGAGTAAAGCCAGCGTGATCTCTCTCCTCGACACTAGCACCACAACCAAGCAGTGCTGACACCACTCGATGCATTCCAGACGAGCAGGCAAGAGACAACATGTTGGCGGCAAATCCAGGCTGACAAGACTCCCCATTAGCCTCCATCATCTCGAGCTCCTTCAGAATCGTCTCCTCGTTATCCATATTGCTCGCCATTCGATGCGAAGCAGGATACCCTTGATGAAGTCCAGCGGGGTTCATTCTAGACTGCACAAAGCTGGCAGCGCTCTTCTGAGCAAGAGTCTGCCAGTGATCAACACTACCCAGATGTTGTTCACTCAAGAACTTCAGCGCTGCCATCATCATCTCTTCTTGGTCTGACGTGGTCGTGTATCGGTAAATCGTAGGACTAGCCGGCTTCGGCCATCGAGTCTGCCCAGGAGGTGGTACCAACGTAAGGCTTACCGGCCCTGGCCGACCAGAAGGGGCAATGGCAATGAGTGCGTTCGGATTGACAAATGTAGTGTTGGCAAGATTGGGATAGTCGCCAAACTGGACTGACATGCCCATGACGAAGTTCTCCCCGAAGATGGCAACCTCAGTACCACCCGAAGCAGGTCCCTCCCTGGGTGTAATCCTCGTGATACACGGATACGGGCCGTGTGATTCGTGACCGCCAGATCCAGGCATGGTATGACCTCCATACATCTGTTGCTGTGGTCTACCAGATATCGAGTTCGTTGGGGTCTGTATGGGCTGCTGAGGCTGTTGTTGACGAGCATATGCCGCCATGTTAGCTCTGCTTTGCTGCTGCACAGGTGACGCAGCCCGGCTAGGTACTGCAGACGACGGATGGGAGAAGTACGCCTGGTTCGTGCGCATCTGTGAGAGGTCCACCGGTTGACTGAAGTTGAAGGGTCCGTTCTCGTTTGCCGGCGTTGATGGTCCGCTGTTGTAGTAATGTGCAGGGCCGTTGTTACTAGGGATAGTCATGTACGACTGATTGACCTGATTGGGGAACGTGGCGGTTGATGGCGAGAACTGTGAGCTCATCGACACGGCGGAAGGCATGTTGGATGAGGGCGGTTGGCTCGTGTCTACCCGTGGAGTCATGGCCAACGTACTCGGCACCTTTCTATGGGAGAACTGGGCAGACTTTCGTTTCTTGTTCGGACCTGCTTGTCCAGCATTGGTAGGCGATCCAGGCCTGGAAAGGCTCGTCGGAGTCATCGTAGCCGATGTAGTTTGAGACGCATATCCAGACCCAGGCAGTTGATGGACGTGGCTGTGAGGATTGAATGCTGCTCCTCCATACGCCAGAGCTTGAAGATTTCCTGCCGAACGAGACGAAGGGAACGGTTGAGCGTGCTGCGCCATATCCACCATCGACTGTGACATGGGCAACCCATTCGACGAGAGGAATCCAGGGGCTGTCTGGTAGAAGCTCTCGCTGGGGACAGCGGTGGAAAAGCTTTGCGGATGCGTCTTGTGGTCGTCGGTAATGAGAATCGAATCGGATATTTGCTGAGCGATCACAACTCCTTGTTGGTCTTTGAGTGTGAAGATGACCTGAAATCCCTCCTTCTCGCTTTGATGCCGGCAGTAGCATGCAATTCGCATGGCAGCAGACACTTGGAGACTGCCGTCAGGAGGCACATATTGCTCGCCTTCAACCGGAATGGCGCCCTCACGAGGAGGATATTGCATCTCAGGCGGCTTGAAAGGCAGATACTCGTTAGAGTTGAAGACCACCACACGCTCCGTCTCAAATCTTTCCCAGTGCTGCTGCTCTTCCTCCCTCTTCGTCTTCTTTCTCCCAGCTCGCTTTCTTTCTCGCTGTATGCAATTCGTGCAAATTCTGACCTCGCCTCCATTCGCAGGTCTGTCAGCCTCCTCAACATTCTTGGGATCGTTCTTCTCATCATCCCCAGTCGATCGAGCCAGCTCTGCTCGATGCTGAATCTCCTCATTATTCGCCGCAGCCGCTTTCTGCAGCGCCTTCTCCTTGAGCTGTGAGTTGTGCATCGCAGACGTACACACAAGCATCGTATGGAGCTCCAGAACCTTGGACTTTTCGAATTCATCTTTCGCCAGTAGCTTTGACTTTGCAATCGTATGAAGAGGTAGATGAAGATGCTCTATTCCAGGAGGCGGTTTCTCAAGTGTCATGATGACATTGATCTGAGTCTCAACGCGGGACTTGGTTGAGATGGGGGCAATGTGAAGAGGCGATTTACCAAGAGGTGGTGCGGTGCCTCTGTTCGAAACCCCAGGAGTTCCTCCATTCGCGCCAGGAGATGGGGTGAAGGTCATGGCTCCGGGCGAAGTAAGCTGATTCGCGAAATCACCAGGCCACGCAGGGTTCTGATTCATCAGTTGGGCATTCCACGCTTGGTTGTTAAACGTGTCTGGACTATCTGACGATGGCGTCGAGAAGATGGCGTTCGGTGAGGCCTGGTTGAACATCATATTCGTGGTAGCTGGCGACTGGTCGCGTGATGTATTCATCGAGAACATGCCCGGATCAATAGTCTGGACCGGAGAAGCCTTCGCAAAGTGAGCAGCACCCGCCGCCGCGGGCATGTTCATGCGTGTATCCAGCGACATGGCGTTGTTGAATTCCCCGGTCTGGATAGGACTCGAAGCTGCGCTCGCGAAGTCGAACTGAGACATGGTGCTGTCCCCGTGGCTCAAGCTCTGCTCCAGCGACAGTTTGTGCATGGGTTGTGAGAAATGATCATAACTCTTCACCTGATGTGCGTCTGACATGTGCATCTTGGTATCCTCTTGCTTGACCTTGCCGTTCCTCCTGCCCACTTCCGTGACCGGATCTGACACTGGGGATTCGGACTCATTCGTCTTTCTCTTTCTTCTGCTCGACGTATCTGAGGACGAATCTTGACTCGAACTCTCCGCAGACGCAGAGACTTGAGCGCCTGCGCCAGCGGAGACTTCGGGGCCGGACTTGGAGGGGGTTCGCATGGCGTAGGTCATGGGGGATTCGCCGTACGCGTCCACGTTGGTAAAGGCATCAAACGCGGTGTTCTCGAAGGTCGGGTCGTGCATCGAGTCCTCGAACTGAGACGTCTCGTTGAACATGTCGTTCCAGCTCGGGGCTCCGGTCCCCATGGGGGTGCCCCTCGAGTCCATCGTGGGCCCGCGCGGCTCAGCTTAGGCGTCGGCGAGGGTCCGGGGGATTCTGTCGCGATTCGCAGTCGACGACGCGGTGGCAGACGGGGAGGGCGGTGCGCGATCGGGGAGTCTCACGGCCTTGCAGTGCAGTTGGCAAGACGGGAGACTCCGCAAGCCACCCAGCAGTGCCTTTTCAAGATCCTTCTAACGGCTGCATAGGGTATATAAGACGGAAATTCCTGCGCGGACGGTGGGCGACGGTAATCGGTGGGTGACTGTGGTAGTGGGCTGGATGACCTCGTGGCGAGCGGTCGATACCTAAGGTAGACGACGACCTAGCACACGGCTACAACCTTCTTGGATGAGCGGGGCGGTACAATGTACCTGGGTCTTGGCGCTGGAAATGTATGTATGGATCCGTCCTGAAGTCCTTGGGAATCTGAAGTAGGAATAACAGTATGGCCCAGCTACGGCGTGCGAGTGTCGTCCAGCGAGGTCGGCTAGCGATCCCATGGATTGCGACTTGGACGTTCCTCTTCCTTCCCCACAAAGCCAGAGGTGGTCCCTGGTCTGCCTACTGTGCTAGGTCGAAGCTCGCCAACAAGAGATGGCTACATCAATCTACCACTACTTCTCCCAAACCACCAAGTCAAGCATCCCCAAAATCCTCAATCACCACCCAAGCCTGACCAAAGCCTGACCACCCACCACCAGCACCCCCAAAACCCAAAACCCATCCACCACCACGACGCATCCTCATCTAACCCTCCCCTCCAAAAATGCAAGTCATCCGCCCGCCGCAAAACCCCAGTCAATCAGTCGCCATTCATGCACGCACCCAACCGCCACTCCCGCCACCTGAAACGAACAAGGGAGAGTAAAAAAACTGGCTCCCTCGCCTACGCAACCTCTCGCAGCCAAACGCTCCTGATTATGTGCATGCCTATGCCCATCGCCTCCAGGCTGTGAGGCCTAGATTGAGACGGAAGCGCCCTTTCGTAAAGGCATCGGCCCGGCCAGAGCTGGCAGGCACAGGGGTCTTTCTTGTTCGGTGGGTGGGTGGAGCCTTGGGACATCACGTCAAGGTGTACACACATCGTTAGCAATTCTTCTCACTATTCAGTCTTGACTACTGTACAAAGAACATAGTCCTGGTTTCCGAGTTCGAGATCTGTCTCCCTCCTTATCTCCCACTAAACGACGCATCTCGCCTCGTAGGTGTTTAGAGGAAGCAGATATCGACATTTCCCCCTCAATGTTATCTTTGGAACTTTCAGTGGAGTCTGGCACTCTGATCATCCTAGAGCTCTCACTCACAGGATCCACCGACGAAGCACCGCGCAACGGCACGACGGGTATTGCTCTGGGGTGCTGGTGCTTGGCTTGCAGCTCTCGACTTCAGCTCGCCATCCTTTTACACCAAGAACCGCCGTACGTACACCGGACCTGAGATGCATTGAGACGAGATGAAGACAGGGATTGAGAGGGACCAGGATTGACATTATGCACAACATGCTCACTACTCGCTTGTCCCTCCTTCTTCCTTGGAGGACGGAGACAACCCCGTGATATTAGACAGCATCTCAAGAAAGTACTCCTGTCCTCAAAACGCCTGGTCGCTTGCCTCCTTGGAGTCGCAAAATAGAAACAAGACAATGTTCCCCAAAACTCAATCGGCCGTAATAGCATGAATCGCATCAACAGTCTTCTCTCGTGATCTCCGTCCGTCGCGTCGTTGCAGTATACGGATCCTGTAAAGTCAGTATGTACTGAGTGCCGGTGACCATCTAGAGACCGCACAGCAGCTCAAAAGACGTCGTCTGGCCACTCGTAGTTGTCGTCCTTGGAGCTTCTCTTCTCCTTGCTGACGACCTCAACTTCAACTTCGGGAAGGCTCTCGAAGCTGCCGTTGGCACCCTTGGGTAAGTTGGGAACGTCGCCTTTGCCTGGAACCACCTTGACCACGTCGTTTGTGATCTCGACCTTGCTGTATCCATTCACCGGTGGTGGGCTGCGCGAACGACTCGTGCGCTTCAGCTGAGCGGCATTAGCTGCACGCATCATCATCTTCTCTTCGGTCGCAGCCTTGACAGGGCCATTGCGCTTGTGTGGAGAGTTGGAACGCGAGCGGGTAGCAGTGTGCATGTAGCGTGCTGGCGTCGCCTTGGCCGTTGGCTTGGATGGTACGTCCTTGACGGGAATCGTGGTGGTGGTGGTCGTCATCTCCTCTTCTTCCTCGTAGACCGGCTCGAGTTGGTCTTCAGACGTAATGCTACTACGCACTGAAGGAATCTGGGCCAGCTCATCTTCACTGCCCTCAGCACCAGCCATTACAACATCGTTGTTCTGGTCGTAGGACGTGGCAGTCGGCAAGTCGTTACGCTCAGTCTCGTCTGGCGAGAATCTCGTCTGAGTCTTCTTCACAGCAGCTTTTCCACGTGGTGACTTCTGCTTGCCGCGCTTGTTTTGGGGGCTGGTGTCGGTCTTCCCAGTCGACTTGCGCTTCTTCTTCGCGGCCGTTCCCTGCTCGTCGATGTCGTCGTCATCCTCAGACCCCGCGCTTGGTCTGTAAGTCCGGTCGTTGAATGACTTTGAAGACCGCTTCTTAGACTTGCTCTTCTTCGTGATTTTGATGTTGTCGTTGAGAGCCTTCAGTTTCTTGTCCAAGTCAGGGTTGGCGACATGCTGCGTTGGCTCCGTGGTGGTCTCAGCAGAACCACCAGCCGTAGTCATTGGATCAGCGCCGTTGGTGTGTTCCACTTCACTTGTCAGCTCAGTAAGTTCTGAAGTCATGTTCGGCTCGTCGTGTTGGTCGCCGGCATAAGGATCAGACGTCGCCTTGCTCGACGCCTCGTATACGCCACGTGCTGGATGTGACTTCTCACGTGGTGTGTCTTCCATGTCCTCGTCCTCGTCGTCAATATCGTCAAAGGCAGTGCTCAGGTCCAATGCTTTGCGAGGCATGCGCTGGGTGACACGCTCCTCCTCGTCGCCTCTGAAGCCTAGCTGCTCCGGGAACAGAACTCGCTCACTAGGCAAAGTGGGTAACGCTCCAGGCACGAACTTGGGCCTCCTGATAGTGCTGGATGGCGTGAAGCGCTGGTACTTGTTTCCCAACTGCGGCATCGGAGACGCCTGCACAAGAGCCTCCTCAAGCTCACCGCGAGCTTTCTGCAGCTTCACCTCCAGATCACTCACTCGCTTCGACAAGCGGTTTTGCTTCTTCAGATCGAACTTGGAGTGCGACTTTCTCAATGCAGATCCCTCGATGTCCGCCTTGGCCGGGGAGACAGACGAAGAAGAGTCTCTGTTCGTGGCGCCAACAAGATTGGTGACAGAGCCAATACGCTTCAAACCACCTCTGAGGCTTTGCAAAGATGGTCTTCGCAAATGCAGCCGAGATTTTGAGCTTCGGAGTTGCTTCACGTCACTGTCTGGCATCTCACTACCCTCCTGACTGGCAATGTCATCATAGCTTGTCCGAACAACTGAGCCGTTGGATACATTCCGCTGGTGCTCTCTGTAGGTCGAGCCGCCATTCAAAGTCACCGCAGAATCATGTGGAGTGGCGACACCGACGGGCTTCAGACCAAGCTGCCCGGTGCTCTTGAGTTGGGCGTATCTAGCTTCGGCCTCGGCCTTTCTTGCCTTGCGTTCTGCCTCTTCTTGAGCTTTCCTACTCAATTCCTCTTTCTGCTCTGCCCACAGCTTGTTCCACACAGATACTGGGTTGAAGGTTGCAGCCAAGGATCTGCCAAAGCGAAATATTCCACTGCCCTCCTCCTTCTTCTGCCTCGAGGCGGTGATTTCGGCAACACGCTGGTCTCGCGTTGCGTTCTCGTATTCGAGGGTGGCCGCGACCGAGTCGGCTGACATGGGCATGCCGTCGTGGTAGTCTTCCATCAATTGGTCGACTTGGATGAGGTTGCCGCTTTCGCTACGCTCGAATCGTGTGAAGACGCTCGGTGGTTTCTCGCTCGGCTTGTCGTTCAGGCTGCCTTCTTGAAACCTGGACTCGCGGGCTGGCGAGGTTTGCCTCTGCGGTAAGTTGCCGAGAGAGGCAGCATGGCGCAGGTTCAAGTTGGAGAGGTTGCGGATGCCCTTCTTGCGGCGGAGGTTGCGTTGTTGCATCGGCGTCTCGTCGGTGGAGACATCGCCATCACTCTGCACACCGCGAGCGGAACGTGATCTCTTAGGAGTGTGGCCGTCGGAGTCAGGCACTTCCAGGCGTCCATTGCGAAGTTCGTACAAGGTGTCGTCCTGCGCCTCTCGCTTCCTCTTGGAGCCGCTCTGGGCTGTCGGTGGACGACTGCCGTCCATGCTGGATTGGTATTGGTACCCTGGATCTTTGGGCGGTACCGGCGGACGTGGCGGGGACTCCTCCATGAGTGCCGGCAGAGGGGACCGAAGACGCTGAGAGTGTTGGATTAGCAGAGCTCGGCGGTGGATGTCGGTCATCTTATGATCCCCCTCTTCCTCCTCCTGTGCAGCGCAGCAGCTGCTATCATAACCTTGTCTAAACACATGTGCGTGTATGCAGAGCCATGTCTCACCTGGTGTCAATCTGCGCCTCGCGCCCAATCAGTCGGCGGTGGTGGAGATGCCGCTACCAACGGTCGTGCAGATTGCAGGTCCCGAACTCTAGCAGCAGTGGTTTGCCGAGACGCGGTCCTGCAGTGGTGAAAGAAAAGATATGTACAAGCAAAACATTAGCAAATGGAACAAGACACGGCCACAACAAGCACTCGAGCCGCTGTGCGGTGCCGCGAGTTGTGTGGGACGCGCTGAAGCAACTTTGTGCTGCTGAAGTCAAATTGGACATGCAGGTCCAAGATCGCGCCATCACGTGTCAGCCTCCAGCCAATCACCATCCAGAGGCGACTCGTGGCACTAGAACTGTCTCACCCCTACCAAACACCATGTATTCACCAGCAAGTTGTAACGATCTGCCAGTGATGACTACAACAATCAGTGAAGCTCTTTGCTATCGGAAACACAGTCATTGTCTGGTCCTTTGAATGGCACACAATGAAACAAAGGCAGGTCACTGTTTATATTCACGATCTCTTTGTGTTGTGTGCTGTGGAAGACAATGGTCTTGTAGCATTAAACATGCCGCCATCCTCGACGTATTCTGTCTGGCACCAGACTCACCTTTTCCCACGCTTGAAGTGCTCTCGAACGCAGGGCGTATACGACAGCTATTCAAGCCTCCAGGAAGCAGAACAACTCTCACAAGAAGACATCAAAGATGCATCTCAGAAGTGTCTACCGCAGCTCGCACTACGCAGCCAAGCCATCCCCGACGCTGGTCCGCCGAGATGGTAGTAAGAATCTGGGCGATGCGGTCGCTGGTATAGGTATCTTCTTGGCCGTCATCTTCGGCATTGCCTGCGGCATCATTTTGATCAGGCATATCGTGGGCAAAGTGAAGAACAAGAAGCACAGGGCACAAGGCCAAGGCAATCATCTTCAGAGCGGATCACTGCGGCGACATCGTCGAACAAGCACGTCCGCGTTCAACAAGCGCAGCAAGATGGACCATTCGAGTATCCATTCCGACTGGAGGGATACGTCGAACTTGACACCACCTCAATCAGCACACGCTGCCTCCATGGCCTTCTCCCAGTCTGGTCATCCTTGCATGCCACCCTACCCGACGTACAGCAATGATGGCTTTGAGCCAACTGCATGGGGTTCAAGAACTCCATCGCCATTCGTGATCGAGGACCTTCCAGCAGCCAGGCGCCATCCCCGATGCAGCTGGATCTAGCAATGGACGCGAAAGGATCAATTGTACCAACAACGAAGCTGTAGCGAAAGGAAGTGACTATTGGTCAGTGAATCATCGAATTCCCTACCTTTATTTCCAAGTCTCGTAGTGTGATTAATCTCAAAACAGGTGTCGCGACGTTCAAGTACTCGCTGCCGGTACGCTCGGAGCCCTCGCACAATGCATATGTGTAGTAATTTGAAGGAGCCGGGCATAAGCGTGCATCCTGTCGGCCGACATCTGATGTGTTTGGTAACTTGTATAGCCGCAATGCCGCCGTCTTCACATGGGTACGTAGACATGAGAGGTGCAGAGTCGAGCTCTTCTTCGTCGATGGAGGGGGGTGGCGGGGTCGTTTCAGTGGCTGTCTTTGCATCTTGCATGTCGCGGCTGGGGAAAGGCTGTGCACAACTGTGCCGTAATTCTATGCGAGCGTATTTGATAAGACTTTGCATTTCCGAACGTCCCGGGACCTGAGTATATGAGAAGGCGGAGTTGTCGTTGTTCGTGGCCTCGTGACGGAGAAGTGAAGTGCCTCTTCCGTGAAGAAAGCAGGGCTATCGGAAAGGGGAAGCCGAAGCGACCAGGAGGTACGTCCAACGAAGAAGAACCGGAGGTGCATGGCCATGAGATACGAATGACATCGCTCCCGTCTTCATTGGCCGCATGCCGCGAACTGCCTCTTTTTGCTGCACGATACACGCCCTTGGGCCGAGCTAAACACTCCAACCGTACCGCACCCATTCCGCGACCTCGAACAAACAACGACCGTCATCACCTCAGCCAACTTCCCCACCACTCGACGAAACCTCCCGGCGACCGCGAAACTGCCCGGCGGAGGCTGGCGACTCACCTGACGGGCTCAGGTGTCGATTCTTCACATTGATTCACGCGGCAGCAGGTCTCTTCTGCTCGCGTGGACGATTGGCCGGACCACATAAGACTGTACGCAGTCGAACACATTCACCATGCCGACGACACAGCGACCATTCCTGGGCAACTTCCTCGCGGCGTTCAGAGCACACTCACAACCGCTGCCCAAATCCTCCCCGTCGATATCCTCCTCAGCAGCGGGTGCGGGAAATGCATCGCTATGGACATCGGCCTCGCAACAGCCCTCGAAACCATCTTCAGCCGGATCTGAAACGAGCGTCACAAGTCCGAAGCCCATAAACCCCAAGAACAACCCATACGCGCAAAGTAATACAGCTTCGCAAGAGCGACAGCTCGTAACACCCCTATCACCACTTCAGCACAACGTCAGCCCACAGACGCATCTACCTCGGTCACCGCCGTCACCTGGGATTCCAGTATATGGGCCACCGAACAAGAACCAGCCAATCTACCCCACCCCACAGGATGTACGGCGGTCTCGAAGAGGCAGTGACAGCAGCTCAGAAGGCTTCCGCGATGTGCGAACGGGCGGCGAGAAATGGTTCATCGGTGGCCTGACCGCGGGCGGAGAAGAGAGGTACTACAAGCTGAGCATGGTCAAGAGAGACAAGAGCTCGGATCGAATATCCACGGATCAAATGAGCCTATGAAATTTATGATTTGCTTCGATTACTTGCATGGCGTTGTGGGCGAAGTGCATGAATTCCCGGAATGAATCGGGAGGACATGGAGAACGGGAGGCTATTTTGGACATCAACTAGAGAAGAACACCGGGTGTATGTTTTGCACACAAAAGCACGGCAAACGAGAGTATGCGAGTCACCGAGCGCTATGCCGGTAGAAGGCACATATAGGCCACATATGCACTTGCGGCCAAATGCACGCCGCACTTACAGCACCGTCTAGGCGAGGTGACTTGTCTCCACACACATGCTTCGAAGCGAATGGTGACACTAGGTATGGCAATGCTGGGAACGCTTGCACTTACTCGGCAGCCCATGCATTTGTCATTGTTTCTCCAAGATCTCTTTCCCACAATGCCACGAAGAGACGTCTCGAGCTTCCGAGAAGGACTGACGAGAGTTAGACTCCTTGCCGGAGTCTACGAACTTCAAATCGCCAGTCATACTTCAGACCTTGATTCTCTGCCAGTGAGAAGCAAAATGAAGACGCCACTTTGGGGACAGATGAACGCCTTTGTTCGACGCTGAAGATGAAGGACCACGTGGTATCGACGAGTCTTCAAGCCTCCAAACATGTCTCGCGAAATCGAAGGCAGCCGCCACCACGTGGGAGATGCATCATCAACGCATGAGACGAATAGCGAGTGCCAATCGCCCTCGATACCGTCCGAGTAAGCCTTCTTCCGACATCCAGCCTGGCCTGTTTAAGCCTTCTACGGTATCCTCCTTCCCACGTGTGCCCATGCCGACGAGAGTGGCTGCCACGCGAGACTCACGCGGGCGGCCCTCGTGGTGGAAGACCTCTTTAAGCCCGATTGATGTCAACATCGGCGACACGACACAACTTCGCCGACTGTGGCATGCCGCCTGGTCCAATCGCTATCATATATTGAACGAAGACGCCTTCGTGACCCGTCGGATCGCTGTACGTTTCCCGAACGGGCAGTCGTGGTCTCCTTCTAGAAGAACCACAGAAGTCGACTAGGCGAGTGTTTGTGCTACGAGCGCGTCGAGGATCCGTCGGAATGCGTCTGATCGACAGATCTGCGTGCAGTTCGCGCGGAAGCCTCGTCGTGCGACTTTCCTAGAATGTGAGTTCCAGTTTCTTTTGAGCAGCTGAGTCTTAGGGTTTTTGCGGCGGTGAGGTCGGCGAGAAGAGCGATGAGAGATTAATGGTCTAGCCACCGGATTGAGCGAGGATGGGAGATGTGAAGGGAGACGATATAAAGACGTTGACAGGACCCGATCACAACAGGAGAACAGACAGCTACAACAAGCAACATCAAAGCACAACTCGCATACACTCCAAACGCAACACAACCATCTCCGACATACCACATCAACCACCACACCTCACCAAACCATCAAACGAACAACCAAACCCCAAAAATGGACTCCCCCCTGCTATCCCACCCCCTCGAAGTCCGCCAAATGATCACCGGCATCGTAATAGTAAACAACCAACCCTTCAAAATCAAACCCCGCTGCACAACAACCACAACCACCACGCCCCTCACGACCTGCACCCCCACCGCCCTCCCCCAAACCTCCCACCAAATCCGCGCCGAATACGCCTCCCTCCTCCGCAAAGCGGCCTTCAACCCCGGCACCAAAACCATCGCCCCCGTCTACGACTTCGACTTCCGCGAAATGATATCCTTCGCGCAGACGCTCAAGAGCCACGAGGTCGCGGCGGCGAACCGGAATCGAAATCTTGTCTGTAAGGTTTTTGTTTTTGATGGGGGTGTTTTTGGGGGGGAGGGCGTGAGGTTGTTGGGCGAGTGGGTGAGGTGTGCGGAGAAGATTGGGTTGGAGGTGGGGTATTTGGTGGAGTGGTGCGGGGTGGAGGCGGGGCAATTGAGGGCGTTGGAGGGGGTTGTGGGGGGGGGGAGGGAAGGGAGGAAGATTTTGAGGGCGTTGAGGGAGTGGAGGGGGAGGAGGGAGGGGTGAGGATGGGGAGGGGAGGGGTTGGTTCGTGGGATTTTGTGTATAGTTGTGCGGAGATGTAGAGATTCTGCGACTTGGTAGACAGGACTGGTTGCTTGTAGAATCGATCACTTTATGCTCTACTACTTCTTCTCCTGCCATTGTTCCAGGAAGTAGAATATCGAATTCAACCTGCATGATTGTCCTCCAGCAGCATGACACGTGATTCTTGGCGCGGCGTTGACCAGATTTGCATCCAGTGTCGCGAGGAGTGGTTGCGTGGATTCTCCCATATCCTCTCATACTTCCAGAGCATGAATCTAGGCACAGGGCCTTGACTGAAGCTGTGTAGAAGCGAAATGAAGTCATTTCGCGAGACTTCAATTGCCAGAACCGTGCCAAATTCGTTCGCTCGGCCGGGGTGAGGCTTAGAGATGGTGCTCGTGACTGCCGGCGTGCAGCTTGCCTTGACGGACGGAATGGGTGCCCCTGGTTGGAGCTTGACCTCCCCACACCACATTGGTGGTGACCTATGTGCCGGACTCCTCCCTTAGCACACTGCTCGTGGCGCTGGCCGGGATGTCGGCACAGCCAAAGATGATCTCTCGCCGTATAATGATGTCAAGTCATCCAACTCGGACTCTCTACAGCACCACTCTCCTTCTCCCACGGCTTCTTCCTCTTCTCCGCCTGATTCTCCGAAGCCTGCCCTTCGAGTATCGTATCAGGAATGTCCTTGATGCCCGGTATCGGTTTCCCCTCCGCGATCAACTCCACAATCTCAGCGAAGCTTGCAGGCTTGGGTGCGTCTCCTCCCATGGCTCCTGATGATGTCGCATTCGTTTGCGCTGGAACGTCGTTGTTCGTATCGTTCGCTTCGTTGCTCGTCTCGTTCGCCTGCCCATTGCCGCGCTGTTGTTCCACCCACTGTTTATATCCGTCGAAGTCCACAGTCGTCCCGGCTTTGCGTGCGTAGTAGTAGCACTTGGCGCGCAAAGTCAAGTGCGAGACTTGTTCGGGGTCTGAGACGGAGCCTAGAATCGCGCGCAAACCGCCTTGGAATTCTTGGTCTTCGTCCCAGGGGTAGCTATCGAGTTGATGGAAGAGGATTGTGTTGTCCAGTTCGGGGGCAGCTGGGACCTCGGAAGTCATTGTCTCTGGTTGGGAGCGGGATATGGGATTTGGAGCTACAATGTCAATGGCAATGAGGGCTTGCTAAGGTCAAGTCTGTTCTTCAACAATGCCGTTCAGCTCCGAGTGCCGATGGAACTGCTTTGGAGTCCTGGCTTCTGCCAACTTGGCTCGTTCAGATGTCGTCGGACTGTCTGTGCTTTCACATGAAGACGAGTCTAGATCTTGAAGTGAGGTGAAGGGAACGTAAGGTTGAGTGGTGGCTGGAGCGGCAAGGTGGCTGAGGGGCCGCACGCCAAGCCCCCCACAGTCTTGAGACGCGCCAGACGGAGGAGCTTGAAAACTGCTGCAACACCTCGACCACCTCATCACCACCACCGCCCTCCTCCCCTTCTCCTCCCTCCTTTCTTCCTCCACCCCCGACGCGCGAGCCAAGATGGCAGAGTACATCGGCGCTCGCATCTCGCTCATCTCCAAATCCGACATCAAGTGCGCGCACATGCTCGTACCATCCGGCCTGAGCTAACCACTGCGCAGATACGTCGGCACTCTCAAAGCCATCGACAGCGACACCGCCACCGTCTCCCTCCAAGATGTTCAATGCCATGGCACCGAAGGCCGCAAGGGCAACCCCGCCGAAGAGATGGCCGGCTCTGACACCCTCTACGACGGCATAGTCTTCCGCGGCAGCGATGTCAAAGACCTGACCATTATCGCTCCTCCCAAAGAGAACCGCCCACCTCAGCAAATACCCAACGACCCGGCCATATTAGGGGTATGTAAGAGCCTGTCGCTTCTTGTCCCATGTTCACATGATGAAATATTTTTGGATGTTAAAACACATTTTCTACCGATGGCGCAAAAACCGTGTGGAAATCTCCATGTTGCCTTCCTTCTGATCTTTGACACACCCCTCTGCTATATCACACTCGAGCTATTGTCGCGACCGATGCGCTGACCAGAGTCTTGCAGTCTTCCTCCTCTCCCGCGCAACAGCAACAACCTCCGCAACAGCAAAACCAGTTCCGCGGTCCTCCGCCCCCATACCCACCGCAGCAACAGTTCGGATACCCTGGTCAGCCACCCAATCAATTCCAACAACCGCCGCGATTCCAGGGTCCTGGCGGTGCTCATGGATTTCCCGGCCAGCCCGGCGCAGTTCCCGGCTACGGCATGGGCTTTGGCCCGCCACCGCCAGGATATGGCCCAATGGGTATGGGATATGGTCCACCACCGCCAGGTGCACCAGGATTTCAGGGTCCGCCGCCTGGCCATTTCCCCCCAAATCAGCAACCAATTGGTCCACCCGGTCAGATGAACCACCAGCGACCACCGCAGCAGATGCCTCCTCAACAGCAGGCGCCTATTGGCAGCAAGCAGAACACTCCACAACCCGAATCAAATCAAGCTCCTCCCCCAACGAACCCTGCCGAAATGTCAGGCACTCCCATTCCACCATCGACTTCCACAGCTGGCCCTCCACCACCAGTCGAATCAAAGCCTCCTCCTTCTGCTGCAACCGCGCCAGCAGCCGCACCACAGGCGCAGCAACAACCTGCTCCTAAGCCTGTTCAGAAAGCTAACCCAAGAGTGGCTGTACCGTTGGCGAGCCCAGCTGCGGTCAAGCAACAACCAAAACCTGCACCACAGGCTCCTGCAGCTGCAGCTGCAGCATCGAGCACTCAAGCTCCCCTCCCTTCGGTCAATCCAGATGCTGCCACTGCCGCGGTTGCCGCCGCTATGGCCTCCTTGGGTGTGCAGAACCAGCAAGCAGCCGGCGTGGACAATCTCACGCAGAAAGTCAATCAGATGAGGGTTCAAGATCATCAGACCCGAGGACGAGGGCGCGGTCGTGGAGGAGCACCCCGCGGTGGAAGACGGGAAAGCGCACAGAAGGGTATTGAAGTTCCTAAGGAGGATTTCGACTTTGAGACTTCGAACGCCAAGTTCAACAAGCAGGAACTTGTCAAGGAGGCAATCGCATCTGGAAGCCCGATCACCAGTCCAGCCAACGGTGATATCCCAGATCCTCTCTCTGCTACAAACGGACATGCCGCAGATGTCGAGGACGTTGTTATTCCACCAAAACCCGCGGATAAGGGCTATGATAAGAAGTCCTCATTCTTCGACAACATCAGCAGTGATCTCAAAGATCGCACCGAGCAACAGCAGGCCCATACAATGGTTGACGGGCGTGCAATGCGTCGTGAAGAGCGCACGAGGAATATGGAGACTTTTGGCCAAGGCAGCGTTGATGGAGGAGGCTACCGCGGCAGGGGTCGCGGCCGCGGTCGTGGCTTTGGTGGGCGAGGACGCGGTTATTACGGAGGCCGCGGTGGATATGATAATAGTCGCGGTCGTGGACGAGGGGGCGTTGAAGCTGCGCCAGTGTAGTATACTGCGTAGTCATTTGGACGACTTCGACGACGTACGCCAGCTGCGTGCGATGACCTGTACTATAGCGACGGATCCTACAACAGGACAGGAAATGCAAAGACGAGTAACGAAGGCCAGCCATCGAGCGGTCTAAACATGTCAACCAGTTCAGCTTTCTCTGTCGGGTGTTCGTTCTTTCAGCTCACACTAATTCCGCGCGCAGGGCATGCCATAAGCGACTGTCGCAACTGCTTACGAAGGACAGAATGCTTTCAGCCTCACATAATTCGATGGTTATCTTATATATATTCTCTTGTGGTGGACTTATCTCGTGTAACAATGGCGGCCTCTTCGATCAAGACGATAGCTCAGGAGCTGCGTCTGCTCACGACTGCTGAAAAAACAGAATTCGAGAAGTACCTGCAACGATGGAGTGATCTCGACCTGAAGCAACCTGCAGCCATCTTACTGCCTCGAACAGAAGACGAGTGCCAGAAAGCTGTGAGTCCAACAATGTAGTGTCAAAACTCGAGAGCCTATTCTGACGTTGCTGCTAGGTTCGTTGGGCTGTGTCCAACAATATTCCCTTTACAGCCAAATCCGGAGGTCATAGTCTGTATTCTACGATCGGCGAGAAGGGCGTTGTGATAGATCTTTCTGATTATGCTGGGATTAAGCATGACAACGAGAGCAAGACGGCTGTGTTATGGGGTGGAGTAAACACGAAGACAGTAGCCGTACAGTTGGCGAAGGATGGATGTTGCACGAGTGAGTGGCACTGCCGCTTCTCCATAAGAAAATCTTCCAGACTGATAATATATCCTAGCCCTCCCAGCAGTCAACGCAGTCGGCGCAATCCCCTTCTTCCTCAACGGCGGCCTTTCGAAAAACGTCGCGCAGCTGGGCTACGGTTCCGACCTGATCGTTTCCGCTCGCGTCATCACAGCAGACGGCAAGCTCATCGACGTCGACGAGGACCACCACGCAGACCTACTCTACGCAATTAGAGGCGCCGGACAATACTTCGGCCTCGTTACGCAACTCACCATCCGCACATTCACCTTCGAAGAAGCCCTCGACAACACCCAAGGCGTAGTCTGGGACGGCCGCTTCATCTTCCCCATCGACCGCGCGCAAGAAATCTGCGAGGTAATGAAAGACATCGTCTCAAACGACGCGTACGCGATGAACGGCCTCATAATGGTCGGCGCCCCTCCCCCAGCACGAAAGCCCTGCATCGCCGTCCTCCCAAGACTAATCTCCAAAGACCCGAGCACCCTCCAACAAGAAGCCTTCAAGCCCCTCTACGACCTCAACCCTCTTGTCACAGGAGGCAGCGAGATCCCTATCCAAAACGCCGCCGACGCCCTCGACCCCTTGGGCGCCTGCGGGGGAGGCTACAAGAAACTCGTCCTCACAGGCCTGTACAGTCTCGAATCCTCCCTTTTCACAGACGTCACGAAAATCTGGCAGGACCTCACAACCTCCCACCCCGACGCCCTCTCGACGACCTTTTCCTTCCAATGGGATTCCCGGCCTCCGAAACACGCACCTTTCGAGAGCGCGAATAGTATGCACGACGTGAGGTTTTGGGCGAATAATATGACGTGGTGTACAGATCCTGGAAGTGTGGAGGCTGTTGAAAAGGCGTTGGAGAAGGTTATTGGGACACTGAGGACGGGGCAGAGGGAGGAGGAGTTTGTGGATTTTGCGAATAGTCTGAGGACGGGGCCGGTGGGGAGGAGACATCGGGGGGAGGAGAGGGTGGGGAAGTTGAGGGAGTTGAAGAGAGTGTGGGATGGGGAGGGGGTGTTTGGGAGGGAGTTTTTGTAAGATTTTCCGTGGGATGCATGTGGTGTCTTGAAGGGCAAGAAAAAGGATGGAGTCGAAGGCAAGTCAACTAGCAGACCCTCACTAGACCTTCCTCTAATCATCCCGATGGTGTACTAGGACTACTTTCACGTGTCCAACTATTCTACTCATCCTCCTTACGCAGCCTGTGCCAACGCTCGTTTCCCATACTGCGCAAGGAACACGCTTCCCACATCGAGGCAACGCTCTTCCCGGCCCCATGAGGCATCAAACCCTTGATTAAACACGACGCTGCCCACCTGGCACCAACATTGCAAAATAAGGCCACGAGCGTTCCCTTCATCTGGCTTCTATCCACGAGCGTTATCCTCATCTGGATTCTGCCCCTGATGGATTCGCTGCGCCGCAGCCTGATGATCAAAGCTTGTTGGTTGAGAAGGGACAGCGCTGCATATCGGGCGCTTAAAACTAGTCGGCCACCTTCGTCCCTCCCGCCGCCTCCCTCTATACCGTCTCTCTCTCCCACCGTTCACAATGGCAGCACCGACCTGCCACTGCTTCTGGAACGGACAAATCACGACGCAATGCGGCAACGTCACCCCCTGCGGAACGGGCGAGCCAGGATACCACAACTCCACCTCCGGCACGCAACTCTGCTGCGTAGCAGGCGATACCTGCGGCGCGAACTCCATCTGCCGCGCCTCGTCTGCACAATCATCGCTCTACTCCGGCTTCTACCTCGGCGGCTGCACCGATGCGAGTTTCGACGACCCCCTCTGTCGGCGGGATTGCAATGATCGCGGCACGGAATTGCTCGGCGCGGATGTGGTTTACGAGCAAGCGACCGGGGTCTGGAGTTGCTGTGGACGGACGAGCGATGGGACGGCCCAGGTGGATTGTGACATGCCGGTCGATCGCTTGTCGTTTGAGATTGGATGGACACCAGATCAGTTCCCGGGGCCGGTGGGGAAAGCGCTGACTCCGGGCGTCACGACGACGGTAGGAAGTGCCACGAGTGCGGCGTCGAGCACGGCGACCGGTGGGACAGTGCAGAGTAGTCCGACTTCTGCTGCGGCGGTAGACCACAACAGCAGCTGACTTTCGACCGGAGCGAAAGCTGGTATAGGGGTCGGAGTCGCATTGGGTGCTCTGGCTCTAATCGGACTGATCGCGGCCATCGTTTTCTGGCGGAAGAGAAAGACCAAGCAAGACAAGAGCAGCAGGTCCGGCCCCGTGACAGAGACATCGCAAAGCCCTCAAGGAGGATACATGCACGACTCCAAGCCCATGCTACCCCCTTACGATCCGCGTTCTGCATCCCATCCGCACGAAATGAACTCTCCGCCTACCGACCAGGGGTATGCGGCCCGTCCGTACGAACTGAATGCTGCGCCAACGACGCATGAGTTGGACTCGAGGGCTTTTCAGGGCACATCATGATTTGAGGTTCTTGTATCGAAGGTCCAGCTCAAGCCAAGCGAGACATCGTGGTGGTGGTGCTGAGCATGACGTTGGATACGTCTCGAGCTTGACTTTGGTATCAAGTTGCGTATACAGTACTCGTGCAAACCAGGGTACAGCTAGTCCAAACGTACGTTAGCTTTCACATCATCGAGTGTTGGATGTAGATGCTCCAATCTGTATCGAAACACACGGTGATCCTCGTTGCAACGGCTAGAAAGAAACGTGTTATTACTGCATGTAGCCCCAGAGAACAGTCGTAGCGAATGCTTGCCCAAGAGATGGAATATCGACCAAAGACAAAGGCGGCAATCGTGCACTCGACAACGAATGGTAATTGCCGTAGACGGCCAGACGTCCTTCAGAAGCGTTTGATACTGTAATGCAGTGGGGTCCGGGGATGAAGGAGCTGAATCCTTGTGATGAGAGCTCGGGAGACTGACTTCACCTCATGCATCGCACCAGTCAGCCTCCGCGACAGGGCCTCCAGGTCCGACATCCGAGTGCATAAATCCGCCCAGCACACCAAGCGTCAGGAGAGTCATAGTGATTCATATCATCCGGCAGAACCTACGTCTCTCCAGTGCCGGACACCGCAACCCAACCATCGACAAAGGCCCTCACAATGTCACACTCATCCCCATCAACACACTTTCGCCTCCTGGACCTCCCCGTCGAAGTTAGAGAACATATCCTCCGCTACGCCCTCCAAGTCCCCTACTACATCTCCCCCCGCGTATCCATCCCCCGAGACGCCTTCGTCCTGCGCCTCCCTCCGCTGACAAGAACCTGCCATCTCCTCCGCAAGGAATCCCTCCCATTATATTTCGAATGCAACACCTTCCACTTCAACCTCAAGGACGTCCTCGAAACGCCCCTCGAGCAGGATCTCCGTTTTGAAAAGAAACTATTGACGTTCGGGGCGTGGTGCGAGGCGGTGGGGTCGGAGAGGTTCGCGAGGATCAGGAGTTTCGCTTTGAATCTGAGAGGTGGAGGCGTTGGGGGAGGGATGTATGTGCCGAATGTTGTGGTGACGGTGGGGCGGTTCGGGAAGGTGGATGTCGAGGCGAAATGTTTATGGCAGGGGGAGGGTGGTGGAGGGCCAAAGTATGAGGCGAAGCCGGCTCCCGAGGAGTTGGTGAGAGTTGTCAGAGAGGTTGTCGCACGGAATCAAGGGAGCGGATGTCTTCTCCCACGGGATGTGGTGCAGTTCTGTCGGGCGGTTGAGAGGTTCGGGCCAGCCTTGCCGTACTTGAGGATGTAGATCATTCAAGTCATGTAGATTACGCTCTTCTTCCCAGCAGTTGGTAGTCAGCAGCCCCGAGGCAGTAATGGTCATTTTCCGAGACATGTGCGTCCCAGAAAGGGAACTCGAGCTGCACTCGATTCACCGGGACAGGGATAGCCGCCGCACGCTGCAAGAATCGTCAGCTTTTCTGAAGGGAAGGTGCTCAATCCGACTCTCGCAAATCACTCTCATCGGCGCCATGATTGAGACAAGAGACTTTTCAAATCACTTACGGTCAGTCCAAAGCAGTCGGTCTGTACGCCGCGAATGTAGCAGCCGCTTGCGAGTTTGCTTAACTCATCGTCCGAGTACGTTCCAAACTTCTCCATTGGACGGCAGTCGCCAATGCAAAGGAGTTGCAATGCAGAAGCGGTCTCGTATTGAGCGACCCTTTGCATGATGTTGTTTGCAAAGTCGTGCATGTCGTGCATGGTGATGGATGCATCGTAACGGTCTGATGCAGGGTTTGGCCGATTGAGGATACGAAGCACCTTAATTTGGCTCGACTTCAGTATGAGATCCTACTTACAGTCAGCGGACGCATGCTCAGGGCACAGCCATACTCACGGTCTCCGACCGAATCGCACTTTGTCTGGTGTCGACGTTATGCTTATTGGCTAGAGGCAATGCGAGTTGCCTCAAGTTCGGACTGCGCTCCAACAAGTTGGCAAGTTCGGAATCCTCTGGAAACCAGTTGTAGTCCATGATGCCCATCTCTCCGTCATCGTCCATCTCTCCGTCATCGTCCATCTTTGAGTTGTCGAGAAAACTAAGACAGAGGTCTGTGAGGGTTGGCATGTGTGTTTCAAGGCAAGCTAGATCGAAACCATCCGCTCCAGAATCGTCCCATCGGATTTCAAGAAATTGCAAACCTTCGAAACTACGAAGGAAAGATTCCAAAAGTTCGACCCTTCCGTCGGCGTCGGAATCGAAACGATAATCCTCGTACAGGGAGAAGACACGGAGCATCGAACCCGTGGTTAGAAACCGTCTAGTGAGGCCCGCCAAAAGATCATCTACCCCCGAGCAGTCGTGGATTTGTAGCTCGCGAAGGTTCTCGAATGCGATATACGGTATTAAAGCCTGCTCAGCTCCAAGCATTCTTTGACTATGGAGAAGCAGCTTTTCGAGCCGTAAAGGAATAGTGTCTCGCTTTAGGCGTCCGAAGATATGAGCGAAGACTATGCTGGAGTCGAGGGGCTGATCCTTGTGTATTGATTGATATAGGTAGGACGTGGGCACGCTAATCCGTGCTGCCATGATCCTTCTTGTGATCTGCTCTGCGCGGATTGAGAGGTCCTGGATGTTCGGGCGTCTTTGAAGAATGTCACCGTAAAACTCCAATTCAGCCAGACAGCCAATCTTGTTCGGAATCTCAAGACCCATCAACCGATCTAATATAGGCTCCATGACTGAAGCGCGGTCGAAAAAATCAGTTGGTCCCAGCTGCATATATCTCAATGCCCCTAGCTGGGTGAGGATGATATTCACATCATCAGGCTTGAGCGGAGTGTCATCTGGCGTGCAAAACGACATCAGCTTGTCTTGCGGCAGTATACTGACCAAGTGTCGCAGCTTGTATCGCCAAGCGGCCTTGTCGTGGACAAGAAAACTTTGCGTTGGGCGTTTGATAACGAGGTGTCGAATGTACTTGTGGCCGCCATGGCCTCGTCGTAAGATGCCGTCATCTTCGCGGCAATCGTCAAGGTCGATCTCCAATCGCCGGTATAGGACTGGGATCGCTGCCGCATGCAGTGACCTTGACGCCAGACATAGATTTTTCAGGTCGCCAGGATGGGACAACTTGGATTCCACGAGACCCAGAAGCTCCGGCAATTGCCAGAATTCGGCGCACGGGTGCTTCTTCTTCTCACCGGTCGACATGATCTTGTCCGTCCGTTTGAACAGCTGATGAATAGGATGGCGAGCACATCATGCGAAGTTGAATTTCCACAAGGTGAAGTCGCGCAGTCGCGTGTCCGTGTTGCAGCACGGGTGAGGTGAGGTTGCACGGCTTGGCGCGTCTACGGCGCTTGCCCCTTGAACATTGACCAGGATCAGGGGCTGGCCGTTGAGTCAGTGTTCGTGTTGAGAAGTGTCCACATCAAGTCCAGAGCGTCGTCAATTACAACAGTATCTAAAGAAACAACTCTTCTGTACAGGAACATTCATCATCGCTCTGACGGCGTGTAAAACTCCTCGGGCACGACGTCTCCATTCGACTTCGCCCTCTCCGCCGCGCTCGGCTCAGGAGGCTGCGTGACAGCTTTGTGAGCATCCTTAATATCCTCGCTTTCGACCTTTTGCGGGTCAACAGCGATTGCCATTTCACCTCTGCCATGCTTCTTCGCCATTCGCCTCAGGGCTTGCTCGGTGAGACCCTGTCTGAAGATCCGCTCGAGGACGTCCTTCTTCCGCGTCTTGTGGTCGCCAATGCTGATCACCACGCCCGCTGCAATGTTGCAGGCAATGGAGCACGAAAGAATGGTTGCAGTAAGCGCTTCAGGTCGGGTGTGGTAGTTGATCGACCAAGTGCACGTTCCGAGCGCAACTTGAAGAAGAGAATGGCAGTCGAGTAGCACGACCGCTGCCACCATGTGTCGAAGGGGAAACGCGTGGTGTGTTGCAGTCTCGTGCGGCTTGTAGAATGTGTGGCTTTTGTTGAACTTGGCTTGGTGGTATTGCAGTCGCTTCTGCTGTTTGGGCGACAGGACCGAGAACTCGGCCATTTCTTCCTTGTCAATCGCGTCTTCGATTTCGGCTTCAGTCGCACTTCTGCGTCTGTCTGGAAGATCGTTCTGGTCCACCAACTCGGGCAATTGCTTTTCACGCCGCAGTCGCCATGTTGTATGATGGTAATGCGCGATGAAGCACATGTGATAGGTATCGACTGCTCGAAAGGGCGCCAGTCCATCTCCAATGAGCGCGAAAAGGGCGACCAGGACTAAGTCAATGACGTTGATGATGTAGTCCTGGCGGTTTCCGGCGTAGATCCAACCGATCAACGCAAAGACCCAAGCAGCACCAAAAAGTGTCACGCAAGTTGCGTACACAAAGACGAACAGGCCCAGAGGTTTGCTGATATATTGCTTGAACCCCCTCATCGATCGTTTGAAACCCTCGCGCTTGGAGTGAAGAAGGTGTCGCACATGGTCATTGAGCTCTGCGACGTCTTCGTCCGTCCAGCCTTCCAAGCTGACACCGTGAGGAAGCACCGCGTAGTGCGAATCGCTCAACTGGGATGAGATGGATATCGTCCTTCTGATACGTGACTCTTCCAGCTCGATGCCGTCTTGTTCACCACCTTCTTCCTCAGGAATTGGCTTCTGTACAGGAGGCTGGCCCATCCGTGAGGCTCGAGTGCCCGCTCGGGATCGAGCGATACGTTGGACTTCGCCTTCATCAAAGCCACCAGTTGATCGGCGAGATAGATCGTAAGTAGGGCGGCGATTGACGAGACCACCAAGATCAGGAACGAAGAGTGAGTTCTGCAGATTCGTCAAAGTTCCAAGAGTGCGGACTTCTGGATCGACGAGATCGAGCAGGTCAATAACATCAGACTCGTACTCGTCTTGCTGGGATCCGGGTCGCTCTATGATCCTAGGCGCAGTAGACGAAGTGTTGCTTCTGAAGCGACTGAGCGAGAATCCTCGATTGCGTTGCGCGGCATTACCTGCACTATGCATCGCTGTACCTCCAGGCCCTAGCCTCTCAGGTGGAGGGGTTGCTGCAGCCATGTCCTGTGCATTGATGCCAGCAGGCGTCACAGGCCGTGAGCCGGCATTGGCACCCGGAAATCCAGGATGCATCGCTGCACCGTGAGGTGTCACCGACTCTCCTTCTCGGATAGCAGGCATGTGAGACGGAGCAGCAGCATCGGTGGTCCTCTGTCTGGCGAGATCGTTTCTCATCAGCATGTCGTAGTTGGGGCGCTGTGGTGCTGAAGAGCTTCGCCGTCTTCCCGGAAGCTCGTCTTCTTCATCGTCGGGACGCGGAGTGGTGGCCGCTTCCTGGGTTGCTGGACGCTGCAAGTTCCCTGTCCGCTGTTGACCTGGAACAGCATTGCTGGAAGGCAATCTTCGTATTCGTATGTTGGAAGGGGCTCTCAAGCTCTCGAACGAAGGCGCGCCTGCGATGTAGCGGGCTCCACGGGGACGATTCGACTGATCCTGCGGCTGGTTCCCTGCATTATTACCGCCTGGACGCCCGGAGCCATAGTTGAAGTAGTCCATTATGATGGGTGTGCGGCCAGAAACCTGCTGGCGTCGCAGAGGTGAAGTGGTAGAAGTTTGGAATTAGCGAGGGAATCCTCGGCAGGTGATTCGAGCGCGACTTTCACCGCACGCGTTGACGAGCTCTGGGCGGAGGGTCAACTATAAGACAGGCATGCCGTCGGCCGAAGCTCTCCTATGCTAGTCAAACGTAGTAGAGATGGAGATCCAATTGCAGTGTCCAGAGCAGTCAGAGCCGGCAGATCCGAGGCGGCCTGCGGGTGTGGTGAGGATGGGGGGTTTTCTGAGAGTCGTCCTGGGGCCGAGATGGCGCGACAAGGCGTCTGCAAAGTGTTTCGCTCGGTCCAGCAAGTCGTGCTCGCGCCCCAACACGCACTGTAAAGATGCAGTCGTTCGTGGATGGTCCTGGAGGAGTCGAGCAGAGGAAATACCAAAAGTTGGGCCCCAGAGCTGAGAGGTGCCAGATCGTGGGCGGCGTCCAAGCTTCCCTGAGCTATTCGACGCCAATCACAAGCGTCGACTGTCCGCCGCGGCCTGCATCAGGCGCTGACAGATGCTGAGAAGAAGCAGCACCAAGCTTCCGATTGCTTTGTGTGCTGCACACTTGGTCGGATTTGTCGGGCGCGCAGGCTTTGAGAGGTGAAGGCCTTGCCAACCTGGACCGTCGCTCCTAAACGAGGCGCGTCTCTTCTGGGATCATCATCACCCCATCTTCGCCCGCCTGCCCTCTCCCGTCGTCCAATTTCGCGTGCCCGGGCGACCGTTGTCCGTCACGGACGTCATCTGTCACCATTTAAACCTGCTGCTGCACCTCGCCGTTCTGGCCTGTTCAGGTTACGGTCCAGAATCGCCGGATTAGAATGTCAACATCCACGGAGACCGATCTCTTCGACCGCCTCAGGAAAATTTGCTGGAGGATGATTTAAAGATTCGCGGAAGAGTAGACCTTCGCTGAAGACCTGGTCGAGTGGAGCTCCATCGGTGGACAACTTGGCTAGGCAAGAAGACATCGGGATTTGGTGGGTATGCACTTCCATGCGAGGCCATGACGAGTTCTCCAAGACGCTTTGAAAGAAGAATTTGGAAGATGAGCAAAGGATATAATAATACAAGAGCTGGGCTGCCAAGCACTGCACACCCTTCAACCAGCAAGTCCCGTTCCAGCAAAACCTCGCAAAAACTCCTCGCGATCGGCTGATGCGGATGTCAGTCAGTATTAGCATACTGGATATCCTGCGTTCCTGTATATGTGCTGGTGGACGCAGCTCTCGCAATGTGCCATTCTCAACGTCCAGCATGACCGCATTGCCTTACAAAGGCTCTGGCATGGCGACGAAGAAGACATGCTACCGAGGCGCGCATCTGTATATCTCCAGTCGACTCAGAAGAGGCTGTGATCAGTGTTTGACAACGATTCTGCTGTCGAAGACTTGAGGCATACATGTAGGCCGAGCCGTAAGCATGTCATACTTGGTAGTGTGGGTATAGGACCTTACCCTCCTATGCGTCTATGTGCATCCCAAAATAATACAATCCTATACGTCCATTGCAATGCCCTCCAAACAACCGCATTCCTTCACCTAAAGTATACCCAATCCTGCACATTTGGCGACGAAAGCCCTTCGTGGCCCCTCGAATGTTAGGTAGCGGGGTCGGCCTCAGCCCAGCTCCAGCACCAAGTGGACAACACTTGCCCTACGAGCCTATCGACAAGTCGACCCTGGCCGCCGCTTGCAATAAGCAGGGCAGCAGAGGGCACCTAAATAAAGTCGGCGGCTCTGACACACCTCACCCGATCCATGTTTGCCAGACCACTGCGCTCACAACTGTCCACCTGCTTGAATACTCACACAAAGCTATCCCGCACTTCTTCCTTCACCTGTCAGCGACGATACCTTGTAGCCATGGCGAACATCCACACCCCGATCCCGAACTTGAAGCTCAATGATGGCAATAGCATCCCGATGGTACAATATCCTCTCTAAACCGACCCCACGACCAAGCTGACCGTCATACGAACAGCTTGCCTACGGCACCGGCACCGCATGGTACAAGAGCGGCGACGAATCCAAGCTCGACCAGCAATGCATCGACTCGACCAAGACGGCCATCAAACTCGGCTACTACCACCTGGACGGCGCCGAAGTCTACAAAACCGAGACGGAGCTGGGCACCGCCATCAAGGAATCCGGCGTCGCCAGAGACAAGCTGTACCTCGTCACCAAAGTCATCACCAACATCGCGGATATCCCCAACGCGCTGCGGACGAGTTTGAAGAAGTTGCAGACGGATTATGTGGATCTGTGAGACGATCTTATTGTGTATGTGGCGAAGCTGATTGTTGGGATTGTAGATATTTGATCCACGCCCCTTTCTTCACGGAAAGCAAGGAAGACCACCAGGCCAAATGGAAGCAGATGGAACAGCTCAAAGACGAGGGCCTCGCCAAATCCATCGGCGTGAGCAACTACCTCCCCGAACACCTCGATGTCATTCTGGAGAACTGCAAGTACCCGCCGGCTATCAATCAGATTGAATTCCACCCATATCTGCAGCACCCCAACTTGGTCAAGTACCACAAGGAGAAGGGCATCGCCACGTCGGCGTATGGTCCTCTGACGGCTGTTACGAAGGGTGCGGGTGGACCGGTGGATGGGGTTTTGGCGAGTCTGGCGAAGAAGTATGCGGTCAACCCCGGAGAGATTTGTTTGAGGTGGGCGATTGATCAGGATATCGTGGCGATTACGACGAGTAGCAAGGAGCAGCGATTGAGTGATTATCTGAGGGCTATGACGTTCAAGTTGACCCCGAAGGAGATTCAGATGGTATGTTTGAAACGGTATATTGTTGGACTTTACTGACGCTGGGCAGATCAACGAGGAGGGTGCTAAGAAGCATCTGCGTGGTTTCTGGAACCACAAGTATGATGACAATGATAGGCGATGATTGAGTCGTCTCCTCTCGGCTGTCGAGACTTGAAAGTTGATATGAGCAATAAGAGCTGAAGCCTCGGATCATTCATGCTCAACATCTCCCGCGTCCTACTCCTTCTTCGCCGCATTCCCAGTCAAACTCCTCCAAGAACAAGTCAGCCACCATCACCACAACATCCTCAATAAGAAAGAAAGAAAAAGAACATCCAAAACTCACCTCGCCGTCTCCATCAACTCCTCAGCACTAACCCCCTCCGCCCACCCCCTCAACCAAACATTCAAAAGACTCCCCCTCTGAATCTCCTCCTTCCTCTCCAACAGTTCCCCCACATCCCAATTCGCCCACACAAACCGTCCATTCAACTCCCTCGCCTCCGGACTCGCACTCAACCACACCGCCATGCCCGCCGGCAGCCGCGGATCATCAGGCGCCCTCCGCCCCGCCTGCCGCGCGAGCTCCGTCGCCACGACGCCCGGCTGCATGTTGAAGATATTCCACTCCGGATGCTCATAGTGCAGAATCTCCGTGATCTTGGTGGATGCCAGTTTCGACGTCATGTACGCCGCTCCGCCGGGCGCGTACGGCAGGTGCGCGGCGCCGCTGGGCAGGTTTATGATCGTCCGCGGCGTCTCTGGCGTGCGTGCTCTGTTGGCGCGCAGGAAGGCCTGCGAGACGATTAGGGGTCCTATGGCGTTCAGCCGGTGACACTTGGTGAACTCGGCAAGGTCCACGTCGATGAGCAGGCCGCGACCCACGGAGCCTCCCGCGTTATTCACGAGGACGTCCGGCACGGCGTCGAAATGTCCCAGCACGCCGTCCATCGCCGCTTGGACATCTTTCTGCGAGGTGATATCCGCCGTCGCGATGAAGACATCCGTCCTGTCACTCGCCTCCCTGACCTTCGCGGCCGTCTCGTCGAGCGTCGCCTTCGTCCGTCCCAGCAGCGCGATCCCCTTCGCCGAGGCCTGCGCGAAGGCGATGGCGATGGCCTGCCCGATTCCGGCGCCGGCGCCTGTGATGAGGATGATTTTCTGGGAGCAGTTCAGCGCGGGCTGCTTGGGGTCGATGGCGGGGTATTGGTCGTGATGGTAGGTTTTGGTGAAGGACGGGTAGGGCTGCTTCCAGTCTGCCATGGTGAATGATTCGGTGCTTCTTCGTCGTCGATGCTCTTTTTGGGGGGTTTACATATCAGGTCTTGTCTCTGGCTTGGCTTCCCTTTCCTTTATACGTCTCCATGGTTTCGGTCTTTAGCTGGGGGTTGTGGTTGTGGGCGGAGATAGCGGCGTTTGTCCTTGGGAGGTATGTGTGTTCTTTTGGGGAGGAGGATTCCTGCTATGATGAGGTCGAATTGTTACTTGAACAATCTTCTCTCTGGACCCTGGCTCCGAAACTCGCTCGCTATGATTTCTACGCTGAGTGAGAAAGTTTCGGCTGTATTGCTGTGAAGGGACTGGTGTGCGTGGCCTTACATAGGTGTCCGCGTTTAATGTACATGTAGTCTGCACACGCGTCAGTAACATTCTCAACTCGATGATATTCGACGTCTTGTTCCGTCTTGCGTGCTTCGCCAGAGAGGACATGATGACGAGAAGGGTTGATCGCCAGGCCTGGACTGCCAAAAGTGCATGCGCATCTCATTTCTATTTGATCCTGTCCTGTCCCAGATCTACGCCCGACCTCATCTCTATCCCGATCAGATTTCTCTTTTCGTTCCACAGCTATGCATGAATGCCCCAAGGAAAAAACAACGATTACAATCAAAAGTAAAACCACACAGCCCAAGGAAAAAGCCAAACTGTACTGGCTTTTTCGCCTTTGTAACGCACATCGGGTATCGTCTCCTCGACTGTTGTTCTGGAGGGTTGCCCTGCTCTTTGTCCACAAAACTCCCTCGCTATTGCTCTAGTGCTTTGCCGTCACGGTCTCGCCGGTGACCTTCTCGACGGCTTCCTTGGCGATATCTGCCAGAGCCACCATGCACACGGTCTGCCAGACACTCAGACCGATACGGGGAGCCACACCACGGTAGAGGGCACGGATACCGCCGTTCTTGTAAATGTAGCCGAAGGTGTTGCCGACAGTCATCTTCTTGGGTCGGTTGGGGTCGTCCTTCTTCGACTGCATCTCTACACGTACGACCTCGATGGGCTGGTTCCACGCGCTGAGACCACCACCAAGGGCAGAGGCGAGGATGCGCTCTGGAGCAGTCAGCTTCTCCTTGGGGTCGGTCTTGCCCGTGACGCTGCGGATTCCGTTCTCACTGTTCATAGTCAGCGCATGCCTTTCTCTGTTATGTTTATCGAACGTACGCGATTCTGCTGAGACCGAAACGAGAGCCCCAGTTGGTGACCTGTCTCACAGCCACAGCGTTGACACCCTTGTTGATACCACGGATACCCTCAGCGCGGTAGATGGCCATGAAGCTCTCAATCGTGCCCGGGGGCTTCTTGCCTGCCTCGGCAGCCTTGTGCTTGGTCATCTCGACGGTCTTCATGCACGTGCAGAAACCCATCGTAGCGTATGCCTGCGCGAGACCACCGGTCATACCACCGATGAGACCAGCGGAGAAGTTGCCCGCGCCAAAGGTCTTGGCGTAGTATTCACCTTCGGAGGCAACGAACAGGAGCACAGCGCCCTTGGTGGAGGCTTCGATCCAGGCCCATGGGATGAGACCCTGGTAGACTGTGTATGCTGCGTTAGTCGAGACGTAACGAACGTATGAGATTCTACGTACAGCCAAAGAAGCCACCACGGCTCCAGATGCGAGCAATCGCGCCTGCCATGCCGTCCTGACGATTGGCAGCCATGGTGGTCTTCATGACCTCCAGCGGCTGGCCGAGGGTTGTGACCTCGAACATGTTCATGCCAGCGCCAAGCAGCAAATTGCTGAACTTGACGGGCTTCTTCTCAAGCTTCTGGGCAGGTGCGGCGGCGGACATGCTGATGCGGAGTGGTGAGGTAGAGGGGGCCGGACCAAGGCAGTACTGCGGCTTCTTCGCCTGTCGCTGGTGTTATGGGATGGGTGTCGGGGGGAGAGAGAGAGAGAGAGGACGGCGGAGCGCAATCTACAGGAGACGGCGGGAGAGGGTCGTCGAACGGTTGTTGAGAGATAGGGGACGAGTGAGGTGAGCTGGCTGGCTGCTGCGGTTGGCTTTGTCGGAGTGCGACAATCCTCGCGGCGGGCCTGGGGGGACGAAGGTGCGGGTTTCTGCTGCGAGTGTGAACGTGACGACTCGATGTGAGATGTGAGGAGGAGGGGAGTACTCTGTACAAGGCGAACAATGGTGATCCTACGGGCACGAATTGCTTGGGACTTTTTTGAGTTCCGGCGTTGGCGTTGAATCTCAGGTCACCTCTCATCGCTGGCCATAGCTTTGGCCTCTCACCGAGACGGATGCCGTGACCGGACAAGTCAGCGGAAGGCTATTTGCGGCCCCTACAACACCGGCATTCGTTTTAATAAACCCGTTCGTTCTCTGGCGCCTCGCCTCGCTCAACAGCAGCAGCAGCAATTCGCCGTGACCTCACCCGACATGCCATGTAAACACGCCGCATTTATTGTCGGCGGCTTTCGACCCCTGTAGCGTGGAGAGAAGTCATGCGATAACGACGGAACCCTGTGAAAAGTGGAGAGCTAGTCAATTTCCTCCGAAGCTGCAGCTCATCGAACTGGTGTTGCTGTCGTTGTTGACATTCAATGCTAGTACATATGAGAACTTCTAGTTGATGACAGTCGCTCGATCAATCAAAAACACCTCTAGTACCCAGGTCCAACGCTCCCTAGTAGCACAATGAGAAGCTTGTAATGCAGGTTCGAAGCGCTTTTACAGTAGGTATCTCATGTCATCTCAGCATCCTCCGCGTCTCTTCTCTTCCTTGCCGCCCCCGTCACCGCCGAGTATGTGCAGCGCACGTCGAATCCGCGCGCTCGCAGGCATGTGAGCGAAGGTGTAAGCTGTTCAGAGCTTAGCACCAACGAGCTTGGCATAGGCCTCCGTGCTGAAGGACTTTGGCCTCTCGATTGGTGCACCGACAGCACGGTCGATGATCAGCTGTGGGAGTACACCAATGGCTCGGCTGACACCGAAGAGGACCGTGTAGAAGTTCTGCTCGGTGAGGCCGTAGTATTGGAGGAGCACACCGGAGTGAGCATCAACGTTTGGGTATGGGTTCTTGGTCTTGCCGTGCTCGGTAAGGACGCCGGGGGCGATCTTGTAGACCTGGGAGACGAGCTTGAACATTGGGTCGTCTGGAAGGTGCTTGAGAGCGAACTCGCGCTGCGACACGTAACGTGGGTCAGTCTTGCGGAGCACAGCGTGGCCGTAGCCGGGAACGACACGGCCGCCCTTGAGGGTGTCCCAGAGATACTTGGTGATGTTCGCATCCGAAAGATCGCTGCCGACAACCTTCTTCATCTCCTGGAGCCAGTTGAGCACCTCCTGGTTGGCGAGACCGTGGAGTGGGCCAGCAAGACCGTTGAGACCAGCGGAGAGGGACAGGAAAGGCGATGACAGAGCAGAGCCGACCAGGTGAGTGGTGTGGGCAGAGACATTGCCACCCTCGTGGTCAGAGTGGATGGTCAGGTAAAGACGCATAAGCTCGACAAAATCGGTATTGTCGGCAAAGCCAAGCTGGTTGGCCAAGTTGTAACCGTAGTCCTTGTTGTTCTGGATGGCAGCGACCTTGCCGTCCTTGTAGACGTTGCGGTAAATGCGGGCAGCAATCGTGGGCAGCTTGGCGATGAGGTCCATGCTGTCCTCGAAGGTGTGCTCCCAGTACTCGGTCTTCTTCATTCCCTTAGCATAGGCCTTGGCAAAGGCAGACTCGTGCTCGAGCGCGGTGACAGCAAGAGAGAACTGAGCCATTGGGTGGAGGTCGGATGGGCAGCGGTCGATCAGCTCGGTGACGAACGATGGGACATCAGAGCGGGCGGCCCACTCGGCAGAGAGGTCGCGAACCTGCTGCTCAGATGGGACCTCGCCGGTGAGGAGGAGCCAGAAGAGACCCTCTGGCAATGGCTCTTGGCCACCTGGGGCCTTTGGGAGAAGCTCCTGGCATTCGGGGATGGTCTTGCCCCGGAAGCGGATACCCTCCTCAGAGTCAAGGACTGAGCCCTCCCAGACGAGCGACTTGATGCCACGGGCACCGCCGTAGACTTGGTCAAGGGTCACCTCGCCGACGACCGTGTTGCCATGCTCTTTCCGCAGCTTCTTGATCTGCTCAATCTTCTCGGGCAGGCTGGCGGCGAAGGTCTCCTTGAGCGACTAGATAAGAGAGCTGTTAGCTTGAGCTCTCGATGCCATTGAAGGAACGCTTGATGGGATCGCGGATGGGGATGGGAGGGAGGTGAGGCTTACGCTGCTCTTGCTTGGGGTAGCGTAGGTCCTGGCAGCATTGAAAGCAGAGCGCTGGGTCCAGGAGGAGACGGCGGGCTGGGTAGCCATAGTGCGGCGGAGCGCAACGCGGGAAAAGGTGTTGAGAGCCATTTCGAAGGACGAAGTCGAAGAGAAAGGCTAACTAGAGAGTGGTAAGAAGAACCAGACCGGACAATGGAACGGGGTTTGAGGACAGCCGAAGGCTTCGTCGTGGGTGTGGATCGCAGCGGACGGACAGTACGATAAAAAAGTTGAGACTGGAGCTCGCTGAGGGCACGGCGTTGCACGGGCCTCCGACTGACGTTTTCTCGGCCCCTGGCTGTTGGCGGTTGGCGGCTCCCACTCCAGGCCCTGCCGCGGGATCTCCTCAGTGTGATTCGGGGAGCGCGAAAACACCCGAAGAACAGTGATGTGGGTATGTGCGAGTGCTGTGGAGGCTGCTATACATTGGCCTCGACTCCGCGACTTCCTACAAAGCTTCGTCGACTGCGACTACTGCTTGATCGACCCTCGCACGCGCACGCGTAGAAACTCACTTTCGGCTGAGGCCGAGCTTGCTTCCGTTCGATGATAGGTGATCCGTGCAGTGCACGTGCACGAAGTGAAAGAAAAGCTTCCACCTTCCATTATTATTTTCATTCCACCCTCCCCGTTACACTTCCAGGACGCTGCACCGCTTTCTAATAACACCAACAACGCCTTCATCAGCTCGCAACCGACCCGACGACGACCACACTTCGACCCCCGGCCGGATCTGTGCGTGCCGCCGCCGTGTCACCCAGTCCTGTCCATCCAGGTGTTGGGACGCGCGAAAGCTCTTTGTCTTCACCATCTCAGTGAGGCGCTCCAAGGACCTCTTTCCTAACTTCTCGTCTCTGCGCACAGTGTTATTGCTCCGGAACCGCTCCTCACTAGACTTCTCACGTCGCTTGCTGCGCACTGTACGATTACAACGCACCCCTCCCACCGCTGGCGCTCAACCGGTTCGCCATCCTCAGGTGCAGTAGCGACCACTGTAACATCAGCATCCGCTTGGACAACATCATAGGCGCAGATTCTGAGATCACTCGACGATTCGGGTGAGTAAGAGCACACTGTAAGGCCGCAAACGAGCAGTCGCCTTTGGACCAGACGCATCTACACAAGAGCGTGCACACGTGTCAAAGCACTCGGTGAACAGGAGCCTCGACCCGCCGCCACCTCAGAAGTAGCGTGAAGAACGCAAAGCGACCGGAAGCGCTGTAGCTGTCACATGTTACTGACCGTCATTCAGTATTCGCAGTGAGCTATCTGTAGACTGGTGTGACGGCCAACCAGGGCCAAGCCGTAGAGCGCAGTAGGCTCAACAACAATACATCACAAAGGGGCGTAAAGTAGGCTGTCCATCATGGCCACGCCTACGGTAGATGACCTTGATGCGCTTCTCGCCTCCCTCTATCAGCTCAAGCCGCCAGGAGCCAGCAAGACCAAGATCGCGACCATCACAACGCTATGCGTGAACAACATACAGGTATGTCCAATGTAATGCTCGGCACCTCGAGGACACACGCACACGACGCGATGATGCGACAACCGCCGCGGCGCAAATGCAACAAGACAGTACTGACAGGTTCCTCACAGGCCGAGTCGCCAATCGCTCAGTCACTCTACCGCTCACTTAAGAAGGCGCCTGTGACGCACAAGCTCGGTGTATTGTATGTGATCGATAGCGTGGTGCGACAATGGATTGAGAAGGCAAAGGCAGCTGGCCAAGATTTGAACCTGGAACGAAAAGGAGAAGCAGGCACATATTCTGCGGCCGTCAGACGCATGACAGAGCTCATGCCACCACTATTTGACGACATCATGAGAGGCATGCCTGCCGAGCAGAAGCCCAAGTTGGAGAATATGGTCACCATTTGGGAGCGTGGAAGTACTTTCCCTGCGAAGATGTTGGCCGACTTCAAGGCCAAACTCAGCGGCCAGCCAAATCAGCCCACGCCTGCAAACGGTGTTTCTGCCAACATGCAACAACTCTCGATCAAACCTGGAGAGAAGTTTGCAGCGCCTATTCCGACCAGGACGGTCAATACACCTGTAGGCTTTCCTCCGCGACAGCTGTACGACTACGGATTCTTACCTGGCAGAGCGGCGCCTCCTACTCATGCAAACGGCACGTCTGGATCTTCACAACAGTCCACCCCTATGCAGGCCAACTTCTCCGCCCAGCAGTCGGTGCAGCAGCCTCAGCATACACAAGCTGCGCCATCAGCAGATGTGAACAGCATCCTCGCAGCACTCTCCAAAGCAGCACCACCCGCTGCTTCAACTCCTACTTTCCCATCCGCATCTCAGCCCGCCGCGGCGCCACCAGCTCTCCCTGCGGGCATACCTCCACAACTGGCAGCTCTATTCGGACAGCAAATGCCTGCTCAGTCTACACCCACACAACAACCTCAGCAGCTACCATACGGCTACTCGACACCATCCGCACCACCAATGCCTGCAGCATACCCACAACCACCACCACCCTTCCCTGGCTACCCACCGCAACCGCCCCCTTCTATTCCTCAAGCCTATTCTGTTGCGCCGCCTCCACCACAGCAGTCTGATCCCCTCAGCCAGTTGAGAGGTCTCCTTCCCGAAAACATCCTCAACGACCGCCAGAAGTTGATTCCAGCACTCCAACTTCTGCAAGACTTGCAAAAGGACGGGATCCCACCCGACAAGTGGGGACCAGTGTTGAAGGCATTTGAGGAACAGTACCAACCACAGCCAACTGCGCCCACCCCAGGTCCTGCGTACGGTGGTCAGGGCGACTATGGCCGCAGCCGGGGACGTAGTAGAAGCCCCGATAGAGGCCGTGGCGGTCGTGGCAGTCCTGTCTACGGCTCGTACGATGCTGGTGCACGTGGCCCAGCAGAGGAGAATCGTGATCCTCGAGGAGGCCAGCAACGAGGACGGTATCGACAGCGGTCTCCCGTTCGCGACAGCCCATCCGCTGTCGCCATGAATGGAAGGCCTATGCAGCCGAAGGTCATCGAGTATGACCCATCACTTCCACCAAATAACATCAAGGTGCTCTCGCGTACACTCTTCGTAGGCGGCGCAAACGGCACCCAGCAGGAAATTCAGGATCTATTCGAGCGGTTCGGGCGGGTTCAGACATGCATCGCGAACCGCGATAAGCGCCACGCTTTCGTCAAGATGACCTCTCGACAGTTCGCGCTCAACGCCAAAGCCGGCATGGAGGATCTCCAGAATCGAAATGACCGCGAAGTCATGAACATCGCACGTCAAACCAAGTGGGGTGTTGGCTTTGGCCCTCGCGAGTGCTGTGATTACCAGCGAGGAGAAAGCATCATCCCAATCCACAAGCTCACGGAGGCAGATCTGAAGTGGCTGCTCACAGCTGAGTATGGTGGAACTGGTGGAAAGCAGCTGGAGGGAGGGATGGTTTTGGAAGAGCCGGACATTGAAATAGGAGCCGGCGTCAGCAGCAAGGCCATGAGTAAGCGGGTCGGCCCTGACAATGCGCCGCCTGCGAAGCGACACAGGGAAGACAGAGGCCGACACGGAAAGCACAAGGGTGGCCACGGCGGCGGCGGAGGAGGAGGTGGTGGCGGCGATCAAGGCTACGGCGGATACAGCGGCGTTTCTGGAGGGCCACCACCGATGCCAATGGATCCGTATCCTTACCCACGACCTGAGCCAGTTGCAGTTGCAACACCACCGGCCGTGCCGGGATTCGGATTCAATCTGGGCTTGCCCACCAACGGGGGAAATACGTATCGATAGGATGTACTTTGGTAGAGGTTTTACTACCTGCACCTCGGCGTTGAGACAGGCACATGTACTATGGGGAAAAGCGCGGTTGGGGCAGCATAGCGAGACGGGCATTGGGACTGGCACTGGCTTTTGGTATGGGATTGCTCTCATTGTTTGCATGTGTTACACTAGCAGCGATTGATTATTCACAATTGTATTCCATTGTGTTATTTTTCTACTCGAAGCGCTACGACTACCGGATAGAGTGATGACTTGACGGCTATTCATCCACGAATTAGTGAAAGCCGGCAAGGCATATCCGCCTACGATGTTCTTGAGATGATTCTGCGGCTCAGCCCTACGACCCTGACATCAACGAAGCAGTAAGTGTGGTTTTAGGAAACTAGCGCAGATGGACCAACACCTCCGACATTCGCTCTATCAGCTCTGCCCTAAATGCATTATATTATGATGTCCCTTTCGCAAGACTACCGATAGGTGCATGACCGGCCGGTGGTGTGAAGAACACCACTGCTACGTTTAGCAAGCGTCGAAGGAATCGTCCTCTAGCTCCTACTGCTGACGACCAAGCGAACTTAGGTGGTAGGTAGCTCATCGCTGATATATCAGCCTCAGAACCGCCATCAAAATAATGAACTTCAAACCACAACACGTCTACGTCTCTCCTTCGACGATGCCTCCCCAACTCGCCCTCCTCGCCCTCGGCAGCCTCGCCACCTACCTCCTATGGATCATCTTCTATCGCCTCTTCCTGCACCCCCTCGCCAAAATCCCCGGCCCCACTCTCCCCAAAATCACCACCCTCTACGAAATGTACTTCGAAGTCTGGCAACACGGCCGGTACCCCTTCAAAATCAAAGACCTGCACGAGCAATACGGCCCCGTCATTCGCCCCGTCCCGGATGAAGTCCACATCAACGATCCGGATTTCTTGGACACGATCTATGCGTTGAGGAATCGCAATAATCCTACGGTGAGGGGACTGCTGGTCGATCAGAGTGTTGGGGGCGCGGAGGATTTTCATGTGCATAAGATGAGGAGGGAGGCGTTGAATCCTTATTTTAGCCATAAGGCGGTCATGGGGATGGAGGAACTCATCCTGTCGAAGAGCGACAAGGTGACGAGGATTTTCGAGCAGGCGGCGCAGAGCGGCGAAGCCTTGAATCTCTCGGATGTGTACTTTGGCTTCTCGAATGATCTGGTCCGGAATTTCTCGTTTGGCTCCGACAGTAACCTTCTGGATGACCTGGCGGAGGCGTGGGTGCAGAGGGAGAATCTGATGAGGTTGTTGACGGGCGTGAAGATCAATAAGCATTTCCCGTTCATTCCGAGGATTTTGGGCAAGTTCTTGCCGATGGTGTTGGGGGAGAGGGGGATTCCGCCGGCGGTGATGGATCTTCTCAAGTTCAAGGGGCGGGCGAAGGTCGATATCGAGGCGGTGATGGCGGATACGAATAATGATAAGAAAGGACGACATTCGATTTTCTATGAGTTGAGGGATTCGCCTATCCTGCCGCCGGAGGAGAAGACGGTTGCGAGGCTCCAGGACGAGGCCACCTTGATCGTGATGGCGGGCACGGAATCGCTCGCCAAATCCATCGGCTATGGCTCGTACTACCTCCAGCGCTACCCAGCAACGCTCTCCAAACTCCGCGCCGAACTCCAACAAGCTCGCGCAGAATCCGACGACGGGGAGTTATCGCTGACGACGCTCCTCACGCTCCCCTACCTCAACGCCGTCATCAACGAAACCAACCGCCTCACCTTCGGCGTCACGAATCGTCTCGCCAGATACTCCCCCACGGAGACATTATCCTACACGGCCTCCTACGGCCCCCACAAAGGCACCACATACACCTTCCCCCCGGGCACCCGAATGGGCTGTCTCACGTACTGCACGCACACGAACGAGGAGCTCTTCCCGGACCCGTTCGTCTTCGACCCGGAGCGGTTCGTGGGGCAGAGCGAGGAGGTCCACAAGCGGAAGCGGTGTATGATGGCTTTGGGCAAGGGCCATCGACGGTGTCTGGGGATCAACGTGGCGAATTCGGGCATGTGCTTGGTTTTGGCGGCGTTGGCTGGGTTTGAGATGGAGTTGTGGGAGACGGGGTATGAGGATGTGGCGTTTTTGCATGATTATCAGATTGCGCATCCGAGGTTGGATACCAAGGGGATTAGGGTGAAGGTGAAGGGGAGGAGGGAGTGAGATATGTGAGATGTTTGTTTGTTTGCCATGTAGAGCGTTTGCTTGAGACGGATCAAATGAGTAGCTGCTTTGCATATCCACGCATCGTCCCTTTTCGTGTTCTATGGCGTGTTCACGTCGGACTGTGGTGCACTGGTAGGGTTATGTGAGTCGCCGGATTACAGTGCAGCCTGTCGCACTCGACTCAGTAGTTGATCCAGGCGCGCGATGGTGAGCTTCGTGCCTTCAGCACTTCGTGAACGCTCCCGCCGTCGTTGCTTGGCTACTTCCTCATGACCTCGTGCTTGGACATGATCTCGTCTTATTAGCCGCCATCATGACCTTTCGCTTTCCCGCATCACTCGTCGTCGTCGTCTGCTTGCACGAATGGGTTGGCGATCTCCTCGCTGCCGTCCAGTGGCGATATTAGGACCAGTAGAGTTCCTCGCGCGACTAAAAGGCCCAGATTGCGGAAGCTGGTGTTTCCTTCCTCGTCTATCAAAATGTCAGTACAAACTCCTCGATTCAAATCTGCTTGAGCTTCTTACCTCTCGTCACCTCCTTGACATTGTCAAGCACCAGGTTCATCAACTGGTCGTATCCTTTGAGGGTTCCGGTGACTACAAGAACTCCAATCAGCTTCTGATGCGTGCCAGCTAATTCGACGTTTTAGCATACCTTCTCGTCCGCCGTTGAACTTGACGGAAATGTCCTTCTCCATGTACTTGGACAAATCGAGGATGTTTTCCTTCTTCCGCTCGCCGCCAGCATTGCCTCCGCCTCGACCTCCACGATCACCGCCCCCTCTGCCGCCCCGATCGCCGCGACCTCGACCGCCACCGCCTCTGAAGTTGGCGCGCTCTGACATGTTGGGCGAGTTGATGGTGTGCAGTCTGCAAGCCTCTGCTCTCCACGAAGTGTGGCGGCCAGCACGCTAGCGCCAGAAGCGGTTAGCTGCTTTTCATATCCCTGCCGCAGCTACCGAATTGGACGGGGGGTGGGTGGAGAGCGGAACTTGTGAATGCGAAGGCGCGCCCTCTTCACGACGACGAGGCAGCATGCCATTCGGGCTTGACTGGCCAGCTGCAGTCGGCGATGCTGCGGCGCGAGGCGGAGTAACCCGGCGGAGGGCTTGGGGAAGGGGTCGAGGGCGCGAGAGAGGTGAGCCGCGTCCGCGTCCGAGTGGGCACAGCGGCTTGGATGCGGCGGGCGGACAGTAGTCGAGAGGAGGGCGGCTTGCCTTCGCGCTGTTGGCTTGCGTCCGCCGCCGGCGTCTCCTCTCTCCTCGCGCCGCCGTCGCCCTCTTCCTCCTCCTCTCCCTCTCCATCCTCGTCGCCCGCGACAAAGATGGACATGGACTCCTCCGCTACCTCGACGACCACCGCCGCCGCCGCCGCCGGTCCCGCGGTCGACGCCAACAAGCGGAAACGCAGTCCGTCGACCGGGTCGTTGCCAGCGCCCGCCCCCAAGGCCGCCAAAACGAGCAACCAGCTGAGCATCAACTACCTGGCGCGCCAGTCGCATGAAGATTTGCCGCTCATCAACAAGGAGGACAACCTGCCCAACTTGCTGCACCTGCTATCCGCATACAGCAACATACTCGACCGCCACGAGTCATTGGCCTCCAACCTAGGCGCGCGACCGCTTGGTCCCATCTTGATTAAGCGCTTCGAACGGTGCTTCGATGCGCCGCCCAAGATCGTTGCTTCGCACCACAAGAACGCCTCAGGCAATTCCGAGGATGCGTCGCACCAAATCACATGGCTCGAGGTCATTGAATTCGCCCGCTCCCACCCGAGTCAATTCACCCTGAGCACATTCTCCGAGGGCAAGAGGGTCTGCCAATTCTACTATCCGCAAAAGCAGCTGCGTGTGCAGATCAGCGAGGAGGACTTTCTGTTCATCAATAGTGGACGATGTCAGGAGCTCATACCGCCGCTACCGATCTGGGAGGACGAAGAGAAGGAAGTTGGAACATGCGATGTGCTGGAGGCAAAGCTCAAGGAGCTCACAAATGCCGCAGATATGGTTGCGGCTCGGACGAGGCAGCTCAGTCACCGGCTCAAAGGACGGAGGGCTGCCATCTTGGAGAGGAGAGCAGAAGGCGGCAGTGGTACACCGGCGAAGGCTAGTGCTGTTCAGACTACGACCGCACCGCCGTCCTCGTCAGGCGCCGGGTTCGTCGCTGTGAACACTGGCCGGGAGAACATCGAGCCCAGCCTGGGATCGTCAACTGCTGTTCGCAACGAGCTCCTACGCCATTTCGAGAGCCTTCCACACAATCAAGGGACAGGTAGAGCACAAGCTCGCAACCAGTCTGTCGCTGGACAAGCAGATGCAGGACAGCCGCGAACGATCGATACGTCAAATACCCAGAACGAGGGCGTCGCCTCCAATGCGTCCTCACTATCGCCTATCCCGCCCAATGCCTTCGCCAACGAGAACCTTCCTTATTCCATGGCCGATTCTACAGCAACCTCGCGTGCCTACGGACACCGTCCATCATCTAGCGCGGGCGTCAACCCGTACAGTTCAAGTCAAGCACCTCTGAAGCACAACTTCAGCAGGCCTCTGCCGCCTGCACTAGAGAGCAGTCAGCCTTTCAGACCGCTTTGTCAAGCTCATATGGACAGCTTACCCCGTGGTCACCGCGTACTCCCGCCTTGTGACCGCTGTCGTCGTCTCCGAATGGACTGTGTCAAGAACCTGACGTCTTGCGCTGGATGTACTCGGAAACACGCTCGCTGTCATTGGAGGGATGTATCGCGTGATGAGCTTGGCGCACTGGACCATCTCATGGACTCTGCTTATCCGGGCTCGGCAGCATCAGGCAACTCTCCCATTCATGGCCAAATTGGCAATGGGTACATGAACGGTGATAGCGAGCGCGATCAGAACTATGACAGCGAAGATGATGACAGCAATCCACTTGAAGATTTGGAGGCTTTAGGGGAGAAGGAGGAGCAGGAGCATCAGATCAGGGAGGATGAGGAGGGATTGCGAAACGCACGAGAGCTTGCAAGACAGGGTTGGGAGGAGAGTCTCAGATCAGCCCAAGACTCGGGCTTCAGAGATGTTGAGAATGGCGTCAACGGTACTGGAGATCATCAGGTCGCTGCGAATGGGTCATACGAGCAAAGCCGTGACGAGGCCGGCAGCCCTAAAGATTCGCCTGGTGCAACCAAGCGACCGAGTTATGACCCTGTCCATGATAACGAAGATCACGATGACGCCCAACAGACGGCCTTGTCGACTGAGCCAAGCAACCAGCTAGGTTCTTTGACAGCAGCAAGCTCTGACATCGAAGCGGCTGCCCGCGGCGGTGGATTTCGAGCGGTGAACAACGACGAGGAGGGAACTGGTTGGCGGGCCATTTGACGTGCAACATGCTTTCGCAGTTGTTGGGCCATCTGCAAGTACCCTCATTGCTTTATAGACCCTCTACACAAGGGTACTGAACCTTGGCAGTTTGAAATCAACCACATCGGTTCCTGCCGCGCTGCCTTTGAACGCTCCTTGTCCTCATGACCTTGTACTACCACAACACTCCTGCTGCAGACCTGCATGTTTGATCGTCCTCGCAGCAGCGCATCATGGTGTAATCGAGTGTCGAACATATGCAGTTAATTTCCCGCAAGCACGCTGCAGGTTTGTTCCTGAATTTGCGAAGAATGACAGAGCGTGCCTGATTTCTGCCTCGCCCTCTGCAGGACGACAACCATCTCCACCAAGACCGTTCGTTGTGCGACTGGGAGGCTGCCCAAATCGGCGCGCTTCCAGGTGACAACCACTGAGATCGGCTCCCTTCAACTCTCTTGTCTGTGTGGATCAAGAGATCAATGGCCGAGTTCTCGAGTGGGTTGCGTTACATCACAGCTACTTTGTGTAACGTTTCTTCCCGGCCGACGACACTTTGCGGCAAGGAACGACTTGCGAGACATATCTGCCTTCTGCACAGCAAAGGCAATATTGAAAGTGTGGATCTCCCCGACCCCATCGATCTGGACGTATCTAGTGTGGCAAAGCAGGGGAGGACTACCCGTGTCCCCACCGAGCGCGGCTGCGTCTGGCGTGCTGGCGAGTTGGCAAATGGCATTCGAATGCTTCTACCAGGATGCTGCGCTTGTTGAAACTCAATGGCAGCACGGTATGGAGATCAGGAACGCGCAGCAGTAGCGCCATCATGGCCCGGAATCCAGTCCTGAGTCGGGCCTGGAGAGAAGTCCGCAGAACGACACAGCACGCAGCTATCCGTTTGCCATGCGAGGAAACAACCCAGATCAAGATCCGGTCTCGATTCTTGGGAATGACCAATATAACGACTGCTACCGCACTCGGCCTTAAGAGGAATTCGACTTGTCAGATGACGAACACCCTCCAGCGAAAGAGAAAGCGAGAGGCTTCTTCTAGTCAAAGAGAGCATGCACATGCCTTCGATTTGATCGCAACGAGGGTGGAGAACGCCTCGCTACCACTTGACAAGGTGGCTCCTCAAACGCCCGGCCTTGACAGCGGTAACCCCTGCGTCTGTGTAACGACACGGACTCTGGCCGTCCCCAGCTACCCGGTGCCAGTCAGGCACTGAGGCAACAAAGTCTCTCGTGATCAAAGACTCTGGTGAGCTGTGCCGTTGGCATCATTACACAACGACGTTCACCAAAGCATGGGCTGTTCGGCTGCCTCCACGGGTTGTGGCATTGACATCCGCCATGTTCAACCGGGCATCGCGTGTCTAGAAGGGTGGCTGCGGTTCTAATCAGCTCGGGACTTGTTCGCAGCCACTGTAACGAAACACATCGTCCATCACTACTGCTTTGCGCCCTCCCAGAACGGACGCTCAGCGCATGCGTATAGCGCAACGCAGTCGAGCGCAGAATGAAAGCGGACCCACAACCCTACTGAACATCCAGTGATCAAGAGCTAAGCTTATGTTGTGCCACCACTGGCCTACGCTGCAGCTTGTAGATCCGCACTTCTTACTGAGTCGTGATGCGAGTGATGCTAGCCTCAGCCATTCGGAAAGGTCCAAAGGGTCCAGTCGTTCTGCTCGATCAGTCTTTGAAACAGTCTGTGCTCACACCATAAGGAAGTACAGGGTGACATTCGCAGACCGCCTAGATGTCGAGATTCCCTCTATCCAGTGTCTACTCGCGGACACGGATCTTCGACCAGGAAGAATCGAATTGTGTGCCCTTCCCCGTAGGCCGCCCGTCAATCGACGCACCGACCAGGTGAGGCAAGATGTGTGCCGGTTGGTAAATGCCGATGCTGTTGCATTCCTCATGTTGAGGCGTTCCAGAGGCTGACGTTGCAATGAGTTGACCACCCTCCAGACCTCCCACCAATTGGAACCGACCGAGCGGGACTGTTGGCTGTACGAGAGGCTTTCTTCTGGTCACCTCCCGTGATCTTTTGAGAGATGTCTGGATGCACGAATACTTATTCCCAACAAGGTCCGGTTTCTGCTACTTCTCTACACACCACCTTGTTCTTCACGATCGTTCCAAACGTTCGCCGTTCCTGAAGCCATACTTGTTCAGGCCAGATTGAGCCATCCCTTGCTGTTCTTATAGCAATCCAGCTCGACAGTTGGAAATTAATCGCCTGGTCTTGCCGGGCGCTCTTTGGCCTTCGAGGTCGCTGGGCTTTTGGTTGTCGGGTATAGTTGTACCTGGCATGTCGCCTCTGCGTCCAGACTGAGCTGACGTGTCCAGTGAGAGTGTCGTGCCGGCCACCCACTTCCCACCTCTTACGAACCCTGACATAAGGTTTGCGTCCAACGCTACACGAGCACTCTTAGGATGCTGTTCCACAATGGTGAGTTGAGTGGCCATCTCTCCCATCGATGCCTCATGTGCCCATGCCACGATTAAAAGCCACAACTTTCCCAAACATACCTACATACCTCTGAACCTCTTGACTCTCCCCTTTGTTGATCTTGATCTTGATCATCTGAATCGAACGGCCTTGGGTATTGGCGGCTCTTTTGTCTTGTGTGTGGTCTCAAACATACAATGCAGCTGTTCGTTCGTGTACGAGTGCTGACGGATATGTCTAGTCTTCGCAATGTCTTCGACGACCAACACCCCTACCCGCCCTGCGCGTGGGATACCAGTCCCTGGTATCGATACGAGAGGCCCTGCCGAAAAGGCGGCGGCATCTCTTTCGTTCAGCGGATGGCCCCTGACTCCTCCTCAGTCCGCTCACGAGTCCAGACGTCCATCGCTGGCATACTCTGCGCTCTCTGACGCCTCTCACTCTGGTCCGTCCTCAGTCGGCGGATACTCGCAACCAGCTACGCCTGTACACGCGATGAACCAACACAACGATGTCAAGCAGCAGTGGTCCGACGGCACTGACGTCCATGCCTCGATGTCGGCGAGCTTGGCTGACACGTGCTCGACGGGCCAAGTCCCCCAACACAACTTCGCGTCTGCATTCCAGCAGCTGTCGATGTGTGGTGCCAACGCGCCGCACGGTCTTTCCACGTACACCCCTCAGGGACAACACCAAGTCGGGTCTTATGGACTCGATATGAGCTCGGACTCACCCATGCGTGGTGATACCTGGTCACAGCCACAGCAAATTTCGACTGCATTCAATGGACATCCTGGATTGAGGACCACGCTCTTTCAAAGCACACAAGGTCTTGGTCAGGACTCTGGGTCGATGTACGCCAACCCATCGCACTCAGTACATACCTCCCTTGGAGCGTCAGCCTTCCCAAACTACGACACTGCTGGCCCAACGTTGGACACCAGCTTTTACCAAGCACCTCAGGTCGTCGTACCATCTCAGCTCAGCCCACATGAGGACTACCCCATGGAGCAGTACTCAGGGTACGACCAGCAAGAAGTCGAAGACGGCTTCACGCAAAGCTTCGACTCATCTGCAAGCAGCTACAACGGATGGGAGACCATGGAACCACCAAGCCCCCAAGAAGCGTACTTTACCAAGAACGAGGACGACGACTTCATCGCAGTCAAGTACGAGCCTTCAACTCCATCCAGAGGACCAAGCCGATCTCAAGGCTTCTTCGAATCCGGACCAAGCCAAACCCGCCCTCGACGACGCGGCTCCAAGCGCGGCCGGAAATCCCAAGCCGAAGGCAAATGCTGGTATCAAGCCAACGTCTGCAACATGGAAGTCCGCTACAAAGGCCCTCGCTTCTCCCGCCTCCAAAGCGCGGATGGCTCCATCCAGTACGTCTCCGAAGAGCGCAAAGAGACCAAGCCCCACAAGTGCACCTTCAAAGACGCCGACGGCAACGTCTGCATCAGCCGCTTCGACCGCAGCGAGCACCTCAAGCGCCACATGAGCAAGCACTCCGAAGTCCGCGACTACCCCTGCCCGCTCCACGACTGCGACAAGAAGATCGCGCGTCCGGACAACGCCGCCGACCACTTCCGCACGCACCTCCGCAAACCCGTCAAGGGGAAGCGGAACAAGCACTGCACGTTTGAGCGGTTGCAGGAGGCGATTCTGCAGGAGTATCCGGACAAGACGGCGACGAAGCTGTTGAATAACCTGCGCAAGTGGTATGAGGCGGAGCGGGAGAGGGAGGAGATCGCGGAGATGGAGAAGCGTGTGGACCGCGAGAGGAAGCGGGTTGAGCAGGAGATGTGTGAGAGGGAGGAGGTTTGTAGGATGGCTGGGGGCCGTCTTTATTAGTGCGAGCGTCGTCGTCGTCGTCGCACTCAGGAGGTGGGATTCTTTGCATCAAAAGCGACGCATGGCCGGAGGGATCCAATCTAATGAACGAAAGTAATGAGCATCACGGCAGCGCAGGGCAGGCGAAGCAGGACAGGCGGATTCGGATTTTGTGTGGTTTTGTGTGATATTACGATCTCGGATATACCCCCAATGGCGGGCGTCTTTCGCTCGGACTTTTGTGGAGTTCTTGGAGGCAACCTAGGCATGTATTGGGTATTTGGGGAACAGAAAAGGTACCTCATGTTCGGTTGGGAGGCTGTACTGGTTTTTTTCGGTCAAAGGGATGGGATATGTGTAATCTAGAATAGTGGTTCTTTTGGTTGAGTGAATGGAAGATCTCAGCTACTTTGTTTGGCGAGGGATCGTGGGGATGGAAGAGAGGTACAATTGAGGAGATGGATATATACGTGAAAGTATTTGTATATGTATGTTGGTTTGATGTCTTCTTGAAAGTAGTGATTTGTGGACATGTGTTGATGTTTGGTGCTTGGCTACCCCTGAGACGTCATTGTCGCTAGATCTTCTCTATTCTTCGTTCATGGATCGCCATCCCTACTGACTTGATGACTCCAGTATCGCTCTCCAGTTGTCTGTTAAGAAGAAGAATGTAGTATACTAGTTGCCGGGCGAGCGAGTACCGCTTACCGAGCTCCCGACAACGTTCGACTGTTTCCAATGCCAGGTATTATTCTTTACTGGTGAGGCTTATCTGGTCGAGTGGACACAAAAATCTATCCATTGTGTGCTGGATAAAAAGTTGTCTCTCTGAGATGTGATCTGGTCACATTAACGCGTGGACGAGAGTAGCGAGTTCGGCCGGCCAAGCCCCTGAAAATACTCAGATGTTCCAATGCCAAGTATTCTGGGCTGATGAGGTCAATCTGGTTGATAGACTCGGGGTCTTTTCCAATGTGTCCAGGAAAAGAAGTTGTCTCTGACATGTGATCTTGCATGTGATTTCGTCACATGAATAATGCCTGGAAGGAAATGTCACACGACCAGAATTCCTGGTGCCGGGACAGCCCGTGCTTCCACCCATTCATCCCGCACTGCGGTGGCCACAGTTGTCATCAAAATCCAGAGAAAATCCGTCCATGCAGGTCGCCGCCGTGAACTGCACGGTTAATCAGAGTTCTGACGCAGCGCCAGCAATCTTTTCGCCCACAAGATCTTGGAGTAAGGTTTGTTAGAGGCAGGAGCGGACCGAGCCTCGCAAATTTGACGTCGCGATTCGACAATTCCAAGGTTCCTCCCACGCCCGACGACGACGACTGCACCACGGCATATCTGCCACTCACTATTAGTTGGCGCATTGACTGTGCGTGCGCGACGCCCCCAGATCCGGATCTCGTCGACGTGGAGTGAGGACCGACCTTCTCAAAACTCGCAGTGCCTATATCTAACCCGACGACGCCCCGAGCGAGCGATCTGGCCACCACGGTCCTTATCTCTTGATCCCAGCACCGCCGCCCTGCCTGCTCTTCACCGACTACCACTGCCGTCACTCCAGGCACGATGCCACATTCTGAGGCGACATCGCCGTTGGCGTCTGGCAAAGTGAAACCAGACTCGACCGAGAGCGCCTCACCAAGCTCTTATCTTGGCTTGAACTACGCCGTATCGCCGAGGTCGACACCCAAATGTACGTCCAGCTGTTTTTGTCACCCCTTGCTGCATTCATGCCCAAAGCTTCTTCTTCAAAACAGTTTCTTTCTCATGTGCTCAGCTTGGTCACTTCTGCCACTGCCGCTGAATGGCGATGCAACACACCATCACCAGTTGATTCGCGCGTATTCTGCGGCACGACTAATATGTCTTTCACAGCCGTCTCGATATCGAGGCACACTGAAACGATATCGCCTCTGATCCTTGGACAGCAGAAGGAAGTCGATGATTTCAGTATCGCCCGGAAGCATTTTGCCCGGAGTCCAAGACAGAGGCGCCTATCGGGTCGTCCTTCGAACGCCTCTAGTCCAAGTCTGAAGCCCCTGACGCCCGCTTTCGATGGCAGCGGCATGAGCGATGATAAGGATGCCGAGTACCACGAGGATGTCCATTCAGTCGACGCGCTGGTAGACCAAGTATCGTCATGGATCAAGGAGAAGCGTGAGAAGCGTCACAAGCGAAAGGCTGCCAAAAAGGCACCTCAAACCGAGCACGACACTCCGCAGGGTCCCGTCAGCGAGCCAAAACAACGACGGGGCTCAGACGCATCTGATGAATCCGTCGATCTGGACAGGCTTGAGCGCATTATCAAGCACAACCTGCACTTTAGACGGTCATCCGCCAGACGACTGTCGTCAACGCTCAAGACGAAGCCTTCCGTGCGCAGACTGCTTCGAAAGCAGTCCAGCGCTTCTGATTCTGATCAACATGACATTGAATGTCACGTGCCTTCGTGTGATGCGTTTCTTGATAATTCCAAGACGTTGGCCTACACGGGAGGTGCTTCAGACGTGTCTGATGAATCTGAAGGTGAAGATTTGAAGCAGATCGCTTCGCTACGAGACCATGATGCTTGGGCTAAGTTCAAGTTTGAGATCGTTCGTCTCGCCCACACGCTTCGTCTGAAGGGCTGGAAAAAGGTGCCCTTGGAAATGAGCAGCGCCATCGAGGTTCAACGTCTCAGTGGAGCACTGACCAATGCAGTGTATGTTGTCTCGCCGCCGACAGACTTGCCCTTGCACAAGGAAGACGAATCCGGCAATGTCGTGTCTTCTTCCAAACCGCCGCCAAAGCTACTGCTCCGCGTGTACGGCCCAAATGTAGAGCATTTGATCGATCGTGAGTCCGAATTGGCTATCCTGCGGAGACTGGCTCGTAAGCGCATCGGGCCACGTCTGCTTGGAACCTTTGCGAACGGCAGGTTTGAAGAGTACTTGCATGCCAAACCCCTCGTGCCAGAAGACCTCAGGGATCCAGGTACCAGCCGACAGATTGCTAAACGTATGCGAGAGTTGCATGAGGGCATTGAACTGCTGGATCAGGAGCGTAGTGATGGTGCTTTCGTGTGGCGCAATTGGGATAAATGGCTCAGCCGAGTCGAGCAGATTGTCACTTGGATGGATGCCCAGGTTAAGGACTTGGAACCAGGAGCTAAGCCAACGGGACCGCGGGCTTGGATGCGGCGTGGACATATTTGTGGAGTGCCTTGGCAGCAGTTCAAGGAGGTGGTCGACAAGTACCGCTCTTGGCTGCTATCGCAATATGGTGGATCTAAGGGACTCCAGGAGCAGCTCGTCTTTGCGCACAACGATACACAATACGGCAACATACTTCGAATGGTGCCTACAGGAGATTCGCCGCTGCTTCTGCCCGCAAACAGCCACAAGCAGCTGATCGTCATCGATTTTGAATACTCAAACGCGAACACGCCGGGGCTGGAGTTTGCAAACCACTTTACTGAGTGGTGTTACAACTACCATGACGAGCGCAGGCCGCATGCTTTCCATCAGAATCGGTATCCGACACCAGAGGAGCAGGATCGCTTCATTCGAGCGTACGTTCGACATCGCCCACAGTTCAATGTGGAGACTCCAAAGATGGGCCCCACTACGCCGACAATGGGTCCAGGAACGCCAGGCGAGGGAGTGAAGAGGTCGACCACGAGCATTTCCGATTTCATTCTCGACGCCAGAAACCCACAAGTGCCGCCATCGCCAGCACTCAAGGAGGATGCAAGCGTGAAGGCCGCAGAGGACGCTGAAGTGGAGCGTCTCAGGAACGAGGCCCGGATGTGGAGGCTAGCAAACACCGCACAATGGGTCGTGTGGGGTCTCGTTCAGGCCAAGGTTCCAGGCATGCCAATGCTCGATCCAAACACACCGCCCGGAAAGCAGACCGATGGGGCCGAGCCAGAAGACCTGCTTGGTGAGCGTGCCGAGCAGTACAGAGCCCTTGCCAAGGAGCAAGAGGTCGAGAGCGAGGAGCAGGAGGAGTTCGATTACTTGGGGTATGCCCAGCATCGAGCCTTGTTCTTCTGGGGAGATGCCATCCAGATGGGATTCATCAAAGCTGAGGACCTGCCAGAGGAGACGAGAGGCAAGGTCAAGACTGTGCCGCATTGAGGTCTGCTGTCCGTTGTTCTTGTATCTCTTTAAGCGTTGTAGCACAATCTTGGAAAATTGAGCGATTTTTTGGGAAGTATTCGTTTACGGTCGAGTTCATCGTGACTTCAAGGCTGTTCTTCCAGCCATCGAGGGTGAAGTGTAATAAAAGTCGAGATTCATGTCGCGGTGTGTAGTGGCGTTGAAGTGGACGTTGTCCACTGCGAGTGCGTGCTTGATGTTTCACATGGCATCATTCATCGATTCGGCGCTTTGGATTCCAGAGAATGTACTCGTATACGGAGGAGCCAGAAGTATACGAAAGGCTGCGTTTGGGGTTGTCGCTTGTGGCAGGTATAGAAACCGTACGTGGTCGTCCTGGAAGTGGTCGCGTGCTCTATGGTAGTGGATGAATGTGGTTGCTTTGGATGTGGTCGCATTGGATAGTTTCGGCTCTTCGAAGTTGTTGCTATGGGTAGGACCGTTCAGAGCCATTGTTGATGGAGTTGCTTTGGATCGTAATGATGCGATGGGCATTGGCGCTGTCGACGAACACCGCATCGGATTGATGGATGTTTTGTGACGAGTCTACTCGACGGGTAAGAGAATTGGGGGAGTATCCTAATGCTTACGACTTCATTTCTTTTTTTATCTCGTCTCGTCAATGTTTCTCTGCCTGTGAGCTCCATCCAGCCTTCCTTGATGGCGAAATCTCCATGGACTGATGGAGTTGGGAGCTGATGATGAAGTGCGGTTGAGGTTAAGCAGCTCCACATGAAGTGCGGAGAAAAAGCTGGGGCATTGTGAGCGAAAAAGGAATGCTAGCCGAGGCCTTATTAGAGATATATTGATAATTGATGGATATCAATGCTGAGAGGGATCGATGCTTTGATGCTGCCGCCACCAGCAGAGAACGGAGAGATGTTTCTTAAAGTTGGGAATGAGTGCTTTAAAATAGAGCTCGTCAATTGATATTGAGCGATTAATTTACGTCGTATCCCTGTCCCAGTCGAGGTTGGCGTTGACGGCACGGGACGATCCTCAAGCCGGCAAAAGTTCAGATAGCTTCCTTCCCAAAATTTATCGCAGCTTTGCCAATCACCTTCCAATTCAACTTCCAAACATGGCCGTCGACGATCTCATAGGGACGCTCTCCGATGCGGACGATATTTCGGATGAAGAGTCCGAGGAGATCGTTGAAGTCGCACCAAAAGGAACAAAACGCAAACGAGAAACAAAAGAGCAGGGTTCCGTGAAGAAGCAGAAGGAAGATAAAGATGAGGACTTGGACTCGGAGTTTGAATTTGAGAATGAGGCAGGACCTGCGGAGCTGGACGATTTAGATGCCTGGGCGAGTGCTGGAAATACTTACGATCGGATATCTGAGATTGTGTCGCGGAGGAAACCACGACAACCGGAGCCTGTGGAGGATGATTCAGATGCTGAAGATGGGGCTGCCGAATCTGAAAGTGAGGCTGAGGATGGGATACCTTCGGATGATGGAAGTAGCGACGAGGACGGAGAAGAGTTCCATACTGCTATCGACGGCCTTGGTGAAGAGGAGGAAAGTGCAGAAGAAGAGGACGGAGAGGATGACGAAGAGGACGATGAAGAGGATGATGAAGTAGCTGCTGCTGTGCCACACCCCGACGATGTGGCACAAGAGTCTGGATCTGATGATGGAGAGGATGCCATCGAAGAAGAAAAGCGCAATGCGTTCTTCGCAACGGACAACAAGAAATCGACACCTGGTGCAACGGCGTTTCACACAATGAATTTGTCTCGTCCGATCCTGAAGGGTCTTGCATCAGTAGGATTTGACAAGCCGACTCCTATCCAAGCAAAGACCATACCGGTCGCTTTGGAAGGTAAGGATCTTGTTGGAGGGGCTGTCACTGGTTCTGGCAAGACGGCAGCTTTCCTCATTCCAATTCTGGAACGTCTCTTGTTCCGCCCAAAGCGTACTGCCACAACCAGAGTGGCTATTCTTATGCCGACAAGAGAGCTGGCACTACAATGTTTCAATGTCGCAAAGAAGCTTGCGGCTTTCACGGACATCACTTTCGGGCAAGCCATTGGTGGCCTAAACTCTCGCGAGCAGGAGAAGCAGTTGAAGCTTCGACCGGACATTGTGATCGCAACGCCTGGACGGTTCATCGATCTCGAGCGCAACTCAGCGTCGTTCGTGGTCAACACTGTCGAAATTCTGGTGTTGGACGAGGCCGATCGAATGCTGGAAGAGGGGTTCGCCGACGAATTGAACGAGATCCTGGGCAAGATTCCCAAGTCAAGGCAGACGATGCTGTTCTCTGCTACCATGACATCGAAAGTCGACGACTTGATTCGAGTGGGCTTGCAGCGCCCAGTCCGACTGATGGTGGACGCTCAGAAGCAGACTGTGTCAGGGCTTGTGCAAGAGTTTGTCCGTCTGAGACCTGGCCGAGAGGGGAAGCGACTGGGTTATCTAATGCATCTGTGCGAGAAGGTCTACACGGATCGAGTGATCGTCTTCTTCCGACAGAAAAAAGAGGCACATCGTGTTCGCGTCATTTTCGCACTCTGCGGCTTGAACGCAGCCGAATTGCATGGTAGCATGTCCCAAGAGCAGCGCATGAACTCTATCGAGACGTTCAGGTCAGGCAAAGCTTCGTACCTACTCGCAACGGACCTCGCATCTCGTGGTCTTGATATCAAGGGCATCGACACTGTCATCAACTATGAGGCACCGCAATCACACGAGATATACCTGCATCGTGTTGGACGTACCGCCCGTGCTGGTCGATCTGGACGTGCATGTACCCTGGCTGCTGAACCTGATCGAAAGGTTGTCAAAGCCGCTGTGAAGAGCGGAAAGGCACAGGGAGCGGAGATCCGTCAAAGAACTATCGACCCACAAGATGTCGAAGCTTGGCAAACTCGTGTCGACGCCATGGAAGAGGAAATCGAGGATGTACTGCGCGAGGAGAAGGAGGACCGAGCCATGCAACAGGTCGACCGCGAGCTCACACGGGCCGACAACATCGTGAAGTTTGAAGACGAGATCAAGTCGCGACCGAAGAAGACTTGGTTCGAGAGTGAGAAAGACAAGCAGGCTGCTAAGGATAAGGGGCGTACCGTGCTGAATGGACCAAGTGACGCACCGGTAAATCGTAAGGAGAAGCGCAAGTTGAGCAACAAGGAGAAGAAAGCGTTGCAGACTAAGGACGACCGTCAGTCTGGCATGGAGTGGAAGAAGAGTAAGCACAGTACAATCGCTGGAAAAGCGAAGAGTGCTGTGCCGAAGAAGAAGGCGAAAGGCGGAAAACCAAAACCAAAGGGGAAGAAGTGAAGCTTTTGAATGCAAGTGGTTTGTCGGTGGATAGACAATGTACAATACGCATTCGAAGTGATGTGCACAATGCTATCGCTACCTCTCGAACGTGCTTCTTTGTTCAGATGTCTCCTATGTCCCGTTGTTGTAGCTGCCGGTATAGTATGGCGAGCAGGCCTTTTGCTCAAGGGTAGCGATGAAATTGTCAATCAACGCAGCGGCTGACAAGGGGCACAAAAAGTCAGCTTTGTCCATTATTGGGGCGCTGGGTCGACATTACCTGTGTTTGGGTTGTTGACGCTGAAACCCAGGGAGTAGATAGAATTGAATCCGCGGAAAGTTCCAAAGTTTTGGTCTTGAATCACACTGCCATTGGTTTTGAAAGTGAAGTTTTGCGAGACCAGTTTTTGGCCTTGTTTGTCATAGCCCGTTGCGGTGACTGCGTTCCATCAGCAGACGTGAGGGGACGTTGGTTGTGATTCGACCTACTATCGCAAGAAACAGGCAGAGACCCAGCCGTATACGGCGACGGCAGGACACAACCGTACCAGAACGATCTCGCGGTGAAAGACGTCAACGTCGATTCGATGTAGTTGGCTGTGATCAAAGGCGTCTGCTGCGTGAGCGATGAGGTCCCAGCGCCGAAAGTCGCGGCGTAGGGGTAGGTGTGCGGCGCGAGTCCCAAGTGGTTTCCGTCGAAGTCCGGGTCTGTGTCGACGAAGTTGATGTTGCTGAAGTTGAGGAGGTTGTAGACGCCGATGGGCGTGATGCCTGAGAGTGGAAATCCGCGCTCGACGGATTCGAACTTGGAGGGGAGTTAGTTGGTGTTTGTGCTGTTGTGGTTCGCGGAATGTACGTTGTAGTTCACTGTGAACTGTTCTGTCGCAGATGGACCTCTCGTGCATGCGGGTGCTGGGAAACTAGTCTGAAGATGATATCTTTAGCTTCGGTTTGTGGTAGATTGGGGGAGAAATCGTCCTTACTTGAGTCGTCACGGGAAATTGGGTAACAATAGGTATCTGAGCAGATGCCACTCCAAAGAGGAGGCCCAGAGACGCCTTGGTGGACAGCATGACGAACACGTCAAACAGTAGTGCAAGGAAACAGAACCAACCTTGCGCACATCACTCCTACAAGGTCCACACGCAGGTTCTTATGAGGCCTCACGCCTCCACCTACGTGATGGCATCTTCGCACGCTTTACGAGATCGCAATCCACGAAAGCCTACCACAGCGCAATTTCCACACCAGAATACCGAGGCAGCTCAAGTCATGGCTGCAAAGGAAGCGGTCGGTTCGGTGACGCTCACAAAAAGCACCATGAACTCCCGGTTCCTGGATCGCGATGCGTAGAAGATCGGCCTCTTTAAGCTCACAAGAGTCTGATGCATGCGAAAGCTTCTCCGCTCTTGACGTTCGCCGCATGAAAGCTTATGTTTGTTTCTTCAGTGTCGTTTTGTACTTGTGTGTTGCGCTTGTAAGACATGGGCGTGGCTGTGTAGTTGTGGAGATGATTGAAAGTTGTCTCGGAGTACAGGTCTTTGGTACCTGAGGGTCTGGATTCGTGGAGAAGGAACGATCTTCCATTGGCCAGCGGAAGCGGGAGCTAAGCAATGTTCGAACCACAAATGCGCTTGCGCCGCGCTTCCGCTGGAAGCAAGCGTGAACTTCACCTCACCTCTCTCCAGCACCATTTCCCAGCACATCTGCGCTACAAATGCGCTTCATATTGCACTGTAATGTCAATTCCCCTTGTGCAACATCAATCATAACTATTAAGTCTAGCTCCTATTCGTTCTCTGATTCTCCCGCTTGTGCATAGCAAGTAAGTTCATTCAACCTCACCTCTGCCTTTGAAGCTTTCTCACACATCTGCCTCCTAGAACGTAGCGACATCGCTACGTACCTGCTCTTATGAGACGTACGGCATCCTGGACCCGCTAGATGGTGATTTCAACGACTCTTTCCTTCCGCATGATTCCCATTGTCGCGGGGAGTGCTCTCGCGCGATTCCCACCGCTCCCATGGACTGCGGAGATCTGGAAGAGGTGTTGTTGCAACTCGTATAACCGAAGTTAAGTCTGCTTTCGCATATTGTTTTGCAGGTTGCATGTTAGCAAAAGACTTCCTTTCCTTTCCTTTCCAAAATGTGTGAAAGTGAGAGTTCTCACCCACGATCACTTGCCTCACATCACGCTCAAGACTCTCTCCCTACCCTCTGGTCTTCGAGAGACTCGCAGGGCACTCTCACCATGTTTGATGAGGTGGAGAAGCGGTCTCCAGGGCAACAGTCTGCAAACAAGGTGGCTATTCACCCGCTCGTGACCGCTCACTCTAAGCTTTGCTGGCGCTAACCGCAGCGGAGTCACATGAAGCGGTTCAAGCGGACACTTCGAGCTCCGCCGACCACGCACTCAGCGCCACAACAAGTGCTCTCAATACTGCCGGGCGCATCGCAAGACAAGCCAAGGCGGCATTTCGAACACAGAGGTCATCGCGACCAGACGCTCGCGGTCCCATTCATCGTCTTCACTTCGCCAGAAGTGACTCAAAAGTCGCTCTTGCACGTGCCGGCGCTTTCTGCGCTAGCGCCATCGCGAGCGCTCCAAAACTTCTCGCCAGCTCGAAGACGACGACACACCACACACTCACATCATCACGATAACACTGCACGATGCAGTCAGGCAGCGAGAACGAGCGCCCCTTGAAGCGGGTCAGAGCCGACGCTATGGCGGGCGCGCTCGACAGCAAGCGAAGGGTTTCTTTTGCCCCATTACCTGACACCACCAGCTACAGATCAGCGTACGACGAAGCCGAGGCAGCACTGAAGAAGCTTACTGTCCTCGATCGCGACCAAGCTGTACACCTCCTGAAGAACCACTTCGAAGTCAGCGAACTGCTTCACGCAGCCAATAGGCAGGGCTCTGGAGAGTCCGAGGGAGCGGTGAGCCTGAACGAAGTCGATGCGACAATTCAGGAACTCATCCAGGAAAAGGATCAGCTCGAGGCAGCCCTCAGCGAGGAGTTGGAGGTGCTCGAGAAGGCCAAGCAAGCGCTTGAGCGGAAAGTCGAGTCCTCGACGAAATTGTGTTCGAAGATGCTGCAGCAGAATATGAGTAGGCTCGAGGATGGCTTGGGCGATCTGCGCGACGAGGCGAGAAATTATGCCTCTGCCGTCACCAAGCACGACAAGGACAAGGAGATTGCCCGACTCCACGGCCTGATCGGGCAGTTTGCGGAGAAGATCGTGGACGAGTTCAAGACGAGCTTGACTATCGCAAGCAAGATGCTCGGTCATCCGATTGCTTCAACTACGACCGCGAATGCCCAGGTCCAAGAATCTCCACGCGAAACCCATGCCACCCCGAAGACTGTTGATGCTGCCAAAGCCGGTAGTCCAGAGGATGAATTCGAGGAGGACGACCTGGACTTGAGCGAGTATGAAGAGCAGAGCCGCAAAGAACAGCAGAACCCCAAGAACAAGAAGCTCTACGGCACCGAGTATGTTGACAGTCACCCGAACCAGAACTTCTTCCACCGTGCCAGCGGGCGCTGGATGAAGGGCTTGCCACCTCTAGAGGCTTCCAACTTCACCGGCGTTCGTGGACCAGATGCAAAGAAGTGGAAGAAGATGAAAGAGAAGTACGAAGCCAAGAAGCCAAAGACGGAAGTGAAAGCCGAGAAGCAGGCCACGCCGAAGAAGGTTGAGCAAGGCGCCACCATCAAGGATGAGGCAAATGGAGATGTCAAGGTCGGGAACACAACGCCAGTGCAGGATAAGACCCAAGTCGCTGCCAGTGCTCGTAAGATCCAACAGCTGGAAGCCACTGTGCGCGACCTGCAGTTCAAGCTGAAGGAGCTACGTTCGAAGCTGGAGGAAGAGGTTCGCGCTCGACGAAAGGCGGAGGCTGAGCTGGCGAGCAGTCGTACCTTGTGAGAAATCGAAGGGCGGGAGAAAACTGGACAGTGGGTCGAGCCAGTGCATCACTGGAATGTACAGGATAGCTCACGGATTGTTGTTTTGATAGCTGGTACGCAGTCAGACAGTGAGCGCAGACAGTCTATAGGATCTCAAATGCGTTTCAGAGAATGGTTTCCAGTCGCGCAGATAAAGTGTCGGGGATGTGTGATGTTCCTTCCAGAGTCCAAGAGCTCTCAGGAGAAGTCGTCAGGCATTGTTTGTTGGAGCGTTTGTGGCTCGGATTTGAAGACTTTCCCCTCCACGAGCGAGCCGTTAGTGCATGATAAGTGAGTGAATGTCGGGGTAAAGGGGATTAAAATAGGTTGCTGGCCGTTGACGCAAGTCCCTGACAATCTTGCACGTGCCTGTGCCGCCCTCTCATTGGACCGAGAGATGGCCGTCGGAGGAGAACGGGGAGCTCAACTTTCCAATCCTCATCAACTTTTTGCATCCATCAACACCTTCACCTACCACTACTGTCTCTATCTCACGCCTGCAACTAGCCTTGCGCGTGCCAGCATACCAACTCTCCGCTCAATCTTCGGCGAACACACCATCCTCCGGACGACCAGGTTATCTCCGTGCAACCCCTGCTACACAGCACAAACACCGGCACAATGAGTGGAACGGCGACCGCACCTCCTACCTCCACCGGCAGCGACAAGCTCGACGCCCTCAAGCAAACTGCTGAGGCCAAGCTCGAGCCCGCGAAGCTGTCCGGCCTCTCCCTCTACTCCCGTTTCGCCTTCGCTGGCGCCGTCTGCTGTTCCGTCACCCACGGCGCTCTGACCCCAGTCGATGTGTAAGTCGGCCTCCATGCCCATCAATAGCAAGAACTGGAGGAGCAAGGGTATAGCTTAGGCGCAAGAGCCAGCTTAGGCGCAAGAGCTGGGATTGAGAACACGTGGAAAGAGCCGAGAAGCGCAGAAGAGACACAAACTGACATGTGCCATTGAACAGCGTCAAGACCCGCATCCAGCTCGACCCAGTCACCTACAACCGCGGTCTCATCGGTGGAATCTCCCAGGTCATCAAGAACGATGGTGCTGGTGCGCTCTTGACCGGTGCTGGTCCTACCTTCGCCGGTTATTTCCTCCAGGGTGCTTTCAAGTTCGGCGGTTATGAGTTCTTCAAGCAGCAGTCAATCAACACAATCGGCTACGAGAACGCAAAGAACAACCGTACCGCCGTCTACCTCGTGTCCTCTGCTTTTGCCGAGTTCTTCGCCGACATTGCCCTCTGCCCCCTCGAGGCTACCAGAATCCGTCTTGTGTCTGACCCAGGTTTCGCCAATGGATTGGTCTCTGGTATGAGCAAGATCGCCAGCCAGGAAGGTCTCGGCGCCTTCTACTCTGGTTTCGGCCCAATCCTCTTCAAGCAGTACGTTCCGTGTACCTCTCATTGAACGAATTCATTCTGACGAAGCATGCAGGGTCCCATACACCATGGCCAAGTTCGTCGTTTACGAGAAGGTTGCCGAGTACGCATACGCCAACTTCTTCGACAAGAACAAGACCAGCGCCGGCATGCAGACCACCATCAACCTTGGCTCTGGTCTCATTGCTGGTTTCGCTGCCGCCATCGTCTCCCAGCCAGCCGACACCATGCTTTCGAAGATCAACAAGACCAAGGGTCTTCCAGGAGAGAGCACCACTAGCCGACTCATCAAGATCGCCAAGGAGCTTGGTCTTCGCGGTTCATACAGCGGTATCGGTGCCCGTCTCTTCATGGTTGGTACTCTCACCGCTGGTCAGTTCGCCATCTACGGTGACATCAAGAAGGCTCTTGGTGCCACTGGCGGTGTTGAGATCGCCAAGTAAGCGTTTTCAAAGACAGAAGAGCTTGTGGAGGTGGACCTAGTGTATTGGGAAGGGCTGCGGTGGCATATTTAGACGATAGAGGTGCATCACAGTCTCCTTCTCCGTGTACAGTAGGCATTTGGGACCCGGAGTCAATGAAAGCAATGTTTCCTATGTTTCAAAAGCACTGCTACTTCGACGTCGTTCTGGCTTTTTGGAGAGTTTACAGCAGCCTCGGGTGAGGATGACGCGTGCAAAAGCAGCAACACCTGGATATCTTTACAATCTTTCCTCACCTCTCAAGCAACAAGCTCTCATCCAGTACGACAAAGCGCTCTCGGGCCAAGTACGAGGCACATACTACATCCGACCATAACCATTGGCACAAACAGGTATTCGAGAGTTTTGTTCCTGCCGATCAAGCGCGGTGAGTGGACCTCACAAGGGAGTGTGGAGCGGCGGGTTTGGCTGTTGGCGCAACGCATGCCAAACCCCTCCTCCACCTCCCTTCCTAAGAAATGTATGTAGGTGGTATTGTCCTTCGTTAGGCTTCGTTCACTTCGTCTTCGACCATGTCGTGGTTCAAACGTGGTCCGAATAATAGTCCGGTGGAGCAGGGTGCTACTACTTCGCCGCCAGCCTGGACGCCGCCGAACCTTCAAACGCCTACACCCGAGAACAAGCTATTCTTCCAGGCGTTCGAGTGGCATACTGCTTCACGACCGCCGCCGCCGAGCGAGACGCACTCGAGAGACTCGCATTGGGGACGACTTGCTAGAGTACTGCCTGGTCTTGCGGAGTTGGGAGTCAGTTCGGTTTGGGTGCCTCCAGGCTGCAAGGCGAATAATCCACATGGAGTTGGTTACGATTGCTATGATTTGTGGGATCTTGGGGAGTTTGATCAGAAGTGGGCGAGGAGTACGAGGTGGGGTTCGAGGGAAGAGCTGAGGGATCTTGTGGAGGTCGCGAGAAGACGTGGGAGTGAGGGAGTGGATATCATCTGGGATGCGATTCTGAACCACAAGACGGCGGGGGATGCTACGGATCATGCATGGGCTGTGGAAGTGGACAAAGATGGTGGGTGAATTGAAGCTCTTGGGAGGGAGCAGTTGTTCTGACAAAGGTGCTGGCAGACAGACGGATAGAGATTTGTGCGCCGAAGAAGATCGAGGCATGGCTCAAGTACGACTTTCCAGGACGAGAGCGAGAGGGCATGAAGTATTCACGAATGAAGTGGAGAGCAGAGCATTTCAACGGGACCGATTGGGACCAAAGCGCGAAACGGAATGCGATCTACAAGTTGATTGACGACCCGGCGACATATCCCAAGCCGAACAAGGAGCAGTTGCCTATACCGAACAGACCATCTCAAGGATTCAACAGATTGGCACGGCTTGCTGGTGCTGTGTCGAATGCCATCTCAGCCGAACGACATATCCCAAGGAGACCTGGTAAAGGATGGGCTGAGGATGTGGACACGACGTTCGGGAACTACGACTATCTCATCTTCTCCAACTTATACTACGGCCACCCTGAAGTACGAGAAGATGTGATGCGATGGGGAGAGTGGATGCTGCAAGATACTGGCATTCATGGTTTCCGACTAGACGCTGCCCAACACTTCTCTTGGAGCTTCATACGAGACTGGATCGCCAACACGCAAGCCACCAACAGAAGTATACGCGGCAAAGATGTTTTTGTAGTTGGAGAGGTCTGGGCAGGCGAAGTCAGTCGCCAGCTCAGATGGTTAGACTTCGTCACACCTCCAGGGTCGCCAGTACAAGCCTACTGTTTCGACGCACCTTTACTCTATAGCTTCTCGCGCATCTCCGAAGACGTACGGAGAGGCAGCAAGAACGCTGATCTTCGGACCTTACTTACGGGAGCCGGTGAGCCTGACAAGCATGCTCTGGTATATGCCAGGCCACATCAAGCTGTCACGTTTGTGACGAACCACGACACCCAACCGGGTCAGACGAGCTTCACACCGATGGCATCCGGCATCAAGTCGCTGTTCTACGCATTCATCCTGCTCAGAAGAGAAGGCCATCCTTGCGTCTTCTGGGGTGACTTGTACGGAACTCTGGGGGACAAGTCAGAGGGACCTGCTTGCCAGGTACCAATTGTTGCTGCTGGCCCGACCAATGGCGTGCCCAACGGCTCTACCAACAGAAAGACGACAAGGTCTCTACTGCCTTCGCTTATGCTTGCGAGAAAGCTGTTCGCATACGGCCAGCAGAGGGACTACTTCGACAGCATGTCATGTATCGGCTGGACCCGAGCTGGCACGCATGACAGACCTGGCTGCGTGGTCATCATAAGCATTGGCCCGCCGAACAAGTGGACTATCAAAAAGATGGCTGCTGGTCGTCCGGACGAGAAGTGGATTGACATCCTCAGCGAGAGGGAAGGTCGCCCTGAAATCGTCATTGACAAGAAGGGCTTTGGTGTCTTTGCTTGCAGAGGCATGAGCGTCAGTGTCTACGTGAACGAGACGTGCGAAGCGGCTTCGAGGTTTCCCGTGGCCTTCGATCACGACGTCTACAAGCAGTGAAGAGAGATCAGAGACACTCGATGGACAGAGCACAGATTGGTCTGAGCTATATCGTCGCATATTCTAAGAATCTCTTCGGAATATCGACCGTCTTAGCTCGCAGATACTCGAGGCAATTCTTACCAAGCGTATCATATGTCGAGCAGGAATCGTAGCCACCTGGTGAGAGGTCAGCGCATGTCAAAGGGCGCGATATAAAACAAGACTTACGGTCAAGATGATCGTGCAAGAGGAAATGCACAGCGCGAATATGCGGCATCTCGAAACGATCAACGCGCAACTCGGGTTTGCCGAACTTGTGGACTTCCTCTGGACCCAGTAGCTCTTTGATCTTGTCCACTGTCAGTACGGTTCGAAGCCAGTCCCAGAGCTCTTCGTTTGGCGATGGCCGGACGAAGAAGCCAGCGTTGCAGTCGCTAGCCTTGTCGCCGGAGCGTCCAAGCACGATCGTTCCTAGGGGCCCTCTGACTGTTTCTCCAAAGGCCTCCAGCTTCGCGGGGTTTGATGCCTCATACGATGGCTGCTGGCGTTGGTGTTTCTCAGTCTGCGTCGGAGCCGGCACGTCAATGATTTGTTTCGAGCCTGCCTCTGGCTCGAACAAAAGGTGGACACGGTGATTGACATGAGATTGCGGCAGAAGAGCCGGCCAGTACTCGTAGAATGGCTTCCCTTCCGCCTGTCTCATATCATTTCCCAGCGACGCGCCTGGACATGACATCAGGAAGTTAACCATGCTGATTCGGAAGAAGCCTTCTGGATTTCTCATGTTCAACAGCTCGCGGTCTTTCGACTGCGCGAAGATGCGGAAGTCCACCGTGGCGATGTCCTGGTTCCTGGCATCGATCGGCGAGTCTCCATTGCGCATGAACTTGAGACAACTAAACTTCTTGAGGCGCTCCTCGCCCAGTTCATACCGGATCTGTTCTTCCGCCAACTGACACTTCTCGTCGATGTCGAGGCCGGCGAGGTAGATGTGATATTCGGCTTGCCAACCTGCGAATCCACTGATGCCGACTTTGGTGGTATCTGGAGGAGGAAGGCCACGAATACCGCTCACGAAGACTTCATCTTCGCCGACCTGTTCGATGTTGATACCTTCAAGCTGCGCTACCACATCGCTGTTGTAGTACAGGGGACCTTGGATCTCGTAGAGGAGCTGACTGGTAACTGAGTCGACCGTCACACATCCGCCCGTGTTCTTCTCCTTGGTGATGGTAATGCGCCCACGATGATCCACACTTGCGATTGGGAAACCAACGTTGAGATGCTTGCCTTGCTTCAAAAGGTCTTTGAAGGACGACATGTAACCTCCGGTTACGTAGGCCGAACATTCGATCAGATGACCGGCAACGAGAGCCCCGGCGAGCTCGTCCAACTGGCTACTGTCCCATTCATGCCACCAACTGCAATACCAAGTCAGCTTTACTCAAGTCTCATCCCTTCGGGTGAATCCACTTACGCGGCAGCTCCAATCGTCGGCGCAGCATCTGCAACTCTCCCAGCGATGACAATATCCGCCCCCTGCCTCAACGCCTCCGCAATCCCCAGCCCACCAAGGTAGCACTGCGCACAAACAATCTCCTGCTCCCAATCCTGGATCTTGCGCCCATGCATCAAAGACTCGAACGTCTCGCCCTGCTTGATCAATTTCCTCACATTATCCGTCTGCTCGTCGCCCTCGATCCACGCGACTTTGAGATTGTAGCCTTTGTCCTTGACCTTTTGCTGCACGCGCTTGGCGAGGACTTCGGTATCGGATGCCCCTGCGTTGACGGCCAGTTTGATGCCGCGTCGGGCGAGGCTGTCGATGGCGGGCTCGAAGCAGTCCATGAAGTTCTCGGCGAACATGGCGGTTTGGAGTTGTTGTTCGAAGTCGAGGGTGGAGAATTGTTGGCTTTTGCTTGAGAGGTCTTTTAGGATTCGCTGTTTGCCGGAGCCGTGGATTGTCATTTTCATCTGTTGGGATGTGAGCCTTGATTCTGCGGGAGTGAATGGATGGTTTGGGAAGGCTTACCTCTGACAGCCAATCTCCAACCATGACATCGACGTCTTCATTCGCGGCCAGAGACGATATAGCTCGTACGCGATCACTGAATCCTCCACTCGCACCTCCCACACGAACCGGTCGTCGAACACCTGGAGCCATGATATCGATATTTCAGACAGTGCTTCGGCAAGGCTGTGATCGAAGAACACGAATCGAACAGCACGACTGGAAGATGACCGCGACGCAAAAAGTATCAAAGATCTCCCAGTACATATAACTCATAGCTTGTCACGACGCGGCGCACCACCTTGGTATGCTTCGGCATAGCACGCATAACCATTTCCGGGCTTGACATTGGTACCTGCGTCGGATAACCTCGCTCGCGGCGAACGGCTCACGCACCCCGCAGATGGGGAAGATGGGGTTAAGGTGATGTTCATGTGCACTCTTACGTCGATATGTATGGGACTGAACTCTCCTCGAGTTCGGCTGCGCTCGCTGTTGGCGTACCTTGCGCGAAGGATAGCTGTGTCGATGCTGTCGACTTGGCTACGTTGCTCGGTGTTCGCGCCTCGTCGAGATATTGTGAGCTACTCTTTCGTCAGCCGGTCACTATTCAACTTCGAAACGAGCTCCAGTCTGTCAGGCCTTTTGTCGATGGGAGGACTACATGCTCAGGGAGCTCGTTTGACTTGGTCGCGAATTTCAGCCGTACAAGAGGCCTTCACAGTCCCACCTCTTACCCAGACGGAACGACTGCTCTCATGGGAAAGGGGATCTTGCATCCATGCTGGTCTTTGACTTGAGGACGGATACGATTCTGACGCCCATTGCAGGAAGACGAAGAACGCTGCATGCCCAACCTGATGTCCGCTCGGCCTGACCGACGGCAGATTAGGCGTGCCTGACTAGGGTGGTTGACGGAAAGCCAAGTCAGCCTGGTTGTTCTGATGATGCATTGTTGTTCCTTCACAATGATGTATTTCCTCCCTTCGATGCATACACGTTGGCAGAGACTGCGAATGGTATTGTCGAAGCATACGAGTTGCGTCCTTCGCATGCATAGCTCAAAGCATCGTGAACCGATCGACAGATAGCTGTCTTTGAATACGAGAAACAGAACACGCGGCGCCAAAGAGGCAAGGTTCTGCCTCATCTCTTGCGTTCAATCTCTTGTAGACTTCCTATCGAATTCATGCCCTCTAGACAGAGTAACACTCGCCAAACCACACTCAGTAAAGACACCGCAAAGCCACAGTGTTATGTAACAAACGTCTCGTAGACGAGGGCCAAAAGTGGCTCATGTCGCAGCTGTAGGATGCAACTCTCTGCCTGTGGTAGGTACCGCATGCGGATGGGCTGCGCGGCGGTGCAGCTCTAGTGTCCTGCCCTCGTAATCGAACATCCATGCTCTTCAGATATTGATATCTTCTTCACCTCCCTCGTCTGCGAGCACTCCCGAAACCCCTCGTCGCCCTCGTCCTCCGCAGTCCATTCCGTCTTACGCCCTCGCGACCACTTCGGCGCCTCCGACACGATTGTACCACCTTTCGATCAGCCCACTTGTTGCTGACACCGAGCCAAAGAGTTGCGCATAACATAGAAGAGACTGGACTCGGACTCGATCGAAGCTGTCGTCGAAGAATACTCGAAGATCATTCTCTCAACGGTCGCTACTGCACGAAACAGAACAGGAGGGGTCAGGCCACCAACAATCCGCGCCCAAGGCTGCGGGACTAGCGATCGTGCGAAGCAAGGGACAACCACCACCCCGTCGACTCGAGATCCTCTCCGAGACTGGATGCGTTAAGAAAGCTCCGGGCGCCAATGCGGCCGCGAGCGCAGAGTTATCACACACTCGACGGACTGTCAGCGGGAAGAGATGCGGTGGCCTGGTATTGGAGGCTGGTCGCGGTGGGGAGCAGTTTCATGATACTGGGCGGATACCTGATGCTGCCGGCGACGTTTGAGAAAGATCCCAAGTCGTCGCTGAAGGTTGCTGAGGCGGTGGTGGGGATTTTCGCGGTTGCGCTTCTGGCGGCTGGGTTTTCGTTCACGGCGCTGCTGTGCTTTGCTGTGCGGAATCCGCTGTTCCAGGCGGATGCTGTGTTCTTGCCGGCGTTGACTTCGTGTGCGTTGGGGCTTTTGACGGTGTTGTATGATTTCCTCGTGTTTTCGAGATATACCTGGAATACGCCTGCGCTGTTGGTCACGGTGGCAGGGGCGTTGTCGACGATTGTGTATGGCGGGCTACTCATATGGACGCAACGACGGATCGTGAACATCAAAGCCAACAGACCGAGCGGCGTACCTCCTCTACAGCCACCTATCCAGTTGACGCACCAGCATCGGGATAGCGAGGCTACGCTGTGGCAGGAACCGTCGTACTATGAGAACTACACGCGCAACATGTTTCCCACCGCACACAGGCCTACCCAGCAACCCCCGGCCGGATACGATCCCAATGTCATTACGGAGGAAGAGATGCAGCGCCAACAAATGCTCATGCTCTTACTCCAGAAGGACCAGCCTTCAACGCCAGATCCAACGCAAAGCACATTCCACATCGACTGGCAAGGTCGAGATGATGACGACGGCGCTCCTGAGCATGGCTACTACGCGCCTCAACGGTCTGCCCATCCACAGACTGCTTATCCTGGGCCTTCGCCGTTGATGCGGCAGATGACCCAAGACCTCCAGCCTTGGGATGGTGTTTGGAGGACACCGGCCGCGATCAGTAATGGCATGGCGCGGCCGGCGAGTCGCGAGTTCAGAGAGGCGAGAAGACAAGAGATTGAGCGGCGAGGGCGATAATTGATTGTGTATGATAATTTGGGGAAATGGCGCATTCATGGGAGCGTATTATATACCCATGCAGCGGTGGCGGCGTGTATTTAGGGCATGTGTCACGAAAATGTAATGTCAGTTGTTATCTGCCAGTGCTGCATATGTCTTCGGTCTGCATTCCACTCGTTCGTGGAGGAAGGATAAGCAAGACGAGGAAAAGCTTTCTGTCTGTATTCTAATCCCAAAACTTTTGTATCGACTGGTAAATTACGAGAATGGCCATTGCAAATGCTTGCCTGCCTCGTACTCAAAGACCGCCGAGAATTGATCTTGTCTCATGCACTTTTGGAGTACATCCAGCTCAAGATCTGCGATGGAGGAGGCCAACAGAACGAGCGCGGTGAGAGACGTTGTTGACTTACCTAGATGTGCGAGGCGCCTGTGATTTGACCGCAATAGTCACGGTGCACAGTGAATCACAGGTGCCTGACAAGATAGAGATGGGATATTCTGCTATGAGCGAGGGCAGAATGTTGAAGTCACGAAAAAGCACGAGGGAAAGATCGATAGCGTCGCGCTTTGACCACCATCGGGATTGCCATCCGAGTTTGCCGACATCGCCGAGATTGAACCTCACCGATAAACAATCGAATCTACCCAGTGACTCTCTTCCACTTCGCGACCTCAACCACTTCACAAACGACAGCAGCGGTGCAAAGATGTCGTCGGCACTACCAGGAAGCAGAGATCTGCCCGCATCGCGACATGACCTCAGCACGTACTGGGGCAGAGTGAAGCACTCAGCAGACATTGCAGATCCGAGGTGAGAAAACTACAACGAGTCGACAAGACGACATGATTTGGCCTGGTCAGCGCACACCAGCTCTTTATGTTCGCAATACCGCTTTTTCGAACTTGAGAGGATCATGTGCAAATGCTGACGCTGTGATTAGGACACTTTTCACTTCGAGCGCGGGCCTGGAACATGCAAAGTCCATCATTACCGAGTACAAGCAGGGCAAGATCAGGGAGATGACGCCCGAGTTGTGGAAGGCGAAGAAGATTGTCGACTCTACGCTTCATCCAGGTTCGACTCTGCAATTCCCGTTCGTTTGAATTACAAGACCTAACATCTTACAGACACCGGCGAACCAGTACTGCTGCCATTCCGAATGTCAAGTTTCGTCATCTCCAACTTGATAGTGACTGGAGGGATGCTCACCCCAAACTTGTCGACTGCGGGAACGATAGGTTGGCAAGTGGCAAACCAGTCCCTCAACGTCGCGATCAACTTCTCGAACGCCAACAAGAGCACGCCCATGTCAACCTCAAGCATCGTCAAGTCATACTTCGTGGCGGTCGGTGCAAGTTGTGGTGTTGCTGTTGGTCTCAATTCGATCGTACCGCGCTTAAAGAGGCTGAGTCCAGCCACGAGGACGACCCTTGGCCGGCTGGTACCTTTTGCAGCTGTGGCCAGCGCCGGTGTCCTCAATGTCTTCCTCATGCGTGGCGAAGAGATCCGACAAGGCATCAATGTCTATCCGGCCGAATCTGAAGCTGCGAAGAAGAAGAGGGAGGAAGCCAACCAGCCTCTCGAACCGATTGGCAAGAGTCAAAAGGCCGCGACTGTCGCTGTGGGTGAGACCGCCATCTCGCGAGTACTGAACGCTACACCAATCATGGTGGTACCGCCTCTCATTCTGGTGCGACTCCAACAAACGCAGTGGCTCAAGTCAAGACCGCGGATGGTCATGCCCGTCAACCTTGGGCTTATCTTGACGACCAGCTTGTTCGCCCTGCCACTTGCCCTTGCAGCGTTCCCGCAGCGACAAGCCATCAAAGCGACGAGTCTGGAGAAAGAGTTCTGGGAAAAGGGCGGCGAAGATGGGCTGGTCGAGTTCAACAGAGGCCTTTGAATGCAAACTCGCGACAGAAACGTGGCTGCTGTGATGTCTGCCATGACTACAGAAGTGTTCAAAACTCGTCTACAGAAACGGGGCATATCGACAGGGCAATTACACAAGCACGAGCACGAGCAAGGAAGATGAGTCGCCTTGTCGTTGTGTAAGAAGTCGAATCCTGTGCTGGGTGGGTGACTCTTACCAACATGTGGCTGAACGCTCTCGGTTGTCGTCCATGAATCAGGAAGCTGGTTGCGGACGTGGGTAGCAGTTCACGGCATGTGAGAAGCGCACGATAGAGCTCGATAACCTCACCTGAGTGATGGGGTGGAAATGCACCACGGACGGTTGGCGGAACTATATACATACCCAATTGCAACATGTCATCGTCGGTGTTGAGATGTTATCCCACGCTTTCATGTTCGACGGTGTCCGTCCAATATCGGCAGGTGAAGTCCAACGGCATGCCGCGCCAAGCCGGCAGTGCAAGCACGAAGGATGACGAGAAAGTCAATCCTACGATAAGGAACAGGCTCCCTTGCCGTGATAGCACGTCGCCTGTGATGACACTTCTGACGGATCCTGCTACGACGCTCACATCACACGAGGGAACGATTGGGAGACACGCGAAAGCGGCAGCCAGCAAGAGCCGGGCATCTGCGCCAAAGCGCTAGCAAAGAGTGCCGCACCCATCATCTCGGTAGCGTAGGGGGATCCCACACTTCCGATCGGAAGGCCAGCATCATTACTTAGTTACATCCATACCTGCCTACCCTTCCACGCCTATCAAATCGCATCGCCGCCCAACACCCGGACGGGTCTCACTGGCCACGCGCGGGAACCAGTGCGATTCGTGCAGCGACGCAGCGCAAGACCGCAGACAGGAAGCGGCGGTGAGCGACCGGGCCTTGCATCCGCGACGCGGTAGGGGACGGGGAAGATCCAGGTCTTTTGGCTGGTGCGGCGATAATCACTGCGTGGTGTGGGTGTGTCTCTTGCGGCGGTGATGGTCTGGCCGCTGTCGTCATGGAGGTAAGGAGGCCCTGTTTTCCCTTCATAAAGCACTGCCCTTCCTTCCTGCGCTGGCGGACGGGTGCTGCTCTTGGGGGTGAGCTGGCTATGCCCTGCTTTTCGCTGGCCGTCGCTGTCGACGAAGGATACGCGCGGGGGCCGGGGTGGTGAGCTGAATTGGATGGGATGAGGGCGATGTGATTGATATCAAACACGCGCGGAGAGAGACGTGTGTGTGAGCGCGACGACAACGGCTGCCCACGCCTCGCTCGGCTGGTCCTGTGTAAGTCTTTCGAAACCTCTCACATCGGTCAAGTGCGACCTTGGACCGTCTTCGCTCCTTCCTCTTGACCAGCACAAAAGGTCCACCGTTGCATCAGCAGCATGTCACAAGAATTCCAACTTCGACTCCCACACCTCAAATCCACAAACCAACCCCCCACGCGCATCTTCACATGCTAGCTTGAATCTGACACCTCACTCACTAGCAGTCTCCACCATGCGCACTCTCTTCGGGGAGAACATCCTCTCTCCCTCACCAAAACCTGCGCCTCCCAGCAAAGCGAACCCCTTTGAGCTCTCGTTCCAATCCAGCGTCGGCGCAAGCTCTCTCTCATCGTCTACGAGTTCGCCCAGGCAGAACGACTGGTTGACGCAACAGATACAGAACCAGCAGCGACTATCCGCCGAGGCGAACAACCACTCGACCCACGATGCCGCCACTCGATATGGCCACGCGAGACGGAAGGGCAATCCCAAACTCCTCTTTATGGGGATGAGGAGGTACGATGCTATTCCCATTCATGAACCGCCTTTCACTCACTCGTTCACAGAAGTGGCAAATCATCTATCCAAAAGGTCATCTTCGAGAAGTTCTCGCCGGCCGAGACTCTCTTCCTCGACCCAACCACAAGAATCGAGCCCTCAACCATGGAGTATGCAGGTCAACTATCACCATCAACCTCGTCCTTCTAATGTACATTCTAGATCCTTCATCAAATTCGAATCCGCCGAACTCCCCTACAACCTCCCCTACACCGCCCCCGACTTCGACCGCGATGCCATCTTCGCCTCGACAGGAGCCATAATCTGGGTCCTCGACATGCAAGACGAATACTACCACAGCATAACCAAACTGATCGAAACGGCCGTCTTCCTCCTCGAAACCTACCCCCACATCAACTTCGAAGTCTTCATCCACAAAACCGACGGCCTCTCGGAAGAATACAAATACGACACCTTCCGCGACGTGCGCCAGCGGGTAGCAGACGAACTCGCCGACCACGGCCACGCCGATCGCGGCATCGCGTTCTACCAGACCTCCATCTTCGACCACTCCGTCTACGAAGCCATGAGCAAAGTCATCCAGAAACTCCTCCCGCAACTCCCCGCCATGGAGTCCCTTCTCAACAAACTCTGCTCCGCGTGCCGCATCCAGAAAGCCTACCTCTTCGATACCATTTCCAAAATCTACCTCGCCACCGACGCCTCCCCGACGTTCCTGAAGGACTACGAAGTCTGCTCCGACTACGTCGACGTCATCGTCGACATCAAGCAGATCTACGGCTGGCAGACGAGAGGCCAGGATGGTGTCTTGGTGACGGACAGTAGTCGGGAGAGCGGTGCGCCCGGCGAGAGCCTGATTACGTATGATCGGAGTGGGAATACGTACATTTATGCGAGGGAGATTAACGAGTGAGTTTGTGAATCTATCATTCACTTAAAAGATGTTCACATGCGCTAACGGATGGGGTTTTAGCTACCTCTCCCTAATCTGCATCATGGGCCAAGGCAGCACAGCCGACAAGAGAGTTCTGATCGATTACAACGTCAGTATCCTCCACGAGGCGTTGACGCAGGTCTTCAAATTGTGAGGAAAAAGAAGGGAGGATGGCGAAGGGAAGGGAAACGACCCTTCAACTTTGTAGATGTACGCACGTACTCTTGTACTTGTTGTTCTTGATAGCTCTACTTGGAATCGAAAGAAAAATACTCTTTCTCAGATCATAAATGCTTTCTTTCCAATTTATAAACAAAGATGCTACTACCAAAAGATGGGTGGTAAAATCAAACACATAACATGGATAGGTACGAGAAAATGGGCCATTCTGCATGAGGAATCATCCACACCACCATCCATCCATCACCGTCAATGTTCTGTCATCGAGAACGCCTCGCTACAACTCAGTAGAGACCACCACCAACAACAAAAAAAACTCAATTGCATTCAAAGCGCTAGCAACAACACCCCAAAAAGGTCCGACCAGCGAGGTATCAAATTAACGTGCCGTGGATCGCGTACTACACACACAACACAACCAGCAACATCTCGGATCGCCGCCCTTCGCGCCCTCCCAACCCTTCCCCCCAGCATTTTCCATCATGTCGTATTACTACTGTACTCCATTTCATGCAGTATGCCAGCCGTTTTTTCGCTCATGCAAGACAATGTTTCGTCGGACGCGTGGTGTTGGGTTGGTGCTCGTTGTTCTTCCTCGTTCGTCGTGACCCTGCTTTTGTCTATATCCAAGACCTCCTCGAATTTACGCCGTGGCACCGATTGCTGTGCGTCTTCGCTGCGGCGGTCGTCATCCCCGGACGTGGACTGGTCCAGGGGGAGGGCGCTGAACGCCAGCTTCTGGCATGGCCAGAGGCGGGAGACGCTCTATCTGAATCTGGCAGAGCAGCGACCCATGACTTCACCCTGGCACACCAGCTCGGCGTTGAATTCCGAGCCGTCCAGAGTGAGGTAGATGTCGAAGTAGACGCGGTAGAAGGTTCCTTGTGGGGTGTCCATACGTTCGAAGTCTTTCTCGAGATTCTTTCGGCTGAGATCAGATGTGAGGGTGACGATCTCCTTGATGCCTGTGAATGATGTCAGTTTCCGATTCATCACCGGGGCGAATTGCTGCAAAACTTACGTGGATCCTTGGTGTACTCAGGGCAGACGTCCTCATCACAAGCATACAGCACATCTTCGTACATGAGTGTCGCACCAGGAGCGACTTGTCGGAAGAAAGACACCTTGACAGGCTCGCCGATCTTGACTCGCTGGCCCTTCTGCACAAAGATTTGCCTCGTGTACTTGCAGCGGTCCTTGCCGTCGAGGGATGGAACACGGTACTGCTCTGGGTGGTGACCTTCCTTGAAAGGCTGCAGGGTCGCCATGAGGTAATGCCTTCTTGCAACACGGGAGGTGATGACACGCTCGGTAATACCGGCCGTGACAGCACCCTTCACAATGGCAGCCACAGAGTCCATGGGTCGAACAACCTTGTTCTGGAACTGCGGCGGTACGTGCAGTTTGATCTGCTGGAAGAGGTACTCGGAGGCACCAAAACCACCAACGACCAACACATTCTACTCAACGTCAGCTTGCGAACAACTCATATGAGAGGAATTTCAATCTCACCTGCAATGATCGGTTCTGCGCTTGGATGGCAATGATCTGATTCCTAACCAGTTCCAGAATGCGGTTGACCACAGGTTCGAAACATTGCAGAATCTCCTCGTTTGTGAATGTCATGTAGCCTTCTTCAATGCCAGCTTCTGGGAACTCTGCATCGATACCAACATCGACTGCCCACTTCTGGCCGTTATTTCGGAAATCGGCCTTGATTCTGTTCTCGAAATCCATGATCGACTTGGCATAGACTTTTCCGGCAGTCTTTGATCCATCTGGCAGCTTCATCTTCCTGATCTTGGCTCGCAGAATGTTGGAGAAGTTGCGATTGAGCGCGGTGGAACCGCAAGAGTCACCCGAACCAGCTGTACACTCAGCGACCGTGAATGGGCTCTCCTCTTCAACTTCGTAGGCGATCAAATCGACAGTACCACCACCGCAATCGACAATCAGAACAGCATCGTGCACTTTCAGATTCAAAAGGCCGGTCTTCGAACAGAACATGGCGGCAGCTTCTGGTTCTGTGATCAGTGTCAATCGGTTGTCGTTCTCGTCACGGAGGAAACCAGCTTGAATGGCGGCGGCTCTGGTTGCGGCTTTGCCAGCATCGTTCCAGATAGCAGGCACTGTCAAGAAGTATCGAATGTTGCGCTCTTCTCGGTTGAAGACCTCTCCCAGAGTCTTTTGCAGCTGGTTGCGCATTGCCTGTCGTAGCTTGAAGAGGTAATCTGCGGCGACATCGATCTCTGACTTGCCCGGTGGAAGCGGTGGCAGGTTGATTGGATCTATGTAGGTGTTGCCGCTCAACATCAGCTGAAGCTTGAACCACTCTACCTTTTGCACGCCAGGCTTGGGGTAGCCGGTGGGCGCGAGAGCTTCAGCAATATCAGGACCCCACCCAACGACCTGCTGGTGCTGGTCGTAGTAGAGGACTGTTGGAATCTGTACGCCGTGTCAGTAAGCGCCAAGGCCGTTGAAACGTGGATGATCGAGCGCACCTTTTGCTTCGTCTGAGTACCAGCTCCTGGCCATTCGACGATGATATCTTCTTTGGCCTCGGTATTCGTAGCAAAGGCGAAAGCCACACCTGAGAAGGTGGTTCCCTGGCGCGATAAAATTAGTCAAGTCTCACAACGACAGAACGATGTGCATACAAAGTCAATGCCCACGATGAGCTGCGCTTTGCTACGCGCGCTGCCCTCCACTTCTGCCAGACGGTTGTACGAGTTTGGGCCTTGGGGTGCAGGCACGCCGTAGCCATAGCCAGAAGGCTGGTTGTTCATGGGGTAGCCTGGCGGGGCAGGCTGGTTGTACATGTTCTGGTTGTGGGCGGGAGCGTAGGCGTGGCCGCCGCCGGTATTGATGGGCGGCGGGGGCATAGGACTCGAGGGTCTGCCTGAGTTAGGATGGGGCGGCGCACCAAGATTGCCATTGCCCTGGTTGGCGTACTGGTATGAAGGCGGCCGACCAAGCGGCTGCTGGGGGTTGTTGGGGTTCATTTGAGCGAGCGAGGTGCTCGACGCCGACGCCTGCTGGGCGGTGGAGGCGTTGGAGGCGCTGAGGGCGGAGGAGGTCGAGGTGGTGCTGGCAGCGGCCGAGGAGGGCGGTTGCTGCTGCTGCTGACCGTTGGGGTTGGGGGAGGGCGAGGAGGTGGGGGCGGCGAGGGTGGTCTGGGAGGAGTTGGTGTTGGAGGTGAGGGAGTTGTTGCTGGATCTTCGAGTCGAGCCGACAAGTTTTCTGAAGCGTGAGTGCATCGACGAGCTCATGCTAGACGCTGGGCTCGCATGGGCAAGGGCGCAAGCATCAGCTCCCCGAGATCAGCCTGACGTGACACGGAAGGCAGGCACCAAGGACTGGACTGGGCGGCCGGAGAGGAAGTTGCGGTTCAGCAGCAGTCGCAGAGCAGTAGTGGAGCGGCGGGCTGGGCTGGGCTGGCACCTGAGATTTCAGGCCGGCCGGCAGGAGCGAGCGCAGGGCCAGACGACGAAACAGCAGGAGCGCTGGGGGGCAGGAAGGAGCTCGGGGGGCGCGGAGTCGAGTCGGCTCGGTTGATTGCACAGGCAGAGCGGCGAGGGAGTGATTGATTGGGCTGCTATGCGCAGCGGGCGTGGCGTGGGCTGCGCGCTGACTGAGTGACGGGAGCAAAGAGGCAGTCCAGAAACGAGACACCAGCAGTCGCCGTGCGTGGGTGGCAGTAGTGGGCAGTGGCAGCGCTGGGCGGGCGCAGTCAGTCGCAGGCAGGGCAGGCGCGATGCTATTGCTGGGCCGGGGGTCGTCGAGGGCGGACTAGCGAGCGAGCGAACGATGCGGTGCGAGGGCGCAGATTGATTGCGGACGGACAGACAGTCGGTCGTTGAATGAGATCAGAGGCTTGGATGCAGCCCGCCAGCAAGCAAGCAACCTGCAACTCTCTCGACTCGCCGCAACACACGCCAGCGCCCGCCGCTGGCACCAATGATCCTCGTCCCTGCAACCTTGACGGCTCAGCTAGTGGGGACCTATAATCAGCCGCACCACCAACGACATGAACAACCACACATGCATTGAGGAATTACTGCAGTCTCGCTAAACAGTAACAACACCGACGCTCATGACTAATAACAATCGATCTCCTATCCTAATCCTTATCCTTATCTACAACCCGCTCCTATCGTTAATAGCTAAGCTTTAAATAACGCCTAGATAACGCTACTATCTAAACCGCCTAACCGACTAGAAGCTTATTAGTTAATTAAATATAGGACTATACTAAAACTTCTAGTTCTCTCTCTAGGACCCTATCGAAAGAAAACTATAGTTAAACCTAGATAAGAATATAACTTATTTCTAAGTTTATTCTATATTACTAACTAGGTTATAGGACTATCTAGTCTAACTAAAGAAATACGTAATATCGCTCTACTTTCGTATTTTAGCTTTTCTTCTTTTAATTATAGTTTTTTACTTATTAAGAATACTTATAATTTCTAGCTATCTATCTACTTACTATAACTTATATAGCTTTAGATATTTAAAAGCTTAAAGAGCTATATCCTCTAAAATCTTAGATTAAATATCCTCCTCTTCTAAATCCTCTTAGTCTACTAGATTAAATTAAAAGGTAATCTACTTAAAAAGGTTATTTAAGCTATTTTAGATAGTTTTATCTACTAGGTTTAGGAAGGTCTTAATTAATATAGCTAATATAATTCTTTACTACTACTAAAAGCTCTAAATTATAGACTAGATCTAAAAAGTTATAGTAGCTATTTTATCTAAACTTTAAGCCTAATTTTAGACTAGTATTAAGTAAGCCTAGTAGTATTAAATAGTCTAAAGTATAATATTATTCTAAGTTTAGATAGACTATTAAATAGCTTTTAAAATAGTTATAGTTTATAGTAGTTACTTACTAACTTTAAGTTTATCTAGTATATACTTAAACTACTTTTTTCTATAGTAATATTAGGATCGGTACGTTAATCCTAGAATCTTACTTAGTACGGGTACTAAGTTTAAGTCCTTAGTTAGAGCTCGTTAAAAGGAGAGAGTCGGTAGACTACTAAGATAATCTTAAAGTAGAGGTTTAGGTATAATTATAAACTAAATAGTAAGATTAAATAGTAAGTTAAACGCTATTATATAAACTATAATATCGTTCCTATA